AGGCTCGACAGAAGGAAGAGGTCGACCAATTGACCGAAAATTTCAAGAAGCTGGAAGCTCAAAGGAAGGAAGAGGTCGACAGATTGAATGAAGAGCTCGGTCAGTCGAAGACTCAAAAGGAGCAAGAGGCCAATCGGTTGAACTTAGAGCTTGGCCATTTGAAAACCAGGACATCGGAAGAGGTCGAGGAGATGAGAAAGAAGCTCACCCAAGCGCAGGCAAATCAGTCAGATATGAGCGACAAACTCAAAAGGTCGACTGCCAAGTTGGACAGCATGGTCCTCGAGAAGATGGACGAGAAGGTCATGACATCGTTGACACAGAGCAATGTTATGCTTGCCGGAGCAAGGAAGAGAAAGAGGTAGGGTCATTCAACTCCTCTACCAATGCATTCCAGAAAACTAGTATATGATAAGCCGTGGCCGTAGATTATGGATAATCGAGACTCCTTGAATAAACATATCGTGCGTGTGACTTTGTCGATTCCGAGAGCGTGAGATGCTGGACAATCTATCCGCAAGTAGAAGCAAACACGTCTTGAGGTTCAATGCATACCTGGCTATCTTCCTCAGGTATATCGTGTATGGGAGGAAGCATCGGACTGCTCTAATGAAGCGCGCAGATGAGCGCATACAGCTAACTACGAGTAGTGCTCAGAAACCATACCCGGAGGACCCGCCAAGCCAAGTTTGCGCCGAACCGCGGCTGAGATGGTCGGCTAAAAACGAGTAGAGCTCTCCGCGTTTTCAACAAATTCTGACATGTGACAGCTCGGCAACCTCGGCATTGCTCGTCGCAGACCACGACGTGATTCAGTCTGTTGTCTATCTACATTTACCTTACCTCTAATTGCGTCGAACGACTCCACCGCTACTGTTTCCGCTATTGCCGCTACCGTCTTCGCCATCGCTGCCGCTGTCCTCGCCGCTCTAGCTCTACCGCTACTACCGCGCTGGCATGCCTTACGCCATGATGGAAGAGGCAGCAAATCAAGAGTTGGACTGAATAAGGAGGTATAGTCGCTACAGTGCTTTGAAGATCGACAGAACCACGCACTGTCGTCAAGAAGCGAGCTTCTAAGACAAGAATGGCAGACAGGTACACCTCGACGACCTAGCTACTGCGAAACGTATGCTATATACATTTACGCTCCAATTACCAAATTGTCCGTCGGTATGTATGTACGTATCCCTTCGTTCGGCGGCATCCTCGCGGCTACAACCAGACGCGAGCCTAGAGCGAGGAGAGAGGGTAGGTAGGTCCGTTACTGCAAGGTGTAGATGATATTCTGTATGGAGCACGTCCGACGTCGAATAGGATTGCATGCCACGCTCGCCGTCGACTTCAGTTCGGTCGGTCTTACGCCTGGAAAATTTATTCACATTGGCGAATTTCCTAGACATTGATGAAACGCAATTTCAATACACAGGCGGCGTGAGGTGATGGGGAGCGTAAATAATGAGGTGACGTGGAGTGTAAACAACAAGTGCGAGCATGCTGTCGAATGAAGGGATAGTCTCTTTGAAGTCCCATGCAGCAATAGCTGCAGAAGGTACCGCAGAAAATTCCGAGCAGGTCGACTTGATTTTTTTTGGTGTAGATATCGAGTATACCATATTGCTCGCCAGCTCAACTTCGAGGGCCACAGTCAATACCTCCATCCTCCACAGAGGACGCTCGATAGCGTCGTCGCAAGTTCAGCCCTCTGATCTGGACCGACTACCCATCCGTCTTGAGCAGCAACTGTTGAGTCTTCTCTTATTGTACGTCATCATGAAGATTGGTCGGAGGAGGGAGAAGATGAATGATATGATCGTTTCGTACAGAACACTAAACATAGAGTGCCCAAGAGCATGAGCAGCAAGGTCAATGTCAATGTCCACTCCAACTAGAGCAGAACAACTCATCAGACCAGATGCTCGACTTAGTCAATCTTCTCGCTGTCAAAGAAGATAAAAGGTTTTGTATATTGGTCCAAAGGTTGAGTCGAAAGTTTCTCTCATTTGTCGGTTATATCATCTACATTCTCTAGGTCTGTAAATAGCAATAAAGAATTCTGATATTCCTTACTTTGGTGGGTGCAGTTACTGCTCCAGTGAGATCTCATACCTCTCCTGTAACTTGTTGCCAGTTGGAAATATCGATTTGATGCGCGTTCGCAACTTCTCAGCCAGCAAGAAATCCACATTGATTCCTGTGCGAATGATCACGACGACCGGCGACATTATAATGGCAAGAGCACCTCGTTCTGAAGGCGCTTGCAAGCGCATTCCGGTTCTACTTGTGCTTGCAAGCAGGAGGGGGGGTTGCAGATTGCCGCTCATGATTGCGGTCTCGGTTTGTCGCTTTGAACCCATATCTGAATTATCCTTTCCTCGGCGAGATCTGCAAACTCTGCAAGGTCTTACTGCAAGAGACAGTTTGCGAGTGAATCGATGCGATGGGATGATGGGGGTGGAATCTCCTTTGGGGGTCGACGAAAACTCGAGCGCTAATCGCGTGGCTGAGCGTCCACCTGGCGATGTGGCGAACGACACTTCGCGTCGTGTACCGCTACCAACAACCTCGCCAGTCCTTCACCTCTAAATGTACAGGATAAGAGGAATAATAAGAGATGAACTGGTGCCGATGTTACCAGGAAGAAGTCAAAGTCATCGGTCGCTCAATCGGCCACCATACTAGAGGGTAGTTTGTCGCGCTCTTAGCGTGGCAGGAAGTTGGAACAAGGATACCTAACCGTCCCTGCCGGTAGTTGCACATGAAGGGCAGTTAAGGTNACTGTAGAAATAGTTAGTAGCTTAGAGTGTATGTGTGTGGGCGGTGATCAGACGCCAAGCTGACCGAAAAGACCACACAACAAATAAATCAGTAAGCTTCTTGGGTGGGAAGGGAAGTTTCCACCATACTTCCAGTCATAGAATGACACGAGTGAAAAGATACAACATAGAGGAAGATATAGAGTCCGCGTCGGCGTCATGGTCTGTTTAACCCAAAGGTTTGGGGCACATAACATTGCCAGTCGATCTAATTCTGTCTGATTGTAAGTTATTCTTGAAAGGACGGTCATGATCAACATGAAGTTGTGGTTTGATATATTGACAGAGTTGTTTAATCTGGGCTGGCGTGGTTTGTCGTTACAGATTGTGGAGTGAGACCCACCACAATCGGGTCTAGCTATTATTATTATGGGAGAGGGGAAGTTTTGCCTCACAGGACGTCCCGCCAAAGACGCAGGCAATGCCGACGCAAATTGGTGGATATTCTTGGTGCGTATCTAGGGCTTATACCGTTGGCATCCCAGATATCCAACTACAGCCAACACTCGTCATGGCCGTTGAACATTTTCTGCGAGAACGGATGATTGGATAAGATGTACGTTCTCCAGTGATCAAGGATGGCCTGTGACTCACGAGTGTCTAGGTAATACATGGACGGCGGATTGTGTGTAGGATTCGAACATCTCAGGACCGTCTAGTAACGGTAAAATCTGATATTCGGCTAGACAATGGTAGGTTTTACTATGAAGGATATTCCTGTAATCACACATCGGAATGCAGCATGTCGTTGTTGCTTAAATCACGCCTAGGTATATGTGCTGGTGAAGCATCCCTGTCGACGACCGATCACTACAAGGACACTCGAAGTTTTACGTTTTCAGGGTCAGCTAAACTGGAAAACACATTCTGGCAATTCGAGAATATACATGGCTGGTGCCAGTCTCGTGATATCCCAGCATAAGGCCATGTTGTGTACACTGACGACCGAAGAGTATGACGATACACGACGTACAGATCAGTGAATGTAAGATGAGTTGTTAAGGACGTTCCAGAGCAATCCGGACCATGTGCATTGCTCGGACTCTGTCGGATGTTTCTTGTCGATTCACCGCTTTATACCTAAGTGGCGTATAGCTACACGAGTGGGGTCAAGCTCCAAGAGCTGGACATGACCTTTAGATGTACCATGCTAGACGATCTGCTATGCGTGTTAGCAAGACGAATAGTGCATTACAGAATGGTAGGATGACTCTTCACTTAGACATCGTGCAGAGGTGGGTTCGCTTTCTGGTTTTGCGGTGATACGATTGTGGTTAATCAACCGTGATCACGACGATACAGACTATGCTGCCCGAGACCACATGAGAAGTACATGTGATGTATTGCTTGTTGGGATATCTTCAACTTTGCGCGTTGGTCTGTCTTTTTTTTATTGTGTTTCAGGACTCTGGAGCTCGGACGGAGATTGAACATCTCGGGCCGAAACGTTGCGAGCCTCAACCCCACGACACAAACCGAATGTGAACGTCGCTCGATGCTCGTCGAAATCTTTCTACATAATTCTGCATCGCGCACACCAGCGAATCGCTGACCATGCCGAATGTCTGCTAAAGTCCAGTTACATCGGGCAAGAAACCTCGGGCCGAGCGAACCGACTTCGACTTCCTCCACCGAACCCGCACGTGTTGTCGTCATATGTTGCCTCGAGTAGAGATGGACCAGAAAGAGAAGAAGAAACACAAGCATGGCCTTGACACTATGATTCGGACTGCAGCAGCAGATACTCTAGCACCTTGATCCACGGTCGTTTTACGCATCGTGTAACGCGTGTCGCTACCGGAAGCATGCGTCTAGAGATACCGTCTCGGCCGTCCTGCTGGCAAATCAACTAGGACAACTGCCTATTGAGCCAACTACACGGGCAAAGAAGGTAGACTCAAAACGAAGAGAGTCCGTAGATGGCGAGGCGGCAAGGGCGCTGTTACTGGGCATGAGTGTCAAGGCTTCAGCATCGTCCGAGAACGGTTGCCCGACGCGAGCACATTCACCGGCAGGATGCACTGAATCATGGAAACCACTGGCCACTTACGAATAGACAGACACAATTGGATTGCTCACATTCGTATGATCCACACGCGGCGCATTCTGTTGTCGTCGTTTTCCCCATCCGAAATTTCAGAGCGCAGACACGGATACGGATATACGGGACAAGAGGAAGCCGCTACTGTGATGGGTTGGGTCTCTCGAACATATGGGCACATCTCGAAACCAGGTATCTCGTTTTGCGTTGGCCTCTTGTCCATCAAAAGAGCCGACAAGATTGATGATGGGTTTGGAACGCTGCCGGAACTCTTCGAACGAGCCCGCCACCAAGATCGCCGCCGCCAAATTGTTGCCACCAATGGTGATGAGCCGTCTGTGCTACTTGGCCGACCATGATAATGTAGTGCGACGACCAACTCGTTGATAAGTTTTGCCGCTCGGAGAGGATATCAAGATACGGACCAAACTTCGAACAACAAGAGGAGATTCATGTGTGCATATCCAATGAGGCCGTCTGGTTTGGATGTGTTTTGACTCGAACAAGTATGAGGGAACCATCACTACATTTACACGATAAGTATCCTTGGTCGCAGCCGCTCACCTACCATTCGAATATTCGACATGCTCGGAGAAGAGAAGAAGTTCGTGTGCGACTCCAGGGATCCCATGATATCGATAAAGGCAAAGGATGCGGTCATGAACTATTATCTCCTGTAAACTTACATATGTTCCCCGCTTGGAATATACGCAGCCCGTCTCACACTTGGGCTCGAATTCCACGGATATCGACCAGTACCTCCACAGGACTTCCGGCTTCATTGGGTCTCCCAATTGAGATCTTTCATGGCATCCCACGTCCAGTTGCAAGGAACTTCTAAGAATTTCGACCTCAAGCAAGCAGTATCCCGATTCTCTACATCACACGGCTCGCATACCACCAACACGGACATAACCTCAGTCAAGGTCTTCGCATGGTGCTCCCGTGAAATCATGTCAATAGCCATGACGGTGCATCACCACACTATTCAACGAAAGCTTGCTATTTATAGCTTCATCTTTCTATGTTGTAATTATCCTTCTCGATGGCAGGGACGGCAATTGTACCAGCTTGCAATTTATATGAACCGGGTAGCCATGCGGTAACACGCAATATCTTCGACTCACAACACTTGGGTTCGCAATTTCAAGTGTGTCGGACATTCTCACCGGAATCTCGGCTCCTCTATCCACGTGAGGAAGATGTGAGGAAGCCATGCACACCAATAGACAGCCGTACACCTGACGCCCACGACTATAAATGAATATCGAAACTGATTTCTGGTCGGCCATATGTGTAACGTCCTGCCTCCTTACCACGCGGTGGCACGGAGCATCTCAGATGTCAGGCATGGGATTTCAGCCATCTTCATCAAAGCCTGTTCATACTGCATATACAACACGCAATACACCATCGCCTGAGATAAAGCTCATGCTACCCCTGATATGCAAGACGCTACGGTTGCAGCACGGTAGCACTCTACGTGGTGAAACAGCAAGGAGAATGGGGCCGAGGCCATTCCGTTCCCGAGAAAGGGATTCGCCGATAAATCACGTCGGCAGCCACTCCAACATACCTACGAAGATGAAGCGGATTCCACCGTCGCATATGAGGGCACTCTGATGCATTGCGACCCAAGAGGTATAACCAGGACCGTCGCTGATCGGATGCCTGATAACACACAGCCAACCCAAAACATCGGCGCAGTAACCGAACACTGAAATGCTCTGGTCGGTGGTGCACAAGATGACACACTCTGAACCAGAACGCCCCTGGTGCCTTCATATCACACGGCCTCATCGCTACGAGAACGGAAACTTCGAGTTTTCATTTCTGGCTCATGGGAAATATCATGTTAATATCGTCAGAAAACGACACGCGAATCAAGATCCCGCCACGATAAACAGTATTGTGCGATGGGCGCATTTCTGAATATACACGAGGCCCCTTCGATGTACCGGCAGAGAACAACGATGCATCGCAACATCGGGGAGTCTCAAATCCTGTGAGGTCTCATTCATGTACCTCGATGCGTAGGGCTCGGTCGTGAGTACATAGTTGATTACTCTCCCGTCCTTGACGCTGCTGGACGCTTTTCGATCAAGGCTTGGACGCGTGGAAGGATCAAAGCCAATGTTCCAATGCTCTGTCTCAAGCGCATGTAATTTCAAAACAGAGACTGATCAGATGCCCGACAGAATATGTCAAAGACGGTATTATAAAACCACTGATGGCATGGACGAGTCAGTGTCCGAATCAAATCATAACATCACATCATAGGGCAATTGAGCCCTCGTAGTTGGGGATACGCGCTATTGCAGAGGAACGACCACGTGCAATTTGCGAATAACGCTCCGCTCAAAGAAGAAATTTGAACTGAACGTGGATCAGTGCGACTGTTGTACAACTGGTGTTGCATCTAGACCAACAAACTTCTCACCTGCTATCCGCCTTTTACCATTTTTCTGGCAGTGTAGGCTTACCCGGAGTGTCTTCATGTTTGGATAAAGACATGTATGGCGCGCTTACGGTGACCTTTGAGTCTCGACCGACGATGCCACGCAAGTATTCTCTTCGGACCCACAGTCCCTCATAACAGAGAACCATCAGAGCCGTATCAGCGTAAGTCTCCTTCACAAGCATCTCAGAGAGCTCAGAGTCCTCGCACCTTTGTTTTCAACAGGCGTCTCGCGTCACTTTGAACTCGCCCTCCGCAGAACCATCGAAACATCAGCGCCAGCGAACCGCGCGCATCCATTGAACCACTGCCACGAAGCGGCTCCCTCGTCAACTGCGGCACCTTGCGCACAACAGCACTCACGAGCTACGCGCTTCATCATTTCTCAGATCCATTGCACAACAAGCCTCTCCAATACCCTCTCCAAGACCACGCGCTCGCGCCTCCTCAAGAGTTCCTCTCAGATCCACCGAATCAATACCTCTTCTACGTGCATGATCGAGACCTCGGATCCATCACAAAATGACTGATTCATCGCTTCTCGGCACTCTCGAAGACCACCGTCTCAAGCCCTTCGCACGCCCCAATTACAAGAGCCAATTGGCCACCACAACCACGTCGTCTCAAGACGATAAGCTCGATCAGCTCAAACTCCAGCTCCGCGGTGCTTCACGCTCATCGAGCCGCCGCTCTGAGCTGGGCTCTCGTTCACCCTCGCTTCCACGCCTCCAAGACCCTTACCACACACGTATTCAATAACTCACTCGCTGCGCACCTTCTCAGAGCCCTCAGAATCAGACCCTTCTCCAAGACCCTCGCACCAACAACGAGGAGCTCGCTCAGTTGCGCGTGCAGCTCGCGGATCGCGACCGCCAGCTCGATCAGCTCAAACACTAGTAAATTTAATGGTTTTGATCCAATATTCTGTTTGTTATTTAGCATCCCGACACTTCAAATGAATGGACTCTCAGATTCAAACAATTGCTGTGCGCAAGAGTAGATCCTTTGTCTTATTTATCTGGGTCTCTGCATCATGTAAGAGACATAGACAGATGCCAATGGGTCTTGAATACTCACTCATGCAACTCACGACTCATCTAACTCGTGAGTTCTTGCACACGAGTTACGGAAGTCATGAGTACTCATGAGCATGGAACAGGGTCACCCCCGCGGCGACCCCAACATGTGAGAGTTTTTGAAATCCAGGATTGACCAATCGGATCGCTCGCTGGCCGCTCAACGTCACGTCCCAAATTCTCACCCCCTTTTCTTGTTTCTTCCTTCATTCCTTAACCAGGTACAACTAATCTACTATGGCTATATCTCAGTTTAGATGATGATGGTGACCTTACTTCACTTGCCCATTCTATAACACAACAAATCGATATATCCTCAACTCCTACGCTAATTCTTTCTAGTTCTAATAAACGAAAACGAGCTATTCGAGATACTACACTATGGTCATTTATACAGACATTGTATCAATTCGCCTAAGTCTTTTAAGTTCCATGCTGTTGTTCTAAACCTTATTTGTTAACGGTCTAGTCTCAGTTATTAGTACGCATCTTTTTCGTTAACATTCAGGCGCATAAGATGTAGAACAATGGTATGAACTTCAATGTCCATCGAATGCAAAGACGACCGATCGTAGTCGTAGAGACGAAATGGTCATATCATAACAATGCGCTTATGTTGTCGGATGACTAGATGATGGGCTTAGGTATTATTGACGCGACGACGCAACACGAGAACACGGTCGAGGAAGGGCAAGCAGAAGACCAATGTAAAGGGATAGAAAATCGAACGAAATCGAAAGAAACTTGAAAGTTGGAACGATCGTAAGACGATCATGTACAAGTAATGCAGAGGTGACAGAGACGGCTAATTAGTCGGAAGATGGCAAAAAGATCAAAGCTGAAGAGGTGAGAAACAAGATCGAAGGTCCAAAATCGAAAGATTTTGAAACAGCCATGAAATTATGCTAACACGACTGCATGAACATGCGAATAAGTAGAGACCGATGGAGACAAGACGAGCATTCGAAAAACGACGGGAGGCTGACGCTAGAGAATGAGTAACATGGAATAGAGAAACGATAATTTTAGAAGACATACATCCAATCGAGCTATTCAAAGACTTATACCAGATTAGTTGTTCGATAGGCAGAATTCCAGAGACAGGGACAACATCGAACAACATAACGAAAGATTGAAGAAGATGACGAATGGAAGTCGAATAATGTAACGAAATGACATCAAGCAATAATTAATAGACGAGAAGTATCCGAAATGTATTGACCCGATGACATATATAATTGCAATAATGAGACCTCCGAATGGAGCGAACAGAAAGGCAGTGCTGAGTATAACATATACACGTGTTGGCCAACACGAGAATATACCACCGGTCATGCTACACGCGATCACACAGATTCAAGTGATCAATCCGCCATGCCAATCAACCGATGCACCTCGGCTTGATGCATAGGCAGCATGTGATTGTAGAGATCCATATAGACCTCGATCTTGATGTCCCACATAGCGTCATAATCGATGTACTGCCGCATACTTTGACAGAGGTCTGGTAGATCGGGTGTGAACCATTTCCTTTCCATCATCCAGACTTCCGAGGGACACAACCGACGACGAGCGTACTCCCGAGTTGCCCAAGAGAATAGAGTCTTACATGTAAGACGAACAGTGAGGATATCAAAATGATCAAGGACGTCGACACATGTGCCTTCTTCATCCGAGGTTTGGTTACGGAATATGAGGTCGAGGATCTCATTTGGAAGAGAGATGATGGAAGCTCCGGAAGACCTGGATGGAGTCAGGCATCAGCAAACGAAAAGAAGATAGATGTGTTTGAGTGATGGGATTGGGTGTACATTTTTTTTTTGTGGAATGAAGAGTCTGGACGTTCAAGGCGATGATGAGATGTGGTGGATAGCCGAAAGAGGACGAGACGGTCGATTTATGACGACTGGCTTGATGAAAGACAATATATCGAGGTCGTGGTGTGTTCAAAGAGTCGACTGTTGATGAGACGATCGATTTGCGACAGACGGCTTGGTGAGACGGTTGGTTTGTGAAAGATGGCTTGATGGGAGGCGATCGATCGATGGAAGTTGTGGTTTGTTATTATCTTGCGGAGATGGTCCAATTCTCGGAGATGAATCGAAGTATGGGAAAGTAGTACGTGAGGCGTCAGTCTCGACAGCATCGCACCTTCCCAGACCCAGCTCTTTATTTAGGAACGTCATACCATCACGGTTTCGCGTGAAGCAGTTAGCCAGCCGTTCGAGCGGATTCTGTTGATATATTCCATGGCGACAAATCGAGTTGACGTCTCGATTGACACGATTCAATCGAATCGATCATCCAGTCGATTGTGATATCCTCGTAGTAATATGGTCCATCGAGAAGTTTGACTTGGCTGACTCGATTGAATCATTTGGCTCGACTGACATTTTTATATACAAGCACACCGACTTGAAGTTATCAATAGATAGAGTCACTTTGGAGCCAACACGACCACGGAGAGAAATGGACATGTACCGAGCACCTACTCAACGTGCATGGATCTCTGACGAATTCATCTAAAAACGATTGGATGTTGTCTCTGCAGCGAGGCGGCGAGATTGTGCCGAGCGGTCACAGCCATGCACGTTTTGCATACCAAGTGTACTTGCAAGTTGGACGCGCCTTCTCTCTTGATCACGTTCAAACTGTGTGCGATGTGACCAAACTTACCATCCCATGAGTAAGTAGCCTCTCAACTCTTGCATCGCTAGTTTCAAGACATAATACACGGGTCGGTACTACTGTTTTGCGAAAGGCGGGCGCATATTCTGGCCTTTATGATGTACGAATACGTCATAGCTCCGGGCATCTGCCATTAAAATCATATACAGTGACGAGGTTACCTGCACGCTACCTAGATTAGGGGTAATCCTCTCCAAAGAAAAGGTACAACTCAGACGACATCAGAACAGATACGGCAAGCCAGCATTCACAAGAATCATTAAATGCCTCGTGCGCATTTTCTGCAAGGATCCTCACACTATGGCGTAGGGAAAGAAGTCACTGTATGTGAAAAGCAATACGAATCCATCTTGTGGTATCACCAAATGGCCACTCACAGGCCACGTCAATTGAACTCTACCAGAGCAAAGAAGGAAATTGTGAATACACGCTAATCCATGTCAAAACGCCATGCAAAACCATAAGCAATGCAAATCTATAAATACAAAACAGTCACAGCATGTCAAGAATGCTGGTATAAACAACCCATTTACTCCACTTGTGCAACTTCCACAGCTTCTGCCATGACAGCTTCACCCTCATCTAATACCTCCATCACCCTGTGCAAACCTTCACACATCTCATCAGCATGTGCCACCAACAACAACTTCTCAGCATTAGCCTCGAGGCCGAGGTAAGTGGGGGGCTCGCGCTCGGGAAGTCCCTTGATCCAGGCTTCAAAGTCGCGCTTCATTGTACCGGTAGGCACTGTAAGACCTTGCTGCAAGGCATAGTTTTCTTCGAAAGCTGCAGGGGTGAGCACGGAGCTGACCAATTGAGATAGCACCGAGAAATCAGTAGCGCTATCGATCTTGCCACCGTAAGTTTCAGTGACTAGGATACGCAGAAGCGACCAAGGTATCGAGTTAGGGGCAATGTTTGAGCGATTACCGGCAACGGTAGTCATCCAGGTGTCGATGATAAATACAGAGCACTCGAAGTCGCTGTCATTGAACTCCCAGAAGCCGCTCCAGCCAAGGCGTGGTGCGTATCTCAGGCGTTCTTGTACAACAGCATGCAGGAAGGCGAGCAAGAAGTACACTCTAGCCTTCTCAACAGGCTGCTGCGAGCCGCTCTCCTTGAGCGAAGCCATAGAATCGCGCATATTGGCTCTGATACCTGCAGGCTGCTCATAACTTAGCACTCTTGACGCTCTCAAAAGGTTGACCGGGATCTTAGGCGAGGACTCCATCGACAAGAAGAGTCTGAAGTCAGGGTGAGGCTTGAGACTATCAATTCTCTTCTCAAGATTATGGAGCCAATGGGCAGCCAAGTGAACGTTCTTGACCATGACCCATGATCCTGTGGCTGCGGCGTTGGCAAGAGCAGCGTCAGCATTAGCCAGTGACTCATTAGAACCCATAGCTACGTTTGCGCAGCGTGAGGCGGTGCGCTCGACAAGTTGGTCGACCTTGTAACTTGCGTCGAAGCCAGGTGACGAGGAAAGCGCGATGGGTGTGTGGGCAGTAACTTCCTTGACAATGCGACTGAGGTCGCCGCTGATGTCAAGCATGGCTGTTCCAAACAAGGCAGTGATGAACACCTCAGCGGCGGGAACAAGACGATCGACGCGCAACATCTTGATGAGTAGAAGGTTGAGAAGTCTTCGATCTAGCTCGTTGTCGGTCTCTCCAAGAGTTGGTACGTTCTTCTCGGGGAACTCGGCGGATAAGAAAGTGTTCCACTCGTCTTCAGACACTTGACTAAGGCCATCCCTGAACTGCTTGATAGATGAGACGCGGGCCATGGCTTCGTCTTTGAGTTCAGGGCTGGTCGACAAATCTACACCCTTGACGTCCTCGTCCAATACCTTGTCGATCAGCGATTTGTCCATCTTCAAGGGAGATGCTTGGGCCAGAAGCATGGCGAAAGTAATGCGATCCTTCTGCAACAAAGTAAGCGCAGTACTGCGATAAGTGCTGATGAAGATTTCCTTGATGATGGCATCAACTCTGTTCTCGTGACTTCCAGCAGGTCTACTCTTGGAAGCAGATAGCACGTTATGGAAGATATCCACAAAGTATTGCAATGAGAACTGATAGAAGTGGTTGATATGGTGCAATTGGTCGAGCACAGCGAATATTGCTGAACATGATTGGGCAATGACATCGTACGACATGGTGATACGTTCCACCTCAGTCATGACACCATCAGTCTCGGCAGCCTTGACAGCGATCTCACTGGCTTCCTTCTTCAGTGTCTCAAGTGTTTGGATGACCTTGTCATCGTCGAGGATGTTGCCTTGGGACTCGTTGAGGGCGCGAAGAAGCTGCTTCTCGAGGTGACGGAGACGTAACCTGAATTCGCCTTGAGTCTTGACAAGGTTGGTACGTCTCTCATCAACATCAGGACGCTCGGACTTGAGCACATCATTGAGAGCTTGGGTGCGCAAACTGCTTTGAGTAACTGTAAAGTTGACGAAGGTTGTTCTGCTGCAGATGTCAGGCGCGAAGGTTGCTGAAGGATCTCTGGTAGTGAGATACAGACGGAAGGCAGGTGAGAAATCGATCTCCTGTCTTCCGAGCTGGATGAGCACACGACCACCAGTCTTTTGGTATTCCTTGTTGAGAACGTGGTTGAGAATGGGGTCGAGATGTTCGGCATCCTGGATGAGAATAGGGTTGCCGAATCGCAACGAACTCTCCAGCTGCTTGGTGAATGAGCTGTCAAGGAAACTTGTGACGGTCAATCTACGGTCCTTGCACTCATTTTGTAAGAACTCCACAGTGCGTCCCGAAGGATCGATGATCAGAGGGTATCTGTTGAAACGCTGGAGCATGATAGCATTCTCTGTGCAGAGATCATCAACAGGCAGCGAGTTCTGCTGCCATTGCAGTCTATCATCTGCAGTGGACAAATATTCTGCCATAGGGTTGTGAGGTTTGTGATGGATGCTAGAAGCGGCAAGCTGGAATGCCCAATCTTCAAGCATGGCCTTGCGGTATTGTTGATCATACAGACCACCGTAGGCGAGGAAAGCAGCCGCAAGGAAAACGTCACCAACAATGGTGTCCATCTGTGCGTCGAAAGACTTGCTGGTCTCTTCCCATCTCTCACGCTCGGACGAGAGATTCTTGATCAAACGCATACTTCGGTCAACCTTGCTCTGAACACGAGCCATCTCGCTCTTGATGGCCTCAACCTGACTGACCAGAGAGGCGTATTCGGTCTTGTATGTAGCAATGTTGTTGTCGAGCTTCTTGATCTCGGAGAAGATTGCTTGTGCGTTTGCCTTGGTTTGAAGAGCTTCCTCTTCAAGTTGGGTGACCTCTTCCCTCAGAGGGCCAACGCGGTCAAGGATAGCAGAGTAGGTAACCTGTGCCTCGACCCATTGAACAAGAGGACCGCATGCCTTACTGGCACGGTTGACACGCTCAAAGCTGAAGTCGTCCTTGGACAAGAACTCTCTCTGCATCTTGATACGATGGCTGCTGGTCATTTGTCTCTCATTATCATAGTTGACAATGCTGGCAATGAAATCATCACGACGGACGATAGACACGATAGTCTTCCAGTCAGGCGCCTTGTGACCCAGCAAGGTGCAGACAGACTCGAGTGCAAGCTTGACACCTGAAGGAGGGTTCTGCATAGAACGCACTTCAGTCAAGTGTTGCTTCTTGATGTTGCTGACACTCTTTTGGGCTTCGATGACGGCTGGCTCAGCCTGGGCGAGATCGTTGAGCACAACCTCTCTTCTTTCTGCGACAATTCTTTCTTGTTCGACCAGGGCATTTTGGACTTCGAGAGATGCAGCACGGCGAGTTTCTGCCTCGCGCTGATCGGCAATCATACGTTGCAACTTCTCATTGGCCTCTGCATCCTTTGTCTGCAGCTCGACGTTCTTCTCAGTCAAGCTCTTAGACATGGTGGAAACCTGGACTGTGGTCTCATGCAACTTGTCGAGACCAATGTTGAGATGACGTTGCTGCTCCTCCAAATCGTCACGCTTCTCGTTATAAAGCTTGACAAATTGAGACAGGAAGTCGAGGAAGTGGCGGGGAGTAAGATAGGTCGTCTTGTTTTGTTGACGCAGCAGTCTACCGTTGAACTTGTGCATGGAGTGGTGAACATGAACCATAGAGTTGACTACGGCGTCGCGGTGGGAAGCGGGAAGTTGAAGCTGTCTGTAGGCGACAGGGATGCTGTCAGGCGAAGTGTATGATGATCGGTCGAGGTCGACCGACTGTGTGAGCTCGTAGCCGACCTGGAAGAGTGCTTGGTCGGACCAGTCGCCAAACCAGTTAAGGACGCATCTGTTGAACAAAGCTGGACTGGTAGCTGCCTTCGACGACAGGCCTTCGGTGGGAGGATTCATGGTGAAGACAACATGCAAGTTTTGCACAATCTGCTGTGTGAACCACTTGTACAGCTCCTCTTGTGAGTCCAAAAGCTGGCCCTTGCTCTGAGCAGCTTCCTTGCAGGCAGTCATAAGAGAAGCAAATTCATCACCCTCGAACAGACCAGGAACTTCACCGTTTGCCAGGAGAGTGTTCATGCGCTCTAAGAAACCAGAGTCGAGAACATTCGATTCATCCATGATGAAGCAGATCTTCTCGCCCTTGACACCACATCTTCGGAGGACGTTTCTGAGGTCGTCATCGAAATCTTCGGCTGTGTACTTGCCATGGACCTTGATTTGGAAGACCTTGAGACCACTTGACCAAGCGACGAAGCGCGACAGTGTTGTCTTGCCACTACCACTGACACCGATGAGGATGAGATGTCCTTGTGGCTGTCTGAAGACTCTGTCGATGCGAAGGATGTGGTCAAGAACATCGTTGAAGAGGATCAGAGGTACATCAAGCTCCTCTTCACAGAATTGGCGCAGACGAATGCGAAGGTAGTCACGAAGCTGTTCGCGATCAACAGGCTCGTAGTGCTTTGACATCCAGGTAGAGTAGAGGATAGGACGCTGCAGAGCAGTGACCTCGTCAACATTGGGGAAGTGTTCAAGTGCAATTCTGTCGACTGCCTCTTCAGTCCATTGTCTTTCATCTTCAGCGATGAGTCTGTCGGAGAAGAGTCGCAGGGCTTCGTGGGCCCATATTCTGACCAACCCCTCCAGGCTGAGTGCCTCCAGAGGCTTGATGGCTTCGTACACGGCACGAACCCAACGAGTCAACTCACGAGGCGAGTAAACGTAGTGAGGCTGAATGTCTGCTGTGAATCGTTTCTGTGACTCCGAGTAGAGCTGGATCATAGCTCTTGTCAAGGCGTCTGAGTAACCACGCAATGAAGGAATGACCTTGAGCACAGCGCTGTTGAATGTGCCGTAAATTTGAGTAAGAGACAGCTCACCGGGATAGTCAACCATGATAAGAGGTGCATGTCTCAAAAATCTCAAACCAAGTGGTGTACGACCTGCATCAGTGGGAGGGTTACAGGCGCCAACGAATTGAATGCGCTCGAGACTGACCCAGGTCTTGGTAGCAGTACGCCAGAAACCACCATGTTCGACCATCTGGCGCAGGAACGAAATGACCCTCTGAGTGCCATACTTGTCAGGAGCAGGCAAGTTGATCTCATCGCAGAACAGCACAAGCCAGCGTCCGATTTGTGTAGGTGCGAGAGTGGTGCCGTTGAGTGTCTTTCTGTACTCGCAGTATTGTTCGAGAGTTTTGACAAGAAGCTCAGGGCTTGTGGCGCTGGAGAAGTTGAGGCCAACCACCTCGAGAGTGGGGAGCTTTCTCAAGGCGCTGAATAGAGTCATTGTCTTACCGGATCCAGGAGGACCACAAAGCAGGAGAGGTTTGTGCTCGGCGAGCCATGAGTAGAGCACATCCTCGTGACGGACAGTGTCGACAGTGGGAATGACAACATCGGTCTGAGTGATTGAGTGGGTGTTGACCTCGATAGAAGGAACTTGATTCTGCCATGGTACCCATTGCGACTCGGGAAGCACAACATCGTAGTCGATCATAGAGCCTTGGTCAACCAATGGTGGCAGGTCGATGGAGGCAAGACTTGCAACGTAATCGCCGAAGGTCTTGCGGTCGGTCAGAGGACAGTCTCCTACGAAAGACCAGATAAGTGCAAGGACAAGCTTCTTGGATATGAAAGACTCAATCTGTTCAAGCTCCAAGGGGAAGTCGGGATGCTGGACATTGTACTCAATGATCGATCTGCAGGCCTTGCGCAGAAGGGAGAATAGGGTAGTCAAGGCTCTGATTTCAGTGAATTCCATGATGTGGTTGTAGCCCTTGGCCTCGCTGAGAGCTTGTGTACAGAAGTTGTTGGTTGAAAGTCGTTCTTGTAGTAGATCGGCGACCTGGTTCTGTACAGCTTCCACTGCTGCAGCTGTCTGAGAAGTGAGAATGGAGTCTTCATCAAGATCATCGAAGCTAGCGCTGCGGAGCTCAGCCAGATGGTTCGAGATCATGAGTTCAGTAGTTACTGTGTCATCGCTGAACCAGACCATACCACAACGACTGACAGTGGCAAGGGTGGCATACTTGAGTGTCTCCACTTCAAACATGATTCGTACATTTGCGGGAAGATTGAGACGCTCACCGTTGGGCAGCGTAAGCAGCTTGTTGTCATCGAGGACACTGTTTAAGTTCTCAACCCATTCAGGATCAACATCTCCGTCGAAGATGATCCAGTGGCGTTTGCTGTCTTCACCTCTCAGGTTGTCGACAATCTTTCTGAGAATGCTAGTGAATAGACCATCGGTCCATTCGCGGGTGGTGGCGTCTAGGCTACCGTAGAGACTCTCCTTCGACATCACCTTAGGGTCGATGATATGGCAAATTCCCTCAATTCCATCAACACGCTGCAGAGCGGCAAGCAAAGTCTTCCAGGCAGTAGACTTGCCAGTACCTGAGCTACCAACAGTCATGACACCATGATGAATATTCTGGATTTGATAAAGCTGAAGCACTTTGGTCATCCAAGAATCGGTTGCAATAAGCTTGTTCTCGGCAGCAACGTCTCTGATGGCCTTCTTAAGATCAGCCAGTTCGGCTGGCACATACTGCACGCCAGGGAAGACCTCGTCTTCGACTTGACGCATGATGTCAACATCGGGACGGACAAGTTTAGGTGCGATAGTTTCGCGAAGACTTTGAACGATAATTTGAGGCTCGACGATCTCTTCTGCAAGTGTCTCTCCAGGGTGGTCCACCAGACGTGATCGCTTGAGACCACCAGAGCTGACAAGAACACTCTTCAGCGCACGAAGACCGAAATCGTAATGAGGCTGGTTCGACAGACTGGCGCCGCAGCGATCGAAGAAGGGAACCACTTGTCTTGACAAAGGCTTGGCCTGTGAGAAACCTTGGGAGTAGAGCATGACTTCCGCAATCAGCTCCTTATCAGGCTTGGACATGGCGACGCTGCGGAACAACTTCTTCAAGTTGTCGGGCAAGTTCGAACGACCAGCGTAGCCAGGGTTCATGGTGATGAACAGGCCAGTGTTCTGATGCACGATAAGCTGGCGTCCAATAAGCTCGATCTGTGCCTTCTGTTCGCTCGTGCTCTTGCGCAGACCAAGCTGGATGTTCTGGATCTGCTGTGAAACGGCAGACAAGATACGCTCTTCCAGTCTGTTGAACTCATCGAAACATCCCCATGCACCGACTTGGGAGATACCGAGGAAGATTCTGCCCATGGCTTGATAGTCGAAGGTGTCGTCACAGTTGAAGACCAAGGTGAAACGTCCGAGCTGGACACCAAGTGCTTTGACGGATTCAGTTTTGCCAGTACCTGCGGGTCCATATGGCGAACCACCAAGTCTCTGGCAAAGAGCTTGGGTAAGGGTAAGGAAACAGCGATCTGTCAGAGGAGTGCGGACAAGACGGTCGGGCACGCCCAAATATTCGAAACCGTACGCAAGAACAGCATTGGCCATCTTGATCTGAACACGGTCCAGTAGCTCGGCTTCCGGTTGATATTCGTAACGCATGGAAAGAAGCCAAAGGTGGTGAGTAGGAGAGTCGGCACCTGCGTTTACGAGCTTTTCTACGGTATCTCTCTGATGGACGAATTCAGTGATCAGGTGCTCACACTTTTTCCTGTAGAGAGCATCCAGGTCACCAAGGACCGAAGCAGCGAGAAGACGCAAGACCTCAACCAAGCGATCAAACAATTTCGGCAAGGAAGCGCCGCCTTCGCTGAGGGCTGTACCGACCCACTTTGTCCAGCATGCTTGTGTAGCGAGCACGACAATTTGACCGGGATAGTCGTTGATGAAGGCTTCCAAAGCCGAGCCGTCAATGATCTCTTGTCCGGCGAGCTCCTCAAAGGCATCAAATGCTTCCGTGAAAGACTCAGCAAGCGTCTCCCTCATATTCGTCTCTAACGCACCAAGCCATTCGTTGACTCTGGGTGTCTTGGCGAGAGATACGATCTTCTTGAGCATGACCTGCTCTCCTTCTCTTGATGTGATACCGGTAATGTTCGCTTCTTCATCTGTAACGACACCGGAGATACCAGCAAACATCTTCTTCAGATGCTTAGCAATGCGCAAAGTGTCATTACTGTTACCAATAATCTCGAGCAGGTCCTCGTCTCCAACGAAGTAGAAGCGAGGGAACGATACTCTCTCGCGTTCGAGGTATTCTCCAAGAGCTTTCTGGATTCTGTTAAGCTGATCGGCTAAACGCTCAAGGGATTTCTGTACGCCAGGTATGTTGAGAACATCAAGCACCAAAGGTGACTTGTAAACTTTCTTTAGCACTGCTAAGAACTCGGTGTTGATGTTGTTGAAGCGGTTGGATTCCATAGGAAGAAGAGTTTTGATATCAACGTTGCCGGTGAAAACACCCTCGAGATAGACCCATTGGCGTTGTACGTCAATCCATACGTCGAAGAGGAGATGAACACGGTTGAGGCGCTCTTCCCAGCTAGATGCGTCTTCCTCGAAGACCTTGTAGTAGGGTGAATGGCGCATTGCCTGGAGGGAGTTGAGATGTTCACTGCACTTGGCAAAAAGATCATCCCAGCCGCGGATCAGTCGGCAGCGGTTCTGGTAGTTCACCAGCTCCAGAGTGTAGTTCTGCCATGTGTCCTTGACTTGACGCAAGAACTCTTCAAGTGCCATTTCACCTTGGGCTTGCGTGATGACATCCCTGATGATGACCTCGCTGGGTCCAAGTTGCAAGTCCCAGATGTCTCCTAGTGTCATTGAGATGGACGAGTAACGTTGCGATGGTCTGAGAGCCTTGAAGATCTTGATCCAATGTCTCTCCTTGACGGCATCTGATCGCAGGTCAGAGAGAATAGGGTTGACCTTGAGGAGCCCACGAAGGACGCCAAGAACGTGCTCAAATGCTGCGTATTGTCGCATTCTGCTGGGCATCTCCTTGGTCATCTGGATAAGCTTCTCAAGTGATTGACGAAGCTTTCTGGGTTGAATACTGGTCCATAGCTGCTCACGAAGTTCGTTGAGTCCGTCCCAGACCATCTTCAAATTAGCCCATACAGACTTGAAGTCTTGGACTTCTTCAAGCAGCGAGGCAAGACCATAGTCAGCGCTGGGTGGTAGATTAAGCGCCTCTTTGGCTTTGGCGACCATTTCGGATTGTTCATTCAGTTGTGCAAAGCCGGTCTCAAATTCGGCCAGAGTTGACACAGCTTCCTCAGGTGGAATAGTACCGGAGACAGGCTTACTATCATTCCAAGAAGCTGTCATCTCGGTAATTCTTCCAGCAACGACTCTGTCTTCTGCAACAATCTTGGCCTTGAGAGCATCTGTTTGATCCTCAATGACCTTACTCTTGCGGTCCAGAACCTGGTTTAGTGCGGTCCACTCGCCGTCGATTTGCTCAACGTAAAGCCAGTCGGTAGGGAACTGGTATCTCTGTCTGATGAGGGTCTTCTGTCCATCACGGAAAGTGTTGACTTCTGGCTCCCACGACTTGACCTTGCGCTTACATTGTTGGACAGTCGTGATGAAAGTAACAGCCTGAGCGGTAGAAGAGGCTTCCAACGATTGGCCTTCAAGCTCCTGTCTGGCCTTTTGAAGTGCAGCAAATACTTCAGACATGCGGTTACCCAGCCTCTGCGCAAATTGAGTACGCAACTCATGTTGCCACTGATCGTACTTAGCGTTGACTTTCAGTTGGACTTGCTCGTACTCGATGGTGAGATGATCGAAGGAGCGGGTCGTCTCTGTGGTGTCGAACGTCTCACGTTTCTTGCGAATCTCAAGCAGAAGCTGCAGCCACATAGCGAGGTCTTCGCCTAGGTACTCGTATACCTGTTCAGATTGCAGGTCCCACAAAGACTGGAATTGCAGCCATTGGTCGACATAACCTCCGATTACAGAGATCTTGTCTTCCACTGCGTTATAGGCATTTGACAGAGGATCAACGCACAATAATGGCAAATCAGAGAAAGTGACAGCGACGGGGTCTTGGTTGAAGCTGAGAGCAAGCTCGAATCTCTCTGCCTGGATCTTTGGCAGACTGCAGACGATGCTGAGCCAGTTGTGAAGATGCTGGAGCCATGTAGCTCTTGCGCTTTCGAGTGGGGGATCGAGATAGATTGACTGATTGCGCATGGCCATTTCGTGCATGCAAGGCTCGAAATGGGGTACGTCACGATCTTGCTCAGCATCCTCATTGTCGTCCTCGTCATCTTTTTGAGCGGCGAACACACTTATCCATTGCCTCAAAGCGTGTTGCAGGCGAGACAACAAGACAAGCTGAATCTTCTGGTTGGTCTCGGCAACCCACAAGGACAGGTTAGAGAAGCCCTTCAAGTTGAGCTGGTCGACAGATTTCTGAATGATATCGATTTGTTGTCTGAAAGCTTCTTGAGCGTAAGAGCATGTTTCGAGTTCTGTGAGCGCGGTGTGAACGGCAACGTTGATTGACGAGAGAAGCGATGTCTTCTCTTGGAGGTCACGGATTGCCTTGGCAAAATCTCTGATGAATTTGACGTGCTTGCTTTCTGTTTGGTCTGAGGACCCGGTAGGCATTTGACGAACATTGACTTCGTAAGCACCGGAAAGACTGTCCCACTTCAAAGGCGTACCCTTTGCAATAAGTGCTTGCACTTCACTTCTGACGCCATTTACAAGGATTGAGACTTCGGGCATGCTGTCAATCACGTTGATGGTCTGAGCGTATGTGTTGACACTCTCCATCAGACTGACAGCATAGGGATAGACGCGTCTGGCTTCCTTCGAGGTGTTGTTGATCGCATGAGGGATGGTGAATTTCTGCCATTGCAAATTGCGGACTTCCTTGAACAAGGTGATGACTTGGGCATCAAAACTCACACTCAACTCGAGAATGTTACCACTGGCACGGTTGCGGCTGATAGCAAACAATCGACCAGAGACGGACAGCTGTCGGCGGTTGACATCTCTCAGCCATTCGTCAAACACAGGCTTGACGTCAAGCTTCTTCCTGAACATGTTGCTTTCAGTCTGAAGCTTTTGACCTTCAACGTGGAGAGCCCAGTCTTTGCCGAGGACGTCTTCAACTTTGCTCATGTAAGCATTCAGTTGACGCTCAATTTGCCTCGTGCGGATGATGGCGCCAGAGACAGGAGGGAGATCACGGAGCTGTGCCATTGCATGTGTCTCGGTATGGCCGTACGGGTGCATGAAACGCTCTTGTAATGCCGCAATATCGTTCTTGACATTTCCAATGAGCTGAGTCTGGTACTCCGAAATGGCAGATCGAATCTTTGGTCTGACGAAGAGAGCGTTGAACTTTGAGAAGACGCGGAACATCTCGTTCGAGTTCTTAGCAAGTGCCAGGCGATCTCTCAATCGGGCAATGATTGAGTTCTCCACGCGTGAAGTGCGCTCGTTGTATGCGGCTTCGGCACGCACCCAAATGCGAGTACCCTCTTCGGAGACATCAAGAACGTCTACGTCCTTGAGAACAGAGTAAGCCTGCGAAATCTCGTCGATCGCGTCGACATCGCCCATCTCCTCGATGATGACAGGTCCAGAGACACCGTCGTTGTGGATATTATCCTGGTCCTCGCCCAATACATTGGCTATAGTGTCGCGAAGCTGCTCGTGATTGACGCGGAAAGTGTTGATATATCTTAAGCGATCTTTCGTCTGCTTGTGGCGTGAATCGATCTTGATAGGAATGAACTTTTCACCTCTGCGCCGGATGACTTCTCTTGCAGCATTTGCAAACTCCTTGAAATTGTCTTCCCAAATGTCCCAGATCTTGTCTGTTGCAGCCATAAGATTTTGAAACTCCGGGAAATCTAGATGCATGAGACTGCGGCCGTGGAGAAGTTCGTGGAGTCTTGTGTCAAGATCGCCAGAAATGGCTTCAACCAAGGGTAGAGCGCGGCGAATAGGATATGCACATACTCTCAGCTTCTTGTTGATGTGTTGGAAGACCTGGTCGAGTGCTTCTTGGATTTTGATCAATGTCGCCGCAGCGAGCAGCTCCTCTAGTGGAAGTTCTCGCATGAGCTGATTGTACTTCTGGACTTTGTCGGCAGCCTCTTTGAAACCTGTATCGGCGTGGAAACTGACAGCGGTGGCGTGACGCTTGGCCTGACTGAGCACATCAAGAGACAGACGTACAGGATCGCTGTTTTGTTGACGCTCGATGCTGTCTAGTGCCGACTCCATGGATAACCAGAAGTTCTTCTCCTGCATAGCCGTACCAGTGCTAGGATCGCGGGAGCGCTGGGTACTCTCCTGAATGGCCTTGATCCAGCCATTGACGGCGGCCTGCAGATTGTTCAGGAAGTGTGCGTCGTTGAGCAGTGACTGTGGTAGATGTGCTGACGTGGGCTTCTCGCTACGTGAGGCAGCTTCCTCGACAGCGGCTTGAATCACAGGATGAATTGGCAGATGCAAGTCGGGCACATCGATGTTTTGCTGTAGGTTCCTCAAGCTGAGTTCAAGCTCAGCAATCCTCCTCTTTGCTCCAGGGATACCAGTGCGAGACTCGGCATCCGTGTGCTTGGTGTATGCATGATTTGATTCCTGGCTCTTTGTGCAGGCATCGAAATAGGGGGCTAATGCGAAATGGACGAGAGAGTGAAGGGCTTCGAAGGGCGAGGCGGATGAACCAGCGTTGGGGTTGGTGGATAGAGAGGCGCCTGCACCGGGCAGGTTAATTACGGACAGCTGACTGCTGATGGGGACTGTGGGTAGAATGGGTACTGGTCGCTTGAGGATGGCGACACATGATGCCGTCGAAGGGGTGTATGTGAGTTTGGAATCGAGAAGGTACGTCGACTGGGTGGATACAACTAGTTGTGGTCAGCATTCGGACGTTAGATGCGTCGAAACCACTCACGAGCATCACCGTCTCCTTGAATGTCGTCGATTGCGTCCAGAGCCTCTTGCTGGACGTAGATGGCGACCTGGGCCTCGGACGCAAACCTCTGACAGCGTATCAGTGTCTCTGGTAGGTTCGCCGGACTCAGGAAACTGTTGTTCGCTTCCAGCTCCTTTCGTGATGCGCCCAGGGTGACATGAAGGACGGATTCGAGATATGAGAGGATCAACTGCGGGTCTATGGTCGATGTGGCCGGCGGAGCTGGAGATACAGGTCTTCCAATGGCCGTTCCGTTGGTGGCCGGGACCAAGGGGTCCTCCATTTCAGTTGTTGGTCACTGTGAGGGAATCCGACATGGGCGCTGAAGGACGTTTCCTAAAGTGTTGCTGCGCGCCGGAACTGCGATGAGGATAGGATAGGAAGTCGCAGATTTGTTGATTTGAATATTGTGGAAGGAGCGCAGGTCGACTATTCACTCGCCACTTCCTAATTGCGAGCTGTGCAGAGTTGATGGCAAGTGAATGATTTGTCTATTTGAATGATTTGACGCGCCGCCGCAACCCCACAAACACAAGCCTCAGGCACCGCCACAGTTGTCTCGGTGTGTTTCATGTTGCTCGTGCTCTCCCCGTGTGCTAAACTTTGTCACTTCTAGCCATCTCCCACGGCCACCGGGGGTTGTTTGACGCGTAGAAATGCATGAAGTTCTCGACATATGTGTAGTCGTCCACGGAGAGGCTCTGATGGTCATGATCTGAAGGGAAGTTACATACGAAAACATGAAAATCGTGCAATTATGCACTTATGCCCGTGACAAAGTTTAGCACAAGGGGAGAGCTGGATCGAAAACACGGGATAATAATGATGTGCGCCTCACTCAAAAACCTTAATCATCGTCTGCACGTAGACACATCACTGTGCTAACGATTATCTTTCACTTTCAAAAATTGTAGCTCTGATGAAAGATAATACGTATGTCGGAGAAGTGAGAAAAGAGATGGTACTGAATGACTTGGCAGCCGTTACGCCTTGATCGCACCAAGGACAGAATCCATATGGTCGTTCTCTCGTCTCCTCTTTGTTTCCGGTGACCCCTCTACCTCGTCAAAGCCTCGCTTGCCATTCTTCTTGGACCTGGCAGGAGAAATCGCTAGCTCTGTATTTCTTGCTCTCTCAATATGTTCCTCTGGCGGTACAGTGGGGAAGGGCGCAAGCCGATCAGAGATGTCACCCCACCACTTCCCACCGTATTTCCTGTACCAGTCGACTGTGGTACTGAGCCCATCTGCAAATGTCGTGTTTTGTTGCCAACCTAGTTGCTTGAGCTTTGATCCGTCGACTGCGTATCTGTGGTCGTTGAATGGTCGGTCCTCGCAATGAACAACATGCTTGTAGACCTCTTCTTTCGTCTCGTTGGATAGCCCAAATTGTCCCAGCAACATGGAGCAGAGCGTGAAGTTCGAGATTTCATCTGAAGAGCCTACATTGTACACTTGACCGACCTGGCCCTTGTGGAGAATCGTATCGAACGCGTCGGCGGCATCGCCAGCATAGAGGTAGCGTCTTGTGTGTGTTCCGTCGCCATGCAATGAAAGCTGCTGGCCTCTCTGCAAGAGCATGGAAAATTTGGGGATGACTTTCTCCGGGAATTGGTGTGGCCCATAAACGTTGTTGCTTCGCACGACAATGGCCGGCACCTGGAAACTCTTGCGATATGCTTCCACGTACATCTCTGCCGCTGCTTTGGACGCTGCATACGGATTGGTTGGAAGAAGAAGCGCGTCTTCCAGTAGGTCTTTGCCGTCGTCCTTGACTTCTCCATAGACTTCGTCAGTGGAGACGTGGATGAACTTGTTGACCCCATGATATTTGACACACTCAAGCAGAGCGTGTGTGCCGACGACATTGGTACTGGTGAAGTCGTTCGAATTGCCAAAGGATAAGTCGACATGAGTTTGAGCAGCAAAGTGCATTACGGTGTCGACATTATGCTTTCGCAGGCAGTCCATCACGTCTTCACGCTTTGTGATGTCGCCCTTGTAAAAAGTGAAATTCGAATCTTTGTCTAGCTGCGCTGTGTTGTTGAGTGTCGCGCAGTAGTCCAGCTTGTCGAATGAAATGATGTTATAGTGTCCGTGATATGTTCTGGCGAGGTGCCTGACGACCCATGATGCGCTGCAAATATTAGTAACGGCTCCGAAATGACATTATTGCTAAGATAGCTATATTGCTCACATGAAACCAGCACCGCCTGTGATCATGATGTTGTTAACATCGGATTGAGGCTCAAACCGGGTGGTGCCCTGCAGAAAGGGAGCATCTTCCCAGACAGAAACATGATCTTTCAACGCTAAAATATGATTAGTTAGGGTATGGTCTTCTGCTTCAGTAAACCCACTGTCTGATGTAATTGAGCAAGGCATCTTTGAGCAGAGCAGAAAGGTGCAAACTCAAGAGAATCAGAGCAAGCAGACATCAAGATATGAATAAGTGAAGGTACAGCCTTCCTTGCGTCGCGAAGAGATCAAAGGAATTCATCATACATTCAGCGGTGTGGAAGGAATCCCTTCTGTGACTGCACTCATACCTACGAGGCATGAAAGCACTCGCATGACAAGGACCGGTGTGGAGGGCTTTTCGTGGAGGAAGGGAGATGGTCACCATCCTCGACAAAACATCTGCGTAGTGGAAGGGCTATTCTCGTGGACCGTTTATTGTAACTATCGTTCGCGTTGCAAAGGGAAGAGGCTTGAAACGACACCAGAAGAGAAACGTCCAACGGCGAATTCGTACACTCTGACGTTTGCCATTGGATCTTCAAAAGATTGTGGTGTGAAAGGAAGGCGCAATCTTCCGGCAAGGCACCTCGCTGTCGGTTGATTTGGGTCAGGTTTTACCGACGCGTTCTTGGTCTGTGCGCGAGACCAGGAATGAGAACATGGGCTCAAAGTTCAACCCTCTCCCAGAACCACGGCAGGGTCGTTTTATATCTGTAAAAATGCAAGATGATTTTCAGGCAGGGCGAGGGGTCCAGTGAGAGCGTGATTCTTCGTTCTAGTTATCACTCCTATCCTCGCTAAGTAAAAAACCAAGGGCTCAAAATCCGCCCTCTCCCGGCACCACGGCAGGCTCATTTTATATCTGTAAAAATGCAAGATTATTTTCGGACAGCCTGAGGGGTCCAGTGAGAGCATGGCCACACATTCTGATCATCATTCAAATTTTGGCCAAGTCAAAAGTCATCAGGGGCTCAAACTCAGCTCTCTCTCAGCGGCACGCTCGACGCGATTTGTCTGTAAAAATGCAAGATGATTTTCAGATAGTGTGAAAGGTCCAGTGAGAGCATGATCACACATTCTGGTCCTCATCCTTTTTTTTTTTTTTTTGGCTAAGTCAAAAACACGACATGGTTATTTTCTCTGAGTCAAAAGGGCTCAAACAAGGGCAGGCACGCTATCCCAAACTCCGTGCTAGGCTTGATTTATATCTGTAAAAATGCAAGATGTTTTTCGGGAAGGGAGGCGGGTCCAGTGAGAGGTTTGACATAGTCGTTTTTGGGGTTCACAAATACGTCTGAGATTATTGTTTTTGGGGGTACAGTATTTTTTTTGTGTTTTCTTAGATAATTATGCTAGTAAATCATTCCCGAAATGTCATTATTTCCCATAGCTACTTACTCCGAAGTAGAATCTTCATCGCCATCATCGGTAGGCTCAAAAGTCTTGAGCAATTCTTCAATTGTCATGCGCTTATGACTCGAGTAGTTCCAGAAGGTCTGCATTCGACATCTTCTTGCAGTATTCATGAACGTTTTGGATCTCATTGTCTTTCCTGAACTTGATTCCGTTAATCTTCGTGTCGATGGATCCAGCAAGGGTCAAGTTGACAAATTCAGTATCTTCTTTCTGACCCATGCGGTAAACTCTGCAAAAAGCCTGTTCTTCGCCAGCCGTATTCCAGTATGGGTCTGTGTTCAGAACGTATCGAGCGCATGTCAGGTTCAAACCCTCACTTCCGGTTTGTAGAGTTGCGATGAGGATACGAGTTTCAGGGTCTGTCTTGAACTTCTCGATATTGACGTCGCGAGTTTTCTTGTTCAAGCTGCCGTGGAGAGTAGTGTATCCCCACTTTTCCTCTTCACACATCGTGGACAGGATAGCGAGAAACTTCTTCCATTGGCAAAAGATGATGATCTTGGCCGTGTCGTCTTGCATCAGCCAATCCAGGATCTGGCTTTTGGCGGCCAGAGTCTTTGCAGAAGGCAGGAGTTTTCCTTCTCCATCCAGCCAAGGTAGCGGTTGCTCGGTGGTCGGGTTCGTCAAGATATCAAGCTTGATCTTTTTTCCACAATGCTCGACACGACAGGTTGCGTGGTCACGGTTCTTTCTTCTTGCTTTATCGATCCGGTCTCTGAGATGCGATAGACAATAGAGATGACCACACAAAGTAATTCTGGGGTCAGAGGCTGGGTTGTTGCATTTGCAGCATAATTTTGACTTCTCTGAGTCGACCTTTTGTGTAGCGTTCTGTAGATTGTTCATGAATGCAGAGTTGTCGATGTTCTTCCCGTGAGCGAGGCCAGTGCCTAGGGGCTCCAGGTTTGTGGCGATATTTTCTGACTGTATGATGTGTTCAACACCACCAGGGCCTTCGGTTCTGTCGGAAATGTCGTCGGGAAATTCCAGATCGCCCGGCTTGATACCATCGAGGAGCTTCTGCTCTGTCTCCTTACGTGTTTGCGACATGAGATCTCTAAGCGCGTGAATCATGCTGATTCCGTCAATGCCCGATTTTTGCTCCTCTTTGACAACTTTTTCGAACTTGTCAAAGTCTTCCTTCTCGAGCCAGGGACCGGCCGTCGTTACAGCGATCATCGGGTGGGATGTCAGCTGCCTCAAGAGATTCATCTTAGTGACAGCGTTGGACCTCTTCGATTTCGACGCCTTGATGATGGTTACGAAACGATCGTCGATGATGTCGTATAGGGACTTCTCGATCTTCGTAGGTTGTACGATGAACGACGAGTTTTTGGGCGTGGGAATTGTGAACAGCTTGGCGTTAAACAGTGTGTCTGTCTGGGTGAAGCCTTGTATGCTGTCAATCATCTCCTTCGGAAGATGATCAACCGTGTCGTTCTTCTTTCCCCAACAGAATTGCTTCTTGAATTCTGCGTATGTCATCTCACACGCAATAGGAAGACCGATGAACCTGAAGAGAGAGTACAAGTCCTTAGTCCCGTTGATCATCGGTGTACCAGTCAACGCCCACTTGAAAGTAGCATCGAGGTTGAAACTTGCCTGCGCTACAAGAGTTTTCGGATTCTTGAGGCGATGGGCTTCGTCGATAACAACTCGGAGAAACCCAAATTTGTGGAGGTATCCTATGTCTTTGTAGTGGTTCTCCCAGATGTAAGAGTGTTTCTCTGACTCCAAAGTGCCTGTAGGGAATTTGCAACTCGGCCAGCTGGTTTGAAGTTGATGATAGGTGCAAACCACAATGTCGTAGAGATGAAGGTCGTCTGGGTCCTTGATAGCGTCGCTGAACTCTAGGACATTGCCGATACCCCAATTGTTGCGGCTTGTCTCTCTCTTGCTGTGTTTGGTGATCTCCGATCTCCACTGTGCGCCCAGTGGTCCTGGACTGCATACGACTAGCGTAGTATGACGGGAAGATGCGTTGAGTTGAGCTTTCAGCGGTCTTCCGTTGACAATGTTGGCGATGCTTGTCACGGTCTTGCCGAGACCCGGCGCGTCCGAACATATGCCTCCTCTACATACCGAATCGCCAGTCTCCACAGCTCGCATTCGGCCCGCAGATATGACCTGATGGGCCTTGAGCGGTGTAACCATCCCTTCGACGAGGAACCCGCCAGTCTTGGCGTTGATGGCTCTGTTGGTCTTGGTATGACCTGCCTTGCTTGAAAACGACTGCATTGCGATTTCGAGTCTCTTCGTGTCGCGCTTAACTTGAGCATTTTGTGCAGGAGTGCCAAGAGGGGCGTTCTTGATTAGGCCACTTAGAAGATCCTTTCTGGTTGCCTGCTCAATCTCCTGCTCTGTGGCCATCTCTGCGACATGATCGACATCTTTCCAGAATCTTGTGGGACCAGTAGGATCGACGGGGACCGGTACATGAACTCGGCCTGCGTTGTTTCCTGATCCCGTTAACTTGTGTCTCTTTCTTGATCTGCTGCTTGATGGCACAATACCATTCTCGCGATCCAAAACCTCACCCGAAGCGATACGCTTACGGGTCTTTCCATCGCTCTTGCGGGATGCATAGGTGTCCCATTCCATTATGTGCGCGTCCTGGTGGGTCACACTGTCGTGACCAGGATGACTCTTTTGATGTCTTTTCACACGGTTTTGCAGCATGACCATGTTCATCTCGTCCATCGGAGTGGCCACTCCAAGCTGCACTTTCAGATCATAGATCCTCTGTTTCATGTCGAAATCGGTCTCGGGATCGTCGGCATTCTCTGAACCCATGTATTCGTTGATGTCCATGTCTTTGTCCAGGCGCGGGTCGTCTTCAGGCTCGGTCTTGATAGGGTTTTCGGATTTGGGTTCGTGGTCCTCGTTAGAATACTCTTGGTCAGGTTCGTCCTCAACGACAATGGACTGAATGCCGTCAGGGATGTCGAACTTCTTGATTTTACGATTGGTGAAACTCATGACTGGGCAACGATTAGCATGATCTCAAAGACAGTGTGCGAGATTGCAAAGAGCTGCTGCAATGCAAATTTGTTCTTGAGTCTGATCGCTCCTCCAGTGAGAGTTGATGGAATTTCAGTTCTCAGTGGACATACGCTCAAATCCGAATACGACTGTGCATTTTGATGTGCTACTCTGGGAGTGGGAGCTGGAGCTGGAGCATGGGCAGGAAATGGGAGTTGATGTGAATGGATTTGGGGCTCTCGGTGGACAATCTCTCGAATGCGAATACAATAGTGTATTTTGATGCGCTACCCAGAATGCCAGGCGCTGGCGTGAGAGTGGGAGAGGTACTTACTGGAGTTTCTTGGGCTGATTTGAAAGGTTTGATTTGTAGATTTTGTAGATGTCGATATGGTCGACGAGGTGATGCGCAGAGACTGTATCACTGACTGCGAAGCCTGAGTGAAGTGATAGAGTAGCTCTGTGCAAGGGTGTGGTGTGATGGTATGTAAATAGATGAAAGGTTGTTGTCGAAGCTGAGGTGGATGTTGTTGTAGAAGAGAGGGTTGTTGTGGAGTGGGAGAGGTTTATATAGTGCAGTGGGGCTCCGCTGAGTGACAGCGAAGCTTGAGTGAACTGATATGAGAGTGTGATGAAGAGAGATGATGTTGGATGAGATAGTTGTCGATATTGTTGGAGTGGATGTTGTTGTAGTGGAGAGGGTTGGTCTGAGCCGGAGGAAGGTCTTAAATAGGCCAGCAGCGCTCAGTCGAGTGACTGCGAGGCCTGAGTGAAGAGATTGATGTACTTGAGTAGATACTGTGTGATGTGAGGCGATAGATGAGAAGGTAGAAGAGGTGGAAGGTGGATGAGGTGGATGAGGTAGAAGGTTGATGTTGTGGTAGAGGAGAGGAAGGATGGTGGACTGAGAGAGGGTTTATATAGGCCGACGGTGAGGTCTGAGTGAAGTGATATATCAACCTCGATAGCGAGGTCGTGTGAGCGGTCGACAGACACTGGACTGTATTACTGCACTTGACCAAGGAGAATGATTGAAAATATTTGTTTGACGAGAAGGATATAAACTGGGGTATCAAGGAGATAATAGTGGTACATTAGAAGGTCAGGAGGAATGGCAATCGCAAGGACGCTAGTTCAGAAACCCAAGAAAGTCGAAAAAGATAACAAATGAAAAGCAATTTTAACCAACCAGATCTCCGGATGCTGGATAGAACCAAGCACTGACTGCAATGATGATATATGTAGCCATCAGCAGGATGCCTTCAAGCCAATGACTCTCGCCATCTTGAATGAGGTAGTTGACCAACAACACTGCAATGAACAGTACTGCAACTTGGAAGCCATCAAAGTCGAGAGTCATAGGATCGTTGCCGAGACCGCACCAACTGATGACAACCATGAGAGGGAGAACGAGCAGAGCGATTTGCATACTGGATCCGACAGCAACACCAATTGCAAGATCCATCTTGTCTTTGATTGCGACGGTGACAGCGGTAGCGTGTTCTGGATGATATTAGCATTGTTACAATCTAAACGTGGGAGGGACGAGTATTTACCTGCAGCGTTTCCGACAATGGGAACCAGAATTAGACCGACGAACTCCTCAGAGATGTTACCATGTTCAACGATGTAGTCAATGCCGCTAACCATGAATTCAGAGTTGAATGCGATGAAGACAGTCGCGATAGTCAGAGTGACCAGGGCACCGATGACGGAGAGAGCTGGGGTCTCTTCTTCTTCCTCTTCATAGACAAGGTTGGACTGGTTGACTTGACCGCCGGCTGAAGCAGCAGTACCGGCACCGATACGAGCAAGGCCCATGAGAGTGTCTCCCTTCTCTCTAGCAGATCCCTTCTTCTTCTCAGACTTCTGACTGGGTGTGTTGTAGATCTCAACATGAGTCTTGAGCTGGAATGTCAAGTAGGCCAGGTAGACAAGAAGCAGAATGACAGAGGTTCCTCGAGAAATGGGTCCGACACCTCCTTGGGGGTTGTTGCCGAAGCGCTGGAAGGCGGTAGGGATGATCAAAGATCCAATAGAGACAGCAAGCATACTGGAAGCAGTTTGGGCGACGGTGATGTTGAAGTGCTGGGTGACGCGGTTGATACCACCAAAGAAGAAGCACATACCCAAGACGAGAAGCAAGTTGGAGAGCATACTTCCGATCAAGGATGTTTGCACAATGAGAATCTTGTTTTGAGCCAGAGCGATGATACTGACGATTAGTTCGGTAGCGTTTCCGAAACTGGCGTTGAGCAGACCTCCAAGTGTTTCTCCGACATACAAGGCGAGTTCCTCAGTAGCAAAGGACAGCATGGCGGCAAGGGGAATGATGGCGATGAAGTTGACAATGAAGACAGCATAACCATTGGCGTGCGAGTATCTGAGGGCGAAACCAATGGGCACGCAGACCAGAAGGACGTTGACCCATGAACCCAGGATGGTGGCCTTGAACTGACTGACGATACTGATCTTGGGTCGTCTCTTCTTGGTGTCACCAGTATCTGAGCGTTCGAGGTCGGAAGAGTCGGTCTTGGTGCGGTCGGGCTGGCCAAGCAAGTTCATAAGAGCCAGTCGTTTACGGGGTTTGTGTTCGGACTCGGTGTGAGGCTTCTCAGACATGGATCGAGAGTTGTCGCGGTCCAGCGGTATGCTTTCCTTTTCCTTGGATGGTTTGATGTCTGATTGGCCGACGAGAGTTCCATTTGATGTGGGTGCGTCGGAGGAAGCACTCGAGTCTGGCGGCGCTGTGTTGGCATGGTGTGGGTAGGCAAAGTCGGCATTGTCTACGTTGCGCATGTCGTTGCGCCTGATGCTGCTGTCAGACATGACTTGGTCGGCTGTATGGCGGCGCTGCAGGTTGTTCTCCTCGTCCTCGGGGCGTCCAACATAGGACCGAGAACGTCTGGCGAATGGATTGTAGTTGGACTCGCCGTCGTTGTACCTCCAGGCAATGTTCCGGGCCTGATGCTTGATTGAGTCTGAGAAGGTTTCGTTAATGTTGACAAGCTTGACAAGACAAGACAAGAATCTAGGCTTACGCATTTCAATGCTTGGTCGAAGAAGAAGCCGCCAAGGTTTCCGGTCTCGTGATGAACAGGCGAATGTAACCGAGGCGCAGATAAGGCAGAGAGAGAAAAAGAAAAGGAGCCGGGAATTACAAAGTGGTTGGGAAAGAAAGGGCGGCCTTGTATCTTGAGCGCAGAGTGATGTTAGTATTCAAAGCTTGAATGCAAGACGAGAGATGCCGCCAGCGGCGAATTGCAGTGCCTTCCTCGTAAATTGGACTTCACTCGAACGTCCGAGGCGAGAAACAACACTGGGACAGGGCAGTCCTTGCGTAACTGATTTTGCCTGGACTCTGCGCGGGACATGCTCTCTGATGTGATGAGCGTGGCTGTGCCCACGAGAAGCTGGGGTAGAAGTGGGTCGCATGAAACATAGATACATACCGAAAGGCGATGATGCGTGTTGTGTTTGTTTGTCGACCGAGCCACGAGCCTTTGCGTGTGGTGCAGCTTATTGAATCGTGGAGTGGTGGGTTTAGGGAAGGGGAGAAGGGAAAAGCAGATTGAAACCAAGTAGTCGCCCTACGTAGGTGGTAGTGCAAACGAGCTCTGGTGCATCTCATTTCCTTGCTCGACGCCAGACTCACATCTTGCATCGCTGCACCAGTCGCTCCTGGCTTGGCAATGACACTTGATGATTATTGGCTTTTGCTTGGGCTTTCTTCTTTCCTACCGTCCGTCCGGAATCAAGCTTCATGACATCAAAAACTCAGCCACCTGTCCTGCTTCCTCGACAATGACCACGTCGGCAAGCATCACGAATGAGGCTGTGTGCGTGTGCCGCGAGAGTGTGCCGCCAGCAAATCGATCCTCGCGCTGTCTCTAAAGTCGTGAGATGATACGGTGTGAGAGCTCTTGGAAAACCCCAACGCCTGACGCTCTGGAGAGGAGAGGAGAGGAGAGGACGCCAAGACTATAGATGATCGTCATCTACAGGAAACACAACACGTTCCGCCTGTAACATGGACACAACCGGACGCCACGCGAAGGTCCATCAAGCGAAACACGCTCGGCGTTTAAAGAGCCGATTCGGGTTCAAGATATCCGTGTTGGTGTTCATGTCACCCTTGGTCGTGGTCTTCTTCAGCCTCTACACAGCCAGTCGTTCGTCGACATCATGTGCATGAGGGAAAGTTCTGGCTTGTCGGCGCGTTCCTATCTGGGAACGCCTTGGAAAGTATGAAACGGAGGCAGTTCTGTGAGCGACGACGACAACTTTCAGCTTACCGGCCGTACACTTGATGTTGAGCCGCAACTTGTGTACGAGTACGGTACTACCATGACTGTGAAAAGATTCTCCGCTGATTGTGATGTGTCCGGTCCAATCTGCGAGATTGATAGTGCAATTCTCCAGAGTCTACATGGCGACGAGCTGGAAGGAAGGTGATAGTGTAAGTCGGCTCTGTTGTGAAATGATACTTTACTGCTCCGTTACACCTACATCTTCATTTTTCTTTTCTTCTTTGACACGGCATCTGATTTGTCGCGTCAATTACAGACTGCGAGTATCAGCCGAGCATATCGTTTGATGAGCTCACTAGGGCTGAAATTCTAGTCGATTGGAATCTCGGATACTCGATTGATTGCATATGAGTGTCTGATTATCATGCATTCGTTTGGTGAGGCAAAGCTTGAGATTCCAGTCTTTCCGTGCCTTTAATATTGGGTACAAACCTACTGCTACTGAAATTCACAATGAAGGATACCTTGTTCACAGCTCTGCTCATCTAGGCATTCGCCAAATTCTGTGCTGGTTTCAAGCTACTTCGAACTGTTCGCGTAGGCAAACACTCTCAGTGTGTCGTCACTCAGACATCCTTGTTTACCCTAGCAAGACTTTGGCCTTCATGCACACTTGTTAATGAGCATGTCACAATTTCGACAAAGAACACACAGTGGTCAAGGCCCATCCAGTGGATGACGCTCTTTCCTGCAGATGCACCAGTTGGAATAGTTCTCATCGTGGCCAGGTTGCTGGGTCAGACATTTCCACGCTGAAAGGCTTCGATATTGCTCCTTTCTTGAAACGTGCACCCCATTGCAGATGTTCGATCGCTCACCTTTTCTTCTTCTTCTTCATCTAAGCGATGCAGCTGCTGTCTTAGCTTCGGCACACCCGCTGTTGCGCAAGCCATCGTGCAGTATTTTCCAGACTAGAGCGTGGGTGAGTGCGGTCTAATGCGGCTTGACAGGTGTTTTCGCCAGCCATGCTTCCCCTGAGAAACGGCGGCGCGCGCGAATCCCTGGAGATTGGATCGGGTCAGGCATCTTGCATGCAGAGAAGTCATGCACAGGTACATGCAAACAACGATTTTCGAAGGACGATACAGCAGATACGGATGGACAGATTGGCATGGTAAATTGGAGGACTTGAACAAACAGAAGAAGATGTCACACAGAAGGTGTTCGCACTCTTGATCGCGCTATCGCCTGATCGGGTTAAAGGAGTGTCTGGACCGGCGAATCATGTCGATCGGTGGATTCGCTGTTTGTGGGGATTGACAGGGGTGGTTGGGTTTTCTGACTTGGATCTTGTCTGCAACTTCAGCCAAGGCCTCCCATTGTTCAGCAATGGCGGCAGCTGTACAGCATCTCAAATCAGCCCGCCCTTCCTCGGGACTGCAGGCCGTTAGCCAGCACAACCGTTCCGGGATGATTGCGGATACAGGAGAGCAAGGAAGACAACGTCTTCAATCTACCTTATGATCTCTCTCATCGCCCTTGCTGCGTTGATTCTTCCTTTCTGTTTGCTTTGATTATCTTCGTTGACTCGTCGGTATAACAACGAACCCGTTTGTTGCCCTTCACTCTTTATTGTGTCTATCCTCTGGTCTAGGTTGAGAGCCAGAATGCCGTTCCTTAACAGACTTCGCGTCCTCGCCGTGGCTTCTCTGCTATTGAGAGCCGTGTCGGCTCAGACTTGCTATTATCCGGATGGTCTTACTCCCTCGGACGACATACCATGTAACAGCAACGCAGCGGCGTCCTCATGCTGCCCTACGGGATCTTTTTGCATGGATAATGGATTATGTTTTGGAGGCGGTGTCGTTTCACGAGCTTCTTGCTCAGATCAATCTTGGGCATCCACAGAGTGTGCCCAGTATTGCACCGATGGTACGTCGAGACTCACTGACATGAAGCCTGAATCTGGACTAACAAGTGTTACAGTGAATGCATCCACATCTATTAGCTTGACTGCTTGCGATGCGTCATCAAGAACGTTCGCTTGCGGCCTAAACAATACCCAATGCTCAAACACCCATTCCACATTTACTATGAAGGATGGCAACGCTTTGGTCTTACGACCATCCCAGATTGAAGCCCTCACGGCCAACTACTCGGCCCCATCGAGTAGCACCAAGCATTCATATGGTATCGGATCGATGATCGGAGTTGCCTTGGGTGTTGGACTTCCTCTGTTCTTCGCTCTGGTCATGTCCATTCTGGTCTTGAGAAAGGAGAGGCAAAGACATGCTCTCCAAAGCATGTTCGAACAGCGTCTCGAACCAATGGATCCTCCCGCAAACTACCGAAGACGTTCATTCTCTACTCTCTCCAAATCTGGAACCATGACGACTATCGAATCAACCTCGACATATGCTCCTCAGCAGCCAAAAGCTTTCATGCAAAAGTATGGTTACCACAAAGGATACTATGCTCATGAGGGGGATCTTGGTGTACCTGTCTTCGAGCTTCCTACCAACGCTCCCGAGAAGCACGAGAGAGTCGAAGCGCCATGATGTTATGTCTAAAGTCGATTGTCTTTGTTTGGTCTGTTCATTGGAGTTTTGGGTCAACTCGGGCAAGACCCTTGAGAATGAGGCGGTTATCATCGAAGTTTTTGTCTATACCCAGATGCGCGGAACTCAGAGGTTCGCGCTGTTTATACGTTTTCTTTTGTTCATATGAATACGAAGTGTTGCTCGTCTCACGTTGTCGTCCCAGTCTCCGTGAATCAGAAGTGTTCGGTGCTTCCACACGAATAGTTGGGCTGAGCGGTTGGGAACCGCAACTGGTCAGCAGCCCTTCTCAGAACTCTATCTCCCAGCAATTATCTCCAGGAAATGCATGAGCGTGTATGAGTCGATAGCCGGCACGACTTGAGAGGGTTGACGACAATCCATGGCGGTGGCTTCCTCTTTCGGCATAGCCACGAAATCGGTCCAGGGTTGCCGCTGCCAGCAACTTGGCAGACAACGACACTTTCGAACCTTTGAACACCAGCAGAACGCTTTCTCAACATCAATCTTATTGAGACAACCTGCAGATTTGCTCTTACAGTGTATCTTCGAAAACATGAATTTGTCTATTGTCTTTTTACTTTACATCGTGCATGCGACCCAAAGCCTTCCACTCAATTCTCCACTGCTGGACTCATATGACTACATTGGTGAGAGATTGTTCTCGTGCCGCGTCAGCGCAAACATGCAACTGACTGATACAGTTGTCGGAGGCGGCCCAAGTGGCCTCACAGTCGCGAATCGCCTCTCCGAAGATGCCACGGTAAACGTCCTCCTGCTCGAAGCCGGTCCAGCAGACAATCACCAGCCTTGGATACAAATACCATTCTTCGCAGGACAAGGCGTTGGCAGCTCTCTGGATTGGAACCTGTTGACGGCTCCTCAAACCTATCTCGACGGCAGAAGTCGCGCGTTGCCACAAGGCAGGGTCTTGGGTGGTGGTACCGTACTCAATGCCATGCTGTAGAACAGAGGTGGCATTGGCGATTATGACGACTGGGTGACGCTCGGCAACCCAGGCTGGAGTTTCTGGGACCTGATGCCTTACTTCTGCAAGGTATGCCATATCGTCAAGTCCAGAGGAACCGGAACGTTAATGCAAAGCAACAGAGCGAAACTTTCACGCCTCATCCACAAAGCGAAATTGCCAATGCTGTCGGCATCAACCAGAACCCTCTAGTCCACGGAAACAAAGGCCCTGTCAACGTCAGCTTCTCCAGCCATATCTACAATGAGACCGTCAACTTCTTCTCGGCGCTGAATGAGCTGCAAATGCCTGTGTCATACGATCCTAATGACGGAGCAACGGCAGGAGCATCGTTCCTGCCGCTGGCACTCAACCCAGCAAACCAAACAAGATGTGATGCCCGATCGGCTTATTTCGAGCCGTACGCCATGAGGCCCAATCTCTGGGTATCGACGGACCAACACGTCACCCGCATCCTGTTCGAAGGAGGATCCGGCAACCCTAATACGACGACACCCACGCCTGGCGATTCAAGCGTCGGTCAAGGCAGTTCGTTCTCCAGACCTGATGGATTGTTCTCGAACATTACACAAAACGGCATTGCATCGAGACGTCGGATGTTTCGACCAGTCTACTGTATTCTGGACAGCTTGAAACAGCGGCTTGGTATGCGGAAACGACAGCCGACAAACACACCTGTGACGTCTGTTGGAGGCCTCCTGCGAGCCAATGGAGTAGAGGTTAGTTTGTGTCTCACACCGCCATGGGCTCCAGCACCGGTGTTGACGCTGACTGGCTTATAGTTCGCGTCAGCAGCATCCGAGCTGAGAAGAAACATCACAGCGGTTCGAGAAATCATTGTCGCTGCCGGAGCATTGCACACTCCCCAGGTCCTCAAGCTCTCCGGTCTGGGTCCTGCGAATGAGCTACAATCACTCCAGATACCTGTATTGGTTGATCTTCCTGGTGTCGGAATGAATCTGCAGGATCACGCCCTTGTTGGAGTATTCTGTAAGTGCCAGGCCTCACGTCGAGAAACCACCCTAACAACATTGTCAGACCCCTACCAGAAACCTACATCCTTCACGAGTGTGCAGATCGCAAGCAACTACAGTCTGATGAGTCAGTTCGGCGCAACATATCAAGCAAACAGAACCGGGCCTTGGACGGCTGGTCCTCCGGACGGCAATGCATTTCCTGCTCTTTCGGTTTTGACCAACAGGTCCTTTTCGATCATCACCAAAGCCCAGACACAGAAAGCGATTGATTACTTACCACCAGACGTCCACCAAAACGTGATTGCAGGATTTGAAGCCCAGCGTCAACTGTTGATCAAGGCTCTGCAAGATCCGAAAAGAGCCGCGTATGAGCTTCTGAACTTTAACTATGGCGCCTTCTCCAACGTCAACATGAGGCCCTTTTCTCGTAGTACTGTAAAAGTGAGTAGTCTTCTTCGGCTTCTTGTGTGTCATACTCACCACCCGCAATGCAGTTGAGCTCATCCCGACCCTTCGACCCTCCGCTTATTGACCCCCGGTATGGTTCAAACCCGGTCGACCTCGAGGTCTTGTTGGCTTCAATCGTATACAATCGACAGGTACTCGGGACGACGTCGATGAAACTGTTGGAGCCACTGCAACTCAATCCCAGACCAAACGCGACCGACCAGGAGATACTGCAGTTCATCAAAGCCAATATCCAAACAGAGTTTCATCCGAGTGGTACATGCGCCATGTTGCCTCTTGATCTAGGAGGAGTCGTGGATCCACAATTGCTGGTCTATGGTACTCAAAACCTGAGGATAGTCGACGCCTCAATCATGCCTGTCATACCTGCGAGCCACCTACAGGCTGTGGTATACGGTGTTGCCGAGAAGGTAGGAAGTTAGAATGCTTGACCTGCTGTACAGTTGCTGACGATCAGACAGGCAGCAGACATCATCAAGAATGCAACCTCAAGGGCTTCATCAGCAATACAGCCACCAGCGCCTTCGTCTGCACAGAGTACATACCTAGCTGCCTCGTCATCAGCTGAATCATTGCCTCTGTCTTCTCCACAGCCCGCAATATCATCTCCATTGCCATCATCTTCGACTTCACAACAGCCACCACCACCACCAGTCCCACCGCAAACCTTGACGTTGTCACCTCCCAAGCCATCAACAACTTCTCTGATGCTTCCGCTCCCATCTGCAGCCATCCTGTCACCCGGGAACCCAATATTGTCTTTGGTCTCTTCAAGTGCATACTGCAACCATGTGTCGTCGTTCACATGCACATGTACGTCTGTATGCACTTGTGCGCCGACGTGTACTTGCGGGGCGACACTGGCACCTCCTTCATATCAGTCGACCACCATTGCTACACCACAATCGGTGCTGCCACCAGTGCCGCCCTCACACAGCGCTGGTTCGGGAGGTATGATCTGCCCACATCCGTTGACGTCGTCTTGCCCACCTCCACCAGCAACAACGGCTTTCGTGCCTCCTCCGCCATCTTTTGCGACTCCCTCACCAAGTATGACCTTCACATACGCACCGATTTCATCTTCATCACAGAGCACAAGCTCCATACTCTCCTCCTTCTCGTCAACGCAAAGCATGAGTTCAGTGCTTTTCTCGTCTTCTTCTTCAACGTCGTCTTCCGCTCGTGTTTCGTTATTGACCTCTGTCCGTTCCGGGTCTTCGTCATCCAAGCGTTCTTCAACCTCGTCGTCGAGGCGCTCATCAGTGTCATCCAGCTATACAGGCAGATCCATGTCCAACATCGCAAGTCAATCGATCTCGAGCTCGACCTCTATAAGTCAGTCGATGACTCCATCATACCTCTCTTCTTCTTCTCCAGTAGCCACGACGCTTTCGCCCAGCACGTTGTGGGTGACGATGTGAGTACCCGCAGATTGCCCATGGACCATGAACACGATGATGCTGACATGACCCAGTTGTCGCACTGTGCCGATTTTTTAACCCCGATTCGTCAGATGAAACTTGGGTAGTTGATCATGAACCGGGAGCCCTCACATCCTTGAGTGTGGGCGATGTCGCCTTGATCTGGTACGCCATGTTGATGTCTCACTGGGAGGGATTGGAAAGAGAGAGAGAGTCCTTTGTGTTATAAGAATCATTCAGATCTATAGATAAGAGCCAGCATCATAACAATTCTGCCACCGTGTCGCAAACTTGGAGAGGTGGTTGGAGTATATAAGCACAGACCATGCACGACACGATGGCCGTGTCGGGTCCTCAGACGTGGCAGTTGTCTCGATACTACAGCTTCAGCCATCCATGTCGAATCGCTGATAGAGAAGTACACGGTTTACTACCACTTTACACGTGCTGATGTAGCACGGATTCGCCAACACTCAACCATATTCCGTACCGCACTCGCGACTGCCCACTCCGACGCGAGCCTCCTCCAAGTCCGAAGCAGCGCGACTCAGCGAGTTCCGAAGATTTCGTGCATCCGGCCAGTGATGTCAAGAAAGGGTGCAGGGGATAGTCGACAAATCTACAAGAACGAAGATAGGACTTGAAGAATTTGGAGCATATGGAATATTAAAGAGGTAGGTCCGGTGGACTACGGCTTGTTCTTTGAGGAGCTATACAATGAGGTAGGGACAGGCAGGATATGTCACTTGAGCCATAGAAGGGTCGAGAGAGGCTCGCAATGTTGGACATATGCTGCATTCGTGCTGGGGTGCGATATCGTTGACGCAATGCAGAAGTTGTCTTATGATTTGCATTGATGCAAGAACACCCACGCGAAATTTGGTATCCAGCGAGCTCAAAGGCTGATGCAAAACACTCATGTATCGGGACAGGTGTTCGGGAGAAGCGCGAGCGTGTCTGAAGAAGATTTCTAGACCCCCTCTCCATTGACGATCGTACTCAGCGAACTCATCACGTTTGTTCCAGAACCAACCGCACGTCTGATGGAGGCTCGAAGAGGTAAAAGTCCATAGTGGCCTTTCCTATTTTTGGTATTCTTCACTGCCGACATCGCTTGTACACGACTCCGCATTGGCTGTGGAATGCGGTTGCCTTTGTCGTTCTACTATCACCCACGTTGCTCCTCCCTGTCTTGGCTTTCTTTGTTTTGGCCCTAGAAGGTGCTGTCTTCGAAAATAGTGGGCTCAGCGTCCTCTTGCGTGAACGAAGTCAAGAACCCTCGTTCTTTAAGCCTCCTGCAATTGTAGCTGCGATGTCTATCCCGACTTCCTCCACGATGCGACTTTTCATTGCACAGAGAGTCTGTTTGTATAACACTGACAATACCATCATTGACTAGTCCCCAAACCATCAGGTCCTTTGTTATCCGCTTATTGCGATTGATGTCACTGCCATCGACCACAAACGATATCCTTCTGGTGCCGTCCACAAGATGAAAGAATTCGTCGCTTGGCTGCAAGCCACGATCAACAATCAAAGGTCTTTTCCTATGCCGGACATATGGATTCAGTATCCGCTCTCCACAGTATAGATCTCACTTCCAGTGTTGGCTTGCGGATTACGAAAGAGCAGACTTGCGAGCTGTTATTAATCTCTGTCGTAGAGGACGATTTGACTAGCAGCATAAGCAACGACTTCTACATCTTCAGTATTGCACAATACGCAGCGCCACTGCGAGTAATTCGTAGCAACCTCGACAGACTATCTCTTCGCTCCAATGGCATACTCCGATCCATACAATACTCTTTGGGCTCAGCAGAGTTATCTCTTTAACGAGATCGATCTTCTAAAGCATCACTCCGTAGATATAGAACGACAACTCCGACGAGCTCAACGAACACTAGCCAATCCAGAAACGAAACGGTATGACAGAAGGAAAGCCAAGTGGGTATCCAATTCACAACAACGATACCTCAAAGAGTTGGAACGCGCTCTGCAACAGTTGCTACAATCTCTGTCGCTCTGTCAGGCACGCATTGCTCAGATGCACACCGAAGCTTCGTGGGAAGCAGATTTATATGGTAATGCCCAACACGTACACGTTAATCCCCTGATGGACAACAGCACGACGCCCACACAAGAGACATACCAACATGAGGCGCGTTCCACCAGTCCAGATTCTGGCTTCTCCGAACCAGCTTTGTACGCACACCCTTTTGACCTTGACTTGACTCAAGATCAGAGCAACCACGTATTCTCTCACGAGATCCAACACCCTCTTCCTCTGACTATCAACACACAATTCGGACAGACTCCTGCACCGACTCAAAGAGTAACCTTGAGTCCGACCGCTGAAGACTTTACTCCGACTCCAAAGGCAACGCATAAACTCATCAGCCCTCTCGCTCCGCCGTTCAGCCCCTTCGTCTTTGCCAAAGCCAATCCTCCCACTCCCAGCCGCCCGATCAACGCCGTACCACTGTTCAGGCAACCAATCTGGTCTTCGCCATCTGATTGGAGTGAGCAAGTCGCTGCTGAGATGACACCCATATCGCCGACGGCAAGAGCTGAAGAGGAGGGGCAGAACAACGGAAACAAGAGGAAATACTCAGTTGCTGCGATTGAGTTGATTGAGAGCCGTTTGAGACACAAGAGGCAGGTCAGTGATGTGGCAAGAGGTGTGCCGGTGCAGGGATGATAGGCTGCTGCTGCTTTTGACCAGGTTGTTGTCTGTTATCATCGCTATACGAGTTGTTATTTCTACAAGGATGAGGGTTCGGAATATAAATTTACTTGCAGCGTGCCGCGCTCTCAATGTTTGCCCTCCCGCTTTATAAAGTACCGTACAATGCTGCAGCGGCTGATCCGCTCATGTTTCCAACCGAAAACTTTCGGAAAGTAGTCGAGAACATTTATAGTATCTCAATGGACCAAGTCGTTCACGATTGTATACATCAGAATACACAAATCTTTGTCTCACAGAAAGAGATCCAATGAAAGTCTGCCAATAAATTCATCTCATCGGAACCTGGATGATCTACAAAGCATCTTGCATTGCGTCAAGTAGTCTGGGTCTTGTGTCACACACTTGAGAAACACCGAACATAGAAGATGTCTACTGTGACTGCCCAATGATTTCAGCCATGGATGACATTATTGCTTTTTATAGTGATCATAATGGTATATCATGATTCCACCAAAACGGCGTGGTGGGTTTGATTTTTCTCAAAACAAAAGAATTCATGCGCACGAAGAAAACCTAAGAGCCGCTGGAAAGAGTGAACGGTATCCGTGGGAGTGGTCGTTGTTTGTTTCGAATAGGGTTCGCAGAATGCTTCCGCATTGAGTAATGTTAGCGAGAGAAGATGCTAAGCCACGACGCTGTTTACGCATGGATCCGGAGAATGCCGGGCAGGTGGAGTAGAAGGATGGGTAGTATATTGTGAGTACAGAGATTCCCTATTTTCTTTTTAATCTGGTCATGCGACTGTTTTCCCAAGAAATTCCATCAACTCGAAAATGTTCTGTGGAAATGTCTTTGTTCTGAGATTGGTGATGCTGTCGTGAAAACGCCCTTCATCTTTGGATTGCTGCTTGCTTGGCGGTTATCCAGTCCTGATATTTCTCTTCGGCATGCCTTTTTGCTGTGATGAGCCAGAAATGCAAAAGAATGGATCCCAAAACACGTCCTTGTGCGAATTGCACATATTTGCAGAGCTGCTCGGCCTGTTCCCGGCACTCTTGTATCAACTCATCTTTCCCTGGAAGGCCGCACTGGATTAGGACTGAATTAAGCTGGATTATTGTCGAACAGTGTTGCGACATGAAGCCATGGACTGCCAGGTTGTTGAAATGGTATACGGTGGGAAACAGTTCGTCTTCGCCTGGGATTTCGATTGGCATGCCGCCGGTGGCTTTCAAGGCTACTATCCATTGGTCGTAGAGCCTTTTGACGGTCGTCCGTAGCTCGACGGTCTTCTGTATGAGTTCGAAAGCGTCGTACTGCCCAACCGCAGTCCTTTGAGCATTCCGGATCAATCCTGGTATCTGGACGTGGATGCGGAACATGGACTCTCGGATGTCTCCCTCTACTGAATCAGGATCGTGGGCCAGGGTGTTCCATTCCGGGTCGTCAAGAAAGCAAGCTTTGCGTTTGTAAAAGGCTTCCATGACCTGCTATGGTCAGTGACGGAATAGACTGTTTTGACTGAAAAGACTCACGATGTAATATCGGCATACCAGATACATGGAGTAGTCGAAGCTCTTCCTGTCTCTGTATGCCCTTGGACCTCGTACTCGCATCATCTCGACAGAGCCGCCAGAATGCCGTACCCACTCGTCCTCTTTTCGATTCGACATGAGCTAGGCCAAGGTGTCAGCTCGGAGCATCTTACACGGGCCGCGAGGGCTTTACCTCATAGAATGTGAGTAACATCACCGTACTCTGTAGATCTGATTGTACCGTCCCAGGAGCCATCAGAGCCTTTCGCAAAGTTTGGAGTGCGCCACCATAGTAGGTTCGACTGACATTGATCATTCGCGAGTCTTTTCTCCGCAAGCCAAACTGCATGCAAGCGACTGAGCGCATGGCCAGATCTAGGGGCGCGGTTGATCCGATGCGAAAGTAGACAAAGGAAAGCCAGTCTCGTATCATGGAAGGTCCTTGGGTCGGTTCTGCTGACGGTGGTGCGAATCCATCTATCAATGCTGCCATACACTGCAGTTGCTCGACTCGAGGTGTGTGCAGTGACTTTATCTCCGGTTCTGGTGGTGTTGTCGCAACGGCAGAATCTCTGCGAATCTCTATCGAGTTACTGCTGTTACTGCGGCTGGATTCCCCTGACGACGACGTGTCCACGAAACTGATCATCTGCGGTCGCTCTCGTTTCGACACAGTTGTCACTGTTTTGTGTCTGAATTGGAGTTCACGAGTATAACCCGGACATGCGCGTCCGGACTTTTCGCATTTTTGACAAGTCGGCCGTCCTTCATCACACTGTCATACTCGAGAACCGGGTCAGATGGAAAGGGTCCGGGAAGTGTTCCATAGGATGATGATGTACCTTGATGCGTCTTGACACGCATGTCGCGCATCCAGTACTCCTGGGCACGCCGACCATGGTTTAGACGTTAGAATATGTTCGTGACGCAGTGATAGAAGCAAGAATGACAAGTTATGTTTCAAAACGAAGAAGACAGGCACAGGTCGCCTAATAATCTGTATGTTCCTCTTTGTTGATTTTAGGTTTCGCTGCTGCTGAGAGCCAAGGCGGGGTCGTAGGCAGAGTAGGCGAAGGGGAGTTCTTTTGATCGTCGACGAGCATCGAGGCCCGTGGTGAGAAGGAGAGCGACGGTCGCGCTCGAGCCACCAGCTCCTTTCCGCCTCCCAGATCAGGCAGCGATACGGACACGCCGAGGATCTTATCTGATCATGGGCCGAGTTTGCGTTCTAGCTCCAGGAGGATTTAACAACGCAGTAGACACAGCCGAGCTCGAACGCTTGTTGATGATGTTGTTGGATAACAGCAAGTAGTTACCTTTCCAGTTGACAGAGCTGACTGAATGCAGAACAGCCAAGGATGGCTCACAGTATGGACCCTTGATAAACTATTCTTAGGGTCATTTCGAACTATCGAAAGAAAATTTGGCTACTGCGAGAAAAGCAGGGAAACACAACCTGCATTCGGACTTGATGGTCTTGCATGATCGAATTCGTGTAGTTGCATGAGTCGTGCGCTTTGCAAGTTCTACGTGCCATCCTGATGTCGCTCAGATTGGTTTGGTCTCCTCGTCCACGCCTCCGGGATTGTCCTTGAAATGGAGTAGATGCACCTTCTCGGTGTCGTGAGTAGCACTCACGGCCGTAAATTCCAGGACAAACACGGACAATCGGTGGCTTACTGCCTCAATGAACGTGCACTCGGATCGAAGAAACTGCCTCAAAGTGAAGAGTTCTTTCGTGAATCAGTGTCACGGAAGTTGGGTAATCAAAGATGCCATGTGTTGCCAGCAAGAGCATCTACTTCACGTCCTCTCAGTGAACAAAGAACTAGCGCGGAAAGCATATTGACAGCTATGCCTTGCCTCTGCAGAGGACGAGAAGGATGGAATTCATGTCTAGATCTCGGCGCTCTTGCACATTTTCCCGATCAGAACACCATTCTCAACTTCAGCTTGTCCTGCTCAACAATCTCGTCCTTCTTGGTCATGAGCTCCTCCATATCCCAGGGACAGCTAACATATCTTCCAGCCAACCACTCCCTGCGCTCAGCAGCCAACCAAGTGATCGTATCACCAGGTAGTTCGGGCTGATCTGGAAACGAGTTGCGAACACTTTCGGGCGCTGCTCCTTCACTGATCTTCGTCTTGATGGCACCAGGGTTTACACAAAATGTCAAGAGACCTTGCCCACCATATTCAAGCGCCAGAGATTCGGTCCATCTCAGCATTGCCAGTTTCGAGCTCCGATAGCTTGCGGTGGTAGGACGAGCACTCAATGCGCCTGATGAGGCTACGTTGATCATGGTGCACAACCCACTGCTGCTGCTGCTCGAGGTTGATAACAACATGGGTAGAAAAGCACGAGACATGCTGATGAGACCATGGATGTTGACCTCCCATGTCCGCCATAAGACATCTGGGTCTGATTCGAGGGTGGATTTGTTCGGCTCCATGTGGGCGGCATTGTTTACAAGAACGTCCAATCTGCCGTTGAATGCTTTTAGGACACTTTCATACATTGCCTGGACGCTCTCCTGTTTTGTGATGTCAACCTGATAGCTTAACACTAGAGGTTCAGAACGTCCGGCTTGCACTGCAGCACCCTTGAGCTGCTTCACGAGCTCGTCTGACACACCGTGCAAATCGGCCACAGCTATTGCAGACGCTCCCGCACGAGCGAAGGCCGTGGCTGTAGCATACCCAACACCACTGTCCCAGGCCGCGCCAGTGACTAGAATGTGTCGCTCGCTCATGTCCAGTCGCAATGGTGAGATATGATCGTAGGTAGTGTTGTGTCGTTTTGATGTAAAGTATCCTCCGGATCGCTCGACTTGAGAGTTTCTGGCTGCCATGATTGAGACTTGACGATGAAGAAAGGGTGGAAATGGCGTGTCATTAGTGTGGGCGACTTCGAAGATTTATATAATCTGTAGTGGTCTCGGAGGGTTTATTACCTGAATAGTACGTGTACCCCACCGACGACACGGTGTCCGAGAAAAGACCAAATCCGTTCCCCTCCCAATGAGAGGCGAAATTGCTCAAGAAGCCTCGCCGTGTCGGATGTCAAACCTCTTCACGACCGGTATGCTACGCATGCTCCTCAGCTTTCTGAGTCGCAACGGAGTGGTCGAGGGTTGAGTAGCAGTGATAAGGGTTTGACTATCAAAAAGCTGGCCTACATACCCCAAAGGCACTCGAGGACCTGGGGATCCGAACCAGAACTGTGGACACACTCTCTCTTCTTTGCAAAGCTATGAAAAATGCTGTCGAAACACAAGATGCTCCTGATGACGAAACGCATGTCCATTGAGAGTAACATCTTCAACGTGCTCTCTCAGGACAATCAAACCACATTAAATCTGTTCTGTTTTCCGATAATCAGCTCGGTGGTCGGTCGGATGATTGTGAAAGATGTTCGGTGCGACTCTCCTTCATCTTGAACTCGCCTGTCCTCTCCGTCCCAGCAAAATATTCATGCTCCTTCTGATGCAGGAGCCCGCGGCCACCGACGTAATCGCGCCAAGACACTTTGTCTTTCCCAAAGCGGCAGTTGACTGCGATGTTCCTTCCGCAAAGAAAAAAGAACATAACGGTCATCATATCAGGCCAGTCGGAACGCCATTCCACCTCAAACCTGTATGTACATAGGTATCAGGGGCGTCATTCTGATCCGGACCGATATTCTGCGTTGTCCTCTTTTACTTAACATCTGTAGGGCAAATGGTGAAATATGAGTAATTCGCTCGGCATCTTCAAACATTGCATTTCTTGGTAAGCATTTTGGGAGTGTCTTTCTCCCTATATCTGTGGCGGTAGTCGTTACGTTCGCTCTTCGATAGAGTATACACTACCTTATTCTATTCTTGTTCATCTTTGTTGTTCGCACTTGGACAGACTAAACACGATGAAAGAGGAATCGCCACTTGGTAACCAGGTACATCCTCCGGTTCTCGACCTAGAAGATGAATCAGAAGAAGCTCGATGGGAAAGGAAAGGAAGAGAAAGACCCGAAAAATTCAAGACTACAGCTCAAGAAGTTGGGTTTATATTCGCGGTCGTCATGGCACAACTCATGTCTGAGTTCTACGTTTCTGGATTCATCGTTCTTATCCCAACACTAGCAAAGGAACTGGACATACCACCAGAGTCAACAACATGGCCAGCAGGTGCTTTCTCGTTGGTAGTCTCAACCTTTCTACTACCACTTGGACGAATTGCCGACATGTACGGAGCCTACCCTGTTTACGTAGGCGGCATCATCTGGACGGTAGTATGGTCAATCATCGCTGGATTTTCAACCAACGAGATCATGCTGGACGTCTGCCGTGCATTCCAGGGCTTCGGACCAGCTGCGTTCTTGCCAGCTAGCATGGCGTTGCTCGGCAGTATCTATCGCCCAGGACCTAGGAAGAATCTTGTTTTCTCAATCTATGGCGCAATGGCACCTCTCGGTTTCTTCGCAGGCATCTTCTTTGCTGGTATATCGGCTCAATATGCGAATTGGAGATGGTACTTCTGGATTGGCGCTATCATCAGTGCGTTCAGCGGCCTGGCTGGATTCATGACAATCCCTTCAGATGTTGCTGAGAGACGCGCGATGAACATCAAGATGGACTGGCTCGGCACTTTCACCATCTCGGTCGGTATTGTTTTGGTCGTCTTCGCCTTGACGGGAAGTTCTGGAGCTCCACACGAATGGGCGACCGACTACATCATCGCGACCATGGTCATTGGCGTGGTCTTCCTGTGTCTCTCAGTATATGTCGAGGGATGGGTTGCTGAAGCACCGCTGCTCCCGCCGGAACTCTTCAAGATCAAGTACATGAAGCCCCTTGTGTTAGCATTGCTGTTGACGTATGGTGGTTGCGGAATATACCTGCTATACGCCACCAACTACATGTCAGAAATCATGGGAGGCTCGCCAATGCAGCTTGTGGCCTGGTGGTCACCGGCAGCAGTGGGTGGTTGTATCATTGCGACCGTAGGCGGCTTCGTGCTACACTTGCTTCCAGGCACAATACTCATTGCCATCGCCTCGGTTGCCTGGATCATATCGCCATTGTTGTTCGCTCTCGTACCTGTGGGCGGACAGAATTTCTGGCCATACGTGTTTCCAGCCATGGTGTGCTGCACGATTGGCATTGACATCACTTTCAATGTCACCAACATTTTCATCACGACGAGTTTGCCTGCTCGTCAGCAGGGCTTAGCCGGTGCACTTATCAACAGTCTGCTGCAATTGGGTATTGCAATTGCCCTCGGTCTAGCAGACATTACGGTGTCTCAGACAGCGGACCAGGGGGTAGCTCAGAAGTACAAGAATGCGTTTTGGCTTGAGGTTGGGTTGGCAGGTGCTGCGCTTGTGGTCTTCCTTGGATTCGTGAAACTCGACAAGGCGAAAAGCCAAGCGACAGCAGATGAGAAAAGCGTGGTCCAGTCATAGAGTTTGTTGAGGGTGTTGGAGATGTTAAGAGAGCAAGAGATGTGGTTTTATATAACGATATTTTTGATACCCATGTCGTGTTAGATACTAGTAGATAGTCTTGCATGTGAAGATGCGATAAGAACAGATTGGCGCAATCTCATTCACAACCGTATTCGGAGCGACAAAGCGTTGAAGAAATTGTGTGCTGACAGTCAATTCATGAGATGATCTGGCTAGGTGGCAGTGGGCAGTGAATTCGACAGTGACGGGAGTGGTTGATGGCGACGCGACATGTACGAAGATCGAATTGTGGATCTTCTAGGTTGGCGGAGAGCAAAGATTGGTACGGGGCCACGAATCCAGTTTCGTCGAGCACCAAGGGGTCAGCGAAAACAGGGAGATGGAAGGTGTTGCTTGGCGCTTCACGTGACGATCCCTCTCAACCGCAACTTCCAAAGCTGGAGATGGGGCTTCTTGTTATTGCCCCCTTCGACTGTCCATACAAGACTCTGTGCTTCTATCTTCGACGGCCAGTGTCACTTTTCCCGTAAGTTGCACCAGAACCATGCCCGGACGAGCGCGAAATGTATCGTCAGGCGCGCACCGGCTCCTCCGGTCGAGTGCGCATCATCAGGGGTGTCATGTCTTGTGGACAAGTTGCGCTTCATCGAATGCGAAGTTGCTGCCTGTCTGCCATTCACTTCCACCTGGCCTCGTACAAAGAGCTGCAACGTTCAATTCTCGACTTGGTTAAGAACCTCCGCTGACGACTCGATTGTTACATCAGGCCGCTCCGTCATATAACCACCACCCACACGACACTTTTATCTACAACACAGCCAACATGGGTCTCACATTCTCGCGTCTGTTCGACCGTCTCTGGGGAAAGAAGGAGATGAGAATTCTTATGGTCGGTCTCGATGCCGCCGGAAAGACCACCATTCTCTACAAGCTGAAGCTCGGTGAAATCGTCACCACCATCCCCACAATTGGTCCGTGTCTTCGTCCATCGTTATCCGTTCGACTCGAGAAGCTGACTTGAGCGCTTGCCTACAGGTTTCAACGTCGAGACCGTCGAGTACAAGAACATCCAGTTCACCGTCTGGGATGTCGGTGGTCAGGACAAGATCCGTCCCCTCTGGAGACATTACTTCCAGAACACTCAGGGTATCATCTTCGTCGTCGACAGCAACGATCGTGACCGTGTCGTCGAGGCCCGTGAGGAGCTGCAGCGCATGCTCAACGAGGACGAGCTGAGAGATGCTCTCCTCCTGGTCTTCGCCAACAAGCAGGATCTTCCCGTAAGTTACTGCCGTTCTGACCACTACAAGTCCCAAGCTAACAGCCCTCTCCCAGAACGCCATGAACGCCGCCGAGATCACCGACAAGCTTGGTCTGCACAGCTTGAGACAGCGCGCCTGGGTAAGTCCATGGTCACATCTTCACTCGGCCTTCCTCCGTCTAACACATATCCACAGTACATCCAATCTACCTGCGCCACTTCCGGTGACGGTCTGTACGAGGGTCTGGAATGGTTGAGCAACTCGCTCCGCAAGGCTGGCCACCAGTAGACAATATCCCCAGCTTGAACCTTGTGTCCGTTTTCTGCCGCGCCTCAATTCATGTCTCTCAACCTCTTTTCCTCTCCGTCTCTTTACGATCGTGGACCTCCTATTCTCCGGCCCTTCATACACACGGGTATCTCTGCCCCCACGTGCGACCACAACTTCGATACCAAACCTCACAACAAAGTCAACAGAAAAGCGAAAAACAAGAAAATGGAAATGACGAGAAAAAGAGTGTCACGATGAGAAGCACAATGACCTCTTTTCGACGACCTTTCCTCATCGTCGACGAAAGACGAGAGAGGGCAAGGAAAGGGAGAGGGGGACAAAAAACCAACCCAGATGTTGAATGTCTATTTTGGCGGAAGGGGGAGGCGTTTTTGTTGTCGTGGTTTCTCTTTATTTTCTCTGCTTTTGCTAAATATGCATAACCTCCCTTTTTTGATCAGAACTCGAATGTTTTACGGCTCCTTAAATACTGTTTGAAACGCCTTTCGAAGCGGTGAGGTGAAGTGCAAGTCAACAAGTGCGTTTAGACGATTACGTTCCTTTGCACAGAAATGTAAGGACTTTATAAACAAAAGACACGAGGCTTCCTGAGCAGTGTCTGCTTTCTGTATCACTTGTGCTATCTTTGGAAATGCATCTTGCTCTCTTTCTCTTTCTCTCTCTCTTCCAAAATGAGAACTGTGGATTTGCTTGATTCCCCCAGAAATGCCCTGTTGAAACTCCATTTCCCAAAACTCCGGGCAAGAACATGATTGCAATGCTGTTACGAGATCTGAACCCTCCTCAAGTCTCGTTACTCGTCTCCTTCCTTCTAGGCAGCCATCGATCACTGGTGCTGCTGTTGTTGTTGTTGTTGCTGCTGCTGCTGCTGCTGCTGCTGCTGCTGTTGTTGCTGAGACTGGTTGCTAGACTTTGTGCTCAGACCGCTCGAGCTTCCAGGACGAGCCATCCATCCCTTCTCGAGCCAGATGTCGAGCAGAGGGGCCATGGGCTCCAACTCCTTGTCACCCAACAGATTGAACAGTCTTCCTACGTTGACGAAGTGGATGAAGCAGGTGTTCAACTCCTTGTAAGCGCCCAAATGCCAGAACTCAAGCCAATGGGCGTGGTAGATGTGAGCATAACAACGCAGCATCTGGCGGTAAATGTTGCGGATGTCGTTTGCGAATTGAGGAGGGAAGCCCGAGGCCTTGCCCAGCCAGTTGCTTGGATCTGAAGCGGAGAGCGAGGGAGGGGCGCTGATGAAGGTGTCGGTGGGGAAGATTGAGGGGTCTGTGATTTTGCCGGCGATCCACTTTTGGACGTAGGAGATGTATTGGGGAGCGGGGACGCGGACGCTTTCACGTTTGGCGTCGAGCCAGGTGTAGGTCATGGCGCCGGCGCTCATGGCTGGGCAGCTTTGTTGGTTGCAGATTGAGACGCCCGTGTTACGGTCGGCTTCTTGGATGATCTTGAGCATACCGTCTAGTAGGCGGTTCTGTTCGACGACTGTAGGGTGTTGTATCAGTGGTGTGCCTTCTTTCTGTGGGTATGTCTATCTTACTCTGATGTGCGAGCCATTCACCCTCTTCCACGAGCACGGGCTTTGCTGCGAGAGTCATGAAATTACCTTTGACAATCAGGTTGGCGTATTGCTCGCGGAAGAAAAAGGGCGGTCTTTGGTTGTGGTTGAGGGAGTCGTTGGTGGGTTCTCTGCTCTCGAAAGACATGGCGGTGGCCGACAAGCCTGGCGATAAAGGCATCTGGTGCGAAGAGCCAGGAGCGAGGTTTGCTGGGCTCTGCATGGTTGGTGAGGGAGTGTTGGGCTTGGGTTGTTGTGTCTTGTTGCTTTGGCGGCCAAAGCCACGCCTGGAATTCGACGTGTCAGCTTTGTTTACAGAGAGAAAGTCGGATACAGCCAATGCGTGTGAGGGGTGGAGTGAATCCTTCCAGGCGTTGCCATGTCTTCAGTCGGGGCAATGTTTATACCAGAGAGTGAACAGGAAGCAAGGCATTCTCGGCCACATTTTCTGGAAGAAATAACACGCGACAACAGAAGAATGAAAGGCATTGACTTCGAGTGACACAAGGGAGCATTCCGGAAGCACTCACATATTGGAAATCCAAGAAGCCATGATTACGCTGGAGCCCTCTCAAAGGGATGTCTCGTTGGGATGAGAAGAATCAAATACGGACTTCTCTCTTGAGAGCTATCGCAGACAGCTGGAAGAGTGAGAATCGGGACGAAGCGGAGAGGAGTCGAGTGGATTGGGGGAAGAAGTCAGGTTGTATAACTCACTCTCCCTCCCTGCTTGCCCCTGCTTGTTTCACATGCTCGAGCTGCGACGCCTGGACCACGCTCAGCTGCGCGTTTGCTCAAACGTCAAACACAATTACTCGCTCCCGTCACTGCGCGTCGCGACTTGGCTAGCATGAGCTCCTCGTACTCTTTCACTGAGCAAGCCATCGAGTGCGCCAGTCGCCATCAATCTTCTCAGTCATCCCACTCGACTTGTCGCTTTGACTCACTGCCTCTCGTCGTCCGCTATTTCCAGCCTTCTCTTCAACCTCCTCTCCAACAAGACAGAGCGCAACAACACATCAAAATGTCGGACCAAGTACCCACCGATCCTAGCGACCACGCCCCTCCAGATGTGCCAGGCGCAGTCACCAGCGCAATCTTGCCTGTCGATGAGCCAGCCCCGGACAACTTGAGTGAAGACGAAGACGACATTATTCCCAGAAAGAGACCGCTTGCCGACTTGGTCAACACAAAGATCGACGACGAGGAAGTCTCCAACATGGGGGACGATGACGACCTGTTCGGCGATGGCGGAGATGATGAAGACCAAGAAGAAGCTGCGCCGTATGCTGATACCTCATGCGTCCGCTATGCAACTCTCAGCTGACAATCTGCAGCGAACCGCTGCGCACTCTCGAAGACGAGGAACTGGATTCTGGCGATGACGAGGGTCGCCACGACCGCATGCCCTCAGAGCAATACGATCAGGAGACTCAGAATGTCGTTATCCAGGAGTCGAGTATGAGCAGACAACATCTACCCGAGCCCAGCGACGGCGAGGTACGACTTGTGATATTCATCGCCATCCCCCTGCTAACCGTCCTAGATGTATTTGACTAGAATCCCCAAATTCCTGTCCATCGAACCTCGGAAATATCACCACACCACCTACCAACCACCTACCACTGATCATCACTCGCGTGAGGCTGCCCCTGGCTTCTCCGCCTTCAGTACCGCCATCAGCACTGTTCACTGGAGACGCTCTCCTTCCGACGATCAGAAAATTCAGTCCAATGCACGCATTCTGCGCTGGTCTGATGGCAGCTTGACACTACAACTCGCCTCGAACCCTACACAGCAATACGAAATTGAGGGCAACCCCCTTGCTCCTCGCCAGCGTCACCCTACCAAGCCTACCCCAACAAGTCTGAGACCTGGCAGAAAGGATCACGCCAACGACTCATACACATATTTGACTGTCCCTGATCCTTCTAACGGTCTCCTTCGCGTCACTCACAAAATTACTGCTGGCCTGTCGATTCTTCCTTCCGCTGATACGACCGATGATGCACTGGAGAAGTTGCAAAACTCGCTGGCTGCCATTTCGCAAGGCAAGAACAAGAGCAGCGCAGGCGGTATCGAAGTTCTCAACATTGACGAAGATCCCGAGTTGGCCAAGAAGAAGGCCGAGGTCGCAGAAAGAGAAAAGGATCGTGCTCGCAAGCGAAGAGAAGCAGCCGAAACCAGAGAGCGCGAGAGAAACGGACGTGCACTTGGTCGCGCGGGTCTTGGCTCGAGGGGCTATGGCGGTAGTCTCACTGCTGGCATGCTCGAAGACGATGAGCTTGGCGGTGGTGGTCGCCAAAGAGCTAGAGCAAAGCCTAAGAGGCGCCAACGCCGCAACAGTGAATACAGCGAGGATGAAGACTTTGGTCGCAAGAAGAGCAACTTTGGCAACGACGAGTACGACGAAGAGGACGACTTCATCGCCGGTAGTGACGAAGAGGAAGCTGTTGACGATGATGAGGATGAGGACGATGGCATCGTCGAGGATAGGCGGCCTAAAGAGCGTGCACCTAAGCGTGCAAGTCCCGATGAAGACGACGAGGACGCAGAAGGCGAAGACGATGACATTCCTCAGGCCGGCAGAGCCAAAAGAAGGAGGGTCATCGACGAAGACGACGACGACGAGTAATCTCAACCACGAAAGTATGCACGATTTGTATCATCCAATTGGGATTGCCACAACCAGTTCACCGCACACCTCTCCGTTATGTCACACCAGTCTTTTAGCAGCATTCCCAACAATTCATTGGCAAAGTTCGATGGTTGTGCATCTCTGGTTTAGCATCACCTATTATGTGGCCGATGACTTTTCATGCGTTGAGAGCTGCGTGAGGAGAAGTGGCAGAAGGTTTCAGGCACGAAACACTGCCAAAACACAAACAGAGTCAGCAACACACCCCATCGAATGGTTTACCGCGAGATAAGTTGTCTTCTCCTTTGAGTTCAGACCCCACATTAGCGATCGGCATGACCGGTAGCGGCTGAGAAGTCAAGCAGTAGAAGCTCTGACCTCATGTGACGTTATAAGAGACAAGCACTCCAGCCACCGGCGACCTCGATATTGACACTTTCTATCTGCTTGGCTAGACATACCATCTTAATCTTATACTCAAAGGTCTCAAAAGCTATCCTTTACATATTCTTCCATAATGTCGACTCAAGCGCCTGGCTTCTACACAGCACCTTCGGACAGAGACACACCACAGCAAGACCGTGGGATGTTCCATCATGAAAGCAAGAAGCATGAGTGCCATCACTACGCTCGCATGTACGGTGGTCAAGCCGCAAGCGCCATGGTAAGTTGAGAGTACACAAAATAAGCCAAAGGCCTCCCAGATGGTGGTTTCAGCTTCGAATCTACACCTCAATGTAGCGATCTCATTGCAGATATGTTGTTGAGCGACGCCCTGATGAGTTCGTTTGCTGCTGGTCCTGCTGGCCCTGTAATGGTCCATGGGTTTCTTGTCATTAGAATCATGCTAACTCGACCCTTTAGATGTGGGGATTTGGTGCCACTTTGGGTGCAGACGCTGCAAATGCTGCCGTGGGAGAAATGAGGGTACGTCTTGCTTTGCTTCCAGTCAGACAACATGATGCTGACGATCATATAGCAATGGTGGAGACATTGAACAGCAGGCTTGCAGTTCCCTTTTCTCATTGACGAATATTACATGAACAAACTTTTACTCGACGCTCGCATGCGACGGAAAGTAACTAATAGGCTGAACTTTTGTTCGAGTAGAAGACCACTTAATAAAGATGTTTCGTCGAAGACAAGCCGCCAATCAATCTCCTTATCATACGTGCAAGTATCGCTATAAGCGTCAGAGAAGGCACAGAGTATCATTCGATCCAACCAAAAGTAGGCACCGGACAGTACTGACAGAAACAATATTCTGGACTCGGTTGGGACGCCCGCCCGAGTTCTTCGGCGATACTGAAAGTGGCAGGCACGCGGTCGGAAGTCGGTCGCGGCAGCCTGAGGCCAACAACGCACCTTCTCTAAATCAAGTATCAAGCATGTGCTGCCTGGACTCAAGTCGCACCTTCGCGCAGATGGCTTTCTCTTTGATGCACATGCTTCTGCACCACGCTTCAATGCAGAACTCGCTCGTTACTGCAATACTACTACCGGCCATCTCCTTATCGGTTGCCGCACTGATCATAGTCGGTGTATACTTCCAGCCTGGTCTGACAGCTACGATGCCTCCCAAGCGTACCAAGAAGGCTCCTGTCGTGCCCAAGACTCAGGGCAGACTCAACTTCGAGCGCCAGCCCAAACCACAGGCCTCGGTCCCGCCCCTCATTCAGGTGCTTTCTCAATACCAGCTTATGATCATGGTCACCGACCAGCTATCCTCGGCCGACATCATCCACCTCACCTCTACATGCAGGGAGATCAAGACATACCTCACCGATGACGAGACAATCTACACCAGGATCAAGGACCGTGCCCTCTGCGACGGCAAGGGTATCGAGGCCAGAGCAAAGCTGGAAGGGAGACGTCACCAAGGCCCAGGTGGAGTGCGAAGGCATAGTATCTGAGCCCTGCGATGGCTGCCATGCCATGGTCTGCAACGTAAGTGCCCCTCTCCCCCTTGTCGGTTCAGGGGCATCCACGCTGCAGAAATGCGCGATATTTTTGAGATCGGTGCAAAAGAACCCCTGAGAGAGCAACTACTAACTACGATCAGAATTGCCGTTACCACATCACGTACCTGGATGACCTGCCCTGCTGCAAGAACGACGCCGAGCACTGGGAGTCTCACGAAGCCGACTTCGCATCTGTCATCGAAACTGTTCGCCTCTGTCATGCCGACCATTGCGGCGAGTGCCCCGACTTCCACTCAGGCAACTTCCCTATCGAAGGTATCAGAGCCGCTCTTCTTGCCGGCGAGCCTCGCGAGCGCCGTTTCTGCACAGACTGCAGACCAGACCTGGACGACGGTGATGGAGATGTAGATGTGGAAGCCATCTGTGACATCATCGCAATGCATGAAATGGATGGTAACTGGTGCTTCTGCACTTTGAGCGAGAAATTCATCGAAGAACGCTGGCTTTGTATTCCATGTTTCTTCAAGCTGGAGACTGAGGCTTACAGTCGCCGCTCAAAGAGAGAGATCTACAAGTGGGAGATGGAGGAAGGTGTCAAGACACGCAAGCACGTCAAGACTGTGAGTTCTGGTGGGTGGCTTTGCGCTGCCAAAGCTAATTCATGATAGGAGTACTTCTGCGATTGTGGCAAAGTCGCCAATGTTGGATGCCTGGCGTTGTGCAGATGGTGCGATGACTACATCAGGACCGCCCAGGTGGATGAGTTCATGGAGTATTAGCAGATCGGTCCACGATGACTCTCGATGATTCGTTGAAGTCTTTGCTACATGTGTATAGCTTATGGAGGATCAAGGCGGTGGCTACAGAGCCCTTACGCTTACGAGAACATGATATACGAATCAAACATGACCATTGTATCTTACTCCTTGACCACTCCATTTATGCGCTGTAGCAATGCACGATAGTTTTGAGAGAGGGGTACTCGCTTGAGGAGAGTGCTTCTCTGGCGAGGCTTCACTGGATCCAGCTCGAGTGCTGAAAACGTTGTGTGTTACCACAAGCAAATTCTGCTCACATACGGGCCCAAGAACGAAATGGATGATTTTGCATGCGTAGTGCCTGTTTTGCACGCGTGTGCTGGATGGCCGTTTCACTCCGTGACACTTTGTGTTTATACAGCTCTGTATAGCACATGAGAAGAAATCAGCAGAGAGAAAAATAAGGACAGGAAGATCAAGTTGTGACCCCCTCAAGCGTGGACTGGTATACCGAAAGCCTCAAGCTGCTTTGTATATCCGACTTGGGCCCATCTGTCTCGCTCCTGTTGATCGGGTAGATACACAATCCCCAGCATACCGGCAGCATTGGCTCCGTAAGGACCCTCGCTACTTCGACGAGGTATAACGGTGATCCAGTCCGCGGTCATGGCTACATTGTAATCTCTGCTGCCTTCACCCAATCTCGCTAGCGTTTCACGCGACATCTCAAGGAGGCGGAGGTATGCTCCATATGCCGTTTTTGTGTCGGCGTGGCTGGGGAGACGGATGGCGAAGTGCTTGAATGGCACGTTTGCTATGTTTGTGGAGACGTCTGGGAGAGTTAGCAAGTTATGTGTGAGGGAGATGGGAGAAACTATGACAGACCATCATAGGAGCAAGCCCTCGAAGGCCACACCGCATGCTCAGGCAGTGGAAACACCTGCGTATGCTTATGTCCCTGCGACGACCCAGCATTGACACCGCAATTGTAAATGATCAACGAAGGCGTCTCGAATGCTTTCAAAACAGACCATGCCGCATTGATATCTGACATGTCCAAATCATCGGTCTGAAGAGCATAGTGTGTGGTAGGAATCACAGTCATTGGTCGAAATATACCCCATTTGTTGACCAGAAGACGATGTGTGGAACCCAATTCCGTTACGATTTCTTCTGGATTTGGGTTGATGAATGGACCACCGGCCTTTTTCCTACTGGGCGCATTTGCGGGAAGGATGGGCTTCTTGTTCAGTATGCCTGCGATGATGAATTGGAACTGATGGTGTGGTCAGTAAACCAGTCTGGGCCATGATATGGACGAAAACTGTTCTTGATTGAAGAAAGGCGGCTCGACTTACATCAAAGCCGTTGATTGTGATCAATTCAGACGGGGCTTCTTCATAGAATATCTTTTCCTGGCTGGCAAGGCTGTCGAATATGGCCAGCGTCTTTTGCTCGAGATTTGGTAGGTGCAAAGGCTCCATTGGACGAAAGTTGAGGGTGACGTGTTTTCAGATTTGGAAACTACGAGAGGTGTTGAAGATTAGAAGTGAAAGGTTGGTGGTTTTCCGTGTGATGAGAGTTGTTTGGCTGTGAATCGCGATTGCTGCTCCTGTCTACGGTGAAACCAACTAGGCTGGCCTCAATGCATAGATTATGTATTGACAATTTGGAAACATCACCATAATTCAGTCGCAGTGGTTTAGTGGTAAAATTCGTGCTTGCCATGCACGAGCCCCGTGTTCGATTCACGGCTGCGACATCACTTTTGCTTCCAGTCTCGGTATTTTTGCGCATATGGAATCAAGCGTTCATCAAGATCGGGAGTATCATGATTGGAAAGCGACAATCACTACTCATAGTTAGGAGTATGTGAAATAGGGCCAAGCTTCATGGAATGTGTGCTCCAGCTACCCGAATCACTTCTGCCTTTCTCCTAGTCACGGTCACGTAAAGATATAAGTCTACAGGGATTCCGTATTTGGGACATTCTGTATCTGTGGCGATGTCAAGACGGCTCACTTTCAATATGAATTAGATGTGAAATGAACTGTAATATTCTATAAGGTATTGTTGACTGTCGTTAGTACATGGGGCAGGATATATCAAGTGCGCACTTTTTGTCGTAAGGTCATCCCTTCCTGTGGAACCCACTTCTCCAGAACCTCGACACTCTGGTCAATGGAGAATGATCGATCATCGTCGGGCAAGAACCTGGGTGTATCGGACTGTATTGACATGACCCTGTCAGCCCATCGCATCAGCCTCTTGACGAGCTCTGGGAAGTCCAGAGCACTCATGCCTCCTCTCATCATGATCATTCGGTGCTGGGCAGGACGGTGTATCAGATTGGCGGCACTCCTGTCACCGTACATGCTCTCATGGAGGGCGATGCGACCGACGGCAAGAATCAACGGATCACTGATGGCGCGGACGGGATCGTTCAGAGCTTCGTTTATGGACCTGACTGCTTGATCACGTAACCAGAGCGCCGTTTCAGGCGGCAGAGCTTTCAGTCGTATCAAGTCGCCGGACGCAAAGAGCAGTCGGACATTGAAGAGAGCGGAGTCCGCGAGAGCGTGTTGGGTCATGAACTGTTCCCACTTCAGTCCTTGTTCATTGGAGATGCGTAATGCGGGCCAGCCGCGAGGCGCAAAGACGGTCAACATGTGATGTAATACTCGATCATACCAAGGTTGGCTGTTGACAGGATAACAGTTGAATGCGTCGCGAATGCCGCTGCCCAGGTCGTGAGGGCTAATGAGTGCGGAATTCGGAGTAGTCAAGCTTGTTCCTGGAGACTGTACTGATGATATCCATGACGAGACCAATGCCGTAGGGCTTGCGATAGCAGAGACTGAAGAAGTAGAGGCCGAGGACAAACTCGCTGGTGCTCGTTTGCGAGACGTCGATGTCTGACTGCTGCGTGCTGCCCGTTTTCGTTTTGTGTTGGATTGCACTGGTGATTCATCCGTGACTTCGGTAGCACGAGACTTGGCGGTAGTCGTTTTTCGTGAAGGACTCGTCTCCCAGATGAACTTTCGATCAGAATAATGATGCGAAGCAGGTGCAACCTCTGGCTCGGAAACACCCGAGCCCTTCTTGCCATCGGTTAATTGGAGAGCAGGAGCAACGTTTGGCTTGTCTGGTGCTTCATACAAAGCCTTTAGGTCGACCGGATAAGAAAATCGAGGGAGTTGTTCCGTCTCGGGAAGTTTTTGGTGGATCTTAGGGCGCGCGCCTGATGCCCATCCCGAGGCAGCGGCCGCACTACGAATGCGCTTTTTGTTCCCTTCCGATGCAGCCTCTTGGGGAGCGGTAACATTGACGAAGGTGAAACGTTGTTGCGAGGTCATATCAGCCTCTGGTAGCCCCAAGGCATGGTACTGAATGGATTGGACGTAGGTGGGATTAGATTAAACAGACAAGGTGGGCTGCTGCAGGGTCTGATTGAAGAGTACAGATCAGATTGAATATGACGGGACTCATGCGAATTTGAGAGGTTGAGACATGAGGCTCAACATGGCCTCAGAAAGCAGTTTGATGGTGATTGGCAATGTTTAAGTTGTCGGAAGGGTCATAGCCTTGTGAAAATCGGTTCACTAGGCCCGGCAGCTCCGGTGTGCAAACTACAAAGGGTTTACTGGATGTTGGATCGGTGTGGGAAAACCGATGAGTGTGGACATCTGGCACAGGGACCGAGGACATCGAGGCTTACGTTAGAGTAGGTGAGTTGACAAAAGGGTTTAGATCTTGACCTAGTCCCAAGCAGGCATGGGCGAATCGGAGGCCAAGGAGCGTCCCAACCACAGGGCCTCGTCATGTAGGCGCATCTGAGCCCTGAGTCGTTTGAGTGCACATGCGAGCTTTGGAATGTTGACCGCATGGGAAGGATCGGGCCTACACGAAGCTCAAGCGAAACAGCGAGAGCCTTGACTCGTGGCAGAGAATTGGCTGATGATGAAGAAGAAGGTGCGAGACGGTGGGCTTTCTTGAACGACGGGCGGCCTTACTGAATTGGGAAAAAGTCGATTGCTTCGCAAAGCTAAAAAGTTAGGGCGGGTCCCTTTCCCCGCAAGGCTGTGAGTGACGATCTTGCTTGGTGCTCTCCGCAGCTGAAGGAAGGAACGCTTGAACGCTCGGTGCATCTGTTCCGGTGGGTTGCGAGCAGGTCAAGGGAACAAAGACTAAACCAACTTGACAGACATCAGCCATGGCGCTCGAGGACGAGTCTCCTGTATCGGTGCAGGATGGAGGCGGTAGCAACAGCAACAGCAGCGGCAAGCGCAAGAGCGACGAGAGCCAGCAACAGCAGCAGCAACGCGCAAAGCGCAATCGCTACATTTCGATAGCCTGGTACGCGACCACTCTACACTCTTCATCCATCAATTCCCAGTCTCCAATCTGTCACACGTCACCATACAGACAACACACTGACGCCCACAAGCAACGAATGCAAGCGACGAAAGATCAAATGCAATGGCCAGACTCCGTGTCAGCGATGCGGCAACCTCGCTCTTGATTGCGTATACGCACCCAACTGCTGCACTTCGAATTTCAAAGATACCGATGAGTACAGGAACATGTCCAACCAGATCGCCTCGCTGCAAGACCAAGTCAATGCCCTCTTCGCCAGCATGAATACCCTACGCGCAGACCTCAATACCCAACAACCACCCATAGATCCTTTCCTACAGCACCAATCTATCTTGCAGCACGACCAAGTCCCCTCCCCAGAAGCCACTCGCAGAAAGAGCATGTCAAGAAGGCCGACCTTTAGGGGCCCTACAAGTCTAGAGTTCAACCTAGGTGTGGCCAAGAACCATTTGGAAAATATGGGCATAGCTCCTGCCGCTCCCGACGACGATGGCCTACGCGAAGAGTCGCCCAATGGAGATGTCTTAGCGACCGCTCCACTGCACGCCAGCAAGGACCCTATTTGGCATGTCAATCGCGAAGAAGCCTTGCGTCTGATACGCGTCTATCAAGATGACATGCACATCATGTACCCTCTCGTCTCCATCCCCGAACTCACTGCATATGTCAATAAGCTATATACCTTCATGGAATCCGCTCAGCGCACTGGCCTCATGATGAGAGCCTTTCCGGGAGCCGACAGTATTGACGATGAAGAGACAAACATCTTGAAGATTGTTATGGCTACTGCAATGGTCGTCGAAGGCTCTGGACGAAGCGATCTTGGACGCTCCATGTATGCCTACGTGCAACCTTCTATTGATGCTCTCTTTCTTGGCGATACAGGTTTGAGAAGTGTACAGCTGCTTGCACTTGCAGTACGATAATCGCCATGACTCATTGTTTCAGCTTACTGATCGTATACAGGCGACTTATCAATTCCATTGCGACAATGAAGGCATCTCATGGCGTATCATAGGACTCACAGCACGCCTTTGTATCGAATTAGGTTTACATCGCAGGGAGACGTACGATCGGATGGAGGAAGAGCCACGGACCATGGCAATGCTCACCTTTTGGTCCGTCTACTGTCTTGATAGGAGATGGAGTTTTGGCACAGGAATGCCGTTTGCTCTGCAGGATTCAGACATCGATCCCAATCTACCTAAGCCGGTATGTTTCGCGTTATTGTTTCCAAATATATCCAAGCTAATCAGAAGCCACAGGGCGACAAATCTCTATACCTTACAGCAATGATCGATCACTTTGCTATTGCCAGCAAGGTACGGCACTTGATCTACTCTGACTCTAGCAGGAGGCAGGTCAGCAAAGAGGATGTAAGCTATCTCGACTTCCAGATTGTCAACTGGCATCGAAGCCTTCCTCGGCAGCTACACTGGGATCGCGAGTCATGGGGTCAGAGCGATACAGATGTCTCTCCTGGGCAGCAACGACTCCGGATTATCCTTTATCTGCGAGCAAACGTCATGCGAGTCATGATCCATCGACCAGTGCTGCATTCGGCGGCGTCTATAATGAGTAATCCCATCCAAGCGCAGACGGTAGTGGATATCGCCAAAGACACGATTCGTATCTTGACGCACATCAACCGAACAAGCAGGATGTATCGAGCGTCGCAAAGCTTGTTCAATGCGTTCCTCACGACTGCTCTGGCAGTTCTGTTCCTTGCAGTATCACACATGCCCGACACGTATGCTGCAGAGGTACGGGAAGAATTCTACATGGCACTCGACCTCGTAAGAGGCATATCAAAAGGTAGCTGGATTAGCAAGAGATTGTGGAAGACTATTCGGCTGCTCAAAGAGGTCGGACCAAAGCTGGGATTGATGACGAGCAACGGGCAGAACGATCCGAACCATTCAGCAGCAGTGGCCATGGCTGGACTCGCAGGACACAAGGTCGATGAAGGAGCATTCTTGAACACTGGTAGCTGGAACAACATGGGAAGTGCATCTTCCAACTCACCAGACGGCATGGTGCAAGACTTGACAAACCTGTTCGAAGCTGCTGGAGGGTATGCCAATGGATTCGGAGGTGGATTCGGGGCAGGAGTGCATCAGTTGGACCCGAGTGGATTTGGTGGGGAAGATGAGTTGAGCAGAATCTTGAGGGATTTATTCTGACGAAGGAATGGACGGATGGGTTGCTACATAGGCAAAGAACAAGACCAGACGAATGAAGACGAATTGCTGACCAGTAGGCATGATATGTACGAGTAGATGAGTTGATGGTCAATAGGATTGAGTTGAAGATGGCGTCCACGTGATGCGGCTCTGCGGAACAGGGCATCAAGTGGCAGGGCTTGGCGACTGGCTTGTCGGGAAACATCCCACTTGGATAGCAAAACAGCTGTATACAAGGCTGTGACGAGTGTCTGCAACAAAAACAAGAAAGAAAAAGAAAATCAAAGTGTGTCTCGAGAAGGTTATCGCCGTGACGCTTCGACTTTGCAGGTGCATGTTCGGCCGTTCACTTTCTAGTGCATAACAACAACAAGACAACGACGCTTCCAGGCCAATAATCTTTCACCCTCCAGTCTGCTGTCGCGCACCGTCCTTGAATCCAACAGCCTCGGCTCACCAACAGCTCCCCTCGCGACTGCACTTTGAGACTTTGAGCCTGCCCAACACGCGCCGACGAACGACCAGCTTCCCCAAAGCCCGCAACTCAACACCGCAATCGTGGATTCACGCGCATACGCTGGCCATGTGGGCCCAGACGACGAGAGCGACATGTCTTCCAGCAGCCAAGTAGCCGAATCCTGGATCAGCGCCTTCTGCAGCCTGGTGGGCCACGAGTACTTTGCTGAGGTCTCCGAGGACTTTGTCGAGGACGACTTCAACCTGACGGGCCTGCAGAGCCAGGTGCCCATGTACAAGGAAGCTCTGGAGATGATCTTGGACGTTGAGCCCGAGGACGACTACAGCGACGAAGAAGACGAGGACGAAGACGACGATTTGGACGACGATGACGAAGAGATGAGGGACGCGGCCGCTTACAGGCGTCAGGAGAGAAGACACATGCGCATGGCCTCGGACCTGTCGGTCATCGAAAGCAGCGCCGAGATGCTGTACGGCCTGATCCACCAGCGCTACATCACCTCGCGCCAGGGCATCCAACAAATGGCCGAGAAGTACGAAGCTGGCCATTTCGGCGCATGCCCGCGTGTCTACTGCGGTCAAGCAAAGGTCCTGCCCGTCGGCTGCAGCGACATCCCTGGTCAGGAAACCGTCAAGCTGTTCTGTCCCAGCTGTCTCGACGTCTACACACCTCCCAACAGTCGCTTCCAATCCGTCGACGGCGCCTTCTTCGGCACAACCTTTGGCTGCCTCTTCTTCATGACCTTCCCTGAACTCCGCGTTGGCGGCACAAGCATCGCCTTTGGCCCTTCGCCCGACCAGGCCGCCGACTTCTCCTCAAACACCACCACCCACCGCAAACGTCGCAGCAGTCTCACAAACGTCAATGACACCTTCTCATCCGCTCCACCAATCGCCGCTCAACCCACCCCTCTGCCTGCCCAACCTGCCACCATCAACGGTTTTGCCGCAGAGAACATGGCTCCCGGCCTAGGCAAGAACAACATCTACGAACCCCGCATCTACGGCTTCCGCGTGAGCGAGTTCGCAAAGAGCGGTCCTAGAATGAAGTGGCTGCGCGAGAAGCCCGTCGATCTGAATCAGCTAGACGAGGTCGCCATCTGGGAACGGGGGAACGCTGGCCAGACCAGAGATGACGATGTCGAATTGATGGACGAAGAGGATGAAGATGACGAGGACGAGGATGCACAAGATGAAGAGGAACCAGCTCAAGGCGCTGGCATGCAGATCAACGCAGCAAACGATGAAAGACGGAAAAATGCCTCGAGGCGAACAGCCACGGCAGCAGATGAGGGCGGTGCTAAGATCGGAAGCGCGGGTTAAATACCCTTTGAGACTGGGAAAGGAAAAGGGGGCAACTTTGGTGTTTGTGGTCTTTCTGCTTGCTTTGACTTCTGTTTCTTCTCTCCTTGATCCCTTTTGCGGTCTCGTTTCATATTCAGCCTCTCTTGCCTTTCTTCTCTCAAGGGGTCAGTCACATCGACTTCTCCTTTAACAATCCCCAAATACTAGACGTCTCCTTTTTTTCCAAGATTGTTCACCTTTTGATTTCTCTCTGCCGCGCCACAATCGCCCCTTCCCCTCCTGTCAACATTAAGACTCCTTCCAAATGGCATGCCAAGCTTATGCATCATGCGCGTCTTTTAACGTATCCTGTTCTTCTACGTCCTCGGATCACTCGCTATCGGTGTCACAGTCAGCTCGACCAACCCCAACTTGACTGCCGGCGGAGTTGGTGCTAAGAGCTCTCCTTGGGTCATCGCCATCCAGTCTGCTGGTATTCCTGCTTTGCCTTCTCATCAATGCTGTCATTTTGACATTTGTCTCTCCGTTGGCTGGCGCTTTTTTGTTTACTGGTTCTTGTTGGGTTTTATGTTTTTTACTGCTCTTGTCTTTTGGTGTATGTGTGTTTGATGATGGTGTTGGCAACTTTGCGGATCTTGTTCTAACGTATCATGCCTCGTCTGCTCTGATCAGGCCTGGATAAATACATGCTTGATGAATCACAAAGACATTCCGACTGAAGCTTCTCCTGTGATGGGGGCTACCAGAAGCTTGTGCTCAAGAAGTGAATAATGTGTGTCTTTTGGATCAAAAGGATCCATCTCGCTAGCTCGAATGCTTGAGCAAGTCACGTTTCACAATCGAACCTCCTAATTCAAACTGCCGACTGCATCTACTAAATGGTCTCGGACTTTCTCTTTCAATCCATGATCAGTAGGACTCAATATCCATCTCGAGTGAGTCCAGTACCGAAAAGCAGTGGGGTATAGAAGGACGCAGTATCACTCGAACAGAGAAAGTAACAAGGAATTCATGTATTACAACAAATCGAGTGAGAATGTGCTTGTCGAATTTGGACTTTGGGAAGGAGTTGTTTTCAATTTGACATTCATGGAGCGCTTTTCATTGTTGGCAACGCAAGGTATACCGATGGCATCGGTGTGCTCAATGTCAAATTTCCTAATGATCGGTCGTCACTGGTGAAAGGCTCTACTTATTGTCCAGGTGCAGAATAAGATCAGAACGTGTACATCCGCAAGCATTGAATCGTGGTCCTTACGAGGGCTCAAGGGGGCTACAAAGGCATGGCGCTATGAACATTGTGATATGGATCCTGCAGCTCAATGTTCAAAGAAGTTCAAGTTTCTTGGAGTGGCATGGATTGGTATGCTTTTCATGACCTTCATGGTGTTACAGTCTGACTTTCTTTTGTCAATGTTGCTGACTGACATGCTGCTGGTGTCGTAATCTTCGTGGCAGACGTTCTCCGTATCATCTCTTTACGAGTGCTTCTGAACATGAGCGTTGTTCTTGAACATGAAGCCCGAAGTTCTCTTGTCAGCGCCGGTGCGCTTGCTGATCTTTCCATCATTTGCAAAGACCAGGACCAGCAGTCCTGCGACACCGAGCATCATGTGTGACAAAGCGCCGGCGACTAGTATTCCAGAAAGCTGAGCGTTGGTGCTGGAGATGTACATCAGGATACCGGTCGAGAGGTGGTAGAGCAGGGTTGCGATGGTGGTGGCCGAGGAGTCTGGTGTACACGTTAGTATCAGGAGTTGAACAGCATGGTGGGTGATGGTAGCGTACAGGGAGAGACGGCGGTGGCAGAAGCGCCCGGCACGTTCTCAGCATCGTCCCAGAGACGGTGCAGCTCGCCAGAGAAGAGCAGTGCAAGGAAGGAGCACAAGAGCAGAGCAAAGCCCAATTCACGTGCAACCAGAGTCTCGAAGGCTGAAACCGTCTTGGGCTCGGACGAGGCCATCCAGGCGGCCATGCTAGGGCTCAGGAGGAGAGGTGCTGCCTCAAGGGCGAGCAGGGCTGCCGTTGCCTGGTTGTAGATGCGGAAGTTCTGTTTCGAGTCAATAAGGCTGCTGTGGAGCTGCCACTGTCGGCATTACTTACGTCCATGGTTGGAATGTTGAGTTCGGAGTTTGCTGATGTGCGTTTGTTAGGTGAGAGTAAAAGATCAAGTTGGAGCCACCTAAGATGTTTGCTCGTCGTTCGTTCAATCTCTCCTTCCCTGCTTTGCGGACTTGCTTGCGAGAGCTTGCCCGGCAGGAGCGGCAGAACCCTGATGACGTACACTCTCACTTACCGCCTTTGACCATCAAAACCACCATAGCTCGTGAGGCTGCGAAACAGCTAAGCTATGAGAACAATCGTCGAGAGCAACTGTTGTGTGTTTGTCTAGGGAGCCTGTGTATATATCTGATAGCTATCGTTCAAACTTTGCCTTTGCTCCTTGCTGCAACAACCATGTCAAAATGTTCGGTACACCAATACGATTCGTCATTTTGCGGGGGGTCTCGATTTATAGTATCATCATCGTCATCGCATTCGACTTCAACCTCATACCGCGAGCCCGCACGCTGTCTCTATTTTATTGCTCATGTCGAGTCTTGCTTTAAAGTCGAAACCCTGTCTACGGCTTTTTGATAGTCCAAAACCAATCTTCTGTTCCTACAGATCTTTTCCCATCTCTCGATCTTTCATACACAGTGCAGTCCGTAGATACAGTATGGATGCCAACCAGAACAACGATTCGAACAAGAAGACATATCACAAGAAGGCCACGGGTGCTGCTCTCAAGACAGTTGAGAAGCATTCTGCTGACCATGAACTCAAACTCTTCGGAAGCTGCTTCTGGTACGTGATCACCTTTCGTTTGGAATGACTTGGCTGTGGTCTTCGTTGCTTTCATCGATCCCCTGGGGCACGGCGAGGAATAACAGAGAAGTCAAATCATTTCCCCTGTCCCAAGAGAGAAAGAGACGATCAATCCAGCCCCAAACACCAAAGTCATGAGTGCTTCAAGCCATGCCTGAATTGGCATTCAACTTTGCAGCTTGCATGACAAACGCTAACACAGTCGACTGCACAGCCCCTTCGTGCAGAGAGTTTGGATTTCCCTTGAAGTAAAGCAGCTCGACTATGAGTATATTGAGGTAAGCCCCCTGGGACCTGAGTCGTGAGGGTCGGGTCCGGACTCAACCCCGAATGCCGTTGTGAGGGGTCCTGCACTTCCTGGCTCTCGCTAGAGCTCGTCTATTCGAGCCTTTTCAGGTCATTTTCCATCAGTTTTCTGCGAATATTAGACTGGTCCATGGTATTGGGATCATCTTAGGCGTTGCATTGCGCTCAGACACATACATTGCAGCGTCAGCGGTGCAGAGCATCTTAGATGAATCATACTAACATCGGACCGTGTACAGGTCGATCCATACAAGAAGCCACAACAACTGCTCGAAGTCAATCCACGAGGTCTAGTCCCAGCCCTCAGGCATGGTGACTGGGGCTGTTATGAGTCGACCGTCCTGATGGAATGTACGTTCATTGAAAGCACACACTCAGCGGGACAGCTTTACTTTTTTGACCAGCATGGATGAGGTCGCGTCTGGGACGCCATTTCATCAAGGCTGGACTCGAGTTGTGAGCTGACTCGCTGGAAAATACCTTATTCCATTCTTTACAGAACTTGGCTAACTGTACCTTCACCCTCAGATGTTGAGGCCCCCCCTGGTTTCTTGGAAGATGGCACAGGCTGACTAGGGCAACGTATAGCTCGAAGATTTGCAGAAGGGTGAGGCCTTGCTGCCTTCGGACCCAAAGTTGAGGGCGCATTCTCGCCTGTGGTCTGACCATGTAAGATCGACCAATCCAGACGGGGAAACTAATGTTCCGAGCTGAACGACTTCAACAGGTAAATCGCAGTATCGTGCCAGGCTTCTACCGTTATTTGCAGGCCCAGGACGAGAAAGCTCAGATTGAGAATGCGGAGGAGCTCAAGGAGCAAATCTCCAAGTTGGTTGATGCCGCAGACAAGTCTGGTCCGTTCTTCCTCGGCGACAAGATGACATTCGTGGACGTTCAGGTAGGGCGTTTCTCCCCCATTCAAGTTCGAGGGCTAGATGCTGATCCGTCTTAGATGGCGCCATGGGTGGTTCGCCTACGTAAAGTGCTCCAGCCATACAGGGGCTGGCCCGAGCCTGAGGCAGGTAGTCGCTGGGCAAAATGGGTCGATGCTATTGAGCAGGATCATGCTGTGAGGGCAACAACGAGCACTGATGAACTCTACCTGGACAGTTACGAGCGTTACGCGGGTAAGTACCGTGATCATTCCTACCCGGCCATCAGATGCCGGTACGGGGCTCGCCTTTGCGGAGCCATGATTGCTAACCCCATACGATTTAGAAAATCGCCCAAACACTTCTCAGGTACAAAGGGCTATCAACTCTGGCCGCGGACTTCCCTGAGGCTCTTTTGAAATGTCTCACCTCGGACTTGACCGAGAGGGCGTTCGACCGTTTCAACGGTATCCTGACTCGAGGCATCACGAGCGGAAGGGGTCTCCAGATTGTCGTCCAACGAGTCATTTTGTACGGAGCAAAGGGATTTGATGTCGACATTGTGTCTTTAGCTTTATGTCGGTCCATACAGAACCATTTTCTGTACTCTGCAGACTTCAAAATGATGTTCGAGCAATTAGAAAGTGTCGATTAGGTTGAAAAGGCCCGAGAAGTGCATCACCGCATGCCTAGAGCCTCAAACTTTATGTCGAACCGAGACTAAAAGTGAGCTCGCTTGAACAACAAGAGCTCATGACTGTCTGCATGATACATGAGGAGCGATGACCTGAGAGTGATGTGTTACAGTCAGAGATGCCCAAGCCTAGTGGTATGTACAAGCCGCGGTGAGATGTGCAGAAGAAAAACGAATATGCGAGGCGGAGTCCTAAACAAAGTTCAATGGAGTCGCAAGAGCGTCTGTTGACCCTGAGGCGCAATGCTCGTCAACCCGGTACCCGCGCGCAAGGGCAGCATTAGTCAATGGCAAGGGTTTAGGCACGATCTGCCCCGGCCCCCAGGAGGGGCACTACGTGTAAGAGTGGTGGTGCGGAGGGTGAGGACGTGGATCCCAAACTGCACCTCTAGAGACGGCTTCAAAGCCTCAACGACCAACCAGAGTCGAGGGGGGAATGGCGGCAGATCGGGTCTCAACTCCTTGCTACAAGTACTACTTTAGATAGAGTTACGCATTCATGTATGGTGTCGGTAGTGTTCCTAGTCTTTGCGCGCTTTCTTACGCTGTCCCCGAATAGGATCGAGCATCTTGAGAACGGACATGGGTCCCGGAGGATTTTGGTGGAGAGGCTTTCTGATGATGCGAGTTTTAAGTACTCTTAAATTGTGAGTCGAGAGTGTCGCAGGCGCAAATCATAGCAGCAAGACAGACGCTTTGCCGTAGTGGCCGACGGCGAGACGGGCGGGTGTGGTGATGTGAGATGGATTGGGTCACCGACACGAGTATCAGGATCCGCTTTGAAGAGTCGAAACGATCGTGCGTAGCAGTTGATCAGTCGCAGGTTGTTCTCAATATATTGAATGATGTACACAATGTCATCGTCTCTTGAAGGATTCATAAACTGGTATTGACTCGTATGAACTAGTTCAGTGACAGGCGAGCAAATCCGAAGATGTTTGCCATTGTTTCTCTTGGGTTGGTTTCAACACAGGGTCCTGGCGGGGTCACGAGCGGCTGAATCAGGACCAGAATCTGGGTAATGGTCAACAAGTCAGCTCGCTCACCTTGACAAGACCCTTTGGCAAGATTGAGACAGATCCCTGCAGCCATACAAACCTATGACAAGCGCTTCACGAAATCCAGACAATCGCCAGACACACCTCAGCTGGCATGTCGGCTCTGCAGGGAAGTTGTCAAAGGTACCGAGAAAAGGTACACCACTTGAGTACATGTACGAGGCGCCCCGCAATATGGCGGGTAATGCTATGTCGGCACAGCAAGGTTGGTTCGAAGGAAAGGGTTCGTTCGGATCCGTTCATATTCCTGCGATTCCTCCCTTCCGAAGCGAATTCCGCGGATCTCAATGATAGGGTCCCTGTGGTTGAACTCGAAGGCTGAAATGGGGGTGGCCTCGACCTGCCACATTGGAGGGTTGATATTTACACATAAGCCATAGACCAAAATCCTTGCAACCGCCAGAATACGCTGCAAGGGCGGTAATGTTCCAACAAAATCATACGGGCGTAAGAAGGTGAGGCTCACGGAGGAGCCCTCCGGGATACCCGTTCGCCGATCGTTCTGAATTGGGGTTGGAACGCTTTTCGCTTACGATTGCTTTGTTTGAGTCGGTGAGTTGCTGCGATGGAGCATTCATGAATCCGTTACACGTCTTCCGCGCCACCCCATCACTGTGGCTCTCGTCGGAATCGCCGGCCTTGTTGGCCCCTTCGCAATCTACTTTTGTGAGTGTTGACTTGGCTGTGGCAGATTTGATATTGACAACGAGATCGGTCGATCCTTGCAAGCACCGATTTACATTGTTGCTACGAGGAGCGAGAAGTGGGCCAGGAGTAAACATTTGCTTGGGTATCATCGCTTGATGATCTGTATTCGATAGCTACTTCTAGTACACAGTGCTATGCCACAGCAGCTTTGGTGCGGCCAACCCCCTTTGCCCTTCTGTCGATAGTTGTGCGCCAGGTGTGGATCGCACACTGGCCATCCGCATTATACAATAGTTTTATGCGTGACCTTGTGAAAAAGAAAGGAAATCAGAAACCCCCAACGCTCGCGTAATGCTTTTTAGTGATACATGAGACCCGACATGCAAGTCCGCCTTGCTTGCCAATGTGGTCAACCTTCGAAAATGAATCCTCCTCAGCCAGCATTAGGGGAACAAAGTATGAGGCAGAATCGAAACTGGGTATATGTGCGTGCAGAAAAGACAAAAAGACAAAACATAAAAGAGGAGCCGTGCAGACATTGAGGAATCGTAAGAGATGATCAGTGAGACCATGGAATGGGAAAGCAGTCTAGCAGGAGTCCTCGCCAGACATGCGTCGGTGATCACTGGCAGCCAGAGCTAGAGTGTCAAGGCCGTTAGAAAGACCGGGTGAGGGATAGCTGTAGTGGAGGTCTGGGTCTTGCACAAGGCTGGTTTGGGGAGGAAGGAAGTCCAGCGAGCTGGGATAGCTGGAGCGGTAGAGCGGAGGCCTTGTGTTGTTGAAGTCGGAGAGAATGGGTTGAGGAAGAGGTTGAATGGGGTCTGGGTTGATGTAGTAAGGGCTAGTCGACATGATGGGTTGCTGAGCTGACTGGAATTGGTGTTGGTGTTGAGGTATTTGTTGCGGGGGCTGAGATTGGTGCTCCTCTAGTTGAGCAACGGCAGCAGCTTCCAGAGGGCCAGAGATGGACTTGCGCGGGGCAGGCTTGGTTGACTTCTTGACACGACCGTCTGTCGAAGACTTGGAAGGGCCGCGTACATTTTGGTGGGTACGACGGTGTTGTTCCATGTTGTCCTTGCGAGTAAAGGCCTTGTTGCACTCGGGACAGAAAGCGTCCTTCTTGCCAGTGTGCTTCTTGGCGTGACGGGCGGCATGGCCGGATGTGGTGAAGAAGTCGCTGCAGTTGTAGTGCTTAGCCAAAGGGCAGGGATACTGGTTCTTCTTGGTGGAAGACTTGTTGGCGGCAGGGGCGCGTGATGACTCGGAGACAGGCGAGTTGGAGCTGCGTTGATAAGACAGCGCCATGGGTTGCGACATGGCTGGCGTTGTTGATGATGCGGGCTGCGAGACGGGCATTGGATAAGGCGCAACGGCCTGCGAGTCCGGGACCGGAGGGTAGATGGAGGACGTCGAGTCATCCATTTTGGCAAATGAGGCAGGTCCGGCGAAATAAAGAGAGTGGGCCGACTTGGAATGATGCAAGTGGTCGAAGGATGTTGGAGGTGGTGTGAGAGGTGAGAGTGGAAGATGGCGGGAATCCGACGATTCGCTTCTCACCAATCGGGGAGTTTGTGGGGAAACGCTGGGCGTCGACGAAGCCAAACTTGGCGAGCGCGAGTGCGAGTGCGTAGCCCGGTAGTAGACGCTCAGCGGCGGCAGACGGGGCAATACGGCGGCAGTGTGCGAGTCGTCGTTGAGCAATGATACCTTCCTTCCGATGCTGTTTTTACCGTCCATCATGAGGAAACGAGTCTTGGGCCAATCTGCGGAATGAAGACCGCAGAAGATATACACTTGAAGGTGGGACTGCAAAAGCCTAAGCTAGAAGTATCGATGGTCGAGAGAGGTGATGTTTGATTGTTTGATTGAGGGAGTGTGTGTGAACGGGTTGAGTGTCAAATGGTGAGGGTGTAGAGACAGGTGCGAATGTAACAGGCCTTGAAGAGAACGAACACTTTCAAGGCTCTTGATGGACGAGGGCAACGGGTACTTTATGAAGGGGAGACAACGCACGGCGCGCGAGGGGATGCCGCAAGCTTCCCACTCGACTTTACTCGGTCGTGGAGCACTTTGACCACAGGTCGGATCCTGTTATGGTAAAGCCGGGATGGCCAACCCAATTACTACCCTGGAAAGCCACGAACGGCCGAGTTGTCCCATAGACGGGATCGTCATATTCGCCGCGGACGGCCAGCGCCATCCACCGTCTGCGCCGGGAGACATGCATGCTTGAACGCAACCTTATCGCAACAAGCGCCCGTTCATACGCCAGCCCTGCCTGACAGAAATAATAGCGGGGCCCTGAAGGAACAATCGCCGATTTGAACGGAAGCCCTCTCCTGCAAGCTTGCTACTGGTCTTGCAAGCTGCATGGTCTTACCGACCACCCCCTAAGCCCGATCCCTGCCAGCCGCCTGGGATGCTCGATTTCGACTGCAGCCAGCGAAACCGCCGCTGCTGACTGGTGATCTCACAATCAATTTGTGCCTTGGAGCTAGGAGTGCCTTCCTGCACCTGCGCACGCGAAATCCTCCTGACTCGCTCGTTTCGAGCCAACTGGTGCTGCCATCTTTTACACATGCATCCATGCGACATCTGCGTGTCAATTCAGCCTGCACAACCACGCGGGCAACACATACCACACACCTCCATGCACAAGCTGCTCAGTCCGTCTGAGGTGCTCGCTGACCCGAGCCCCGAGGTCGCGACAAATTGACTCTGCTGCACCTCATGGATATTTCCTATCTCGCTTTCGCGTCGGCAATTTTCGTCATGATGGCTATTTGCCATTGCACGACTGTAGCAGTGTAGCTTCCTTACAGACTTTGTGCGTTAATCCGCATCCGGTAGGCGCATGCTCGAGATATTCTCATCGCTGGCATCACAAGGTGTGGGTAGAACTGTTCGGCCCTGCATATGGTCTTACCAGATTAAGTCAAGTCCCTTTCCAAGGGCCCTGTCAATCCTCGCCCCCACTTCTGTCATTCAGCGTCGATGTCTGCCAATTCTCGATCCACCTCTCTAGGTCATCTCTTCCTAGCCGCGTTTTTCTGCAACAGAGAATAATCCTTCGACTAGCACCGGCACAACCGCTCGAGAATTCTTGCTTCATCGCTGTCTACCAAGATTCCAACGTACCCATCGTCGCAGTATTGACAATCCTTGGATCTCCATCTGTTGCCATCAGGTTTTTAGCTTTGCTTTTAGAACGGAGACCTTCCCCATTTGTGCATGTCGATGTTTGGTCCACAGGGTCTTGCGGCTCTTCCTGCACAACACACACTAAAGGCCCTAACTTGTTTCACCTAGCGTCTTCGATATCGGTCCCCTGCTTTCACTCTCCTAAACGTCTGTCGCAGTCAACCGACTACTGATCTCTGGAGAGTAATCATTTAATCGACCCCTACGCTAGGGCCAACTCATGACGTTGTTGTCTTCCATTGACTGTCATTTCGTCAACCAGCGTTAGGAGATGGAGCTTCGGCGGCGCCAGGGACTAAATTCCATGCATTGGGTTGGTTGAATTGATTGGTCTCCCCTCAAATCACTACGCAAAGCATAACCAATTGACTGGAATCTCCGGGGACCACTCCTGGGACGGATCTGCTTCTTCGAATGTTTCTTTGTTTTTGCTTTTGCCGTTCCTCTCGCCGGAACGTTCGTCCTCCGGACTTGAATTCCTACAGCCTCAATTCTGCATCCCAAAACATAAATTCTCATGCCCTCTGGCTACGCTTTGGTATGTCGGCGCACGTCTGACCATCGTGCGAGCCTGCTGTCGCTGTCCTGACTTGCCTATGACGTCGCTGTCGTATTATTGTTCGCGTCTCAGAATTCGAGAAAATTTAATGTCAAGACCCGCAGAGCCGCCTGCGCCCAACTGCGCGCACGGTGTCAGGGACTGGCTGCCATCGCCGATGTTGTAGTGATCGTCGCTGTCAGCACTGGTCCCTGGAAGAAATCCCTGCTTTCGCTCTTCCATCGTCCCGAGGTCAATTTTACTAGGCGACTCAGCCTCGAAAGAAGATATTCGATCGATCTTCCAGTGAATGTGTGAAACAGATTTCCAAGATCTAGCGAGTCGCGACTGCAACTCATCTTCTCTTCACGCTCGCATACCTCACTGATCCTATGCTCGATCGCCTGCTCAAGCTACAGAGGCTGGAACGAAGCAAAGCAGTCTTGCTGAGCAAGACCCATAGCTCTCCCCATATCGCTTACCGTGCCATGCTTTGTTAATGTGGCTTCAGCCTCTCCGCACGTGGTCAGGGCCAACTCGCACCCCCGTTTCGGCTCTTAGCTTCTCAGGTAGCTTTATCCTAAGATTTCTCAGGGAAACGGATCTCGATGGCATGCAGAATTGCAGTAAAACTCTGCACACCCGAATCATGACCAAAAGCCTACCTAAACCACCTTCCGGTTTGGTGGGATAGTTGCGTTTATCATCGGTAGATGGTAAACAGTCTCACAACGATCCTTCATCCGCACTCGGACATGTAGTGCGGATGAATGTGACGAAAAGAGTCCAATTTGCGGATCATGGCGATTCACAACCTGCATGGAAGTTGGTTTTGCATGATCCTTTTGCGGAACTTCTACAAGATCGTTTTAGCTAGACAGATCAGCACAATAGACACCTTGCCCAACCGTTGTACACCTCGATTGTACACCTAAAAATGGCCCGATCGGGAAGGTGGAGACAGCAACCTGTATCGCGGTGGTACAGATGCTGTATCATGGCTTCCACCTTTTAAAATGGCCTAATTGGGAAATCGATGTTCATCACTTGGCGGCTTCGTAGGAGCGACCTCTCCCATTCGCCAAAATATGTGGGTTTAGACCCTGTTACATCAGTCCCGCACACGTTTCAAAATGCCGATCGGGGAGGTGTAAAAAGTCGTAAGGTGTACAAAACCGAGGTGTAAATCGGTGGGCAAGGTGTCTAATGTGCAAACAATGATAAGAATCTGCTTCACGCATACCCGAATTTCCCATGTGTTGTCTGCGCGTCTGAACGAAGACATTGATGTCATTCTTGTATTCCCAGTGAACGCAATATTAAAACACCACCAACCTAACCCCGCGCGAGAAACTTTGTTGGTATGTCACCCACGTAGATTGCATGAGTTCCGCGCTTCTTTAGGAGAGGGGCTGGCAACCATAAAGTCTCCACAGTTTTACGGACTTTGCGAGAGAGAGGTCAACTACCGCCGTTGGAAACATCTCCGGGTAGTTCGGTTTCGGATCAAGGTACTGTTCCTTTCCGCCAAGTTGGTAGTGGACCAGCAAGATTGTTGATTACTTGGTGTATTACTCGATGCCAAACTACGCGAAGAGAACTGACCCTTGAAGTCTATGATCCATAATCTTTGGATGCCCGTCGCTTAAACTCTTACCAGTCAGCTTCTCCGATGATCGAGCTCGATCAGCAATTCTGGCTTTCAAGAGTTGTGAGATGCCGCTCTCCTTTGAAATATGGCCGCGTAAGCGAAACATTTGAAATTGCAAAACACGAGAAAAATCAGGAAGTGTGTGTCTCGGATCACCAACTAGAAAGCCCTTTCGATTACGAGCTCGCACACATGGGCTGTCGATGCACACTTCCAAGCCAAGCTGTATAGCCTCACGTTGGAGCGGTGACTTGGGCGCGCGGAGCCGCCGGATCTCGCGCCTGCCTCGTTTGTATCTCGCGCGACGACACACGATCTTCTCATACATTCTGAGCGACCGACCATCTGAAATTCCAAACACGATCGTAACAAGCAGTATGACATGACGTGAGCATCTCGAAACATGAACATTGAATTGCCGAACACGAGCATCGATGGATGCTCCGTATCATCTCGCTCTCTCTTGCAGTTGATCAAGGGGAAGAGACGGAGTCTGTTGTATCGAGCTAACAGCGAGTGCTCGATTGTACTGCACAAGCGTTCAAAGCTCTAGGATGAGGCTCGTACCATATCATGGTGAAGGTCATGTCCATCTAGCGCGGACTTGCAGCCCGCTTCTCAACCTATCGAGCCGCAAGAAGCAGAATGTACAAGATTTCCCTGCATGCTTGCCAGCTGCCGTACTTGATCGGGGGTCACACTTCCATCCTTTTACACAACAGCTAGCTTGCCGTAGTACCTCTTAACCAGACGACAGATCGTTACCACGACCCGGCTCCTATCACATACGCGTGTTGATTCGATGGTATGGCCGTTGACACCGCGCAAAGGATATCACTACAAGACAAAGCCACTTCCAGACCTATTAGGATCAGCTGCCTACTTGTTAGTACACACAACAATGCATCTCAACCTTCACAGAGCCGCACGTCTTTAGGTAAAGTCCCCGACTACAATACCTTTTAAGGGCTATGCACGGCACCGTGGGCCTAAAAGCGCGACTGTTGGGCGGCAGTCTCCAATAGGAAATGTAGCAGGCCAGTTCTTACGTTTGTCGAGGTCGCGAACCAATGCCCAAGCTGTTTGGTTGACGGACAGGTAGGCGGCGCACGAAACTTCAGCTCTTTGTACACGTACCCTGACCATCCTCTAGCCAGCCTACGGTCGCTCCGAAACAGATTCCCCATACGCAGAAGATGCATGGTCAAGACTCAAGCGGCTGAAGAAAGTCATTTTTGCTGTGACCAACTGCCGGCGGCGCGTTTGACTGATAAATGGCAAAATGTTGGATTACCTTGGCGCTGCATGGGAATTTGCTACAATGCGACCATTTTACAAGTATCCACTTCTGGTATGCGACGGACTTGTTTACCGAAAACCATGTGACGCATCCGGCGTGACGTGAAGGCAACAGCAGGCGGTGTGCTCCGTACGGGGGTACCACAACGAGACGACTGCTCGAGTATGACATACAACGGCATGGAATGCAGAACGAGACAGGTCTGGAAGGCAGGGCAGAAATCTGTAGCCAAAAAAAAAAGAATCCGTATTACTGTCACGGTCTAGACAAGTCTTCACCTCGAGTACGGGGTAAGTTGAGATGGAACAATGCGACAGTGCAGGAGGACGTAAGCACGCTGCTAGGGATTTCCAGGTGCATGAGCGCCACAGGGTCGAACAGGATGCAAGTCGTCTGCCGTGCTGAGACGGAGAAGAGCAGGATTTGAGCGAGGAGACATGTCCGCTGGACGGGCTATTTTGGGGAGCAAAGCGCGAGTCCATGGAAAGATGTGAACTGTTCACTGCTCATGCGAACCTTGGGAAGCCGTTGCGCGATGGTCGGACATATGAAGCTGGTTGATAATGCTATTGCATAGTACTGGCAGCAACGCTTCTCGATGTAATGGGCTGACGAGGGTCTGGAAAGCAACATGCTGGCGCATCTGTCATCGACTCACCCGAGACATGTCAGGGTGCTGTCGCGTAAGCACTCGACATAATGTGACAGGGTCTACGATATTGGACGCAATGTGAACGGGAGGGGCACGCTCGAGCATTCGCTGCATGTGATGTCGCTGCCGTCCTCGCATGAGCTGCTTGGTAAGCATCTGGCATTTACCTGCTTTCTCGGGGCATGTCGGTGTGTATTGCGGTGCTGTCTCCATCGTGACGATTCGACCAATGCAGGGACGCCCGGTGTAGCGAGCCCAGATTGATGATGGGATTGTGAAGCACGACATTTATGAACCATAGCTTGACAATTACTCTGAATAGGCCCATCTGGCCATATCAAGGTACAGAGGGCTCTCAAGTTCAAACATGAATTGAATTCTTGACATAGCTAGGTGTTTTGTAGTGCATAAAGGAAAGATGAAAATTCATGAACCTGTATTGGGGGCAACCCTGTATCGATTGCCGGCGTCATCGTAGCTTCCAAAATTCCGATCCTTGTCTCATGAACATTTATCCTCTCAATCAACAGTGAGCATCGGCCAACCATGGGTCTCGAAGACTTTGAGAAAGAGCTAGCAGCCACCAAGAGCAAGGAGTCGGATCGCAAGCGACACAGTACCAGAGACGACAGAGAAGGCCACGGCGACGAAGAACGACGACGTCACCGGCACCACCACCGCTCTTCGCGCCATGACGAGTCAGACAGTAGACACAAACGCCGCCACCACCGCGAAAGAGACGATGACGAAGACCGACGAGAGCGACACTCTAAGCGCAGGCGCAGTCGTTCGCCGCGACCCGCTCGCCCTCAGGAAGATGATGACCAAGAGGATGACGATTGGGTCGAGAAAGAAGCCATGACTGCACCGCCGACCGAGGACACTCTGGACGAGCAATTGGAAGCTGCGACCGACAAGAACTTGAAGCGCGACACATGGATGGAGGCCCCATCAGCACTCAATGTCGAATATATCCAACGCCAGCGCCCGAAGTCTCCGCCCTCACAGTTCGTCTCTGCCAAAGACCAACTCGATCGCAAAATACACCGTCAAGACCTGGACCAACTTGCCAGAGATCTGGAGGAAGATGATGAAGAGGTCCAAGATGCACCGCCCGTAGACGATGAGCCCATCCATCACGAGGTATCCTACACTTTCGGCGATCAAGGTTCACAATGGCGTATGACCAAGCTGAACGCTGTCTATCGTCAAGCCAAAGAGTCCGGTCGTTCTGAAGACGAAGTCGCCATGGAACGCTTTGGGTCTTTAAGAGATTTTGACGATGCGCGCGAGGAAGAGCGTGAATTGGACCGTCGCCAGATGTATGGCAAGGACTATGTCGGCCTTGAGAAGCCCAGTGGTGAACTATACGCCGAGCGGAAACAAAAGGCTGGTTTGCATCGGCAATCGCCCGAACGCGTTGCCAACATTTCTGTGCCTCAACAAGCCAATCCCAGTCAGGGCCAGGTCATGGACGAGGCTCCTGCACCAGCAACCACGGTAGCTCTCGATCAAACCGCTTTGAACAGGCTCAAAGCACAATTGATGAAGGCCAAGCTGCGGAAAGCACCGAATCTCGCTGCACTAGAGGCCGAGTATGAAGCTGCTGCTACTGCCTCTGCTGCCAACAATAAGCAATCGGACGTAGTAGTTCTCAGCGCAGTTGAGAACCGTATGCTCGCTGGTGGCCGCGGCAATGAGGTAAAGCACATTGAAAACAAGCGTGGCCGTGAGCGTGGTCACGTAGAGGAAAATGAAGATATGAGCATAGAAGACATGGTGCGTCAAGAACGACGTACCCGAGGAATGGCTGGTGGTGAGGGCAAAGCTTTCGCGGAGCGCATTGCCAAAGACGCAAAATTCACTGACGACCTTGATTACATGGACGAGAATGCCTCTAAACTGGCCAAACGGGTTGGCAAGTCAGAGATCAACCTTCGTAACACTGCCATCGGGGACTTCCAAAAGATGCAAAAGGTCCTCGACTCGTGTCCCTTGTGCCACCACGAAGACACAAATACACCCCCGTCAGCACCTATAGTCTCACTAGCCACACGGGTGTACATGACGTTACAGACAGAGCCAGAGCTTGCAGCTGGTGGCGCCGTTATTGTACCAATCCAGCACCATCTCAATCTGCTGGAATGTGATGACGACGAATGGGAAGAGATCCGGAACTTCATGAAGAGTTTGACTCGAATGTATTACGAGCGTGAAAGGGGCGTCATCTTCTACGAAAACGCAGCTCACATGCACAGTCGTCGTGGCCACGCAGCTCTCTTTGCTGTCCCTGTACCTCTCCATCTCGCCGACAATGCGCCTGCTTTCTTTAAAGAAGCCATTCTCAGTGCTGACGAGGAGTGGAGTCAACACAAGAAGCTCATCGACACACTCGCCAACTCACAACGTCCCGGATATGGCAAGCAAGCATTCAGGAAGAGTCTTGTCAAGGAGATGCCATACTTCCACGTTTGGTTCACATTGGATGGTGGTATGGGCCACGTAATCGAGGACGAACGCAGGTGGCCGAAGGGTGATCTATTCGCAAGAGAAGTCATTGGAGGCATGCTGAGGAAGGGGCCAGAAATCATCAAGAAGCAGGGCAGGTGGACCAGACAAGATCCCAGAGTGGAAAGCTTCAGGAAACGTTGGGAGAAGTTTGATTGGACGAGCGTGCTGATGGGTTGAGCGAAGCTGGATAATGCTAGGATCGATACGACCTCCGTATGACATGACTTACATGGTCTTCATCTGTCCATACATCTGGATGTCCCCATCTACTGTAAATTACTGCCAGCCGCTATACAGTATGTAATTGTAAAGGGACACGTCTCCGTCTTCCAGACCAGGATAATCGATAAAAATTCGTGCCTGTGTGATGTCTGATGTCTGGCCTGGAAAGTCGGGCGTGAGACTGAAAAAGAAAAAGGGAAAGCACAACCCTGACCTTCTCGCTTGTTGTCCGGGGTGACCCTGATTACCACCTTATCAGAAAATCTTCTTGGCTTCCACCTCAGACATCGCTTTGTCACCGTCAATAACATATCGAGTCCCTCTTCATTAGCGCGTACAAACGCACCATCACAGCCTTTGATCAATTGTACGTTTCGTGAATATTTTTGTAAGTTGTGGAAAAGTATTGGCGAGATTCTGATTCGGCCTCAACAGACTTGCCAACCCGCATCAAATCTATACCCGCCAGGTTACAATTCATCACAAGCATTCGCAACTGGTACACTTTCGGTGACCGTCTTTTTCTGCTGCCGAGCGATATGTTTTCCGATTTCAACAAAATGGCACTACACTTTTTCAAAAGGGTTGGCATATCACAATCACCAACCTTTGCCTCCCCGACAGCCCACATCCGGACCTTTGCACTCTCTCAGACATATTTCGGCCGCTCCTTGGATCCAATCATTAAACGACAGCAGATGGATCGCTACAACGAAAGAAGACGCAACAGACGCCGCACAGATCCAGAATACGCGGCGAAAGAACTCAAAGGGTATCGCGAGCGGCCTCCTCACGAGAATTGGGGTTTCAGAAATCGCGAACTCGCTCTCGAAGCAAAGCGCATGGCACACATGAGACGGAAAGCCGAAGACCCGTTGTATACGTTGCGAACGAGGATTCGTACTACATTGGCCACACATAGCTGGATGAGGGAATCTCTGCCTTGGAAAACCCATGTGCCTGTGCTGTATGAGGACAAGGTCGAACACAACTGTGGCAAGTGCTTGGTCTCCAGACATGGAGGGTTAAAGTTTTGGTACGTGTGCACATGACATGAACGACTTGATGGCTCCTTTTCCCGCTTCTCATTGGAATCCACAGCATCTGATCGCAGACCCCTTTGGATCTCTTGATATACTGACTGTGTCATTATCTTGCAGGTGGCAAGAACGACAAGACACATCCAAATTCCTCTGCCACAAGTGTTATTTCACAGGCCCGGAATCGATGCCTGAAGGATATGAAGATTGCACAAAAACCAGCGAGATAACCGCGCGCGCGGGAATAAAATCGTAGTAGGATCGGTTGTGCAACTATCTGATCAGGAATTGGACATCTCAGCTCATCCGTGGCACCCTGTAAAATTCCCCACCAAATAGGCAAGATGACTTTCGGAATTCGCCATTTGTCCAGCGAGAGCCACGCAAAAAACATACTCTCACTGGGCACACACTATATCCAGGACAGAATCTTGCCCTTTGATGGGCTTGTTCAGGGGTGGACACCACACCATAGCCGAGATGAAAAAAGACGAGGTGAAAACGTGAAATTTTGATCGCTAATCTAAAGAGTGTATCAAACGCTAGAGTATACCAGAGACATAATATTTTATCCGAGGCGCCAACCTATATCAAAGCCGAAAGAACGAGTGTACACGAAAAGTAGAGGATAAGAAGGAGCAACTACGACTCTGAGACGACCACATCTTCGATACCAGTGACAATCGCCGACGCACTGCCATAACACCTGAGCATGATATTGAAGTTGCCGTCGAAGCCACTGTTTACTGTTCCGGTTCCAGTAATGCTTTGGAAAGCTGCGTCGCCGTTGCCGTACTTTGTCTGAGCGAACAGTATGCCGAAGCCGTTGGAGTCGACGAGGTATACTTGCAAACTGCAAGTGGCGCCATCGGCGGGAAGGCCAGAGGGGTAGTTGAGCAACAGGCCCATGGAGAGGTTGTAAGTCTTGCCAGCCTGGACGCTCGCGGGTTGTTGCAACAGGGCAGCTTGGGAATTTGAATCACCGCCAGCGGGGAATTTGATGACACTGTTTAGCGATGGTTAGCTGTTGTTCGGGCTTGCCAAGGTCTGCAGAGGAACTTACGAGACATAGGCATTGGGATCGCCTTGGATTGCGAATGTAGGGTTGCCGAGACGATAGAGGGCCCAGCCCGAGAAGTCGCCGGTACCGAAGTTGCCGTTGGTAAGCATGTTGTTTGCTGTTGCGCTGCCACCTGCGGCCGAAGATGTTGTTGAGGGGCTCGAGGCAGTTGTGCTTGCAACGCGCGCCGCGGCTGAAGTCGCAGCAGCGGACGTGGTTGCAGCACTGCCAGCGTCCGAGACGAGAAGCTGGATGTTACCAAAGCCTAGGGCGAAGCTTGCTGCCGAAGAACTAGCGCTGTTACAGTAGGTATCAATCTGGAACCTGCCAGTAAAAGCTTGCGATAGTTGGCCAGAAGCAGTGTCGGAAAGAACAGCACCGCTGGTGGAGACGGCACCATATTGCTTAAGGATGATGCTGTCACTACCCAGACTGTACTTGACCACGCAAGAAACTCCAGCAGGAAGTCCGCTTGGGTAGTTGAGGTAGACATCGGCGTTAAGCTGCCAGGCAGAGTTGGCTGGAATGCTAACGTTCTGGTAGAGCTGACCACTTGCGTTGTCGTTGGCGGCCAATGCATACTTGACAAGTGCTTCGTAGTTCGAGTCGCCAGCGAGCGAAGCTACCGAGAACTTGGTACCGTATGCACGAGCTCCGTGCCATCCGTTGGTGGAACCCCCGTTGAAGTTGCCGTTTGTGATGATGTTGCTTCCAGTGGAAGCGGTGTTCGAGTTGGTAGACGGCGAAGAGGTCTCGCTTGATATAGCATTGCTTGTTGAAGTCTGAGAGTCGGAAGCTGATCGTGTGGAAACGGAGGTGGGGGCTTTCTGGTTGGCGACAACGTCCGAAGTAGGATCAGTAGGGATGGCGACGGCGGAAGAAAATGCAGAACTCAAAGTGCTGGAGACCACTGCACTGGAAGAGGAGCCTGTAGCCGAGGAAGTGATTGTCGATGAAGTAGAAATAGTAGAGTGAGTGGAGGAGCTTGAAGAAGCCGTGGATCTTGCCGAAGTGGAACTTGAGCTGATTTTAAAAGAGCTGCTGCTGCTCTGCTTGGTCGAAACAGGAGTCCAAGTTGACTTCTCGCTTGTGACACTTGTAGATCTAGCAGTGGTCTTGAGTGTTGATGTCGATGACTTCAGTACTGTGGAAGAAGTCTTCTTGCTCGTTGACTGAACGAGTGTAGATGTTGGCTTGGACGACGTCTTCTGACTTGAGGTGCTTGACTTCTTGGTGGAAGATGACTTGCTTGATGAAGAAGAAGCTTTGGTGACGACCAAGGCCTGCTTGAAGGTAGTCTTCTTGACCGAAGTTGTGGCCTTTTTTGTGGAAGAGGAGATCTTTTTCGTTGACGAAGTTACTTTCTTTGTAGAAGAAGCCTTCTTTGCGGAGCTGGTGGTCTTCTTCGCTGCGGCGACAGAAGATGATGAAGCGGATGCTTGGATACATTTACAGGCATTGCTGACTTGGGCGACACTTAGACCCTTGACCGTAGATGTGGAGTGCTTGCTGGAGAGCCATGATTTGCAGTATGGTACTGGCTGCTTGTTGCTGTTCTTGACAGTCTTGACATCGTTGGCATTGCAGGCTGCGTGTGGTCAGTGGATGGATTCTCTGCTTCCTTTAACAGCAACATACTTGTAGCAGCTCTAGGCTGTAGGTTCTCATCAAGAGGAAAAGCAGATACGTAAGGAGCGGTGAGGAGAGAAAGGCAAACGAGAGACTGGAAAGTTGGAATATGCATCTTGAAGGAGAGACTGAGTACGAGTAGTTCGACGATATGGGAAAGAGCGAACTACAAGATGAAGAAATACCTAAATACAGAGCCACGTGCGGTAGAAACGCCATGTCTTATAACGACTAGCCACCAGCGTCACTTTGGGACATTTTCAGCACGTTTTTTGTATTTGAAGTCAAGCAGAATCTGGAGCGAGGCAAGCAGAAACGGGACACAAGGGGACTGGAATCTATAAAACGTTGTGGACGTTGCAGGGAGTTGAGTACGGACCGAGGCGGCAATTGAACTCAGACACATGGACAAATACAAAGATCAGTAATCGTTCAAGACACAATGTTGAACTGTGTCATGTTTATTTGCGATCAGGATGACAAAAGGAGGGAATGCGACTTTTGACTCGAAGTTCGATGATGATGAAGAAGAAGAAGAGGTGGAAGTGCAGCAAGAGGTGGAGGAAGGAGCATCCCCAGGAAAGCTTGGCGCCTCGTGGTGGTCGTCTCCCTTGCAGCTTGCTAGTCATTGGGCGTCCGGATGCTTCTTCTGTCTCATAACAGCAATCTTCAGCACAACGGTTTAAACTGATTGTATCCGTACCAGACTCGGCTTCCGAATCAGAACACCCGCTCTCGGCACACCGCCTTCTTCGAATCGTGGTTCAGCCAAGCCTTTGCCGTTTGCCCAAGCAGCAGCAGCTTCACCAACTCCGGCCGACCTCTATCACCAAACACACGCAACCTCGTCATGGCACTCGTTTCTAGCGCTCTCAACATCTTTGGTGCCGTGCTGCTAGCACACGCGTACGTTGTCCATATCGCCCGGCGCCGCTCTCCGCACATCCAACTGACACAAGCTATAGCGTCTACAGCGCCCATGAGCACTCAACCCTAGCCACCCTCGCTGGCGGTGTCCCCGTATCACCAGTCCATTCATACATCATGCCTCAAATCGACCTGCCGCTGGACATCACCTTGGAGACTTTGACGGCAGTCCTGCTGCTCTGCGTCGGCATCGTTATAGGCAGCCCCGAGCTGAAGCCCATCCAATGGCGCGTATGGGCCGGCAAGCTTGAGAAGGAGAAGAGCTCAAAGACACAGAGCATCAACGGAGACCCTCTGGGACCTAGAGGAAACCCCTACGCAGCATTGGAGCAGAGACAGGGCTTCCTCGACATCAGAGCTCAGCGCAAGGACTTTGCTGATTGGGTCAAGAGTGGCAGCAGCAAGAAGTGATGATTTGTACATGTATATACCCACCACCAATCCGTCAATCATGACTGCCTTCAGTATATGGCAGAAGGCTTCTCTTCCATCCCGCATTGACCTCTTGGTATGCCTATGACTTCTTCGTGGGGAGGAGGCATATTTTTCAGCCTCGCCCATGTCGGATTCCGACTTGGGGACATTCCACGCTTCCTGGATCGGAAGCCGTCCGACGCGGCGTGTCTTCTCTGCTGGCAGAGGCTGTGGTGTTGGCCGTATTGCTTGATCTTGCTTTTTGTTCTCTTTCAACCCTCGTCCTGGACGTCCTGGACGTCCTGAAAAGCGGGCTGGACAGATTTAGGAAACTCTAACCAGTTATTCCAGAGAGCGATGACCTTGCCCTTGATAAGAGCTAGAGGGACGGGACCGTAAATTCTCGAGTCGCGTGAGGCAGGCAGATTGTCGCCGACAAGCCAACAATGACCAGTTGGGACCTGCATCAGCAAATCGTCAGCTAGTGACACAAAGGCACATGGAGAAGCATATGCATACCTGTATCATAGTACCATCTCCTTGATCAGGTGTGTCCCTTAGCACAAAGTCACCGGGCATACCAATCACTCTCTTGATGGCATTCATTTCGCTTTGAACGGGATGCTTGAACGAGACCATGTCGCCGACCTCAATGCCCCGTCCGCGACGGTAATATTTGGATATGATGACGGTCGTGCCACTTGCGTTCAGGGTGGGAAGCATTGATGGACCCCATGTTGCCCTCCAGGTAAAGAAGTGGTCGAAGAAGATGTGCATGCTAATGTAAGCCATAAGTCCATAGCCAAAAGTCCTTGCGAAGACATGGCCATTCGGGTAGCGTTCGCGCAAGGGAGCCTTGGGCTGTGGGCTGCGTTTGGTCGCTGTGACGGTGTATCCGAAGATTGACAGGTTTCGTCGTCGCAGTCCAGGTGTGGACGTCCTATTCGGCAGGCCGCCTCGTTGCGCGAGCAGTAGTCGTCGCAGCATGTCGACTTAATCGCTATCCAAATAATTAATTCTGGCATGTCGATGCGATCATGCATCAACCCTGACATGCTTCGTCACAAGCTTGGACCATCATGCCTTTTTCTCCGACATCACAACCGTCACTTGATCTTCCACATCCAAATCACCAAACTGACCTATTTTGTAGTTAGAGAAAAGAGATGGCGCAATCACTTCCTGATGATCAAGCATCCAAGCTAGATTCTGCAATTCGCGATCTCATCATCAACTACCATGAGTTGAATGCGACTGTCATAGATGAACTCTACGAAGAACCAAGTGCTCTCGAGTTTATGCAATATGTCGCTCGCAATCGGCCATTCGTCGTAAGAAAAGGTGCCGAAGACTGGACTGCTGTCCAAAAATGGGACTCGCATTATCTACTCAGCGTTCTTGGTGACAGCCTCGTCAATGTAGCCATTACTCCATTTGGGTAGGTGCCACTTCGTCCTTCTTTCCTTCTTGCCATCTCTCCAGAAAGAAGTCAACCCTTTCTCTTCTGCACCTTGTCTCATTTCTCACTTCTCACTTCTCACTTCTCTCCCCTTTTCATACTTCCTCTTTTGTTGCCAGCATTGACACGCAAAAAGCAACGCAGACGCCGTGCTGAAAGAAGATGATGGTTCGTTATCCTACGTAAAGCCCCTCGAAAGACTCGAGCCCTTCGACAAGGTCATCCGCTATATCTCAGAGCAAGAATCGAATCAAGAAAAAGCAACACCCATCAAGTATGCCCAGACGCGTATGTTCTCTTCAATCTTCTCCCTTCCACGGCCGTTCTGATCTCCTGCCAACCATAGAGAACGACAATCTCCGCAACGAATACTCCTCCCTCTTCGAAGACGTCCCCTCAGACATCCCTTTCGCTCGCATCGCCCTCCGCAAGAACCCCGAGGCTGTGAACTTCTGGCTCGGCAATAGCCTGTCCACGACCTCCCTCCACAAAGACAACTACGAAAACATCTATGTCCAAGTCCGAGGCCAAAAACACTTCGTCATCATGCCTCCTGTTGCTGCCGCTGCTGTGAACGAGCAGAGTATCTCCGGCACAACATATACTTCGACAAATGGGGACGAAGAGGCAGAGTTGAAAGTAGAGGATTTGAAGCACACACTTGACGAGCCTGAATTGATCGTGCCGGTGCCGACTTGGGATCCGGACTTCCCTGATGTTCGATCCACACCGTATTCGGAGCTTGTCAAACCGTTGAGAGTTACCTTGAATGAGGGTGATATGATGTACTTGCCTGCTCAGTGGTATCACAAGGTCGAGCAGAGTTGCGGTGATGAAGGATACTGCTGTGCTGTCAACTACTGGTTAGTCTTCCCTGATCTTGCTCCTTTCCCTTTTGCTGCAACGTACGGATCTACGATTTTGTTTGAAACAAAATACGGATTTTACTGACCGAAATTCATCAGGTACGACATGGAGTTCGGCGGATCCTTCTGGGCCTCGAATGCCTTTGCCCGCGATATCGCTAGGGCTGTCAACAACTAGACGACTACAACGACATAAAAAAGACTGTACTTGCTGAAGTCATGCGTGCTCTCGTTGGAGACTACTTCAACACTACAAAAGATTGTGCGAGTCTACAGTCTTGTTTCCGGTGAATCTAATGTACCAGGAGCCATGACTCCTTTGTAGAATCATCATTTGTGACTATATGCTCTATTCTGCTTGGATGGTTCCTCCCCCTCGGCTGACTGAGTGAGAGGTCGCCGTCTAAATACACAATGCTTCCTCGGGTCGAATAAATGTCCAAAGAGAGGCCTCATGCCTCATTTTCAGCCGTATCGGAAGTGTCTTGCATTCTCCTGATCATAGGACAAGCGGTTATGGTTCGTCATCCGAACTCTACCTTAGGTGCAATAGGGCAGATTTAACTTCCTCTCTACCTTTGGCGCAGATTGGTTCAAAATAGAACTCTTCAAAAAGATAGCCTTCCTCGTCGAGGTCATCGTCATCGACCTGGTATAATTCCTCAATTGTGACTTCGCTAAGGGAGAAGTTGTTCCGGAGCCAGGGGATAACCAGGTCCCAGGTTCCACGACGCAGAGCAATTTGAGTGAGCTCTAGGCTCTGGAGCGTGCGGAAACTGCCGCCCAATATACACACGAGGCCATACTGCGAGATTGGAAAGCCGCTGAGTCTGAGCTTTTTCAGTCCATGCCTGAGACCTTCGCAAAGAAGATCGTCGACGGTTCTGATAGAAGCCTTTTCCAGTCTATATCCGGTGCTACCCGGGACACAGCGCAAGGAAACCGTGACGTCCTCAAGCTGGCGACTGATCGAAAGCATCGCTCCTAGAGACTTCAAAGATTTTTCGGACGGCAGATCCGTGAAGTCAATGCAGAGAGTCTTGATCATGCTGAAGGCGCCTAGTACGTGCCCTAGATCGATGACACATTCAGGAGAGTCCAGCTCACAGTCCGAGATATCGCAGTCGTGTTTGATGTGCAAGCCATTGATACGGCATCCAGAACGAAATGCTGCGTTTGCAAGTACACGCATCGAAGACCTCAGACGTCCGTTGCACTTGGATAGCCATTTGAATGCGTGGTCTCTGTAGGCTCTTTTGGCTCCGATTTCCATGGGACTTAGGCAATCGGTCGCCGAAAGTAGCACAGACTGGCCCCGTTCCTTGAGTGATTTGAGCGCCGTGGTGAGGAGCTGAGTGCCCTCGCCACTCTGTTCAAGAGTGAATTCCTCATGACACTGTTTAGCGTATACTTGTAGGATATGATAGGCATTGTTCAGGCCTTCTAGACCGCCAGTTTTGAAAGAGTTCTGGAAGTCTTTGAGAGGTTGGGTGATGTCTTCTGGTCGGGCACGTGTGGTCAAAAGGCCGACCTCCCGCACGTACTGTCCGAATATGGGGTGCTGGCAGACACGCACAAGAGCATCAAGAGTGTACCGGGTCATGGAGACATTGACTGTTTTGAAGCAGAGTCTCGCCAACTCTTTCGAGGCAAAGACGCTGAGAAGTTTGTTGGTGATTCTTAGTTGCTGGCAGTCTTCTACTCCTAAGTGATCCACGACTCGCGCGATCATCTCGTTGGGCAGCGTAATCAGGGTTGGAGATGACATGGTCGGTACTTGCTATGGATCTTGTTAGAGATCTTTTGATGAGTATCTGATGTCAAATGCTTACGGAATGATCAAGGTGCGATGGCTATAGCCAATGTAGTACGGCTCGAACTGTGATGGCTGTGTTGTATGATGTGGTGTTGTGTTGTGTGATAGGATGAATCCAGTTGGATGATGTCGAAAAGAGGTATAGTTTGGAAGGTTAGGAGCTTTAAATAGCTGGGCTGATGAGGAAAGAATGTAGTGAATTCAGATTTGAGCGATGGAAGTGATAGAGCTCTGAATTCTGTCGGATGTTCCGACCTTCGAGTGAAATCGGAGTAAGGTGAGGTGGAAAAGGGCGTGATGATAGGGCGTGTCAGTTTGTTGTAAGAGATGGAATCGGCGCTGATGATTTAGTGAATGTCGAGTGAAAGCGTAGTTGAAATGGTAGTGACTAGTAAAAAAAGGGTGAGTCTGGACGAAAGCCATGTGAAGACCTGAACTTGGAAGCAAACAAGTTAAAAACTAAACCCACTGTGGAACCGGCATGATAGCGAGTTGCAATTATATTGCAAGAGTTGTGGGTGTAAGATCGGCGACGAGGCCTGTCTCTTGATAAGAATTCAGTCCGAGGAAGCGTTGTGTATCCGAATAGTTACTTCCCACTCTGGCGATGCGGGAACTATTCAAACAAAACACACTTGGCGGAGCCATTGCTGAAGCAGAAGGAGCATTGGGCGCTTTGTTGACCAGCTTGGCTTTATGGTTTTTCCATTCCTCTCGAAGAAGGAGCTCTCAACTTCCACTCTTTACTTGCAGCGTCAAAGATGTGCGTAAGTATCGAACAAATGACATTTTCATAAAGCTCTTACAGCCTTTGTTCTCCGGCTAACCGACCGCGAAACGCCAAACATCCATAGCCAGTAGAATAAATCAATTAAATACAAGCGGGAAATGGTCATGATCTTAGTGCTGCGCAACTTTCCAGCCTTCCTTGACCATCGACTTGACAAAGTACGAAACACCTAGTAAAAGGCCGCAGCCAGCAAGAGCGAGACCTGTGAAGAACGCGCAACGGACACCCCATATCGAATCTGTGATTGTGCCATCATGAGTCATGACTGAGACCTCGACTGTGCCGGCGATACCCAACGCCAGTGAGATGGAGTAGTTGACCATGGTATTGACCAACGACGCCGCAAGACCTTGATGCTCGCGAGGCATGTGGTTGGAGAGAATGACGGTGGCGGCAGGGAAGGACATATCCATACCAAAAGGCATGATGAGGATTGAGACGAACATTTGCGGCCAGTAAGATTGGTTGACAGGCATAAAGGCAGTGATGACCTGACCCACAAAGAAAGCCAGCATGGCGATCAACATTGTGAATGATACAGGAGTATGCGTGAGCATGAACCCGGTAGCACCTGCAGCGATGAGTCCGCATACCAAGGCGGGCGTGAATTGAGCAGAAACGTTGAGCGGCGACAAGTGACGGAACTCTTCGAGGAAGCGCCATGAGTAGTAGATCCAGATTCCGAAACTGCCCCAACCGATGCCGATCAAAGCCATGGTGTAAGTGACTGTTGCGTTGAAGGCGGAGACAGGCAGAAGGGGAGACGAAGCCCGACGTTCTACCCACAAGAACGCTACCAGTACCAGGAGTCCGATGATGAGAACAAAGTATACATGAGGTGTGGACCATCCGTACAAGGGTCCATTGTTGAATGCAATGTTGACAAGTACAAGTCCAATGACACCCAGCGCACTGCCGGTCCAGTCAAAACCGGGTACATGCGTGACGCCTGCGAATTGAGCCTCCTTGGCTAGCTGTTTAGGCACGACGAGCAGTGAGAAAGCTGACATGCCGAATGCTGCGGCACCGTAACTCCAGAAAGTCCAGGGCCACCACGTGGTTTGCGAGAAGAGAGCTCCGAAGAGCGCACCGATCACAAACCCCCATGGTGCCATGGCGCCGAACAACGCAAAGGTGAGATTCTTCTTGATACCAGGAGGGTATGCGCGTCCGAGCAGTGCGAGAGCGTTGGGAGCCAGTAACGCACTGCCGATGCCTTGCATGCCTCTGCAGACGTCGAAGAAGATCTGTCTGCCGACGTAAGCACTGAACCCGGCAAATCCGGACCAGATTCCAAGAAACAGGTACCCGAACACAAACACGCGTTTATGACCGAGGATGTCACCAAGTCGACCGGCGATCAGGATAAATGTACCGGTGGTGAGACTGTATGCGGCTGAGAACCATGCTTCTTGACCAGGATTGTTGACACCCAATCCAGCTGAGATGATTTTGACCGGTGCAATTGCTTGGCCCAGACCTGCAAGACAGAAAAATTGTGCGAGGACAACTGCCGCTATAAAGCAGAATTCGTGAAATCCGCCGATCTTGAGTTCCGGATGATCATTTGTTGGTGGTCCTTGAGGTGGAGGCATGTGTTCTATAGATACATTCCCCAGAGCTTCGTATGGTTCCAGTTTTCCTGCAGCCTGAAGCAAGAGTGAATTTGTCGAGTTACGCCGTCCATTAGTGTAAATGGCGGGGATCTGTGGGACTTTCTCCATACTCTGATGTAGCCAGCTATCAGTAGCCAGTAGTTCACTACGAGAATGTACAGATATGTGCTTGGAGTTATGGCGGGATGATGACGCGGAAGGTGTTACAGGTGTGTCCAGCGGTGATACCGGGCCATGGTTGTATTCGTCATACGTTGCACCCATGACGGGCTCCTGGATGTCTTTATGGTCCTTCAGGAACTGCGGGAAATCGTCCATTGGCGATGGCACCTTGGTGGTAGCTGTTGATGGCTTTATACAGTTAGCAAACGATCTGTTTTGGTGATATCAGGATACATACCACGTTGAAGCCTGGCTCGGGGCTCACTTTACCCATTCGTGCGATTGCTTGAAGGGGATCGAATAGAGGCTGTGGGTTCGATAGTGTATAGGGAAGTTTGTGAAGTTCAAGGATTGAAAGAGTTCGGAAGATAAGAAAATACGGATATGAGCATGATATAGAGATGAAGACAGCCAAAGGCGTGCCCCTCTTTTCTTTCCACAGTCCCACAGTTCTTCCTACCTGTAGTAGCACACTTACGGATGCATAGCTTACTTACATGGATGGATAGCTTCATCATAGGTGCAAGTTAGTTGACCGCATCGCAGGTAAGCTCGATTTGGAAGCGGGTCGCTGCAGGCTGTGGGCATCTCGACCATCGACCACGATCTCGCGGGACCATGCATAGCATGCAAGGAGCGTCACGTAACTTGAATGGGTGGGATTAGGCATCTGGAGGAGGAGAGCCGAAGTTGAAGGAGCAGGACCTGGGCTGCCACGTCCCAACTCCAGGATGCGAGAACCGCAGAAGTGAGGGCCAAGGACGTGATCAATGGTTAAAACAAGAGGTCGCTTCCAAGCTTCTGATGCAGACATGCATGTGCCGCGTACCTTGGCACAATCCCGAAGTAGAAGTGGATACGGGTGGATATCACAAAACACGCTTTTGTCTTCCTCGAGGTCTCGTCTTGTGCGTTGCAAGCACCACAAGCCCAGCCAGCCACGAGGCGAAGAAGAGCAAGCCAAGCTGAAGCCCGTCAGCTGGAACACAAGATATACCGCCAAGGTGAACAGCAGTCAGGACGCCTTTATATCGCTGCTTGGTAGTCAGACGTTCGAGGGTCATTCTTGACGTCTTGACACATGCCGATACGTTTTCCCACGCAGACCAAGCACAGCCCACAGAGCGGCGTGTGTCGTTTGCTGTTGCTATGGTATGCAGTGTGACAATGCAGACCGGGACATGTATACGCCGAGTACGTCGGTGTGAGATATGCCTTGGCTGTGGAAGGCGTTCTTTCTGTTCTGGTTCGCTCTTCTTCCACATCGGGCTGTATCGCATCAAATTTAGGCTTCGTCGTCCCCAGAGCAAAAAGTCCGAAGCCTCAGCTCCATTCAAAGCCTGTTGGAGTAACGCTGTTGCCCATCAACTCTATATTTGCAAGGCATGCTGTCAAGGATACTCGAATACAAGCAGACAAGTCACCAGCTCCTTCAATCGAACCGTGTCTATGTAAAGAAACGACTGCATCACTCGATCTAATGGTGAGTGGTCGGAGGATCGGCGAAAAGGAGTGGGCCAAGAATGTTCCGGTTTCCACTTTACACCTGCATGAGCTTGCCAATAGCTTCGGACGTGTGCTTAATATTAGATGTGGCTTTTGAGTTTCTCACGGATAGACATGGGAACCCGCAAAGGACAAACAAAATCCTCCGATCTGGTCTTGCGCTGACCGAATTGAGCATCAATCGTGCAAGAGAAGCCGGCAAATGCGCCAACCTGACTGGGTACACTTGCCGCGGTTAAGCATCTCGCTTCATGAGAGCAGGGCGATATCCTAACATTTCCCTTCACTCGCATCTTGACTCGTGAGAAGTATGCAAACCTTCATGCGTCCTGGAAAAATGTCTCATCTTGAAATGGGATGGTCTGAAAGCCAGGGCTAATACGGCCTCAAGACAGACAGGGACACAAACAAACTCGTTGCAAATTGACAAGACTCGGGAAAACAATTGGGTACAGACAACAGATGCACTCAATCACAAAACATGGCAGCGAGAGAATAGATAGGAGATTATAACTTGAAAGACTGGTATTAGGGTACAAAAGCTAAGGAAACCGATTTTCTGAATGAATGCAGGATAAGAACACTCCACCATTATCACTCGCATGTTATGTTGCTGGGGTATAACGTCTCTTTTCATATCCTCCTTCCTCTTCGCAACTGCCGTGCGGCAGTGGTATCATGACGGTAAAAAACATCGCGAAACAGAATAACCAAAGAAAGTAAACATCAGGTGAGACGCTTAAACACGACCCTGGAAGACGGGGTTGTTCTTGCCGAAGAAGGTGTGCTGAGTCTCGTCACCCTGGACAGCACCAGTGGTGCCAGTGGTGCCGGTAGTGCCGGTGGCAGTACCGGTAGTGGCATCGTGGAAGGCGCGGTCGACCTCGCCACCAAAGTTACCAGCACCAGTGGACTCGCGAGTGGTACCCATAGGACCCTCGCCAGCAGCGTAGTGAGATGAGCCCTGGTGGTAGCCAGTGGTGTTGGTGGTGTTCTGGTCATAGCCAGTGCCAGTGGTGTTGCCACTACGGACGGGAACCTGACCAGTAAGACCAGCAGTGTTAGAACCACCGTGGTAACCAGTGCTGCCCTGAGAACCGTAACCGGACTGAGAGCCGTAGCCAGTGTTGCCCGAAGAGCTGAGACCACCGCTGGGGCCAGTCTCAGAGGATCCGTTAAATCCAGAGCCATACTGGTCGGTGCCGAGGTTGTTGGGACCACGAACACCCTCCTGGTTGACGCGGTGGGGCTTGCGGCTGATGGCAGCCATCTTGGGCAGGTTGGAAGTCTCCCTAGCAGAACCAATGCTGAAGATGGGGGACTCCCACTTGTCGCCCTTAGCGGCAAGCTCCTTGTACTCGGTAGCCTTGGTGCTGATACCGCCGGGAAGGGAGATGTTCTTGAAGATGCTGTCGTGCTGGGTGACGGCCATGTTGACCTTCTTATCGGCAGCGACCTCATCCTTCTTTTGCTTGCCCTTGGTGAACTTCTGCTGGGCGGCGGTGGCGTAGCGCTGGTAGATGTTCTGGATGTTCTCGGGGTCGGGGTTGTTCCTGGCCTGAGCCTCAGCCTTCTTGGCCTCCTGGTGGATGGCGAAGAGCATCTCGTCGAGCTGGTGGATGTTGTTGCGGATCTGGGTCTCTGCAACCTTCTGGATAGCAGGACGCATAACCTTGAGGAGAAGAGGCTTGAACATGTTGAAGAGAAGCTTGTGGTTGGACTGCTTCAGCTTGATGTTGATGTTCTTGATGTCAACGTGGACAGAGTTGACCTTGAAGAAGTGCTTGCTGTCGGTCTTGTCTGCAGTCTCCATGGCGACCTTGAAACTAAGACCGGTACCACCAAGGAAGATGTCCATGACACCCTTGTCAGTAATACTGGGGAAGCCCTCCTTCTTCTTGATGTAGTAGCTGACGTCGCGAAGGTCGCACTGGACGCCCGAGACGGAAAGCATGACCTTGTTCTTGTTCTTGCTAGTGATGGACTTGCGGCCCCAGCGCCAGTAGTTGTCGCTGCCGAACTCCATGACGTTGGGAGCAAGGTTGTCACCCTCGAGGACGAGGTTCTCGACGATAGCGTCCATCATGGGGTCGGAGTACTCGATGCGAGGAATAGGGACATAGCGGATGGACTCGAAGAGACCGGGGAGGATAACCTCGGTCAAATCCTTGATGAGATGAGGCTTGAACTGAGCCTGGCCGTTCTCATCCTGACCGAGGTCGAGGAAGAGCTTCTGGACAGCATCACCGAAGGCGACATTCTGTCTGTCCTGGTTGAACTGATCGATGTAGAACTTGAACTCATCGGCAATTCTGTCGGTGTGGTTGCGGTAGCGGTCACGGAGGAGGAACTCGCCCTGGTCGTAGAGCTTGTTCCACTCCTCGGTGGAAGAGTCTTGGAGGACGTAGCCTTGCTCCTTGAGGCACTTGCGGATGTACTTGTTCATGTGAGTGAACCAGCCCTTAAGCTCGGGATCACTGTCGGCATCGCGGTAGATGACGTTGATGGAGTCGAACATGTCGTCCAACGAGGTGCCGTTGGCGAAGCGCTCGATGAGAGTCTTGAAGTTGGTCAGCATGTGTTGGTTGTTCATCTTGAACTCTAGAACATACCTTGAGGTCAGCTTCAGCCATCTGCAGACTGTCATCCTTGTGGGCACCTTTCACGGTTCCCTGGCTCTGGTTGGCCAGGTTCTTAGTGTGGCCGGAGTACTGCTCGGCAAGGCGAAGGAGGGTATCAATAGCCTGCTGGTCTGAGGAAAGGGTTAGCGACTGGCAGGAGGGGTTGATGTGGAAGGCATTGAACACTTACAGTCTTGGTGGCCCTGGATCTCGGCGACCATCTTCTTCAAGCGGTAGATGCCCTGGTCGCGGCGCTCCTGAGGAATCTTGTCCTTCATGTAGTTGGTGGTGCGCTCCCTGGCGTTGCGAGCCTTCTCCTGAGTCTCGTCGGGGATGTTCTCGCGAGCAGTCTGGTGGAGCTGGTCAGCACCCTGCTGAAGACCCTTGCCGGCATCGACACCAGAGTTGGTACCCTGTTGCTGGTCGCGGGCGGCGAGCTCAGCAGCGTGGGCGGGGTCACGAGAGCCGCTAGGGTGAGCGGCCTGGGCAGCATCACCAAGAGCACCCTTAGCCTCCTGCTTGTTGAACGGCTTCTGCTCGTTGTACTTGGACCTAGCCTGGTTCTTAAGGTTATCCTTGGAAAGGTCGGGAACATCGTGCCAGGTGTTGTCCTCGGCAGGTTTGTCAATCTGGTTGAGCTCATCCTCGGAAGGGTTGACCTTGTTGGCCGCCTTCTGAGCGGCATCACCGGCCATGTCTCTGAAGAGAATGCTGGCATCGCTCACTGGAAGTTGTTAGAACAGACATTGTTGAGTTGAAGAGATCAAACTTACAAAGCTTGCGGAATTGACCGTTGGACAGGATGAGCGTTCCGAGGGTACGCAGGCCGTCAAGGGCCTCGTTACCGTGCTGCTTGGCGGTTTCCTTGTCGACAGGAGCGTTAGGAGTGCCGGCATTGCCGCCAGAGATCTGCTGGGTTTGCCAAATGAAGTCCTGAAGAAGGTTGCCCTCGTTCTTCGTCAAGAGGAGAAGCTTGGCCTGCTCAACAACCTCGCGCAAATCACCAACAAGCTTCTGACCCTCTGTTGAGAGCTTCTTTGAAGGGTTTGAGAGCGGTCGCGATGCGAGAGCGCTGTTCATAGCAACATCAATTTGCTTGTTTGATGGGACCTTGCCATTGGAAAAGGCTGAGCGGAGCACATGTTAGCATATTGACATGGCTGATAATGTCGCATCGGTGAAAGAACTTACCAGAGAAGATTCCATAGAGCTGGAGCTTGTTGTTAACATCCTGCTCCTTGATCTTGGTGTTCGTAGGAACGTTGACCGACGCAGAGGGCGCCATGATGAATCTACTGTGGTGGGTTGTAGGAATTAACTGTGATGTTCTGGGGTATCTGGATGTGAGAGGTAGAAGTCGTAATCGTCAATCAGATGAAATTAACAAGTAACGTGGCGGGTATCGTGGAAGGGGGTATCTAAACTGCAAAGGAGAAAAGACGTGGAATTAGAATGGTGTTTTGCAGCAAGGAAACACGATGGGTTTTGAGAGAAGGGAGCGTTGCTAGACCACCTGCCACGAAATTCCTGACGTCACCGCGCCTTCCCCAAAACGGGCGCGCCCGATCGATTTACCTCTTGCCGTTGATTTACCTCTAGCGTCACCATCACAGAACCTTGGTTTCCCCAGAACCTGTCGTTCGGCCAGCTTGCCAAATGCCAACTGTTTCCATCCAGCAGAGGATGAGCTTCCTGCGACTTGTGTGCTTTGCCTCACTTTTCACAGCTGCTATACATGTCGCGCGTAATCCACGTCCAACGCAAGACAAAAGGGGGATTGACAGACCACTGCATGCATGAAAACCAGGGACAACAGCCATCAATCAATCCGCCGCGGGCGCCACGTCCATCATCGTCCACCCCCCGCTTCACGCTTCCTTGTTCGACGGTTGGACAACAAGATGAAGAGGCACGTGAACTTGAACGGTGAAGGGGCAGTATTTGATACCAAGTGTACTATGGATTCTAAAGCCAGCGCATTGCATTCCGCTATTTTGGAAATCATAACAAGCAGTTTGTCGCAAGACGAGCGAGCTGGCAGCTCCAGAACGAGCAGTCGTCCCACCACAGAGCCTCATCATGGCTGCTCCAAATGAGCATGGGCCTCCATGGACCACATCCACTTTGGTCGAGATCCATCGCTTTCACGCACATGAATTCGAATCCCGTCCCACAACCGCGCGACTCGATCCGATCAAGCAATCTTCCTTTCTAAGTGAAGGTTCTCGTATGTCTTTTACCACATTCGCTGCCCGCGCCGTGCCATTATATTTAAATTATCCACATCAGCCACAGAGTAAGGAAAAGAGCTGTGGCTTTGCGGCTCTTCTTCCCCAAGTGTAGACTCCACTGTTTTGCTTTCATCACAGGCTCTCTCTGCCGCTATGATGACGTCTATCAACAAATCAATACAATTCGTGTATGTCTCAGAGACAGAAGTCTTTTTACCACTTGGCTCGCGTAATGCTACCTCTTCATGTGTGGTCCTGCACACGCGGCTTGTGGTCATTCGATGTGCCCTCTGCCTTGGAAGTGCCTTGGAAGCAACTTTTGGGGGCTCGCAAATCATGATTGCTTTTTCCAGCCCTTCCCCTGTAAAACCCCTGTAAAAATTTGGGGGGGTCCTCCCGCCGATGCAGGGATCGCATGATCATCGCGGGACCCAGGGCAATAAAAGCATCATCATATTAAGATTTCCATATATCAGAGCGGTCACCAAATACGCTTGTTTTCCGTATCGCATCATCATGTGATGGCTGTTGAGAGAAAACACTCATCATGTCGTTGTCGTCGTCGCTTCACAAAGCACAAATATTCTACACTATTACAAAGAGGTTCGCATGGTCACGCACGCCGGCGTGCTCCATCCTACAGTCCACCTCACGCTGCCCATGATGATCACCATGAGACAGAGACCAGCTACCACGCTCGCTATGCCGTAGACATAGGCGTGTCGTCTACGTAAAGACTGTAATTCGGACACCCAAGTACTGACGGTGGTTGTGGTACCGCAGAAGCCGTCCATGACACCTTGCAGAACTTGACAACTCACTCTGCCTCCACCGACCAGAGCGCCTGCTGTCGAATTGATGGGCACGTGCTGGACGGAATAGCACATCGCTTCTACCGCGCATCCAAACACATTGACCGCAAATGTACCGAGTGGAAAAGACGCAGTGATCGGATTGAGTTTGAGCGACGCATAGTAGCGAAGCAGACAACCGACGGGCGCAAAGACCAGTGCGAAGAGGACTTCCCCACGCCAGACCTCGTTGGTCCAACTGCCACGACTCGAAGGACCAGACGGTCTATCTGGCGGCCATATTGATAGGAAGATGGCACCAAGCCAACAGCCCCAAGCGAGTACAACAACAAGCGGATCGATGAACTTACGAATAAGTCTGAAGGGCAAGGTAGGCGTAAAACGGTCCAGAGCAAGAGCAAAGTGTGCGCCAACATTGAGGGCAGCCAGCGAAAGCGCTACGGTATATACAATGACAGCCAGGAGAGCCATGAATGAGTATCCACCACTTCGATGGATCGTGGACGTAAATGAGGGCACTGTCGAGTATGGGTGGTTTACAGGAGTTGGCAGATTGTTCGACAGAGCCAGAAAGACGTCGCGCATGAATGAGGAGAAGGAGGTGAAAGAACCACAGAAACCGGTAGCCAGGCCTATGTATAGTGGAATCGTCTTCTTCGTCTTTGCATGGGCCTTCTTGGCAGCAGCGGGGTCTGACTTCTCTTGTTCAAGCGCCTTTTCTCTTGTGTGCGGATCCATATTGTCCAGGCCCCATTCTTGTCGAAACAGGCGTCCGTCCTCAGAGAGGAAGCCCATGACAAACGAGCCACCCACGTTGGCCCAGAGCACAGGGGTGACAATTGGAGCGCCGGGGTAGAAGGTGAGCCATTGCATTCCCAAGCGAGCGAGAGTGCCCCATAGGGAGAAGAATATGAGGTGTGATACGATGTAGAGCTGGGTAGCGATGGGCGACAAGGGGTCTCTTCGTGGCGGCGAGGCTTGCGATGAGCGCGTGTGGAAGGAAGGCGGTGTCGGTGCGGACTCGAGCGACTCGTCCTCTAAATGAGTTTGTCGCCGCCATTCAGAAGTGTCGTCTCTGTTCTGTACCGGTGCTGGCGCGTTGATTTCGTCTACGCCAGGTCGATTGTCCATGGTCCCAGCCTCGGCGGCCGGATCGGCACTGATCGCGTGTCACGGTCGAAGGATTATCCGGAGTGGTCAGAATAAGAGAAGTCTTGCAGCTGTAGCGCAGCCTGGCTCAAGTGGTATCACTCGAAAGGATAATGATGTCGTCGAATCATGTTTGGGGAAGAGTACGTACCTTCCGCAATGGACGCAAAACTGCAATCGCCGGCCGGGCCGTGCCTCTTCGGTGATCTCGGCCCGTGGCTTGTTGTCCTTGCCCTTGCCCCAAGCGTCAATTGACCCCGCCATTGATTGCTCCTCTCAGTGCAAGTCGGCGTCCGCCGCCCTATCAATGCATCACATGCCTTTGTCGGCCTTCTTATCTTGCGTAGCCTTGAACAAACAGTGATAGTAACACGCTCAAAGGTGTTCTCTTCTCGTACCCGAGCTGCTTGAAATTGTGACCATCTTCTCATTCTCATCCTGTCTCTCTTGTTCATCGAACCTCTTCGTCTCTCTCGAGCTCACCCCGCATCTCGCCGTCCAAACATGTCTTCTCTACCCTCCAATGTGCACGTAGCTCAACATCCCTGTCTACGAGCAAAGGTCTCGCAGCTTCGATCGCAACAGACTGGAGCTCGTGATGCTAAGCGTCTTATCCATGAGATCTCGACTATGCTGGGTTACGAGGCATTGGCTTCTTCCCTAGAGCCTACACAACAGGGCACTGTATGAACTCCTGCTGTCAAGTTTCACATCATATCTGACCATCGTGTTCCAATTGCAGGATCAATCACCATTGGGTTATGAGTTTCCTGTTGACTCCATCTCACCCTCTCATGTGTCCCTCGTACCTATTTTACGTTCCGGCCTGTCAATGGTAGACGGTACGTTTCATGCCAATACTTCCTCACGTATCCTTTTGCCTGACACGACATTGCAGCCTTGCTTTCCGTCCTGCCAGACCCAGTCCCCGTATTCCACCTAGGCATGTACCGTGAAAAGACGACCCTCCAGCCCGTAGAATACTACAACAACCTACCCTATCATTCCGCTACAACCACTTCACAACAAACCACACCCTCCGACATAGCCATCCTACTTGACCCTATCATCGCCACTGGTGCTACAGCCAGCGCTGCAATCGACACATTGAAAGATTGGGGTGTCAAGCGTATAGTCGTCTGCAGCGTCCTCGCCAGCCACGAGGGCTTGGAGAAAGTTAGTCGCGTTTGGTCAGAGGGCGTTCAAATCTGGGTCGGGGCTGTAGACCCCGGAACAGATGCAAAGGGCATGATCAAGCCGGGTCTAGGAGATGTCGGTGACAGACTGTTCCTCACCATTGGCAAATAGATATAAAACAATACTTTTTTCGTTTTTTATTCGTGTTTTCTTGTGTTGTTCACCTCCAATCGGCTCGTTAAAGAGGGTCTTGTGACTGCTTTTACTTTCTCTCGGACAACCAGACATCGGCTTCCTCCCAGATCTTCTTGTCCCTGTTTGAGACCAAGTTATCGGGGGCTGCTGCAACAGCGGCATAGACCTGTTCATTAGATTAGCACACTCCTGCGTGTTTCCTTCCCTGATAGAGCTTACCGAGTCCCAAAGAGCGAACGCCCTCTGCAAATCACCCTGGAAGTCTTTGGCATGAGGGAACCACTCGTTGGCTCCCTTGATCTTGACAGCCTCGCGTGAGGTCTCTGACGTGGGCTCGCCCTGCGCCGAAAGTTCATCCAAGTACGACTTGACGGCAATGCCGAGAGCGCAATCTACATCGTTCAAAAACGGCAAGCTAGAATAATTAGTAGTTGTGCGTAGATATCAGGACTCAAGATTGTCACTCACCTGTAGCTAATCTCAGCCAGCTGGTCGAGTGCCATACTGCGGTCCACGTGGTAGTTGGCCAGCAATCCGAAGAGACTCATCTCAACCACGTTACGCAAATTTCCACGAACTGCAGACACCATTGACGTGTAGGCCAGCAGGTGTCTACTCAGAGGTCCAGTAAATCCAATTGTCTTATGACGGAGTCCAGCAAAGCAGGCAACTCTACTGACCAGCAGTGTATTGCGCTTATCGGTATCGGAGCCACGCTGAGGAGAACCGTTGTATGGGAACATGTTGTTAGAGTTGAGAAGGTTCAAGCGCAGCATTTCGAAAGCAAGAAGTGCAGGCTCTTCCAAGTCCTGCTGGTTGTGACGCATAAAGGCAGTTTGGAGACATTTGCCAAGAGCACTGAGCTGATGGTCTTGCTGGATGTAGCCACGGAGCTGAAGAAATCTCCACAGTGCATTCGATCGTACCTCTTTGGGGGAGCTCAGCGGTTTGTTCCCGCCGGACTTGGCGGTCACGCTGTTCTTCGCAAAGTCGGTGTCTTGCAAGCTACCCACTATGAATGCCAACGACGACACGTCGCGTTCAAGTTTGTTCGCCTTTGCCTCAATTTGATCCAACCGAACATTCCATCCAGAAATTGTCGATCGAGGGTCTGTGGTGTCCGAGACATTCAACTTCTTTGGCGCAGCAGGATTGAACCAGCATCTCAGATCGATGGGATTGTGCTGGTAGAAACGATGAGCCGAGTACGAGAGAAGTGACAGAGCAGAGGTTCGCAACGGAGTGAGGCCATCTGAGACGAGACGGCGGTAGGCATCGGCATCACCGCCGTCCAGAGGCGGGCGCTCGATAATCTCGTTGGATGCGATCCAGCACAAAACATCGGACCCAATGACACCACGTGAAAGGTATGCAAACGCTTCCTCTGGCAAGCGGTGACCCATAATGTTGTTCAAATCGCTAGGTGCAGAAGCTGCATCTGCGGTCTCAATCTTGCCGTTAGGTCGAATGCAAACGTAGTGCTTGACGTAAAGGCTTGCTTTCTGGTAGCGATTCAAGTAATCCAAGGCCACCATAGCGGGGTCGTCGCGATACTGTAGACACAGAGCATTGCCATTGATCTGACCTCTCTTGAGCAGGTCAGCTGCAGCTCTGATCCGAGGGCCTTTGGGAGATCCGGTCAAGTCGTTCTCCAGCTGAGGAAGGGTCGGTAGGAAGGAGCAGCCAGCAAGCAGGCAGGTATCAACGAACATGCTTGTAGATGTAACTCCGAGGGCCTCGATGCATTCTCGACGAGTAATCCAAGAGAATTGAGCCTTTTCGAAATCGAGTTCCGTGATGAGCTGATCAATCTCAAACATGAGGATGTCACTAGAGCCAGCTACAGCGTCGCAAAACTCAGTTCCAGCAATCGACGCAAGCTGATCAAGAGGTTAGTGTCAGACCGAGATCATCTAAGGTTTATGCTTACCTGGGCGCATGCGCTGTGCGGTGCGACCAAGAACGCAACACCGTTCTTGCGCAAGATATTCTGGACGAACCGATAAATGTTTTCGACGTTGATTGTGCCTGCTGTTCAGTTATATCAGTCGTCATGTTCAGTATTCAGCAAGGCGACATCTCAATGCTTACACAAAGTACCAAATTCGGTGACAGCATATTCAGGCTGGGAAGCGCCATACAAGTCCCATGCCTTCGCAATGCTCTTAGTCGCGCGGATGGCAGATTGAAGTCTCTCTTCCTGGCCGTTCGAGACTACACCACTGAAGATGAAGTAAGGCTCGCAGCCATGATCCTTCAGAGTGGTTACTTGTTGAATGATAATCTCCTCCAGGGCAAAAGGAAGACCACCAAGAGCCGGCAGCAGAGGTTCTTTCGTAGGAGCAGTGGTCAGTATGTTAGCAATGAAGTCTTCAGCTTCAATCCCGAGTCGGCGATCGTTGAGCTCGACAAATGAGTCGGTATGGCCCAGCTGGGCTGATGCCGCCCATTCGTTGAATCCGGATATCATCTTGGTAGAGACGTGGGTCCAATCGTATGGCAGTTTGTTCAGGAGGTATTGTCAGTGTCAAGAAGCCGCGATCTGGCACCTTCCGGTTTGAATAGTGCGCACTCGGTTATGGTTGAACAGCGCTGGCATAAGGAGTCTTTGGGAGACGAGGTGGCATGTGAAGGGAGGTCTGTGCGTCGACAGCTCCACATTTGAAACACGACGACAGAGGCAAGAGGCAGGAGGGTCCTTGCGAGTTCAACTTCAAAAAATTTAATCAGAAAGCTGGTATTAATTTAAATCAGGAAGCTGGTATTCATCTCTATTGGGTATCTCTCTGCGCATCCGTCGCATGCTGTCGTCTCCGTCCTCACATCTAATCTAAATCTAAATGCATGTTCGATGCGTAATCAAACAATCAAGCATCCTCCACATCTCCGTACTGCCAGCGATATGATTGATAGAAAGCAAAGGCGAAAAACGCGACCATAATGGCTCTAATTAGGCCTGCCGACTTAGGTTCTGCGGTCAGTTGTGCTACGTTCTCTGGGAGAGCAGCTCTGGTAGGAGTCGTCTTGACATGAGAAGTTCCGTGCTTGGCCTCTCGAGAAGCTAGCGACTTGACGAGTTCGAGATCGGTCATGAGCTGGCTGTCTAGAGACTCAACAATGGCAACACACTGCTCAAAGATGAACTGGGCCTCATCAATGATGTCCTGACGCTCACGTTCCGTAAGCAGTTCTTCGGCTTTCTCGAGACGAATCTTGAAGTCTGCCTTGATGTCCTCTCCGTCTCTTGTGCCCGAAAAGCAGAACAGTGTGAAGCCAGGTCTGAGCGTTCCGTGCACCCAATAATCCGTCTTGTCCGCTTGGTTGTGGGCGCCCCAGAATTCGGGACCGGCATTTGTCAGTTGCTCTCTGATCCAGCGACCACCAGAAAAGATGGCCATGTACATGATCCATGCGTATGCAACCAAGACGTGTGGCTTCTCTCGAGTTTGTCGGTATATGTGTTCGGTAAAGGCGCGAAGTTGTTCGTTCGATATTATCTCCAAGTCAACACCAATGGTTGTCTCTAGATATTCTACATCTTTCTTGATCGCATCGGAGCGCCATAGACCGGGTGGGACTAGCTGAGAGAGCCATGGTCGCAACTTGGCGCTGTGTGTTGAGTCGTCACCTTGGGACTTGTCGACGTCGGCGATCAGGGCCCGCCAGCAATTCTCAAAAACAAGATAGATGTCGCCGAAGGTATTGATGCCATGAGCGTATAATTCGGGGGACTTGGCTATCGGAGGAAGAGCGAGAGGCACGCGGGAGACGATGAGTTTGTTCAGTCGTGTATGGACCGATCTTGCGTCATGTCAGCGACTGCTAGGTGACTCTGTGCAGTGGTTTGGAAGAAGCGCACCGTGTGGCCGTGTTGATCTCGGTCGACAAGTTCTGCGGGGCGGGAGAAGGCGGAGGCGAGAGAAGCTGAGGCGGTGTTTGCAACGACGCCATGACGACTGCCGGACGAAGCAGTGACGATGTTCTTCCTTTTATGCACTTGCCCAAAGGTCGGCGATTATCTCGAGAGGAAGTCACAAAGGACGAATTGTCACATGGCTGCGAACAGGCACATGAACAAGGCAGCACGGGAGAGGGTCTGGAACTCCCGTCTGTGCTCTCATCCGATGCGATCGCTTTGTCGGACCGTTTGGATGGCGACATTGTGCTTTATTTCTTCTTTTTATTCCTTTTTCTGTTTATCTACCGAGTCGCTTTGTACTCGAGTACCTTCGTGTATGAGCACACGACCACATCACCGGCCTCCCATATTGAAGTATCCTGGTTTTTCTTTTTGCGTAGCTACAGTGATATCCTAGACCTGTAGCAATCTTCTGACAGTATTCGTTTCATTCGTCACTTCATATTGTATTCTTCGCGGATCGCTGCCGTCCACGCACTCGACCACCAACACCAGTACCACCGTTTGCATCAACATCACGGACCAGCCCAGGGCTCTCGACTCGTGTACCGATACTATCATCCATGAGTCGCGTGCCCATCTTCTTGCTCATCTTCGCACGATATTCCTGAGCATCTGGCATCTCGTATGTGACTTGTTGACTTGGTGCAGGTGCGTCCGCTTCTATCAAGCTTGCTAATGGGCCTGAGTTGGCTGTGTCCATACTTGGGTGTTGACGGAATGAGACAGACGCAGATGAGTTTGATGTGTACGATGGGGCCCGTCCGAGTTTTTTGTCCTTTCTCCACCTTCCTTTTGCCCGTTGTTCCACTGGCGAGGGTCCTGGATGTGAATGTTGTCGTTCGAGAAGTGACTTGATTTCTCCACTTAGTCGCACTTGGTTGGCTTGCGCTGCTTCAGCACTTGGCGTACTGGTGTTTTCGTCCGCCGTCGCTAATCCTGCTGACTCTGATTCGTGTTTCTTATCTTTCTGCAGTGATGAAGGGGCTGGGTGGATCTCCATATCTCCGGATGATTTTGGTTTTGACTGTCGTCTAGCAGAGTTAACCTCCGGGGGTATGTTTTGAAGTGGCTGTATTCCTTGCGCAACATCGACTTCTATAACATCATTTTCCGCTACGAACGGTGGTGGATCATCGGTCTCCACACCATACTGCTCTATCGGCTCCCGAAGCTCGTCGTTATTCTCATTGGCAGGTTTCACTTCGTCCTCGTCTTCTTCGATGAAGGGTCCTCGCCGTTCAAGCTCAGTCTTCTGTTGAGGCACTGGACGAGCAGGGCCTGAGTGGTAGAGATGCAGAGAGGGAGCAACATTTCTTTTCCGAATAGCTGAGAGGCGTTGAGCAGATGAGCCATCCTTTCTAACAGACTTTATCAGCCTGTATGCTAGCAATAACACCAACTAATCCTACCTATTGTCTTGGGGAGGAGCTACACCTGCTTCTCTCGAAGTGTGATCGAACTTTGGGTGATCAAGAATCTGCCTAGATTGCCCGGCCACAGAGTAATCGAACGTTGGCATCTTTGTCAGGTTTTGGAGACTAGAGAAAAGCCAATCATCCAGTACCACCAAAATTTTATGTTTGGCAGCATATGAGATCTTTGGATTTGAAGCAGCACCGGGAACAACAAGGATAGAGGTTTTCGGTAGTAGTGTTTCGTCATAGGATGCGCCTGTTTATGTCAGCTTCATTGTGCCAGTATCTCCCCGGAGCAAATTCTGACCTGCAAGTTTGACAAGCTTCGATATGTGTAGAACATCATGGCCCATGCCAGACGTTGCTATTGACATGCCTTTGAAGCCTGTTACTGTTAGCAGGCAGTAACATACAGCATCAAGATTGCACAGTACCATCAATGGGGAGGCGTAGATGCGGCTGACTGAGCACATCATGATTTGGGTCAAGGACAATCTTCTGTTTGATGCATCTTTCAAGCCACCACTCCGTGACAAGCCATGTCTCAGGAGGAACTTCGGGTATCGAGCCCTTAGTGAGCGATGTCCATTCACTTGGTAGTACAAGAACTGTGCGTTGATGCTTGTCTTTGTCTAGGGCCGTGTACAAAGCATCGGTAGAATGAGCAATCTGGCCACCATTCGAAGTTATGATCTCATCAATCTTTGCTGCCTGTTGAAAGCATTAGCACGGGATTTGACTTGAGCCCAGGACTCAACATACCTTCTTGTTGTCATGACCGTGAACGAGGCACAAGATGCCAGAGAATAGTCTATGCTCCTCTTCGTGAAGAGGAGTTGGCCCTCGAGATGCATGGCGAGATATGTCGTGCTCTGGTCTAGAGGGACTTGCACTTCGTGTTCGTGTCCTTGATCGTGACGTTTCATTATTGGGGTCCTTCCATTGGTCGTTTGCGACTTCAGACGGCTCGTCGCCTCCATGAGACAGGAAGCTGGTCATCATGCTTTGACTGTGGTCCGCCAACTTCGCACTTGTAGTTCGGCGCATTTTTCGCCTCCCAGCTTCTTCCATTGACGTATTGGCGGACACATGACGTTGTCTCTTTCCTAGCACGGGAGGCCTCTGGTAAGTGCGGTCGAAGGCGTTGTAGCCCTGGTCTTCTACAGGTGCCAGGGGATGGTATAGGTCCTCATCAACGGCCATGCCTCTTTCTAGACTTTCATCGAGCCATTTCTTAGACACTGTTTTGAGATTCCATGTTTTGGCACGATCGTACTTGGCGCCTTTGGGTTTCGCGACGATGAGATGGGTGACTTCTCTGGTGAGGTCCCCATGGTAATGAGCGCCATTGTCGCCGATCTTTTGGATCAGGTCTTGCCTTAGGTCAACTGTGACCAGTTTTGTTAGATGGCTATCCGGCTCTGGCATGTGCAAGCATACGTACTATCTTCAAAGCCAGTGACACAGATGTGTAGATTGTAAAATACCGGAAGGCGGTACTCTTGAGCCAGTGCATCGACGTCTATGTCTTGGTCCTCCATGTAGGCTTTGCGGATGGCGTTGATCCACTCTGGCTTGAGAACGTGTATGTCCGGTCTTTCCTTTGCTGTGTGCTTGCATTTGGGGGTATCGATGTTCCCTACGATCAGGTGTGTCACGTCGGCGGTCAGGTCGAGACGATGGACAGCACCCATGCTCTTTGCGAGATCATTCAACTTGTCCTATCAAGAGACTGGATTAGTACAACCCGGACAGGACTGGTGTTGCGGTTACTGACTCTGAGTTCCTGCGGTAATGATGTGCTGCAGAGGACCACACCCCGAAGCAGATTGTTGTTGCCATCTTCTGCATCGTCAGGCATGACTGCGCATACACTTGTTTCAATATACGCCTCTGCTGCTTCTGCTCAGTCTTTCTTGGGTGGACGCGAATTTGCCCGAGACGTTCGCGCTTTCACGTGTCTAAAGCCGAAACTCAATTTAACCCCGCTTCGTCTCGAATCCACGGAGGACGTCGGGGATGCGGCATCGGAGGTCTCATCCGTCAAAGAAACATCTCCACGGATCCATCGTTTCCGAGCTTTTTACCATGTTGGTGCACGTATTTGTGCATGCCGCTATTGAGGATGATGATAGTTGTGCATCCCTGACTCATATATCCTCGTGCGGCCATGTCGTGTTTCAGCACATCAAAAGGCCAGTCTCCACGATTTCGTTGGAGGTGGTCAAGGAACATTATATGGTCACTGCTCAAGGCCTCCACGATCTGCTGTTATGATTACATCAACCAGAGCAAGCGGATCAGAATTCCGACACACGTAACACGAACCTCTCGAAGGGACGACTGAGGAACGAGGGAACCACCGGGGTGAAAGAGACATTTTTACACGCCGGAAGACTCGGATCACTTCACTTTCGTGTCAGGCGCCGTTGAGTAATCTGTTCTCCATGAGAGGTCGCAGACTTGCAGGCACCAAATCTTGCAGCACCCAAAGCTGATGGCCTTTTGCCTTTGCGCAGCGGCCTAAAACAGACTGGGGAACAGCACTAATGCATACATCTAAACCTTGTGGGTAACTCCAAGACCAATCACGGAGACTGCGGATGGGCGTCACTGCCTGACTTGGGTGCGAAGCCGCGCAACCAGCAAGACGAGGCCGCGGCAGACGGCTCTTTCTACAATAGTAATGACGAAAGTCAAAAAAACGCCTCGAGGCTTGGTCATAATCGTCGACGGCCATAGTCCATAGATAACTCAAACCCTTGTCTGACCAGCTTCCTGCTCCCCTACTGTGATTTCTCATAGTGTTTCACTCGCCCCGGACTCACGGACGATTCTCGACACACCGCTGTCTCTACATATTCAGCACAGCTTAGCGGTTGATCTGCCAGCTTTCCCTTCATTCTCTCCATATCGGCAACAAGCCCAACACACTCAATTTGGCTTCAGACGCTGTCTCTGTGTGCCAATCGCTCGACAAGCTGGCTTAGACGGCCTGAACCCACGCCTGCGGTACACCCACAATTAGCAGCGCTGCACGTGAAAGAGACGTCGATTCTGCTCAGTCCTTTTCCGTGACCTCATCCTTAACCTTGCGACACGTCCGACTTTCGCAAAAGTCGCTCAAGAGGTCAGGTCACGCTGTACATACGCACCCGTAGTTGTGATTTTCATACTTGAAACACGCTTGATTCGGTGAGTCTCTCTTGCACCACATGCACATTGGATGTTCCCACATGTCGGCCTGGCACCTGCAATTTGGGCACCATTCCTTGTTTTGGCAGGGACGACGAATCTGCACGACCTTGTCAGCGGCATCGCAAGCCTTAACTATCTTGCGATCGCCCATGCATGCACATCCGCCCCTCGCCGCTTCGCAAAGTGCCTGTCAATTGCTCTTGCTAATATACAATGGCAGACGTCCACCCGTATCATCGCCGCAACAGCTGGGCCCATTTTTGTCCAAGCAGCTTTCACGAAGGCTTCGAACGTTCGGGTTACTTTGAACCCCGCAGATACAGAAGAGGTTCCATTCGCATCAAGAGCGTTTGCGATACTTACGACCTTGCTCCGAACCTCGATCGACCTCAGTCCCATCCACACCAGCGCCTCTCCAGGAGACTATCGACATCCAAAGAGCACGCGAAACGATTCATCCGCTCCGTATTAGCTTCCCGCACCACAATTACACGCAGTTGTTCAAACGCTTCGGATCCATCCTCGTGCGACCTTGAAAGTGCAATTGCAGAAGGAGGATATAAACCAGTAATTTCTCGAAACATGAGGTCGGGCTTGCGTGGATCAATTGGAGGGCCGGTGAGCGGCATGGTCTCGAGACCCTCGTTATCAGAAGATGTGAGGCAAGCGTCAGATGCCACGGCCCGGGCACAGGGCATGAATGTAATGCCTGGCACAGATCCCACTGCTAAATCGCTTGTATCTGGTAGTGGTGTAAGTGTCTCAATAAATCTGGCTGAGCCGGCTTTGTTCTTGCAAGGCTTCGAGCAGAACGACATGGCTGGCGGCAATACGGCTATGCTAAGAGGAACCCTACACCTGCGTGTAACAAAGGCTGCCAAAATCAAGGCAGTCACTTTGAAATTCAAGGGCAGAGCAACCACAAAATGGCCTGAAGGTGACACACCTCGATTCACGATGTCCAAAATTACAACTAATGATATCCAGGTATCCCTCCACGCAAAGTCGACTTTGAAGAGGTTGACAACATCATGAGCCACACTTGGCCATTCTTCAATGCTCAATTCCCCACCGCCGAAGCGGGACCCTGCGCAGATCACGTAGAACTCTTCAAGTCCGGTGCATCCTCGAACACTTCATCTTTTGGAATCGGCAAATCGCCGAACGTCTCAACAACCAATCTGACCACAAAGGATCAACGAAGGTTGTCGTTACAAGTCAACCAATCGCGCAGTTTTGGCAAGGGAGAATCTTCCACCAATGGTCCCTCAGTAGCACAGAAGGGCTACCGCACTTTCAACCCCGGAGACTATGTCTACAACTTCGAGCTTCCCATTGACAGCAGATTGCCCGAGACGATCGATGTGGATTTGGGCTCGGTCAAGTACGAGCTCGAAGCAGTTGTAGAACGTGCCGGGGCCTTCAGAGCCAACCTCGTCGGAGTACGTGAGGTGCAATTGATCAGGGCCCCCGCTGAAGGCTCCTTGGAACAAGTTGAGCCGATTGCGATCAGTCGAAACTGGGAAGACCAGCTCCACTACGACATTGTCATTTCTGGAAAATCTTTCCCATTAGGAGCACAAGTGCCCATTGCGTTCAAGCTGACTCCGTTGGCCAAGGTACAGTGCCATCGTATCAAAGTGCTCGTAACGGAGAACATCGAGTATTTCTGCAGTAACAAGCGTGTTCATCGAATGGAGCCTACAAGGAAGGTGCAACTTTTCGAAAAACGGGCAGACACGGCACCCACCAGCACTTTCCCTGGTAGTTCGATGCGTGTGACATCAGGAGGCGGCGTACCATACGATCAACGCGCGCGCGCCGCTGCTGGAGAACAAGTACAGACATCGGATCCAACAAACCTTCTCGGCAACCTGGAAGGCGAAAACATCGGACCCACCGAAATGGAATTCAACGTACAACTGCCGAATTGTACATCGAACCGGGAGAGAGAACGAGCAACTAGGCTGCACTTTGACACGACCTATCAAAACATCCAGGTGCATCATTGGATCAAGGTATGTGGATACTGACATGCGCAAAAGGTGTGAGGCCTCTACTGACTCTGTCCAGATCGTCATGCGCCTCTCGAAACCCGACGCCGACAACCCAGGAAAGCGTAGACATTTTGAAATTTCTATCGACTCCCCCTTCCACATCCTCTCGTGCCGCGCAACCCAAGCAAACACTTCGCTACCCGCCTACACTAGCCCCGAGTCTGCATCAAGAGAGAGTTCGCTGTACGAATGCGGCTGTCCAAACGCTCTCCCTCGTCGCAACTCGCCCACTTCATACGTCCCTACTTTGAACGCTTTGAACGGCATGAGGGAGTCGACGGTCCCACCAACCATCACCGCTCCTAGCTTAGCTCGCCCACAAGCTGCGCATTTGACCGGTGCACAACCTCATAATCTTGATCGCCCTATTCATCTATTGCGTGCTCCTTCATTCAACCCACCCGCTTTTGAGGACGAGGAACCCCCACCGCCGCTCATCACTCCTCCTCCGCAGTACGACAGTATTGCAAGTCCGACCTCTGGTCTGGCGGACTACTTTGCACGCCTGTCAGATGCATATGATGATGACGAGGACAGCGATGATGCCACCGGCAGCCGCGGCCGTGTTGACGTTCCTCTGACACCCGGCGCCAGAGTGAACAGGAGTATGGATGTCAGTAGGAGTTGGATACCCCTTGGAGCGCAACTCCACGGTTGAGACAATTGAACAAGAGGAAAGCGAAAGTGATCTCGGAGCTGCGATGTTTACGACAACGACACTTATTGACGAACGACACTTTTCTGCATAGTTGCCAGGAAATGCATGGAGAAAATGTTCCCAAATTTAAGGGACGGAGCAAAGGGCTGGAGTTCTACCAGATACAAATGGTTCTTTTGTGTCTCAAATGTTCATATGTAAAACCGTCAATCATAGCGAATGTTTTTGAGCTGCTTGGGTTGAACATTCTTTGAGTGTATCCGAGTGCTAACGCATCTCTAGCAGACTTCACTCTGTGACCAACTTGCTTTGAAAAATTGATATCGTCATTACACAAAGGCGACTGGTTGATTGCCCGTGAGACAAAGCCAGGGTCGCACCCACGGCTTGGGTCAAATGTGATTATTGACACATAACTTGACGTTCTCAAGGTTGGGATCATTGAAGACCAGATGGGACAAGTTCTACTGTCACATACTTAATGTCGAGAGTGATTAGCTGTCTCTCTAGGCATTTTACGCTGTTGTAGTCCGAAAATTTCTTTTACTATCGGTTTTCAAGATGCACGAGGTATGATCTGCATTGACTAATTCGATTTCGGTGACGTAGGTTACTGTCGCCTGGAGATATCTAGGCTCTAATTTTTGCAGGGGACTAGGTAGTCATGATCAGGAGGTATTGACAGCAATGGATGAATGTTGTCGCGAGTTTTGAATGTTGTATGCTTTCAACATGATATGGCTGCTGTGCACGGTCCAATCGAGGTCCTCGGCCCGAAGCGTCAACTATATCCACGGCGATGTCCACTTGACCTTCTTCCATTCCTAACTACTATATTGGAACGTGTCAGCAACAGCGAAGTCTGGCTCAAGACGACGACAAGTATATCCTCAAGCTGTGGTGCTCCACAACTTCAGTAGTCACTAGGATTGGTCTCCTCTCCGTATGCCAAAGTTGATCACCATCTACAGCATGATCGTACCTGGCAATATATGTCCATCAAGATTCACAATTCTTTGTGGTATACATGCAGCGCGGTTGTCTATTGTCACTTCGCCGAGCACAATCCTGGTCCCTAAAGCATACCGTGTGTTATCACAAAGCATCGACTCGGCCTGCTCACGATAGAGAGCAATCATGGGATGTCCGAAGATGGCAATATTGACTGGTCTCGATTTCAACTGCTCTCTTTGTGTTACTTTGAGCGTATTCGATGGGTTGTTTCCTTTGTACGCACCTGATCCCAAGTCTCCGGATCCGGAGGCCGGACCCTTTGTTCTCGGCGAGCTCGAGTCGACACCAACGAGATAAAACAGACGAAATGTCTGAAGATATGAAGGAAAAAACACAGACACCGTCAACTACTATTCTTCTGGACACACTGCGGTATACAACAGCAACACAATGGCAGCACGAAATCCGAACCTTTGTGATCACGCCAACGAATTCAATCAAACGAAAGCATCATGTTCAGAAGATATGGGCGGAGGCTGGAACACATGTGATGACGAGCCGACAAACCGTCCAGTCGGTGGAAGGCCAGACCACGATAACAAGACTATATGTCTCGAGTGCTGGCAAAACGTGCTCGCGGACATGCCTGTAGGACTGCACTATGATACAACCATCAAAGCCACTGTCGGAAATCTCGCCTACCGCCGAACGACAGTGTTGGGAAATCAAGAATGGGTTCTGCAAGATTATGCCATAGTACGAGAGGTCGATAACTGTATCAATTCGACCCAGACGCTGCTCTGCAAGTATTGTGTCCTGGATGAAATCGCACAGTGGAGACGTTGCGAGTCGAATCAGAATTACGCAAATGCTATGATGGCAATGACAGGAAGAAGTCAATTTGCGGAAGATGACCATACCAACACTTGTGTCTGCCGCAAAAAGTACATGACTCACCCGTATTACTGGTAAGTGGTGTTCGTACGATATTAGCAGTAACAGATTACTGATTCCTTATAGCCTGGAATGCCTCAGAGACGCTCTGGATGACCGCGTGCTCACAGCCACCAGAAACAAGGACTGGCTCGATACCATAGCCCACACAGCCAGTGGCGAGCGTAGAATTGTTTCCGACGAATGGCAAACCCAGAGATTCGACCAAAACATGACTATACCCTGTCGCTGCGGCCGTGACATAGATCGTCATGATAGACACATTCTAGCCAGTACCCCTCGAGCCACTTTCTGTCTCGCTTGTAACGGGACCAAGATGTGGCCAGCCAATATCCTACCCCCGCCTCATGAGATTCGTTCATCTCGAGCTCGGCTCCCGATTTCGACATTGCGTTATCCTTTGCAGACGGACACTGGAAATACTCTAAACACACTCGAGCTTGGACTCCATCCTGATGCCGGAACGGTCAGAAGGCCTTCGTAGGATTAGGGTCCGATTGGAGCATAGAGGTTGCTTGTGTTTCATGGACTACACCGATGAAGTAAATGTCATGGCGATAAGCGTGGACAGGTACCAGTGACACGGCTATAGTAGACACGGATTTTGCATAAACAAAGTTGAACAAAAAATTGGCTGTAATAGAAAGAGCAAACCGTTGCCTATCCCATTCTCTCATCAAATCTGTTTTTCAAACATGCCTCGAAATAGCCCTAATCATGTGCTACATCATACGTGAGTCGATGAGCTATGGGCTAATCTTGACAACATACAACGGTGCCTGTTTGTATTCACGAGAAGACTCGAACCGAGATCAGAAGTGAGAGAAATCGAAGCTGCAATTTCATCAGACAACCAGGAATCGGTACTTAGCATCGGAATCAAAGGTATGCGACGATATTGGGTGATGCTGGAAGAATGCATCAGTGTGGCTTCCAAGGCACATTCTTTATACGCTCATCTTCTGGCCACATAAGAAGTCACCGAAAGGTTTGTGTTAGACAAGAAAGGATTGTTTTATTTGAGAATATAGGTTGAATGTGACAGCTTCGTTTCTAAACCAGGAATACACTGGGATTGATAGGGACTGGGTGACATGTATCTACTCTTGCAAACCATGCATGTGGCGATAGACTTTTCTCAATTGCTCAAGAGTGACAAAGGTGATGATGGTAGATGGCGCTCTGCTGATCAATGCAGGAGTCAAGCCTTTGAACATCCAAGCAGCGCCTTCGTTCTTGAGTGTACTCTGCAACATAACCGACATGCTGTGAGCTGATGACTTGCGAGTCATGAAACGAGCCTTGAAGACATCCAGGGGACTGCAAATGAAGGTGGACAAGAAGCCTGCCAGGCAACTGGCGGTGATGTGGGTTGGAATGTTGTCGCCGAGTGATGTTCGTTTCATCAACTCGCGTTTGATGATATCGTATCCAGCCAGTTGGGTAGCCGTACCGATGGCTGCTCTGCCCGCTCCGAGCCAGACACCAGTCCAGATGCTGTTCCAGCCTTCGGCGCGGACCATCTTGTACACACCGTCTGCGATGTTCTTGTAATTGCGACGCAGTTCTGGGGGCAAGCCAGGATCAGCTTGCATGCGGAGACAGACGACATCGGCGAAATTGCTGCATACGCTGCCGGTGAAACCCGAAGATGCAGCCATGAGGGCAAGGGCGAGACCAGAGGGTGCATGGGTGGATGTGCTTCCCATCTCCTTGAGCTTCTCGTACATGCCGAAGCGAACACCGGAGTAGAAAAAGGTTCTTGTGAGCGAAGCACTCAACTGCGAAGTGTCAGCGCAGTCTTGATGATCGACAGTGAGAGTCAGCTTACACCCTTCTAGAGGCCGAGGAAGCGCTCAGATATCCAGACCTCATGCCAGATACGAATCATACCCAGCTGCGGAGCGTCGTGATGGAGCGTCTGCAGACGGAGCTAGATCTTGTCAACATGTCGTTTGGGAAATTTGAATGAAGAGGCTTACACCCGCTACAATTCATGTTAGCTCTCGTCCAACTTGCTGCCTAGTGAACCCAATATCTCTTACCAACTCCCAAAGGCTGAGTACAGCAGCTCGAGACGCAGCTGGCCAATCCTCCGAACCAGAATGGATAGTGGACGACGCCATGCTCGGAGTGGATCGAGTTATCCTTCTCGATGACGGTAGGATGAAGTTCGATGAACATCTTCTGAGTGATGGGCGGTGGAGGCACAGGTGCGCCATCAAGATGGGGGGCGGTCATCGTCATGATTCCTCCGGTGCTGCCGCTCATGATGAAATAGCAATTGGAGATGCGAGGGAAAGAATACGAGGTAGCAAGGTACGATTGATGGATGGAAGATGGAGCAGCGCGAGCTTTGTTCAAAATCTGTTTGTTTGTTTTATGTCCTTGAGGAAAGAGCGATGATAACGCCTCGGCAAGAAATGTTCCCAAATAGCCAGTCGGAGACTTCGACGACTCGATCATTCCTGGAGTCCAGCGTAACTTAAGCAACAGACAAAGCTCTATTCGACTGCATTCACTTCGCTATTGTGCCGTGGTTGAGACTTTGCCACGATTTCTGATCAATCTCATGAAAGACAGGTCTGAAGCCCATTACGGACAACCAGGCGCACTTATACCTGCGGTGTTTCTGGTCGACCTGAGACCAGGAATCCGTCTACAAATGTCGACGATCCACGCACATGTCTACCTCAGGAAGATGTATATAACCAGTCATGGCTTCGAACAGTGTGTTATGCCTTTCGACTCAGTAAAGCTTCTCTTGGTCTCCTTCTCTTCTGTAGCTGTCGCCATAGTGCACCATTGGCAAAAGGGGTGTGTACAGCGTATTTTGTATCTGAATTGGCTTGTCTCGCAAAGTCCGCCTCTTGTCGTTGATCGGGTGTACGTTGTGGTCGAGATGTCGATAAACGCTTTGGTTCCGTTGTTGCGGATCGAGCAAGCCCGCCTCGGACTCCGGCTTCGTGTCAGTTTTGTCTTTGTTGACCAAGCCCGGTCCGCGTCTCAGTTGCCGGTGTCGGAGGAGGTCGTCAACGCGCGGCGACCGGAGCGGTAGACGGGAATGACCGGTCGCCACACGACACGTTCGTGGTATGGATGCTATTCTGCACCAGGAAATCAGATGGAGTCGGCTTCCATCCTCAGTTGGCCTTCGCTCCTCGATCCCCAGCCGATCGTATCTAACAGCAACAAGAGCCCGCTGCTAGTTCTTGATCATCTGGCTGCCCCATGGGGACGGTGAGGAGAGATGGAAAGTATGTGTCAGAAGATCAACTGCGAGAGATTTCGTGTGTCACTCAAGCGGGGTTAGACACTGAGTTTTGACGACACCTCGGTTCCTGGGGTCTCTAGCTCATCGGAAACGACATCACCTCGCCATGAATCTCACGAAGAAAGAAAAAAAGTAGAGGAAACTCTGGTCAAGGTGGGAGAATGGGTTCTGTGTGACTTGCGAAGGATTGCCAATTGTGTTGAGAAAGGAGGACCGAAAAAAATTCTCATATCGTCAGCTCTTATCGCGGACGTAACTCCAGTACGTGAGGCTTGTGAACACCATAGCCATCAACGAAACAGGACCCATGCTGTTTTCTTCCGACATCCTCGTCAATTATTGCCATTAGCGATCACAAATGGGACGACGAGAGTTTTACCCTGGCAAATGGCGCATGGTTGACTCGCAAGCCAGATAAGACAAGTTTGCGCTTGTGCTCATCCCGTTGCCTTCAAACGCCTCTTCGATTTGTGTGAAATCAGTACGAGTATGTATTGCGTGGTATAACGGAGCGCCCGAACGTGTTATCGCGCATCGCAAAAGGGAATAACGAATGCTTCTTGTTCAAGCGTAGAATATTATCAAGTCAGCCCTTTCTTGTGACCCCTGCCAGAGGTAACACAGCTTGGAGAAATGCAAGATATTTTTCAGATTGGCGCAGTCGTCCACAGAGGTGAATCTCGAAGCTGCCATGCAAAGCTTGCGAGATCTTGGGCATACCGATTGGTTAGCCAAGCGAGCTTCGTATGCTTGTGGCGTGTGCGACATTTGAACAAGCTCTCGAATAAGCCTGCAAGGGACGGAAAGGGTTTAACTCAACAACGTCTTCTAACAAAATCACTCTTTTTAGTGATACCGATGTCGAATAGTTGGAAGTCTGGCGTGACAGCACGAGCCATCACGCCGTGTTTCTATTACCCCTTCGAATTGAGAAATAGAAAGGTAATGGATTGCTCGTTATCCGGGGTCCTCGTGGGCGCTCAGATGGGGTCGGCCTGAATCCCAGATCCGCCCTCCGAACGATGTCCAGAACCTCGCTCCAAGAAGATCGTCGCAAGATCTGGATAGCCGAAAGCCTGCGGCTGCATGTGAGTTCGAGTGTCGTGCAGTTTCTAGACTTCTTCCATCTCGGCAGAGGCGACACTCGAAGAAGCATAACCAGATAAACTGGTGGCCAAGATGCGATAGAATGCCAATTTCCTGTCGTCAAGAGATGAGTTCCTGATACCAACAATAAGCAAAGATTGAAGGACGCGCTCTGAGTGGTCTGTTGGCAGTGCCACTATCAGCACATTTGCCGCTAAAAAGCAGCTAGAATGTTTTGAGTTTGGGCCTGGCCATGGCCGGTAGACTTTGGGGACAGCCTCCAGAGTGACATGCGGAGGCACACGGAGCACGCGAGCTTGTATGAGCGCTTCCAGTCCATCATATAAGAGTATGTCTGTACCCGTCTCCAGTGGCTCCTTTGTTATTCATCAGCGACTTTTGCATTCCCTCATCGTACTCTTTAGCCTCAAGGGACCGTGAGAGCATAGACTCTCCCCCCTTCACCTCCCCCTAACCTCCTCTTCTCTTACCTCTCCCTCAAAGACCTACGCTATGGCCTCCGAGAAGCCTGAATACGTCGTCGACTCAGGCGATGCCCACTCTGACGAGAAGGCACCTCGCCGTGGCTCCACTGCCATCGGTGAGGCTGCTGACCTTTATGGTGATATCCAGACTGCCGAGCAGTATGGTTACGTCTCCAGAGGTCTGAAGTCGCGCCACATCCAATTCATTGCCCTTGGTGGTACCATTGGTACTGGTCTCTTCCTCGGTATCGGAAAGGCCTTTGCCCACTCTGGTCCCCTGTCTGTTCTTCTCGGTTACACCTTCACTGGTATTGCCATCTTCGGTATGATGCAATGTCTTGGTGAGATGGCTACTTGGTTGCCTCTTCCTGGTGCCATCCCTCAATACTGCTCTCGTTACTGCGACCCCGCCATGGGTTTCGCTACCGGTTGGAACAACTGGTACAACTCTGCCATCACCCTCTGTGCTGAAATTTCCGCCGCCGCCGTCGTTATCGGCTACTGGAACGATACCATCAACCAAGCTGCATGGATCACCATCATTATCGTTGTCGTCCTTGCGCTGAACATCTTTGCCGTCTCCATCTATGGTGAGGCAGAGTTCATCTTCGCCAGTATCAAGATCGTCACAATTGTCGGCCTCCTGCTGGTTGCCCTCGTTATCGATCTTGGTGGTGCACCTAAGCAGGGCCGTCTGGGCTTCAGATACTGGATTACCCCTGACGCTGGCGGCATGAAGGAGTACATCGCCAAGGCTGACACTGGTCGTTTCCTCGGACTTTTCGCAACCCTCATTAACGCCACTTTCTCTTACGGCGGTGTTGAGATGGTCGCAGTCGCCGCCGGCGAGGCCGAGAACCCCAGAAAGAACATTCCTAAGGCCGTCCGTCGTGTCTTCTGGCGTATCCTGTTCTTCTACGTCCTCGGATCACTCGCCATCGGTGTCACAGTTAGCTCGGACAACCCTAACTTGACTGCCGGCGGAGTTGGTGCTAAGAGCTCTCCTTGGGTCATCGCCATCCAGTCTGCTGGTATCCCCGCTTTGCCCTCCATCATAAATGCTGTCATCTTGACATCCGCATCTTCGTCGGCTAACGCTTTCCTGTTTACTGGTTCTCGTTACCTTTTCGCTCTCGCCCAAAACGGCCAAGCACCTAAGATCTTCCTTACCTGCTCCAAGAGCGGTGTCCCTTACTACGCCGTCCTTCTTACCGCTTCCATCTCGCTCCTTACCTACATGAGTGTCAGCTCTGGCGCTAGCACCGTTTTCAACTGGTTCCAGAACTTGTGTTCCATTGCCAACTTGATCACCTGGATCAACATCTTGATCGCCTACATCCAGTTCCGCAAGGCATTGATCGCTCAAGGTGTTGACCGTAACAGCTTGGTCATGAAGAGCAAGTGGCAGCCTTACACCGCTTACCTGTCCTTGGCCTACTTCTGCATGATCCTCCTCTTCAATGGATTTGCAGTCTTCACCAAGGGCAACTGGAGCATTGATGACTTCATCACTGCTTACATTGGTATCCCCATCTACATCGCCCTCTACCTCTTCTGGAAGGTCTTCAAGCGTACTCCCTTCGTCAACCCTGCTACAGCAGACATCTGGTCTGGCAAGGCAGCCATGGATGCCGAAGTCTGGGAGGAACAGATCCCCAAGAACATGCTCCAGAAGATTTGGTACTGGATCGCATAAGCGAATCGCTCTTGTCGGTTATGTCGTTGATGAAAAATATCCCTTGCTTTCCTGTTCATAGATTATGAGAAATAATGTTCCATTCTTCCTTCAATTTTTCTGCTCCAGATCCAAGTTTTGTGTGTTCCAGTTCCATTCAGTTTTGCGTGTTCGTATTCAGATTGAGAATGTGTCCTTGGGTCGAGAAGGCGAGCGATTCAGATTTGAAGCCATCGAAGCGGCCAGATGGGAAGATTGCAACTTGTTGTCATGGGCAGATGTGACAGGAGGCGCCTCCGAGTGTTTATATAGACAAATTACTGGCGTGTTGTGAGAGGCTGAGAATTGAGTCACAACTTGTCATTCGTAGGGCGCCAGAAGTTCTCCGTGGGAAACTTCCCGCATGAAGATTGCAGCGCGAGGCTTCGAAGCATTCCCAGACGAATACTGAGTTGACAGGACGATGTATTGCTGTCGATACCAACACAACAGACCGAGAATGCTAAGGCGCAATGATCTTTTATATCTAATTGCTCGGAGTACTTGGGTCGGCGAGTACATCAATTGGCCGAAGAAAATTCTTCGGCGAAATCGACGGAGAACTCACAGACTCACGGGAAACATGACAAAATCGGAAAACTCGCGCTCACAGCAAAAGTCAAACTTTCGCCGAGAAATTTCGAACCTGTCATTCTCCGACACGCCGACACGACCTGTCTTGTATTGGTTTCTCAAAGGTCTGCACAGTGCCACGGCTACGCAAAACACGGATGAACATTGTTTCTATGCTCTAGAAGTAACGCAACAGGAAGCTACCTTACAGTCTCTTCCGCTGTTCAGATCGCTCAACTCTCAAATGCTGGGCGAACGTTGTCAGAGCAGATGAACTTCTAATATCGAGGGCTGATTTTTGATTCCTCGATTTCACAAATCTGCCTTATAGCACACAGTGGCCTACAGTACCTAAGAAAAGCGCAACGCATCTCTTCTGCTCGTCGAAGCTGGGTCGAGGTAAGGCTTCTCACCCAACGAGCAGACACGATCACCAGCTCTCGCGGCTTCATAGTCGTACGTTGCCGTGTGCCATGTTGATCGGTTGTCCCAGATGGCGAGGTCATTCTTGTTCCACTTGAAGCGAACCTGCGCGTCATGGTTTTGTGTAATAAGCTACACATCGCATGTTAGCAATGCTGATTTTAGAGCAGGAACTTGTCCAACGGTTGTAACCTACGTTGAAGAGATACTGTAGCAGCACGTCGGACTCATCTTTGGTCACGCCGTTGATTCGGCGTGTGAAGCCACGGTTAACGTAGACGCTCTTCCATCCGGTCGTCGGGTTTGTACGAATTACCGGATGTACAGCTTCCAGTGCCGGTCCTTGGTTGAGAGGTGATCCACGAATCGTTGTGCGGAGAGGGTTGCCCAATCTCGCAGCTTCTTCATGGAAGAACTTGGCCTCATGTGTAGCGGTGAGCCCTTCGAGAAACTGCGCCAGTGCAGGGGACAAGCGGTCGTAAACTTCGTAACCGGACGCCCAGAGCTGAAGCTGGTCAGCTATTTCCTGTTCATACAGGACCGAAGCCATTCAGAAAGAACTCACTGTGTCTCCACCGGTCTCTGGTAGCGTATGGATTTTCAGCATGGCATAATCAGAAGGTACCGGCTCGAAAGTGATGTCTGAATGCCATCCTACACTAGCAAATCTGCTGGTGTCACTAAGCTGATGAGTAAGACCGCCACCCTTCTTCTGCTTCTCCGAACTGATCACACTGATCTGATCACCAAGTTCACTGCCCTCCTCGGTCAGGGGATGAACATGAAGACCGGATGTCTCAGGCTAAGAAGGATCCTGATCAGCTAAGGTGTATGCAGAGGATTGATCTGACTACTTACACAACCTGAAAGAGTGGTAAGACGTTCCATGAATGCTTGCATCTGTTGCGGCGTCACATCCTGGTTGCGCAGAAAAACTACACCGCGCTGAGAGACTGTTGGAGAAAATGTTAGAGGCTGGTATTTCGATGGTCGCAGAGCTACAACTGACCGGTGACAGCAACATCTTTAATCAAAGCATCACTGTTCTTTGCAGCAAGCAAGTCTGCCACTTGTAGTCCATGGTATTCACGACCAATCACTGGAGTCAAGTCCGAGTTCTGGTAGGAGTCCAACAGACCACTGTACTCAAGAGGCTTCGTCAAACGGGAGCGAGCCTCACTTGGCGACGGCACCTCAAGCACTTCAGGGATGATGTTCCCAGGCATGTTCTAGACGTGTAGGATTCGACGTCTTGTCAACTTGCTGGTGGTTTTGATTGGTCACACAAAAGCGTTGCCGCAGAAAGTTGTGAATGCAAGCCAAAGAGGATTAACCGGGAAGCCTTTATATCTACAAGATTGAACAAGCTCATTCTCGGATGCCATACTCGGGAACCACCGCCTAGAAAGGTAAGAGACAGTCCGGGTAACAACGACCCACTCACAGATAGTATGAGATAGCCGGTAGCGCAACGTGTGATCACAGAACGCCTTGTTACGAGGCCGGAATCGACCAAATCTAGCGACAGAACACGATTCTCCTTGCTCAGAACACATGCGACTCTGTTCATTGGAGGAATTGGCTTGTTGGCGATGATCCTGCCAAACTAGTCGATGGCGACATCAGCTCGTGGTCTTGCGAAAAACGCCAAGCCATACCCATTTCCCCCTCACGACCTGCATGAATCCACCAAATTTATCGATCAGTATTACTGAACCACTCAGAACATTCTAAGAAGCGAGATTCTGTTGTATCTCTAGAGTGGAGGTGAAGTTTTTTGCACTAGGAACCGCCCGGTTGTCTCGCTTCCGAGGATGTGTGATCTCCTCAGGCATTTCGTTGAGTAGCAGGACCGAGGCCAGTCTGAAGCAGCATATAACTTGAGAAGTATGCGCCCTCTCAGAGCTCAGAAGTAGGTTACGGTCTTCCTCAATCACCAACCGTGGTTTTACACTCGCAATGGACGACTCTACAATCAAGCCGGCTCTCTACCCTACATCTATCGTGGAAGCAGATTTGAAACCTACCGCTCAAGTCGGCAGAGACCATATCGATCTTCGTCCGCATGAGTCTTATGAGGGCGCTCACCGCTGGGATCCTCTAGCTGAATGGACCACCGAAGAGGAGGCCAGAGTTGTGAGAAAAGCCGACTTCTACCTACTTTCTTGGATCTGTTTGATGTTCTTCGGACTGCAACTCGACAGAGGAAATATTGGAAACGCCCTGACCGACAACATGCTCAAGGATCTTGGTCTGGACACCAACGACTACAACAACGTAAGAAGGGTTGTATAAACTCTGGGATTCCGTGCTGATGTCTTCCAGGGTACTACAGTGCAGCTCATCTGTTTCCTCGCAGCAGAATTCCCTGTTCAACTTTTGATCAAACGTTATGGATTCAAACAGATTCTACCACTGATGATGATGCTCTGGGGGACAGTCAGTTGTGAGTCATGCCAAACAGTACAAACATCGTGAGCTATTCCAGTGTTTGGGTTTAGTTCTGTTGGAATGGCCGTCGGAATGTGTTTTGAGCAAGAAACCGCCCTAGACGGCTTTTCGCAGAACTAATCACGCACGAACCCCCTCGCGGTGTAGCTACCAACCCTGACTGAGAAGGCACATGCTAACAATCTCTAATGTAGGGGGTCAGGCGTTCATGACCAACAAGACTGGCTTTTACATCTGCCGCGCACTAATCGGACTTTGTGAAGGTGGTTTCATTCCAGGAACCATTCTCTTCGCATCTTATTTCTACAAGTCTGCTGAACTGTCTGTGCGCTTGGCTTGCTTCTGGTCGACTCTGAACATCGCTCGTGTCATCTCTGCTCTGTTGGCAGCAGGAATCTTGAATATGCGTGGTATTCACAATCGTCCTGGCTGGTGTAAGTCTTTTGTATCATCACCCTGCAATCATCGCTGACTCTTGAAGTTTGGCTGTTCCTTCTGGAAGGACTTCTGACTTTCGTCATTGGTCTTGTCAGTTACTTCTACTTGCCTCGTTCGCCTACACACACCAAGAGTGTTATCTTCCGTCGCGGATGGCTCAACGAACGCGAGGAAACGATTATGGTCAATCGTATCCTCAGAGATGACCCAGCCAAAGGATTGACAGCCATCCAAGAACCTGCTACTATGCGCGACATTATCGACACCTGGAAGGACTCATCGACATGGGGACTTTACCTTATAGGGTACATGCAAATCAGAAGCCCCTTTTCAAATTTGAAAGACGCTAACGTGACCCAGATTGATCGCCTACATTCCAGCAGCTCCAGTCTCGGGTTATCTTTCTCTTACATTGAAGCGTCTCGGCTTCTCAACTTTCGACTCGAACATGCTCACAATCCCCTCGGCGGTCTTGCAAATCATTTTGATGCTCGGCTTGGCTTACAGCAGCAACCATTTCCTTGAGCGTACATGGCACTGCCTGTTTGGAGAATTCTTCATCATGCCGTTGCTCATCGCCCTGCTCGCATTGCCTTCCGGTGGCTACAATTGGGGCCGTTTCTCAATCTCGACTCTCATCAGCGGATACCCCTATTTCCACCCTATCGTTGTTGCTTGGATTAGTGAGAATACGTTCGACGTCAAGAAACGTGCCATCAGTGCCGCTACTTACAACGTCATCGTTCAAATCGGGAGCGTCATCAGCTCGCAGATCTATCGCAAGGACGACGCTCCATACTACTACCGCGGTAACAAGGTTCTTGTCGCCATCTGCGCACTATCGCTTGTCACTTTCATTGCTCAGCGTGAATATCTGCGCTTCTTGAACCGTCGCAAGGAGAGAGAGTGGTCGCAGATGAGCACTGAGGAGAAGATGGCATACCAGTCTGACCAGGTTGCAAGAGAGAAGGATGGAAATAAGAGACTGGACTTCAGATTCCAGTACTGATGCATTGCGCAGTCTCCCCAAAGTCTAGATTAATGTAGACCTGTAAAATCGTATAATGTTTGAAGAGCGTTATCGAAGCCACTACAAGTTGTGATTTTGCCCTTTTTTGACTACGATTGGAATGCGATCATGAGAACATCTGGCTGCCTTACTGTGGACAGCACTTGGGAGACTTTTGATCACAAATTCAGACATATAATCAACGGAATGTTATAGTACTTTTGTGTTTTATCTACATGGGACGTGAGTGACGAAAGTCCCGCTTTACTCCCAGGCAAAAGGATCCCACTCTCCGATGTTTCCCTTCTGACCCTCGTCCAACTTCTCGATTTCCGCCATATCCTCACTGTCGAGCGACCAGCCAAATACATCAGCGTTTTCAGCAATGCGAGCATCGCGGTCACTCTTGGGGATGACGGAGATGCCCATCTGCAGACACCAACGCAGGACGACCTGCGCAGCAGTCTTGCCGTGCTTCTCAGCGATCTTCTGAATGACGGGATCACCGAGACGCTTGCCTTGCGTCAAGGGCGAGTAAGCGGTCACCACGATGCCCTTAGAGCGGCAGTAGTCAACAATAACGCGCTGTTGGTTCCAGGGGTGGAATTCAATTTGGTTTACTGCGGGCAAGATGTCGACATCCGAGTGTGCCATGAGGTCGTCAATATGCTTGGGAGACCAGTTGCTGACACCGATGGCCTTGGTCTTTCCAGATCTGAAGGCGTCCTGGAGTCCGAGCCAGGCTTCATGGCGTGCAGTGGCGCCAGGCCTTGGGTTGTGCAGGAGGTAGAGGTCAAAGTAGTCGAGGCCAGAAATATTCAGACTCTTCTCCAGACCTTGGAGAGCTCCATCGCGAGAATAGGTAGTGTGGCCGGCTTCGAGACTGTTCAAGGGCCATGGTCCAGCGTTGCAGAGTTCATCGAATGAGGTAGGCATATCAGATCTTGAAAGGTCGACTTCCCATAGTTTCGAGCAAACGAAAATATCCGAACGCTTGACAGACGGGTTTTGAGACAGGAACTTGTTTACGGCAGTGCCAGTTTCGCGCTCGTTGTAATAGATCTGAGCAGTGTCGACACTGCGGTAGCCATGTTCGAGTGCAGACAGCACTGATTGTTCGCATCTTGAAGAGACGCAGACTCCAAGGCCCAAGACGGGAATTTGAGAGTCACTGGAAGGAAGGGGCAGCTTCGACTGCAGGTTAAGTTCGGCCGACATGGTGCTGGTTTGAAATGTGGCTTTCTGGTAGACTCGCGGCTTCCTTCAGCTGTCAGAAATCATAGAAAGTGTGTGAGTCAGTCGCCCAAGGCAGAAGGCACTACAACTGCCATGCATATCGATGTCGGCTATCTGTCCCTGCATTTTAGCCGTGATATTGGTTGAATGGGCCCTGGTGATGGCGTGCTTGAACTGGGTTTTGACGTTGATTGGCACAGTCCACCACCTCGCGCTTACCATTCCCTCATTCGTCTTCCACATCTTTTGTGACATGCCTTGAGTGACCCTACGTTAATGGGGTGATGAGTGAGTCATCACCCCCATGCTTCTTACAATATGATGGCACTGAATTGTGCTGTCTTGCCTTTTAGACCGAGTTTTGGTCACGTGTAAGTTGAGGCCTTGAAGCGTCACATTGTGCCAAGATCTAGAGCATTCTCCTTCGCATCGGAGTACCATCAATCTTTGATCGGAAATGGTTCATCTACCAGATGAGATATTGCTGTACATCTTGCAATCTCTGCCGAGTTTGTCAGACTACACACACAAGGCAGACTTTGAAGACTACAAGCAAACGTCGAACACGCTCGCGAATGTATGTCAAGCGTCCAGAGTTCTTCGCAATCTCGCCGAACCATTGCTCTACCGAGCGTACATCGAGGATGGGAACGACTGTGACAGACGCCGAGGTGGCAGCCAGGACGTATGCAGAACTACCACAAGGTTACAATCTTTCCTGAAGACGCTGATCCATCGACCGGATTTGGCTGCCAAAGTGGAATACTTGAGACTTGCAGACTTGCCGGGTAGGTTGGAAGATAGCCCACCGAATATCGAGATTGGAAAGATGTTTGCCCAAGCTAGTGATGATGTACCCGCCATAGAAGACACCTCGGACTGGACAGGCAAGCAGACACAACAGTCACACGTATTTCGGACAAATTGGCGACGTCATCTACAGGATGATTCAGAGACCGAAGGCGCAGAAGTGGCGCTCCTATTGACACTTGTTCCGAGCCTCAAAACTCTTGACTTGGGCGCTTCCGAAAGAAATACTGGATTGTGTGTTCAAGGGCTCTTCAGAGACATAGTCCGTACGGACAAGTGGAAACTTGATTTGACAAGTGAACACAGAGAGGTTCTCGTGTTCAACAGCCAAGGAGTGAACGCCAGCTCACGACTGCATGTTCTTACATCGCTGAACACAATAACTCTGAGCGCGGAAGAAGAGGCTCTGGAAAATTGGCACTTCATCACCCTGCTAGCAGCTATTCCATCGCTTGATACTCTATCAGTGAATGGAGAAGTGGAGCCGTTTCGTCCCAATGTCTCCCGGCGCTGGCCTTTTGACCACATCCAAAATCTATCTTTCAAAGGTTGCACGCTCAGCAACCTCGACTTGAGGTCTGTCGTCACGTCATGTAGAAGCCTGCAATCCTTGCGCATTAAGTTCTCGGCCCACAAAGAAGATATGAACATAAATCTTGAGACCCTGCTGAGTTACCTTCATGACAGCTCCGAAACTCTGCAGGAGCTCCAATTGTTCAAGCCTAGTGGATATCCCGCAACCATAATCACACCCGATGCCTTCGACCTTCGTCCCTTCACCCAATTGAAAGTGCTGGAAATCAACTTTTATTTCCTCTTCGACCCTTCTTCAGATACGGAGCCCTCTTTCACCAACCTACTGCCAACTTCGCTTGAAGATATCTACTTCCGCATGGGTGACAACAGGTTTTCAAAGCATCTGCGAGTGTTGTCTGAAGAGTACGAGAGCTTTCCGAATCTCAAGATTGTCGATATTGGTGTTGACGACATGCCGAATATTCAAGCTATGGATCGGGAAGAGGTGGACTGGAAGCTGGCGCTGAACGATTGTGCAAAGGCGTTGAGGAAAGCAGGCATCGATTGCAATGTACCCATTGAAGGTACTCGTTTCAATCTTTCGTGCGGCGATGATTAACTTAAAATCTCCTGCTCATAATGTAGAGAAGCAGTTCGTGCGGAAGCCGCTCATTGCACGATCATCAACTGATATCAATAACATCCCTCTCCGTCCCAAAAATGCTGTCGCTAGCTTACCTCACGTGTGTTGGATTTTATCACCTGTTATTCTTCCACAATCATCCCACTCACAAAGAAATTAGCTAAATCATGTCGTTAGTGACTCATGTTGCAGCCAGATATGATGTGATAAAGCCATACTGAAGATGGGCGGTTCGGCGGTTCGACGACACGTGATTCTAGAGCATTTAGAACATATGTTTCAGGTTTCGTGACATCGAGTTTCTGTAGAAACTAACGCAACGTTGATGACAGAAGGCAGAGACCCATGGGTATGAGGCATGAGAAGGGGGTCGGGATGTGCTTTCAAGCAAGTGTCAATCGTGTTGCTCTTCTACAAAACGCATCTCAGTGACACCCAACGGATTTCGTTCACTCGATGCTGGCGCTTCTTGTTCCACGTTGTTTCGCAATGACCGTGTATGCGCGATAAACAATGTTGTAGTCGGCCGTGGGGACAGAAAAAAAGTTCAAAAAATCATGTGTGTATTTTGTTCCTCATTAGACTATAGGGGGCAGGTCAAGAAAGACGAATTTAGACGTGCTGCTTGATGGCGGCCTCAAGGGCAGTGGGGTTGGCACCAACAACGGTGGCGACCTCCTGGCCGTCCTTGAAGAGGACGAAGGTGGGCATGGCGCGAATGCTCAGCTCCTGGGCGACCTCGGGGACCTCGTCGACGTCGATCTTGTAGAAGCGGGCGCTGGGGTATGTGGAGGACATCCTGTTGACGGTACAGATTAGTGACTGGTCGGTAAGAAACACGTTGAGACGGAGAGGACTCACTTGACGACCTGAGGGGCGATGGCTTTGCAGGGACCGCACCAGGTGGCGAAGAAGTCGACGACCATCAAGGTGCCGGTCTCAGCGCGAGCGGAGTCGAAGTCGGCCTTGCTGTTATGGCTGTTAGTCGCAGTCCTTGCATGTACAGTTTCACTATTTTTCTCCGGCTTCGTTGAATGGTAGGGCGCGCACGGCTGCTTTGTCGCAACACGCTCTAGTGCCACGGAACCGAAGCTGGAGAGTAAAGAGGAGCACCGACTCACGCCTGAAGGTTGTGAACACCGGAAGAAGCCATTGAAGCGGTGAAGGATCTGGAAGCGGCGGGCTTGAAGAAAGCGGGCTGGAGTATGTGGTGAGAAAGTGCGGCGGGTCTGGTAGAAGTTCTGGCGACGGAGAAGGTCGAGGTGTTTCTTGCGGTGCGAAGAAGGCTGCGACGGGCACTGGAGGCAAGGGACATATAGCTTGTTATGAGATGCTAGAGAGTTGCTGAATGCTCGAACGACAATGAGCAATGACGACCCGCGAATGCTTTGATAAGCAGCCCCTCCGCCGCCTTCGGCCTAACCAAATACGGAACATGCCGTCCTGATTAATACCACCCAAATGCCACCATCTCACGCCTTGGGAATCACTAATCACTCGGCGACTCTTCTAGCAATCTGTCACTTTAACTTCTACCTTCAGTGAGCTTGCTTGTTCAGCTTGCTTTATCATCTTGCCACCACCAACTACAACGACGGGACTTGTTCTATTCTGGAAAATCGCTCTGTACTCATGGCTGTCTTGATGGTGTATCTCTTCTGAACATCGGTCTTAGTATACAAGTAATTCCTCTTCCAACACCTCGCTAGGTATCCCATCAAACCCCTAGTTACAACAAAACTGAAATCTGAAATCGCGCTCAGAGCCAATACACTTGCTCTCAATCCATGCCAGCGCTTCAAATAGGGTATCAAAAAAACATCTCCACCTGTGAATGGGAGTCATAAAAGAAAACTGCAAGAAAGCACATAACTTCATGCTCTGCGTGATCATCCGCGATTCTGTAAACAAATGAGATGGTCTAAAGGAGGGTAGACAGGCTTCCCTTATTCCTGAGGGATGCGGGGTGAAGAACGAGGGCTCGGGTTTGCAAGGCCAGTCCCGACGCTCTTACTTCTATGCGGTGCGATATCCAGCATCTTGGCGCTACCTGCGCTGAGAGATTTGACATGGCCAGTGAATCGACCATAATTGACGCTCTGCGCTTTGTGCAACTCCACCGGGGAGTGTGCTGATTCACCACTCAAACTGCCCTCGCGAGATGGCGTCACTGGTTCGGCAGCATTGTATTCTGTGAGGAGTCCTTCGCGAGACTTGAAGCGCGGGTCGTTGTGTACCACTGTCGGTCTACGACGTGCTGTGGCTTGCCTAAGTGGAGCAGCTACTTCAGGGGATGGCTCTGCTGTTGGGGTTGTTTCGATAGCAAACTCGCCTGATGCACGACGACTGCCATTGTCTGGTGTCAAAGCAGCAAAGTATTCATGCTCTGGGACGGGTAGGCGGTCGAAGCTTCCAGTAAACTCGGTCTTCCCTTTCTTGAGGGAGCTCAAGCTGCTGTGAGGGTAAGAAGTATGAGACGTACGTTTGATCAGACGTCCACTAATCCAACTGCCTTCCGAGTCTACAGATCCATATGACTGGGACAGTACTGTTGTTTCCTCGTCTTCGAGTATCGCAGGCGAGTCATTCCTAACAGGATCAGACGAATCTGTGTTCTTTGCCTGCTTATCAGCACTACGTTTGGCACGTCGTGCAGCCACTACGCCAGCCGTTATCACACTCAGTTCAGGCGACTGAACACGGGACGATGGCGGAGAAATAGGTAGCTCAGGGAGATCCTCGCGGAACTTGCTTTGGGTGCGAGAGGGGACGCCAGATTGTCGAGACGAGGGTGGTCCTACGAGGTGGGCAGGAATGGGTTGCTTCGACATGGACTCTCGAGAAGTGTTGACAAAAGAAAACTCTGACGGGGCCTTGTCTTCTGAGGCACGGCTTGAGCCGATTCCACGGCGGAATATATTCGTCCAGGCACTAGGGCCCACTCGACGACTGCCACTCTCGGAAGGTCTGCGTCGGCTGGACTCGAAGGAACTAGCGGGATGGCTTGAAGTTCTTTGCGATGGTGCATAGACCTCGGGCAAGCTAGGAGATGGCTGGATCTCACGCTGAACATTGGGCACAGGGGAAGCTGGCGGTGACAGGTGACCGGCGGATAGTCTGACGGCTCTGGCAGTATGTAAGACTGGTTCATCGAGCGGCGTTTGGACGGGCGAGTATTCGGCGCCAGGAGCAGTAAAGGGGTTCTCAGACTCGGGATCTGCGAAAGGATTTTGGGGTATGTCTTCGCGTGGTGGATAACGTAGGTAGGTGCCACCTTTTGTAGGGCTTTCCTGCATCTCTGGAATTGGCTGCTTGCCCTGTTTCTTGAGAGAGGTCGGAGTGATAAGCTCGGCTTCAGGTTGCTGTTCGCGGAAGGCAGGATGAATGGCGGTGGGGAGCGTTGCGTTCTGGCGAGCATCACGGGTCTTACGTTCGTCTTCCTCGCGCTGCTTTTCTGCCCGTCTTCGTAGTTTGCGATCAAGACGCTCATGCTGCTCCAAGGCCTTTTGTTCCTTTCTTCGTTGGTCACGTTCCATCAGGATACGGAGCTCGGTAGAGTTGAGGTCGTCGGCAAGATCGGCAACCTTTCTTCGGTCTTTTCTTCCACTCGATGCGCGAGCAAGCTCGGGCAGCTTGTCCATGTGTTGCGGACGCTTTGAAAGAGGCGAGGGAGGATGGGCGAAGGTGCCCGATACACGCACGGTAGGACGAGGACTGAGGATAGACATGCCACCAATCTCCCAGGCGCGTTGCTCTGACATGTGCGACCTATTGGAATGGATTGACTCTGGCAGGGGTAGCGAGACGTTGGAGGCGCGGGAGTCGTCAGGGCGTTTGGTCAGGGTCCTGCGAGCCTTTTTGCTGTCGCGACGGAGCAGGTCATTGCCAGACGAGGCGGCAGGCCTCTTTGGGATCTGCATTGGTGCGCTCATTTGACGGATTTCCTCTTCGCGGAGAGCCTGGTCCTTCTTCCTCTTGGTCGACTGACGGCGAGTGGGGGCGGCCTTGTCATGCGACGGCGGCAGGGTGACAGGCGGGTTGCGTGAGCGGGCAGATGAGGGACGGTCGAGAGTGTAGGGGTGGACGGGCTTGATAAGATTTGCGGGCCTCAGATGGGGGCTCTGCTCGAGTTCGGACAATTGAGGCAGGGCCGTTAACTCGTCCTGCACGCTTCCCTGACGCTCAAGGCAGTTCGGGGCATTTTGGGTGGAGCTGTCATGGAAGCGGCGGGCGGTGGCCTGGTCCGGAGAATCTGAAACACGGGCTGCATTTGCATTGGCACTTGCAGTTGCAGTTGCAGTTGGGTTCGCGTTGGACGTGGAGCTGGAGCTGTCGGCTTTGTTGTTGTTGCTCGTTGCGGCGGTTGGAGCTGGAGCTGTCGACGTTGCTGTCGTTGTGGCCGTCGACGCGCTCAGACGTCGCTTCTTTCGTCCAAACGGCCATAGTGGCATGGCGACAGAGACACAGAGACTGCTGCTTTGTGGACGCTGGACGGCTGCATATGCGACACTCGACGACGTGTATGACGGGGAGGTGGACGAGCCAAAGAGGAGAAGGGAGCACAAGGGCTAGGACCAGAGACCAGGGCGATTAGGAGCAAAATTGTGTGGCAACTTGCAAGCCTCAGCCAAAGCAAGCATCCATCGCACCAGCTCCACCAAAGTGACCAAACATCTGCAAGGCCGATTTACGACAAGCTGCAGCTTCGCACCAGATCCACAGACTCCTCGTTTCCGCCCGCTTCTGTATTTGGCATCCAACAAAAACACGCCCTGTCAATCCTGTAAATCCTTGCCGCCACACTGTCCGAATAGATTAATTCGAATGCACCTCTGATCTGACTGCAAATCTGTCAAATTTCGTCGTCCTGTTGTTCTCGCTGCCTGCTCCTTCCTTGCTGCGACACGCGATGCCCGTCACGTTGCCGACCACTCACAACACCACAACTCACGGTTACTCACCCGTAACACGCCTCGGACCAAACGGTTGCTCCTCTTGCCCTCGATCCCCGGACTCTCTCCCCCTTCCAGACCCTGCGCTTGCTGCAAATCGAGTCAAGACAGTCCCCTTGAACGACGCCATGGAAAGCCACCTATCCACAGAGAAGCGCCACTTACCGCTAGCCCCGCTCGTCCTTCGTGACCTTCTCTGCAAGAGAGCACATCATCCACATCATCCCTGACTTGAACAAAACATGTGCATCTGCAGCCGACTTCTTGTGCCCTCTATCTATCCGCTCATGCATGCTGTTTGTGCTTCCATGAAAGCTCAACCTGCTCAAATCCTGCCTGCCTTTTCGCGCCCTGCCAAACCAATCTCTCCGGGTCATCCGTGTTCCCAATTTGCGTCCAACAATCAATTGTTGCTCGGCTGTTGGCCTCCTCTCTTGTTGATGCTCCATCTTTAGCTTTCGTGTTTCCGTGAGCGTGCTCATCCGCTGCAGCACCCGTTTGCACCTCTTGCTTCGGCTCCATTGAGCTTCAGCTGTCTTCAGCCTCCGGTTAACAATTCTCCGACCTCCGGACGTGCATCCCGGAAGCATCTCTCATTGACCCCTCTCCGTGGAGCGTCCATGTTGGTCCGTTCAACCTCACAGAAGAACTTTGCGCCTTGGTTGCTGAACAAAGCAATTGACTTCGGACGGGAGATTTCTGGCTGTTCATGTTGACTTATCCAAATTTGAAATCACGGCGGTGCCTGAAATCGATATCCTAGAAGCCCCGCTGCCAGGCCTATCTGTGGTCTATCGCCTGCACGAAATTCGAAAGATAGGCGATGATTAGGCGGTGCCTTGCAATCGACCAGCTGATAACCAATCTCAATATGGCATCTCCATGCGGACCACATCCATGTCTCTACGGCTTGAGAAGTGAACTCATGTTCACCGCTCTTGGTCAAGGTCGAAGAGAAAGATAACAGTAGCAAGATGATGGCGACTATAAAGCGTAGAGGTAGGTCAAGGTTTGATGTAGCTACTTCTGAGTCTTGTTCACTATATTCAAAATGAGGGTGTCCTCGAGTCTTTTGCTTGCAGCATCCTTTTTCTATGCCCATGGTGCTTTGTCGGCTCCTAGTCCCGACCCAAAGGCAGCATGGGTTCGTCAGGGCAGAGCGAGAAAAGCTGCATCCAAGAATGGAAGACGTTGGTTAAATGAGACGTCAACACCATCGATTGTCACCTCGTGTTCGGAAAGCAACTATACCAAAGCATCGGCTCCCAAAGTCAACGTTTGGGGAGGCCTAACCGATATTGAAGCCGCTTCGGTAACCCAATGGTTGTTCGCCCAGCCGGAGCTCAATCTCACCGTCAGTGACGATGCTGGCGAATGGGATAACAGCGTGTGAGTCAATCGAGTATTATTTCATGTACCATATTGACGTGTTCGAAGCCTCTTGGTTGAGCTTATGCATCCAAATAAGACCGACGTCTTGAGTTATCTCGATAACGCCGGTCCTGCTCCTCCTCGATATGCTCACGTCGTGTTGGACCACCGTGCCGCCGTTGACCCGTACTACCAAGATATCCTGGTCGGCCCAATTGAGCCGTTCGGTGTGAAGAATGGCACGACCAGATGGGTACCTCTGGAATATCCCTACACTCGCAAGTCTGACGGTCGTGTGCGCAACCTTGATGCCGATGCTGACGATACACTTTACTCGCAATGGATATACAAGATCAGTGCAACTATCTCTGATATTACGCTCGATCTATGGGGAGGAGTTGCCCTTGGACGCGATAACGACACTCTGGACATCTGGGGCATTGATCCTCTCTGGCAGGACGACGGTCGTGTCGTCCGTTGGGATGCTTTTTGGTCCAATGCGGTCGACAACTTCGATACTCAAACACTCCTGCCACTTGGTCTATACTTCAGAAGTGATGTAACTGGACGCGATCCGAGCCAGTGGAAGCTGGAGGGCTGGTACTACAATGGCATATTCTACGAAACGACATCAGCATTCAGAAATGCTTACTATACACCTGGATTCGCTAAGCTGGGCGCCAATGTTGAAGGCGACTGGGCCCGGACGGATCAGAATGGGCCTACTCTTCCATTAGACACCTCTCACCCCCCTGCCTCCGTTGCTCCAAGCGGTTCTCGATTTGCAGTTGACGCCGAGTCCAAATGGGTCGAGTGGATGGATTTCTCCTTTTACATTGGCTACCAACGTGACACGGGCCTCAGTCTATGGGACATTCGTTATAAAGGCCAAAGAGTGCTATATGAATTGGGCCTTCAAGAAGCACTGGCTCACTACGCTGGACAAGACCCGCTCCAAAGTGGTACCGCATATGTAAGTAAGGGATACCATTGTTTTGGACAAAGTTTATTGACTGAAAAATTTGACCGACACATATTACGGATTTGGGCCGTACGCCTTCGAATTGGTTAAGGGCTACGACTGTCCGGCATACGCGACTTATTTGAACACGTCCTTCTACGTCTCCGAGACAACCCACACACATCTGAACAGTCTCTGTCTTTTCGAATTCACTGCCGATTATCCCCTTCAACGACACAGTACGTCTGACTACGTCAGTGCAACGAAGAACACATACTTCACGATCCGCTCTGTCAGTACTGTTGGAAACTACGACTACATGTTCTCGTACTCGTTCTACATGGGTAAGCTTTGAGTGTTACCGAGAATCTTGACCATGAGGCTGATACGAAGTAGACGGCAGCATCAATGTCGAGGTGCGCGCTTCTGGATATATTCAAAGTGCTTACTATGCCAACAACGATGAATATGGCTACAAGATCCACGACAACCTCTCAGGCAGCATGCACGATCACATCCTGAACTTCAAGGCCGACTTCGATATTCTAGGCACCAACAACACGATTGCTGTAGTTAACCAGGTACCAGTCTCTACAGTTTACCCGTGGTCGAACGGCAAAGCACGAAACACCATGAAGCTTGAGAAGTCCTACGTCGAGTCTGAGGATCAGAGCCGTTTGTTCTGGGGCGCCAACAGCGCAACTCAATACAGCGTTATCAACAAGGATGCCGTCAACAAGTATGGCGAATATCGGGGTTATCGTATCTCTCCTTCTCTAGGTGCCATTCACCTCACCGTAGAAGATTCAAGTAATCTGGCCAACGCAGCCCGCTGGGCAAACCACGACGTTCAGGTCACCAAGCAGCACGATACAGAGCCGAGAGCAGCACATGCCTACAACAACCAGGATGTGCATAATCCGCCTGTTAACTTTGATGCCTTTTTCAACAGCGAGAACCTCACGCAAACTGATCTCGTGCTTTGGCTCAACCTGGGAATGCATCATATACCCCACACCGGCGACCTTCCCAACACAGTATTCTCAACCGCTCACGCCGGTCTTTCCTTCTCACCTCTCAACTATCTTGAGGGCGACCCAAGTCGTCAGACCGTCAATCAGGTCAGAATCGAGTATGGAGGCGGCAATGTGAGCGCTGTCGAGACTTTCGGACAAGAGCAAGGAAGCTGTGCTGTTGAGTACACACCTGTTGAGGTGGATCTTTGGAATTATAAGGGTGATGTAGTCGTCAGGAAGTTTCCTTTCGACCCAAACAACCCTTTCTATGAGACTGATAGCATAGTGTAGATTTCAGGAGTTTGAGATGGTGGTGACCCTGTCACGATGTATATATGGATCGCTTGTGATCACCTGCACTCTGTCAAGTACCGTTCATTATATGTACTATCTTATGACACTCGCTGCATATTGATTGTATCCATTTCAACAGCTTTCCGATGTTCGAATGTGTTGTTCTGGTCAATCTCTTGAACTCGTAATTGATCATACGGCTCGGAAGTCTTTCTTCTCCAACGAACAAGTCACTAATGTCGTGCCACGCCTCTCTTTTTCAACAGAATATCGTCATACTGTAGTTACCGGTTCGTTCTTCGGTCTCTACAGACTGACCGTAGGCTTGTTTGTTGGATATTACTTCCCCTCGAAATGCACTGTGACTTTCCCTGCGAACTGTAAAGCCCTCCCTCTTGACTCATTACTGACTACAAAGCGTCTTTTTTTGTCGCTCCTCCTTTCCCTTCACGAGTCGTGGGTCGCTCTTTCCTATTCTGTCAGGTCGCTCTTACCTCCATAAATGCATCGTTCCTTCCTCTACTGTCCTCTTGTTACTTCCCTTTTCGTCAGATCGTGGGTCGTTCCTTCCTCATCTGTCAGGTAGCTCCTTCCTGTTCTGTGGTCATGTTCCTTCCTTCCAAGTCAGATTCTGGGTCGTTACTCCCTCACTCGTTATATCGACACTTCCTGTGTCGTATCTCATGCTAAACATGGAAGAGATGACCTATCGGAGAAGGTAAGATTGACCTATGAGCACATGGTACTGTAACAAACTACATCTCTTATAAACAGAGCTTCCATGGCATATATCTCTCCTTGACCTCTCTCTTTGGGGCCATATCGACGCATGTACCTCACTGACAGAATCGAGCTCATGTGACTGCCATATCTCTACTAGGGAAGTGGATGATTCTGCTAAGATATGCTATTACACGGACTCCGTGACGTTCGTCTTTGCTTGTTCACTGTACTGTACGAGATAGTAGATATCTTGTTATGTTATATAGATCGATCCTTCTTCCTTTCTGTCTAGGTTGTTGCTTCCCCTTGAGTTCTTTGAATCGTTCTTTCCTCTTTGATATCGAGAATCGTTCCTTCCTTTTTTTTGGTTTTGTGGATCGTTCCTGCCTGTTTAGCTTTCTGGGTCGTTCCTTCCTCTTTCGTCTTGATGGTCGTTCCTTCCTGTCTTGTGTCGAGGATTGCTCCTTCCGCTTCTAAGTTTGAGGGTCGCTCTTGCCCATTTCGATCCGGTAGTCCTTGCTTTCTTCTTGGTTTGAAGAGCGCTTTTTATCGTCATGAAAGTGTACCTTGTATGAATGTTGATGGACTTACTATCGTGAGCAGGTTGCAGGAAAGAACTGAACAGACTACGACATCATGAAGAATCCGTAGAGAACCGCAGCACAGAGATCAGTCTTAGGGTATCCTATATCGATGAATGCGTACAGTGTGCTAACCCAGCAACAACAGTCTATGCAAAGAATATCATGGATAACAAAGGAAGCTTTCGTTTATTGCCAATTGAGAAAAAAAAAAGTCAAAGTATTTACACAGTCCCGTGTGTGAAGCGCTACAGCATGATGCTCCAGCCCCTCATAAGTATATAAAACGCCCATGAATGATATGAGAAAAGAGAAAAAGCAGCCAGCATTTTACAAGCCTCGCGAAGCGTTTACTTGCGGTACCACATTCTGGTGATCTTGGTGTGTCTCATCTTCTTTTGGAGCTGGAAGATACCGAACATGAGGGCTTCGGCGGTGGGCGGGCAGCCGGGGACGTAGATGTCGACGGGAACGATACGGTCACAGCCGCGGGTGACGGAGTAAGAGTAGTGGTAGTAGCCACCGCCGTTGGCGCATGAGCCCATGGAGATGACCCAACGGGGGTCGGGCATCTGATCGTAGACCTGACGGAGGGCGGGAGCCATCTTGTTGGTCAAGGTACCGGCGACAATCATGACATCGGATTGACGAGGCGAGGCACGGAAAATGATACCCATGCGATCTTGGTCGTAACGGGGAGTGGACAAGTGCATCATCTCGACGGCGCAGCAAGCGAGACCGAAGGTCAAGGGCCACAATGAACCCTGACGAGCCCAGTTTGCGATTTGATCAAGAGTGGTCCTGTGGTTATCCGTCAGCGATTGACTCGGCTTCCTTCTACGATTCTATGCAACATACAAAGCGTATTGCATGACACCCTGCTTGCCCTCCTGGCTGGGAAGAGGGACGTTTGTGGGCATGCCCTTCTTCATGGGTGGCGGGGTGCCGGGGTTGCCCTTGACCAGGCCAGGTCTCTCCATGGTTGCCGACTTTGTTGACGAGCTGTGGATGAAGGCGACAGGGGCAGCGCGAGTGAAGGGGATGAGGGCGGCGGTAGGCTTGGCTATACATGATTGTCTTAGTCGTGGTGTTCTTTCTCACGGCGATTGAATTTCACGTACCGCGCAGGCCCAGGGCCATTGTCGAGCGGGTGGCGGAGAACATGGCGACGATTGTAGGTTGTGTGAAGAAAGGTCGTTGAAGCGAAGACAAGCGACGAAGAGGGGAGATTAATGCCTTGTCGCTATGTCGTTGCGTGCAAGTGGCGGACTTCAATGATGCCCTCGACGCTGCATGTACAAAGTCGCGCCCGGCGATCTGATCAATCGTCGCCCGCTGATTGGCTGCTTACCTGATTGGCTACCACTGGCCGAGCTGGACTTCACCTTCCATCATCATCATTGTCCTTTTGTTTATTCCTTCAACAATTAAATAAAATTTAATCATGGCCACCATCAAGACCCCTGCAATTGCCTGTGTAGGCGTAATTGGTAGACAAGTACGTTGAATTCCATCTCTGTTGTGAAACGATGGCTTCCGTGCTCGCACCTGCCTCCTTTTATTCTAACAATCCAAAAGAATAACCCTCTCCACATCTCCATATACCCCGCAGAAGGAGACAAGGAAGAACGAAGTAAACTCGACTTTTCTTTCATGCTGTCGACTTGTCTGGATATTTTCGAGGCTCGTCTGCCGGAAAAGAATGTCGGCCAAGAATTTGGCCTCCTCCAAGCCATCGACGAACGCCTGGCCATGTACGGCTGGCTCACAAACACTGGGGTGAAGCTCGTCATCATAGTAGATATGGAGGGTCGTCAATCTCCTGCCAACGATTCTAGGACTCCTCCTGTTCTGGGCTTGAAGAACTCTGATCTTACTCCCGTGAGTTGTGCCTTTTGTATAGGTCCAGGGCAGATGCTAACGAATGTCTCGTCAAAGGCTTTCCACGCGTTGCAAAAGGCATACATCAACTTGTTGAGAAACCCCTTCTACACGCCAGAGGAACATTCTCCCAATAACGCGAATGCACATCAACCCGCGACTTCTACTCAAATCACCAGCCGGAATTTCATCAACGAAGTCAATCGTATCGGCCGTGTCTGGGCACCGGCTGTCGCCTCTCGCTGAAACAGTCCATGACTTGGTTCTGGATTGCATTGAGGCATGCGGATCAGGCCCAAGAGCAGCGAAAGACGCCCAGACTTCATGCTGAGCTGGATTTTGTCCGGCTGGTCTTCTCTTGATCTATTTCTCGCCTGATTAGCCAGAGGATTTCGGGCATCATTCTATCACAAGATGAGAACACCATGAAGAAGACTATGCTGCGGAGATGTGCTATGGACAAGCAACCTTCACTCGGTTTCGCTCCATCATGCCACAAAACCAGACGCACGTTCGTCTTGTAAAGCTCAGCAACGCAGATATTGTCATGGGACAGGCTCGGTCCTATCAAGTACGGGGCGCCCAACCCCTTGTCGCGGCAGCTCGTACAAGAGTGACAACAATTGAGGCATGTGCGGTTCGGAGACACTTTCAACCCAGACTAGACACGCTGTCACGCCGCACTATATTTCTGGATCCTCCTCTTCGTTCAAGAGAGACATTGTCTGCTCACTTGTGTTCATCGGCTCTGTGGAATCACAGCGATCACTCTTCACGATAAATTAGGATAGTAGAGAAAGCAGAATGCATTTTGTGTCAAGTCCGAGTATCAAACTCTAGACCCTGTTATGCTGGTAATGAGAAAACTTGGAAAAGAGAGAAACATAAATCAACCCCTTAACGCGCGCAAGGAAAGAAATCCTGAGGTCCCCCTTGATGCTTTGTCGATGCTGCTTGAGAGAAGTGGGAAAGGCTAAACGATAGTGATGGAGGCTTCCGTTTACCAGTCCTTCTTGATGTCGAAGGACCACTCAAACTTCAAGTGAGTCTGCTCGTCGTCATCGATGAACTTGGACACGGCGTTGTAGTGACCACGAGCCATCATGCCAGAGGGTGCGGTCTCTGCCTCGACTGCAGCGGGGATGTTAGTCTTGTCACATGGTGTATGTGTGAGGAAAGGTGGAACATACACTTCTTCTCGTATTCGGGCTTGTCGGTGGTGTTGGGAGAGTAAGAACCAATCATCTCCTGCATCTTGTTCGAGATGCCCATGCGCTTGACGACCTGAACGTACTTCATACCAGAAAGGATCTGGTGCTGAACTCTGAAACGGGCCTTCATGCGGAAAGTAGCTCCTTCCTTGATGGTGAAAGGCTTAGACTTCAGCGATTCGAGAGCACCGGGAGAAGACAGATCGATGATGATGTCGGGACGGCCCTCGACCTGGTAACAAGAAAGGTCAGTCTTGTCGGCGGTCTCAAAGCTCCAAAGTGTTATCCTACCTCGAGTCCGAGGGAAACGATGATGACCTTGCGTGGGTCGCTAGCGTCGCCGATGGTGGTTCCTGAGCCGATGCCCAAGCTCTCCTTCCACTTTCTCAAGCTCTCATCGTTTTGGTCTGTTCGTTTCGAAAATTAGTCAGCAATCGAAACTTAGCAGAAATACATCTCAAAGCAATAATGTCAGATGCATCGCGTGGCGTAGCCGCTCACCGAACACCCATCCAACGTAGGAACCGGTTGAATCCAGTCTTTCCACGGCTCTTAGTCTGTTTGCGGAGGTCCTGTTTATCCTGCTCGGTGGGCGGTCTGATGTTGGGAGTTCCTTGGTCGTGGCAACTTCGAGTGTTTGTAGGGGATATCCTTCCGGACTTTCCGGAAGAATCATCGCCCTTCATGACCTCTTCTGTCTTTTCTCTCACATGCTTGATTTGTTCCGAGATTGCAGGACGATTAGGCATATTTCGACCGTCGATCGTCATCCAGAGCTCGGCCTCGCGGTATTTAACGCGGTAAACTGGAGAGTTGTGAAGCCACCAGCCAACTTGCACTGTCGTCGGAAGGGCAAGGAGCTCAGAGCCGTGACGTTCGAGCACTGCTCTAAAATGTTCGGCGGTTTCTTCTTCGACTTGTCTCGTTGGTATGCGGGTAAGAGGGACTTCGTACTCTTCATAGTCCGGTTGCAATAGCCCGCGCCTGTGAATAGCTTCCAGTTGGTGGGGAATTGTCGGCTGGCCAGGTAACTCTTTGCCGTATTGATCCATGAAAACCATTTCACCATGACAGATGACAAGATGCACAGGATCGTCCTTTCGCTCAAGTGCGTGCCAGGTAAAGACGTCGCAGTGGGAAGCGTCCATAGTAGCCGAGTAGTATCGCAAAACTTGGCGAGCCCATGTCCGATCTTTCTCAGAAGACGGAAGTAGCGCATTGGGTACTGAGCTGCGAACATAGGACTCTTTTCGAGGTATCTTGGAGTCACGGTCGCGGCCACCAGAGTATTTGCTCAGTACACCCTTGTCGTGGGATCCCATAATACTGTCATGTTTGTGCAGAGTATGAAGTCCATGGACGAGCGATCTTCTTCGATCGTTTAAAACAGTGCGCCTCGAGGGTCTGAATTCTTCGTCTCCTGACATGGCTCTAACAAAGACAGGTGGAGGACCCTCTTCATCCCGAGATGTGGCTCGAGAGGAGTTCTTGGACGGTGGTTTCGAGAACAAATCAACAGTGTTCTCTAATGCCACTCTCACGGACGATCTTCGAGCCCTGCGCTGTTTTTCGGCATTGATGTGCTGTTTCTTTTGTTCGTCTGACAGCTTTCGAGCATCAATCCAAGGCTGTCTCCGATTGCTGGAGCGCCTACTCGACGAGGCTGTGTAAGCACCAGAGGAATTCCGATGGTTTCGATCGTCTTCTTCCAAGACCTCGTGATGTCCAGCACCTGGGTTGACGAGACTATTGTTGGAGGCCTTCGGATTGGCGAATTGAATGCTCATACTGGACTAAGCTCTTCATGACCCAGGAGCCATGCAGGTATCCTTTGATTGACGGAATGGATTGGTTCCAGAATGGCCAGGACCAGGAACCAGAATTTGAAGGCTTCGAAGCGGATCTTGCCCGCCGGAAGTGGAGGCGAGATCCAACGGAAACACGCGCCTTGCAAGGCGCAGGCAGATCATAGGTGTAAAGGAACTCAAAAGAACTCACCGAGCTGTTGGTATTCCTCCAAAGTTTTCTTCTCTCCAACCTTGAAACCGGCAGTGGTCTCAGGGCGGAGCTCGTCCTCGTGGAAATCGGTAGCACCGGACATAGTTACTGTTGTTCGTGTGTCGACAGAGTGCTCTGCAGGAGAAGTTGATGGCAAGAAGTGGTGGAGACAAGACAGGTAGACAAGTGAGTAGGGGTGTAAGTAAGATGCTCAGGGAGGAAGCTTAAGGTGTCGTTTGTGGAGCCCAAAGACTGGCCTGGAATTTAGCTCCGTACACGTCAGACCCGCAGCCGGGTTCACCGCCTCAAGGGTCAAAACACGAAAATCACGTGGAAACAGAGAAGAGGTCAATGCGGTTCGAGGAATAAATTAAGTCTAGTCCTGAATTTGCCTTGGGAAGAGCATGTCAGAACACAAGAAGCTCAGGTATACAAAGCAGCTGATGGTGTTGTTATGGCTGTTGATGTTGCTATTAGTAAACACGGGGCTTTGCAATGTGGCCCGAAGCTACAAAGGTTTCGACTCCTGTAGTATGTATGCATATGGCTCAACTGTTTTGTACAAGCATTACATGTATGAGGCATCAGGGTGTAGACACCGGGTCTTACATGTCTCAGCAGTTGGTTCGGCCCTGTCTTATGGGCTTCTCGAATTACAGGGCACTGGAAACATAACAAGGTTCGAGCTTCGTCAAATCAGTACAACTGTTGAATGTGTGGAGGTCAGGTAGAGAGAGCCATTCGGCACAGATACGAATCCGTGCACATAGTATAATATGTTGGATGGATTGAAGTTAAGTTGTCGGTGAGCATTGTGTCTCGCATACCGCAAGCTGGCTTGTTTGTGTTGCAATCTCCCGTGTTTCTTCACGGCAGATGCATGCATTTTCGAGACACACACTCTGGTCACTTGTTCGTAGTCATCTTGACTTGTGGATCAAGAGAGACGGAGAGAACAAGCTCACTATTAGTTCCTTCACTTGAGTGGTAGTTTTGTCGTTGGCTGCCATCAAAGTGAGGGATGTCGGTGAAGTCAAAGCCAGCCCCCCACAGCCGTTATTTTCCTGTTGGCAACGCCTTCCTATTGCGTAGGTAGTGCATTCCCGCCGACAGCGCGCTCGCGTCTCTGACCATTTTTGACCTCACCACCTTCATCCACTCTATTGCTTTGCGCTCAGTCTACCGCACTTACAATTGCATAGTGTCATTGCTCTCGCCGCATCGACGCACCCATATCTGATCAGTCGCGCGCGACCGTGAAAACCACCTAGTCGACGCGCTTTTCCTTCACAATGGACGCGGAACGCGACTTGCCCGAGAAGAGGAATCCTCTCGTCGAGGAGAAACACACTCCACCGCGTAAGTTGAATACTATCTAAGGCGCGACGTTCAATGGCTGACAAGAAACAGTCGAAATCCTTGTTGAGAGACGTCGGTTAGGACAGACGGAGCTCACAGTGAAGCCCGGTCAAATCGGTACATCCAATGCGACAAAGCTCCAAAACCTGGGCATGTTCGATTACGCTCACCTGCGCGTGCCTCTGCCCAAAGATCTGCAGGGAAGCGGCATCTTCGCCCCGTCGCGACGCAACCAGTCCTACCCGGAAGCTTACTTTTTGATGGTGAGGACATGAACAAACTTGCGCAATTTGTCGCACTTCGGCTGACGTAGTATCGACAGAGACGTTCTAACGACGGCTACATCAGCGCGACTGGCATGTACAAGGCTGCGTTCCCCTGGTCATCACTCGAGGAGGAGGAGATAGAGAAGAAGTACATCAAGTCACTGGTCGAAACCGACAGCGAGGAGATTGCTGGAAACGTGTGGATTCCCCCGGCGTCGGCTTTGACTCTCGCAGAGACCTACAGTATGCGCCCCTGGATCGAAGCTCTGCTCGACCCTGAGCCCATTGCGAAGGGCACTCACGACCCTAACAAGAAGATCGCTACACCTCCCCGCTTTGCCATCTCCAACTCGGAAGCTACCACTCTCCCTCCTCCCGCAGAAACCAGCTTGCGCCGTCGCACCCTTCGTTCTGCCTCGCCTGCAAAGGCTCCTCCCACTCCCAGCCGCAAGATCGCAACTCCCCGGAGGACCCGTCGCGCAAAGCCTACATCCAACGCGCTTCCCCCTACTGCTGAAAGCGCCGAAGAACTCGCTGCGCAAGAAACTTCGGTAGAGCCCGAGTCTGCGAAGTTTGACTCGATCATTGCATCTAGCGAGGCACTAGCCAAGGCAGACGCAGAAGCCGACCTTGAAGATGACATCGCCGCAACTACTAGTGCTCGTTCCGACGATACTGTCAAGGTTGACATCGAGACTGTCACTGAGCCCGCCATCAATGGAGGCACTCCAATCACTACCACACACGTTGTCGTTGAGACACCAGCCAGCCACCCTGATCTCGCACAACCTGACGATGCTCAAGGCTACCTCGACCAGGCCAAGGAGGCCATCATTGCAGCAAGACAGTTGACAGCTGGCCGTGCCTCGGGCAAGAAGCGCAAGGCACAAGAGATGTTTGACGATGATGAGCAATCTGTTTCCTCCTTCCCCGAGTTCGACACAATCGGGTCTTCTGCTGCAGTCGCTCCTATAGAGATCGATGAGCGCCCAGCAAAAAGACAACGTGTGGCCGAAATTGAACTTCGCAAGGAGAAGATCAAGAGAAAGGCAACTTTGGGAATTGTGACCAGTTTGGCCATGGGGTATGTGATTTCTACTTTCATTCGATTTTGACCTTTGACTAATCTTGTTTACAGTGTTGTGGTACCATTTTTGGGATCATACTTCCAATTGCTTTAAAATGATTGTTCTTGCAAGACAATTGCCCCTGTGATTTTCTCCTGTCTTCGAAGATAATTTGTTCACTCCCTTTGCGCCCCGAGATTTCTAATTAACTTCGACCTTGTTGCCGGTGTGGCCTTGTTTCTAAATCTGGGAGTTTTTCTTTCGATGTGGTGGAAGGAGGAGGTGGACAGAAACAGAGAGAAATGTTTCAAGGAAGGAAGCCGCCGCTCGCGTGACTTTCTTGCGTGCGTCGTTCTGTTTTCTGGAAATAGCAGTATATGTGAATGGCATTTCTTCCACATTGTGCCTGTTCTTTCGACTACCGGTGATTGCCTCGCAGAGGCATAGTGCTTTGTACCGCGTGTGCCAGATAGTGTCCGGTTGAGTCGTGTCTGCGCAAAACATGCAGCTTTGCGGTTGTTTAGATGTTTGAGTCTTGCGTGGTGTGGGCTGACCAGGCAGACGTAGCGGCTACCTGGCTGGCGTTCTCTGATCTATAGACAAAAGGCTCGAGGTTCGAGGGGCAGATTGGCTGGAGGGCATGTCCCGTTTTGTACCATGTCCTCGTAATGGCTTCAAACCAGGACACCCTTGAACTCGGCTCGTCCTCCAGCTCCAGCGCCTTGTAACTGCTCCCATTGCACTAGCACGCGGTCTACGACCCAGCAAAGCAATCTTCCACTCAGACTGAGTTTCTTGACTCTCGCCCAGCTCTCAACGTAGATTGTGCGCATCTCGCCTCTGCCTTGTCTTCCTTGTAAACCCAAGAAGCGTAGAAGTACAGACGCAAAGACCAGTATCGTCGCCGTCGCAGGGCCATTGGTGAGAATCAGATCCGGATAGCCATATTGTCCATCAAGAGAAGGTCGAAGCAGCTTCAAACAATCTCCCAAACACAAGAGACAACTCCAGGGTGCTGAGAGCAGACTCTGATGTACCTTTCTCGCTCTCCTGACTTCGACGACTCTATATGTGCCTGCCTTTTCCCCGAGCTCTTGCTCGAATTCTTTGGCGAATGCGGCGGAGAAGCCATCGCCGGAGGAAACTAGCCAGGTGCGGTGGGTGAAGTACTTGGTGACGTTGCTGCGACGGAGCATGGAGATCATCTCTGCTGTGTGGCCGCCGCTGCCGAGGACGATCAAAAGGTGGGCTGGTGTGCCGCGCTCGCGAGGTGTTGGCGGAGGGCGACGGTGTGGAGCCAGCGAGAGAAGTCGTAGGGTCAGATATTGAAAGGCGAAGAGGGCGATCGTTGCGAGGGTTGCGAGAAGGGGGGCATTGAGTAGAGCCATGGTTGTTGACTGCTTAATGTTGATGTTGATGTTAATGTCGATGGGGAGAGAGGGGCACCAAAAGGCCTAGACGCTTTTCTAACAGGGAACGTTCCTGTATGTCTTCACTCTTATAATAGTTCCATGTTTGTATCAATGTGCTTGTCCATCAATCGCTGCTTGTGGGAGGAGGTCAAAGGGACAGCCAACATTTTGTGGAGAACTTGACATGTGAAAGAAGTCCAACCGTTGCCAGCAATCAACGCAATTGTTTCCCTCTCTTTACAATTCTAAACAGCACCCATACTGTATTTCGATTTCTCAAATATTGAGGGATACTAGAAACCTTCTTGGACATTCGATATGGCTTACCCCTACTTGACGCCTGTTTTCCTTCTTGCCGGTCAAGCACGCAATAGCCAAACACCCTGCGACCGCAGAGAAACCTTGGGCAGGCGTAACAAACAAGTCTGTGACAGACGCTGCTCCGATCTGAACTATCGTAGCATGGAAATCGTAAGACTCATGGAGAAAATACCTTCAAATGATCAGAAATAGTTGTTTCGCTATATTCCTTTACCTCTTTTCCTGCTTTGCAATATTCGAGTTGCAAAGTACTGTATAAGATTGAGGACGCAAGACAAAACGGACAACAGTTCATGTCTCTATAGCTGACAGAATCAGTCTACTTATAAACCTCAACCGTTGCAGTACATGCAGACGCAGGAGTTCCAATTCGAGGATTACAGGTACTCAGACAAAATTATACCCTCTGGCCATAAACTCCATATCCATTCGCTGATGGTTGGATCGTAAAGACATCATACACTCCTGACTGCGCGTTGATCTCGCCACATTGATGACTGCTTAGTAGCCGACCGTCTGATCAGATTTACAACATCATGAGGGCACCGACCGATACTGAAATAGCCGAGAACATGACCAATGCCAGAACATCACCACCTCTGCCGTTTGCCATGATCGAGGATGCGCCCTGTTTTAAAGTATCAGTATACGTGCTGCAACCGTACGGTATGTCATGATACTCACAGAGTCGCTGCCTGAAGCAGAAACGGCTCCGACAGAGCCAGAAGCTGTAGAGACAGCGGAGCCAGTAGCAGCAGCCAACTTCTCCAGTCCTCCAGTCAGTTCTATAGGTATCAAAGCCATCTGCGATCCAGTGAGAATGAGGGAAGTAGTAAGAGCAGTCCGGGTAGCTCCGGCTTCAATTGTAAATGCGATATCACACGATGCAGAGGTAGTTCCGTCCATCTTGCAGGATTCGGATGCTGAAGCTTCGACACCCAAGGTTGTGGTTGCGAATTCGAAGTTGAGGTTTGAAGGACCGATAGTCATGGTTAGCTGTAGTCGTGGATTAGTTCGTTGTACATCATCATCAATGCGTTGGGTTGTTGGGTACTTACAGCAACTGGGAGGGTGCCGCAAGCTTCAGTCGCGGTGCACTCGATTTCGTAGATTGTTTCACTGGGACCGACAGAGACGACGGAGCCAGCGTATGATTGGCCGGGGGCAGCACGTCCACCGATGAATAGAGATGTGGTCGAAGTCGACTGTTGGGCAAGAGCACCAAGAGCTGAAGCAGCTAGGAGAGCGATAGAAGAACGCATCGTGATACTAGATTGATGGCGAGAATTGGTAGTATCGATTTGGTGCTTGGTGCAATGGATTATGGATTATGGATTGAAGATACGTTCAACAAGAAGTGGAAGGAGAGATTGCTATATGAGTTACAGGATTGCTCCTTCTCTCAGCTAAAGACAGCTGCGCCGTACGCTAAGAATCCAAGTTCGGCATCTATACAGTGTCTCGACGCGTGCCTGAAAAATTAATTGGCTTCTGCCTCCCGCATCCTTCGTCAAAGACACTAAACCAAGTAAAGTAAACATAGGTTCGACGTTCAGCATCCTTTGCCGGGGTGCCTGAAGAAACAAGACAAAGGAAGAACGACCGTGCCTCATTCTCGGTTACTCAGCCTTGGCTGGCTCTATTCTGCCTTTAATTAGGCGACATGTGACTTGTGTGACCGAGCAGGATGAAGCGAAGGATTTTAGTAAAGGTCTGAAGATGGCTGTTATTTCTTGGGAGACGTCACAAGGCAGACCAAGGCAAGGAATCACAACCATCAACTGCCAGTTGAGTCTTGTCAGGATGGTATGCTACGGCCGTAGATCAGTAGCAATGAAGCTCGGCTCGTTCTTCAGGATCGTGGTACTGTAAGAGATGTTGTTTCCTCCATGTGCACCGAGTCGGATATATCTGGATCGCGTCCAAGTGACCCCTGCATGGCCCCGAAAAAGGTGGCACTTCTAGACATCCCGCAGACACGAACGAGACGCTAAAAGGACGCCAGAAGTGCTTGTTTGGCTAGGGAAGAAACGTGTGTGTTTCATGTTCACACTCGAACATGATAATTACAGTATAACCAAAAACCCCAAGTCCTGGAAGGCGTACTACACCTCTTTTGCGCCTCAGAATGAAGAAGTATCAACCCAAATCGCTCAACATAATGCATTGAAAAAGAAAGATGATCATGCCCGTTCCGCTTGTCCAAGCCGTAATGCCAAAAGAGCACGTACATCCGTCACGTACTGTAAGCCTTCTAGCAAGGGAACCAGATGCAAAAGGTCGTTATCCGTGGGATCGCTTATCCAGCCTTCTATCGGGATGGCGTTGTCTACCGAAATTGGTCAGAGACAATGTCATAGTGTCAAGCGAAAAGCAGGGCCTAGGTCCGACTCACCTTCATGGAATATATAGCTCATAGGACTGTTGTCGAGAATCATGACTTTGCTCAAATCGGGTTCGACCTGTGTTAAGTCCTTGATGTATGCGCCATTGCGAAAAGTGCAATGTTGACGATAGTATCTGCCGCTGAAATATTTACGTTCGCGTTCCAGCCAGTCGATGACAGGATCTGCGTATTCCTGTACTGATGCAGTGAAAACAATAAGGTTATACCACTTGCAAACCTGAAAATGACATTATCAGTATCGAAGGACCAGAGGATGATAGCTCGTGGAATGTTACCTTGCGTAAGAAGTCGTGACAATATGGACGCTCGTGTACGTAGTACAAGATAGGTACCTGGGGCCCGAGTACCATGCCATTCCCTCCTATAGGACCCTGGAACTTGACTTCGACCATGTGACCAGTGCTCATCCTCCCACCCTTGGCCATACTGTGAATCAAGGTCTCATCCAGATCGATGATGAGGGTCTTCTTTGGCGGGTCGGGATTATAAGTCATGACATAGGAGGGTTGTCGCCTAGGAACGAGCGGGCGTGGAGGGGCAGGGGCTCGCGGGTACTTGAGCTTTGTGGCGGCCGAGTTGGAGGGAGATTTCAACGAGTTTGCGACAGCGGCGACCTTATCTTGTTCGGACTTGTCTGCATCTGTGGGCTTGCGTTGACGTCTACGGCGGAGGGCGTCCTCGTTGTTGTGCAGCTTGATGCGAATAGAACGTTTGGCAGGGGCTATCTCGTCCTTTGAAGCCGAGGACTTTGAGCGAGTGTTACTGGACGGACCTTTGTCGTAGGGAGCAAGAGATTCGTCAGAGTCGGAGAGTATTGAGGAAGCGGTGGATTCCATAGAGGTGCCCCGCGGGCGTGTCTGTGGCTTTGTGGGTGGAAGATCGGTTGTGGCTTCACCGGGTTGAGGAGAGAACAAGCGGCGCATGGATCGCATTGGTATGAGGAGTGAGAATTTGCCGTCTGTGTCGTAAAAGGCAGCGACGAGGTACTGGAAGGGCAGGATGACGAAGTTGAGGATGGCCTTCAGAGCGGCTATGAGCATTGAGGCTATGCGGGACGGAAGGAGCCATGGCGATGTTGGCGAGGAAGTGGTCGGCGAGGCAGGAGGACTGTCGAAGGAATCGAAATAGGAAGGCTTTCCAAAGGGCGAGGGGTGCGAGTGCGAGTGCGAGTGGTCGTCATTGCTGGTGCTGCCTGTACGCGAGCGGGACGGAGTGGCCGGAGGCGTGGGTGCAGGACTAGGACTCAGTCCCGATAGGATGTTGAGCGCGTTCATAGCAGGGCCATACCCCCAGAGTCTTAGGCCGATATACGGTGGTTCATACACGACAATGCTTCTCTGGACGTAGGTATCACACGCCTCGGTTCGCTCTCTAATAAATGCGATCAACGGTCGAGCCGCCCATCACGTCGCTGACATCCAAACGTGGGGTGAGCTTCATCTCAACTTTTGGCTGCCCTCTTGGCAAAGTCCATGTTGATCTGTTCCATCCCTCGTCTTGGTTCCACCAAAACCTGAGCATTCATCGCCATGCCAGACAGGACTAAATATGACGAGCGCATAGCCCACAATTCTGTGCCACTGGTCTTGTCGCTTGTTGCCTTGCCGTGTGCCATTGCTGTCTGGTTCTCTGTTGTCTCCAAACAAGTCCGCGAGCCGTATCTTGTATGCCAAAATCTCGACGAATCCCTGTCTTTGCCCCCGACCTAACACATCTAGGACGAAGTTTTCCATGTCGGCCAAGTCCAACAATATTGTAATGGAAACTACTGGCACTGGGACCCAAAAATAACAACTCCACCTGGACTTTACATTCTTTCTGTCCTCTTCTATAAAATCACCGGACGATGTGATCTGGATGCTCTGAGATTCGTGAACGCTCTTTCCCTCTTTGCCATCTTTTTCTTCCTTCTTCACACTGCTCCTCCCGTCTCTCCGCGCTCTGGGAAGCAACTTCCTGGCCAAAAATCGACTCTCTTCCTGCCGTCGACCACTCTGTGTCCACAGCAGATTCATTCCGCTCTCAACATCTGCCTGTTCCCACCTCTGTTTTTCTTCTGTGCCCTATACTACACCGACGTCGCTTCAACTCTGAGTGTTCTTTTGTTCACGAGACATCTCCTGGAAAGCAACTCTCGTGGTCCGTGTACCTTTTTCCAGGCCTGCGTATCAATTCTCCTGGCCCTGGTCTCCCTCTCGTTCCGCCAAACAAATATCTTCTGGGTTGGTGTGTTCCCTATCGCCCTTCTGGGACTCGGCGCTCTACACGGCGACGTCGAATCCCTCAGACCAGGCGATGGCAAGTCTGTCATCCTGAAGGCTTGGGCCAACGCCACCTTCTACGACCCTCAGATGCGTGATGCTATTCTGAATGGTTGGTCTTCTCAACAATCGCTGTTACCAGAATTTTATGCTGACTCCAAGAAGATTTCTGGCTCACCTGCATGTCCATCGTGACGCTAGCATTACGTGCTTTGTACTTCCCTCGCACATTACTCAGGATTGTCCGACTCGTATGGCCTTACATTCTTGTGCTCGCACTCTTCGGGTCCTTTGTTCTTTGGAATGGCGGTGTCGTACTCGGTAGGTCACCTAAAATGTTCTTATCGGCCAAAATACTGACATCTTCTCACCAGGTGACAAATCTAACCATGTTGCTACACTACACTTGCCTCAGATGCTCTATCTGTGGGCTTATACGTCCTTCTTCTCTTTCGGAATTACCTATCCATTTTTCGCTCAGGGATTACTCGCCATCTTCGCGGCTGTTCCGGTCATGGCCATGATAGAGCCACTCATTATCTTCGGCAGACGCAAGTTCCTCCCTCGATCGCTTGTCCTCTTCGTGTTCATTGCAATCATTGCCGTCACAATCAGATTTAATACCATTGTACACCCATTCACGCTTGCCGACAACAGACACTTTACCTTTTATGTCTTCCGCTACCTACTCGCACATCCGGCTATCAAATACCTCGTCATCCCGGTCTACATGTCATGTGCTTGGTCGGTCCTTCAAGCGCTCGGTGCACCTGCTCAAATCTTTCAAGTCAAAGAAGACGAGAAGGATGATGGCGAGGGCGCCGCATCGCAAGACAACGAGACCGAGGGGAATCCGGCCAAGACCAAGAACAAGGAGCAACACCAGATCCTGCGCCTCAATGATGCGCCCTTTGGTGAAGGCAGTACGATCAGCTTCGTCATGGTCTGGATAGGTGTGACCGCTCTACAGCTCATCACCGCGCCTCTAGTGGAGCCTCGCTACTTTATTCTACCCTGGATTATGTGGCGACTTCGCGTCCCACAATCGCATCCTGGCGCTTCGTTGATAGCAAGACCGACACACAAAAATTGGAAGCAGTGGTGGAACAAAGAAAGAGAACGACGAAACATCGATCGCCAGAGCTGGACTAACTGGCTGTACATTGTCTTGTGGGCCGAGCATGATCATAGGCTCTATCTAGAGACGCTATGGTTCGTAACCATCAACTCTGCTGTGGGTTACATCTTCTTAAACTGGGGCTTTGAGTGGCCACAAGAACCTGGTAAAACGCAGAGATTCATGTGGTAGCATCTGACTACCTTTAGATGATTTTCATCTAGCTTTCAAAACGTGTACATATATCATAGATAGAAATTGATGACTTCCTTTGCAGCAAACCATCGAATGCTGGCACTTGTGAACCGTCGTTTGACAGGCAATTTGTACCTACTCTACAAATACATCCGCCTTGTCTAATGAAGACTTTTATCCATCTGAGAGGATGCTAAAGAGTACAGAGGCGATGTGTGTCGCCAGAAGAAGACCACGACTCGCAGGCCATGCATGAAGATTTCCTAGACCTCCAATATGTTATAACCAGCACCTCCAGGCGCGACGAATCATCACGCATCGCACCGTGAGCAAAGACATGCAGAATCATCACCACATCTGAACTCGACCCAACTTTCCAGAACACGAAAGCCAGTCCAAAGAAAATGACCTTTCCCCTCAGATTCCAATCTATCATGTCGGCACCTATCCTCGGAGACTCCTGTTCTGCCACACAATCAAAAATATCAATCCTCCATCGTTCATCATTACAATCCTCCATATCAACAAACACAGTACACGCACACTCCCTCCGTATCCCCACATGTGTTGCCAGGGAAAGCACAAAAGCAGGGGAACGAAGGCAGTAAGCCAAAAAGCCACACAAACCTTCCACGCACACATGGTCGTTGTTCGTTGGTCGTTCTATCTCATCTCCAAAATACACGTGTGTTGCACTAGGCAGCCAGACTCGGGAAATTTACCAGACTTTTGGGAAATAAAGATAGAGAGAGACACGGAGATATGGTGTGCTGGTTTGAAGGGAAATCTGCAAGCCACACGCAATGCAACAACCAACTTACGGAACGATTTTACACACGCAACGGGTCGAACACCCTCAACAATCTACTCGTTCGAGTATATATGTAAGGAGAATTATAGTTGATCGTTCGGCCGGTAGGAAAGTTAGATACTGTAGGTTTTCCTGTGGCGAGAAAACGCTGTGGAAGTTCGAACGGGATGCGGTTGTGGGAGGAGTTCAGCTTTTGCGAACCCGTTCACCCGTTTGGCGAAAGTGGAAAGTTTACTGCCGTACTTTCCTTTAGATATATTGATGCAGTTGTATAAGAATATGCCATTTGAGAGATAAGCTATGCTATCCACGTTTTTGCATTGCATGAACTATACACGTTGAAATGTAGCAATCAACGGTTGTGCATTTTACGAGTATAGAATATGAATCGTCTGTAGTGAGAATGTGTCGGAGGTATAGTCATGCGACTGCAGAAAATTCATGTCTTAGCACAGTCACTTCGCGCACTTGTACATGAACACAAGACAAGATTTGATGACAAAGGTAGAAAAGCAGAGTAGTTGTCTCAAAAAGCGATGAGTGACATTTGGGGGGTATTCGTAGCCATAAATTCTTCTCCTTTCTTTCCCATTTATTCCGGTTTCCCCTTCGCTGCGCTGAATGTGGTATCTTTACAATAAAAAGCAGATAAGCAAAAAAAGCAAATAACAGAAAACGCCCATTGTCCTTGTGTTGTTGTTGTGTCCTTTGTTGGGTGGGGGTATACCGATCGTTAAAACATGAATGCGAAAAAAATGCTGCTTTGGCCCCTTGTGCTGGATTGAGGCTCTTTTCTTCCTTGCTGTGCGTCTTTCATCTTCTCTTCTCTTCTCTTTCTTGTAGTCATTACAGCTCGTTGCGAGCAAGGCAGCTCCCACCAGACTGTGTTTCATTTACAGTAGTCTTTTAGAAGGCGGGAGATGTCAGTCTCTTCAACAACTTCTTCACCTTGCTGCTGTCCTTGGTGGGGCTGACGGCAAAGGCTCCATACATTCCAGTGACATCATCCGAGAAAGTGAGTCGCTCGAGTGCAAGAGGGTCTTCAACTTTCAGGCTTGAAAGGTCCTCCTGATCAGTCTTGGTGAGACGAGTAGGGGAGTCATCCATGGCTGATCTGTTCTCAGGCTTGGTCAAAGTGACGCGCAGAGTCATGGGACGTTCCTTGGGAGTGCGGAAGTAGCCACCATCGAAGCGCTGGATTGGGGGACAAGGCGAACGGAAGTCCCAGCTGGTGGCCATGGTATCGTCAGATCCAGGGGTCCAAGGTTCGTCGTCCGAGTCGAGAGTGTAATCCTCGTCCTCGTCATCGTCAGAGAGGCCATCAGACGAGCTCAGATCCTCGTCGAACTCGTAGTCAAAGCTCGGGTGTTGCTTGGTCACGGGAGCAGCCTCGTCGGTAGCATATCCGAAATTGATAACCTCATCGAAAGCCTCGGGGGAGGAAGTACAGCGGCGGATCATCTCTCTGGTCTTGGGGTCCAGGTATTGTCTAGTGACTGGGGCTGGAGTTTCGGGGGTCTTGCTGATGACCTTTGTGTAGTCGAAGGGACTCTGCGTCATGCTGGAAGTGCGGGGAGGATGGCAAGCCAGTGGGTTGAAAGGCAGGATGGAGGCGTTGGAGGAAACAACCGATTGGGTGCGTGGGCGAGACGAAGTGCGGCTGCTGGTGGCTGAAGGGTATCCGCCATCAGAAGTGGTCGGAGTCGATGGAGGCTCGACCATAGTTCTGCGGCTGAGGAAGGAACTGGCGTAGCTGTGGCTGCTTGAGGCGCGTTCGTCGGTCCAAGATCTGGGAAGAGGAGGAGGAATGCCGCTGTCCTTGGACAGTTGCAACTCGCAAGCGGCCCGCATCAGAATGTTCTCTTGTCTGGTGAAGTGAAGACGACGGATCTTGTCGGGCAATGAGAGGAAGAAGCGGGCTTCGTCGTTGGTGAGATTATGGCCACCACGGCGGTTAATTGCCTTGAGTCTGTGGATGTACTGCTGGGACCTGGATATGTATGAGTGTGACGATCTCTCAGCCAGGGCGCGTAGATCGTACTTGGAAAGCTCGCCAGATCCGAAGGTGCGTTCATGGTAGACACTATTGGCTCGAAGGCGCTGGATTGAAGTGCTCAACTTTCTTCTGTGCATGTATAGTCAGCAACTAGATCAAGCCATTCAGGTACGTCACCAAAAGGGTGCAAAGGCTGGATGCAACTTATGCGTGCAAGCAGGAGATAGATTGGACTTACTCAAAGCCGGAGGGCGGGGCCTCTGATGCAGATGCGGTGCTCAGCATTGTGTAATGTTCGAGAATGTCGGTGTCGATGGTCTTCGTGGGCTTCGATGGCGATATATGTATCGACATGGAAGACGAAGAGGAAGAAGAATCGAAGCGTTCGTAACACCAACGGTGAAAGTGGAGAAGAGGCCGTTGCAAAGCTCACTTCAAGAAACTGGCACACTATCTGGAAGTGAGGATTGCTGCAAGGAGTTTTAAGCTTCATGTGAAGGAATCAAGGACAACCGCTGTTTGCTGCTGTGTAACACAACGGAAGCGAGCCCTGGGCTATCGGCACGTGGGTTTGCAGTGATTAAATATAACATCGTCAGTCATATGCCCGCGTGTTTCCCTAAGGCGAGCTTCTGTGGTAAATGACCTGCCTGAGGGCTCAGCAAGAATGAATCTCGCTGGAGGGCAGGTGCGACCGAACGTCAAATCTGTCAAATCTGAGCCAAATCTGAACTCTCCGACACCCGCGAGTCGCGACGGTTGCCTTACCCCTGCTCATCACCTGCCGGACCAAACATCGAATCATCAGCATGCCACCTATTCCCCGAGATTCTCTTGCTCCGTGATAGGCAACCGTCCGCTGTCAATGCAACGAGCCTGGGAGCCATTCCGACGGTAGCGCACAGCAGACTCACCCACCGATTATTGACCAAGCACATGGGCCATTGGCCTCCTGCTGGAGCGAGCGATAATCATGCATTGAATGCACGTTGCCAGTCCCTCCTGTTGGTAATCGTCTACCGCTTGTGCAGCGCCACGCCTTATTGACCGTTGATACTGTTGTACAACAAGGAGTATTCAGGAGTCTGCTCTCCCCACAGCCTGATTTTTCGCCAACACAAAAGACGTCATGCGACAACAAACAAACAAACAACCGCGAAGAAGAAATGAATCAGTACTGAAATTATACCACACTTCGGACATGCCGCTGGACGTTCAACTCGAAGGCTCAAAGTTTCAATTGTCCAGATGCTTGTGAGAAGCAGCCGCCGGAGCTTTGAGGCGGTGTACAGCTGTACAGGCAGCTGCAGCTGTTACATTCCAGCAAAGCCAGCCTTCATTTTTATCCGATAATAACGGCAAGCGATTATGCATGATCAATTTTTATTTACTGGTTAGCTTTATGCGATCTTAATGACGACCTTGCCGAAATGACCACCCTTGGCAAGGTATTGCATGGCATCCTTTGTCTCATCGAAACTGAACACCTTGTCCACCACGGGATGGATCTCCTTCTGAGCGTAAAGCTGCAACATTTCCTCAAATCTGTCCTTGGGGCCGTTGATGTGGCCCTTGAGTGTGACATTGCGTCTCAAGGCCAAGACGTTGATGTTAAGCGCATCACTCTCGGTGTCCTGCTTCCCCGAGAGGTAGCCAATGCTCGAGATCAGGCCACCAAAGGCGATTGAGTCGAAACTTTGGCGCACAGTCTGGGCACCACCGCACTCGAGGATCATGTCGACACCCTTGCCCTTGGTGAATTCCATGGCCTTTTCGGACCATTTGGGGAACTTCTTGTAGTTGATAGTGTAGTCGGCTCCGAGCTCACGAGCCTTCTCAAGCTTCTCGTCCGAGGATGAGGTAACGATGGCTTGTCAAAGGTCAGTTGAAAGTCTGGGATGACCGACGATGGCACTTACCCTTAAGGCCGCATGCCTTTGCGATTTGCAAACCGCTGATCGAAACACCACCGGTACCCTGCATCTGTCAGTATAGCTTCTGCGAATCACCACATACCATCACGAAGCCATGTACAACTATCGCCTTGTAAGAGTGCGATTGAACAAATCTCGGGGCTGAGACCAGGGCTGTTGGCTTGTGATATAAGTGTCTTATTCTACGTACCTGGAACAAAACGGTGGTTTCGGGGTTGCTGATAGGCTTGCCCATGGGCTGCATCCAGTTCATGGCCATGAATGCTGTGGTGCCAGCGATTGGCAATGTGGCAGCTTCTTCGTTGCTGAGGTAGTCGGGCACAGTGACAAGAGCAGTGTCGGGGAAAACACGGTATTCCTGGAGCACGCCCTCCAGAGGCAATCCCATACCGGAAGCCATGTCGCTTTCCTGCACCTGACCAGTTTGGTGAGTCTGGAGGAAGATAGATAAGACTCTTTGTCCTTCCTTCAAGGAAGCGCCAGGTCCAGCCTTGACAACAGTTCCGCACATGTCAGATCCAGGAACGAGGGCCTTGTTTTCTCCACCAATGCTCTTGTGATGGTTGTATCCACCATCACAGACCTCAGTATCGCGATAGTTCAAAGATACGGTGTGAATCTTGACCAAAACCTCCTTCTCGCCGGGTTGAGGAATGGCTGCCTCTCCTTGGTAAATCTTGTCGACGCCATCTTGGTTGGTGAGCCACTGCTTGGATTGGGTGGGTTGAGCCATCTTGAATTTGTGTATGAATTACGGGAGAGTCTCTGAAGGCGTAAAAGGAAGCCTGTCTTATCAGGGCAATTGATTATGAAGCATTGGTGGATGTTAGATCATTCTGGAAGCTGGGCGTCTGGAGAAATGATTCAGAGATCATCGCCAACGCCAAATTTGTCACAAAGATCGAGTCGGGTGGTAGTAGGGAGTAGCGAGTTAGGTAAATGCTACTTCTAGGGTTCTTCTAGAACAGAACTTGTCGGTCGCAAAGCGGATGATAGAATAATGGCGAGACAAGGAGTGTTTCAGTAATACCTTAGGTGCCAGAAGCATTCGTATAGCAGATGGAAAAGCGTCATACGGCTGGCCAATCTTGCGAAGCATGAGATTTCGAGCATTTCCATAGCGGTGTGTGACAAAGTTTATTGCTCTCTTTCAGCATTTTTACTTTTTGTTTCACAGCCGAAACGTAGGACAAGGGTCTGTGCGCGGGCTGTTGCTTAGGACCCGCGTCATTGTTGTTGTTTTTCGACGTCAAAAATCGGCCAAGCGTTTGCTATCGACACTCCAGACCAACGTCCAAGATTGTACCAGTCGACTCCAGCAAGGCAGTCGGGTCGTTCTGTTTGTACCATCATCTTCTGTCGTACTATCTCCACCTCACATAGCAACAATGGCACGACGCTCCTCGGCCAGAATCCGCGCGAAGCAGTCGACCACGCCACAGGTAAGCTCGACTTCGACTCGGCCCCCGCAGAGCTCCAGACTGACAATTCGAACAGGCGCAGAGAGTTTCAGACATGGGTGTCGATAGCGATGCCATCAAGACTCCACGAACTGCCCCCAAGCTATCCGCCGTCGATGAACATGAGGAGCCGCAGCCCACACCTACCAGAACCGCCCAGACTCCCCGCGACGGCACCCCGATCCAACCCAGCATGCAGGAAATGCATCCGCAGAAGTACCAAATGAGCACCGCCAAACCTCTTGACGAAGCACGATGGCTGGGTTTCAGCAGCAACAAGACGACACAGCAGACTCCCACAAAGACCCCCAAAGCCGCAAACAACATCATGGACAACGCCCCCGACTTTAGCTTCACCTTCCAACGTCCTACTCTCAACTTGAGCCCGCAGGCACGCGCCTTGATGGAGGAGACCAGGGGAGAAGCCGCCAAGATCAGGATCGAGATGCAGGCCACACAGAAGGGCCAACCCTCGGCGAGCGATGTGTTGGGGCGCAAGATGGCCACACCTTCGGGCAAGGTCAGCCGTTTCAGCGACGTGCATATGAAGGCCTTTAAGAAGATGGACTCGATTGCCGATCACCCTTCGGCCTTCCGAAACAAGGACAACAGACCGCTAGCCACCGACAAGCCGTCTGCCCCGACTGCCCCGTCTGCACTCAAGCGCTCTCCCTCCAAAGCCGAGCTCGAGCGTCCTTCGTCGTCCTCATCCACATCGCTGCCTCGACCTTCATCGCGCGGCAACCTTGAGGCAGGCCCGGCCAAGCGTGTCAAGCATGCTGCAGAAGACGACACGGCTACTTCGCGCCCTGATGCTACACCCAAGCCGTCACTTAAGAGCGCCATGAAATCGCAGATGACGCCGCGCTCAGTCAAACCTCCGAAGTCGATACTCAAGTCTGCCCAATCCGCCCGTCGTACCACCATGATCCCCTCTTTCCAGCGCAGTCCCGTTAGACTGAACATGACTAGCGCAAGTGTCCAACAAGAGCAGGCTCAACAACAACAGAAGGAGCAGCGTGCACAGCTCCTCTCCAAGTCCCCAATGAAGTCTCCGGTCAAGTCGACCATGGCTGAACGCATTGCTCAATTCGAACCCGAAGCACCCGAGAGCCCTTTGCTCAGTCGTAGCCCGGCCAAGCATGCCTCTCCTCAGAAGGTCCAGATTGATGCTCCCGAGTCCCCTGATGCTTCATCCAAGATTCCCTTCCTTGCTCGCTCCCCTGCAAAGAAGACTTTCCTCGCTGCACAAGGCCCTGATGACAAGGATGGAAACAAGGAGAAGCCCAACAAGACACCATTGCTCGCTCGTTCACCCGCCAAAATCTCGGTGCCTGAGAGCTCCATTCACAGCGCTCAGCAGGAAACACCGGCAAAGCCTAGTCTGTTTGCCCGCTTCAACCTGCTGCGTAAATCTCCTGTCAAGTCTATCCTCCGCACTCCTCAACGCTTGTACTCGGACGATCCATTCAAGCTTGCCAACGGCACCCACATGTCCACTCCTCCCAACGCTACCTCGGACGCCGATACAGCCGCGCCTCCACGCCCACCCAAGACTTGCCCTGTCATCAAGCACGTCGACTTCTCTGCTTCAACCAAGACTCTCGACCAAGCTGATGAGTCTCCCGACACTCCCACCAAGGCCTCTTCACCACCTTCCACGACTGACGACAAGTCTTCCATTACCTACCCCACCCTGCCTAACACTTCTGACAAGGACGACCGGCCCAAGAAGGCATATCGTCGCATGACCATGGCTGGTGCGCCTAACGATTTCACCTTCCGTGCTGGTGCGCAAGCTATTACCTTCGCCCCATCGCCTCGTCGTACCACCTCTCAGGAAGTCAAGCCCTCTATCCGCTCCGTCGAACACTCTCCCGAACTTCCCTCCGCCGCTGGCCAAAAGCGCAAAGCCGATACCCATGACTTGAAAGCCACAGCCACCACGACCAGCGACAAGGAAAACGACGACGATGCAGACCACCGTCCCGCAAAGAAGGCCAGATCGGACAACCCTGCACCTTCTCGTCCTTCGACCACTACCCCTGCTGCCGCAAAGACACCGGTCAAGAAGATTCCCACTATTGGCGTCAGACCCAAATCTTACACATCAAAGCCCAAGGAGAAGCGTCCGGGTATGTTGAGTGCAGCCCGTCTTGCCGCTCTTGCTACACCCAAGAGACGTTGATTGAACATCTCTACCCCCTTCGAGGCTTAAACACAGCCTCGACACTTTTTCGTATTCTCTATCGCGCCTTTTTCGGACCTCCTTTCTGTATACTTTATTCCCACAACACACACACACGACACTACGACTACTGCTTTTCGATGTTTCTCTGTTTTCCGGTCTTTCTGTTCTTTTGGCGACGAGAGGGGAGTGTTGTTTTACAACTGTAATATTGCGAATGCGAACTGCATCAAGGTGGCGTTTTGAATTCCCCATCAGGAGTTACAGGCTTCGATGAGAGAATGGGCGCTATGGGCAAGGGAACACTGGGTGCATATTATCTTCAAAGCATTCGTTTTTACTGGTCAAGCCAGCAGCATGGGGATCGGCGTAGTTTTTGTTCTTTTGGTACATGATCAATCAGAATTGACTGTGTTCCTCTCCATTGCGTGTCTCCCATCTGCCATCTGAATGGTGTTGAATCAATGTGGAATGGTGAGAATGTCGTCAGATGGCTTCGAGTAGGTATACAGTGATCGTGTACGTGTTGCCATGCTTTGCTAAACATAGCTAACCTTCCGACTTTAACATGAATGCTCACGTTGCCCTTCGAACTCCTTATTCCTACACTCCCTTCTTTGGATTCAACGACAACATCGTTCTCGTGCTCATCTTCAGTGACTCGAACGACCCAATCTTTCTCCGAGCCAACTTTTCAAGCCTAATCCACTGCTCTTTCTCGTGACAGCCTTGAACTCAAATCTGCTCTTGTCGGGCAACCTTATGTGTTCGTTTCGCTGATCTCTAATCCCTTGGTCAAGGGAGCTCCTGTTCGGCCTGAGTGGTGCTGAGTTCACCAGTCCTAGCATGTATGGTGCCGACGCATGTTGTTGCTGTATCATGGCTCTGGTCTCTGTGATAGGACCAGATGGTGGAGGAGGGGGAGGTCGAGGTGGTGGACCTTCCTTATCCTTGCCGAAGTGGTCACGCCATCTAGTCGTCGTCGATTTGTGACTGCGGAAGCTGTCGATACTGCGGACATGTTTGAGAGCTGAGCCTACGTTCTTGCCCTCGCCTCTGAGAGGAGAGGAGAAGAACTTCTCTTTGCGCTTCGAGGGTGGCGTGATATACTCCATCATTCCGTTGTTGGATGAACTGCCGCTGGCACTGTCATAGTTGTGGTGGTTGAATATGGTGTAGCTTCCAACACTGATACCACCCATGGCTAGGTTGCTCGGTTGCTTGTGAACTTCTCGTGCTGGCCGCGACACGATCCTTGTGTTACCTGCTCTCGAGTTTTCTTTCCCAACTGATTTGCTGCGCTGAGGCTGCTTGGAGTCGGCAAGTCGCTTGGACATTTGATGCTTTCGTGGTGAAGATTCCAATTCTTCTTCGAGCTGTCTGAGGTCTGCTGCTGAGGCACGCATACGCTCCAGGGATTGTTGTCTTGGGGCTGCAAATGCACGGCCTTGCAATCGAGAAGGTTTCGACTGAACTGTAGTGACCGCTCGAGCCGGCGAAGCAGAAGTTTGAGCAACTTGGGCAGAGGCTTGAGACGCGGTCCGTCTATGGCTGCGATGATGTGAGCGCTTCTCTTCGATCGCTGCAGCAACCTGTGCAACTGAGTTTGGGAGGACGTCTAACGAATTCTGTTTCCACGTTAGGCATATTCGCAGAAAGCATGCGTGGCAGCATGATTTGCTTACCATGTGAATGACAATGATGGGTAGTTGAACAGACAACATCTTTCTGTGAAAGCTTCTGCTTAGTTTCAGAGACGACCAACGAACTCGACTCTTTGAGACTTACGTGCGAGACCCGCCAATGGTAATGTTGAGAAAATATCGGACCTCGAAGTAATTGCCTGAGGGCGGGTCAGGTACAAGAAGCAGATCTTACTGCGAAAAACATACCGCATTTCACAGTAGCGTGTCCTCTTGGTATCTCAAGGTCGCACGTCCTTGTGATGGATCCATATGCCTCAACACCAGTCCATCCATTTGCACCTTGCTTCATGGTATGCTTGCTCAATATTGATCGTTCGTTGCTCTCGAATATTCTGGCTTGACTGGCCGATTGTTCCAGAGTAGCTGCTGCTGCCTATGTAATATTAGTACTCGTTTGCATAACTACGACTATCGAACTAGAGGTCTTACATGTCTGTAACACAAGATGTCCCTTTCTAAGCTCAACTCAAGTTTTTTGATAGTCTTGCGGCTACCGTTGGCAATGTGGATGTCGACAAAAATGCTGCTACCGCTAACCCATACTTGTCGATGTAGGCCCGCCGTTATTTTTGCTGTCTCAAGCAGACCGGACCGTGAGAAAGATTGCTCGTCGGAGGCAGTCAGCGGACTTGGCAACGATCTCAAAGCCTTCTCTGCTGTAGCTGGACTGTCAGCTTGCGTTTTGCTGGTCTGACCCGAAGGGATGCACATACGGTCATATGTTGGTAGTACAGAAATATCCTCAGAGCATCGGACCAAATATTGTCTGCCTCCGTCTTTGATCAAAACGGTTGCACAAAGCACAAACCGGATGCGAGCATGCTTTGAATGGAACGGAGGAGGACCTGTGTCCAGGGGCAAGCTGATGACGAATGGTAGACTGGTGAAAGAGGGTATGAGAGACCAAAAGCAATCATCGTCCGGAAAGTCTTGTGGTTCTACCATATTACGAGGAGGTGGATGAGTCGAGTCGATCAGCTCTGTACCCAAAGATAAGAAGATTGCCTTGCGATTGCTCGACGTCTCTTCGGTTCCGACAAGATCTACCGCTATCCTTCCAAGTGTCAGGCTCTTCTTGTTTCGTGGTTTGTCTGCCTCGTCGACTATGACTCTGACATAGCCTTCGACTGTGCCTCCGCCAACAAAGAGAGGTGCTCCTATCTGCAAATCGACGCCGATGCGAGGATGACGATGAGTAGGGAACTCGAGTATGTCGCGTGGAACTGGATTGCGGATAAATGTCCCAGACGGTACTCGTCTCGAGGTGTCAGACCCTACAGCGTCCAAGCGGGCTCTAACTTGCTTGACCGGAGAATGACTTGTGCCTCGGTATGGAATTGTGCGACTGGCGTTCCGTTGGAGGGGAGTAGGGGATGACCTGGATGTTGTACTTCGATGATGTCTCGGTCGTTCTCGGATGTTGGAAGATTGCCGAGCGGGTATGCTCGAGATAGGTATACTGTATAGACTTGAGCCATCTCGCAGACTTTCCGGTGTGTCGATGGTTGATTCTGATGCCATCATATCTTCTCTGTAACTTGAGCTGGAGCTCCCAATTGGCTCGACGATCCTGACTGAGCCAGCACGCTTCAACGAAGGGCCTCTTCTAAGCGAGCTTTGCCTGGTAATGCTAGGTTGGCGATGGACGCTCGCAGACGGTCTCTTTTCGAGGGCGTCAACTAAACTTGGTTCCGTGAGCTCTCGAATGTCTGAAAGAGGCCTCATGCCCGGCGGCCATCCTTGATGTCCGGGTGGATTCCCGCGTTCGATCGTGAAGACTGGCTTTTTTCCCTTGTCACGCTGGCCTGCATCCATCGCACCAGATACAGATACACAGAAGCGAGTGGAAAGTGGAAAGCCGTCGATTCAATGATGTTGACAAAGGAAAAGGCACAGAAAATAGGCTGCGGTGTTCTGAAGATGCTCAAACGAAAGGCCTGCAGTAAAGCGCTGCTTGCTGGTACAAAACATGTAATTGAGAAGGAGATGTTCAACGCCAATGGAAAGAGTACAGCCTTGGCTTCACGACTTACAGGTGTTGCTTTCCATGCATGTGGAAGGTTGGAAGGCGCGAGCCCATCGCAGCTGCTTCTACTAACCATGGAGGCTGACAATAGTTTATAAAAATTGATGATACATGACCGATGCTGTCTTTGCAGTCGCACTATGAGACTCAACAGTAGAGGTGGTCGCACAATGAAAAGTGCCCACTGCTCCATTCCGAAGTGCCTTGCCATGATGCGAGTGAGATGTCGTGATTCTTGCCGGCTACCAAGGTAGATTTGTATCGATCTCTAATTTCGTCAAATTGCCAATCCCCCAGGATCACGTAGTCGTAATTGATTCTTCCTGTCTGTAGGCTTCAACTTCGTTCTCCTGCATCTTGGTAAGGCATGTCCATTCGCTACGTGTTGTGAGTATTTCCAACATTGAGATTCCGAACCAATGTCCTTCCTGAGACAGGAGTATGGAAGCACCGGGCGTGCGAGATGATGTTTCAGTCCGCGGAGATTTAAAGTTGTTACCAAGACGCACTAGAAGGATGCATCGGATCGACTAGCCCTGAAGAAGTAGCTTTTCCCGACGTCTTGCATGTTGATGCAACATCAGATCACTTCTGCGCTGGAAATCAGCGAGAGAAGGAGGGGAACTGACGGTTTTTGAAGCAGCTCGCAAGCCAAGCAGTCGTCGTGGCCCATTCCCCTGTCCACATGGCCGGTGGAGTGGCTGCTCGCTCCTCAGAAGTGCGTCGAGTCCGGCCAGCGCCGACAATGGACCGGGCCCCTCCTTCATCACCTGTTGTTGGTGACAGGGCGCAAAGAGGACTCGGAGCCGGGCCACCGTTCATGAAGCGCATGACGCGTGCCAGATGAGTGCAAGTGCGGAGACGAAAAGGCTGAGAGAGAATTTTCTTATTCTATGGGCTTGCTTAATTCCCTCTTACCACCTGCCGTTTCCATTACCCAACTACTTACCTCACCAATTGTCGCTCACTTTTCGCACATGCCTTGCAAGCTTATCGCCCACGATTAGCAATCCTTGACACGTAGTTTTACGTCTCCCCGCCTTTGGACCTATTGCGACTGCTATCTCCGCATCTAGCCTGCGCTATCTGAGGGGTATCTCAAGCTCGGCCAGAGGGGTACCTGCAGATGGGAGATAACAACAACAGCACCACACAAATGGCTGCTACCGACGTAGCCAGCGCTATCAGAGACCATGGCGATGCCGGGCAAGAAGCCACTCCGAGCTCGCTTGAGTCGTCTCCCGAGCCCTCGACAACTGAGATAGTACAAGACCCGGCCCAGCCGCAGAAGCGCAAAGGAGGCCGCAAACCCGTACGTCGTGACACATTCCCATCTCTCAAGTTTGAGATAGACTCGTAGCATATTGTAACCGTCGCACGTCATGGCCTTGCTAACCCAGCCAAAGATATATGCCACGTCCGAAGAGCGCAAGCAGAGGAACAGGCAAGCACAGGCTGCGTTCCGAGAGCGTCGCACCGAATACATCAAGCAACTCGAGACCACCATCAAGCACCATGAAGAGACACTGCAGACGTTGCAGCAAAGCCACCGCAGCGCCGCGGATGAGTGTCTCATGCTCCGCTACAAGAATTCGCTTCTTGAGAGAATCTTGTTGGAGAAGGGTTCGTCGCTTGCTGTCCGGGCCCTGTCCGGCCATCTCCTCTTCCCACCGTCCAAGCTGACCGCTGTCCAGGCATTGATGTGCAGGCCGAGTTGCAGATGAAGACGGGTAGCCCTGCTCTCGGACACACGTATATCCCCCACCACGCACCGGCGCCAATGGCAGCTGCTCCTTTGCAACGCACAGCATTGAACCGCCAGCATGCAAGACGTTCCGGTCAGGTCTATCCTCCACGGGTCGGACCTGGCGCGGGAGCGCAATCAGATCTTTCCTTCTCTGCCCGCTCCCCTCAAGGACATCCTACTCCGTCATCTCATGCTTCCTCACCCACAGCCTTGTCTACCCAGTCGCCTGCTGCCTTGCAGCCTGGAGCCATGACCCCACCAGCTTCGGTAATCGCTGGGGGACAGCAGCAACAGTATGGTGTGCCTCAACCACCTCGTTCGCGTTATGTCATGCAGCACCCACCTCAGCACCGTGGCCCTGCCTACTCGGCGCCCAATGGCGTGTCTAGCATAACAGAACCCACCAACGGAGTCCCAGGTAGCGCATCGGCATTCTATCCGTCGCCATTTCAAAAACACATTGAGCAGCTGGGCAAGTGGTCTCGATCCCTCTTTCGGGCATGCTCGATAGAACTTTGTCGTCCTAGGTTAATCTCGTGAGTACAGATCAGGAGTACGACGCGCAACCAACATCTTCGTCGATGCTCGAAACCGAATCCGAAGCGAACGAACAAGCCCCCGTCCAGGCCCCCGAGCCACCCCAATTCCCTGCCGCGAACCCATACCACGCAACGCACGCCGCACAGCAACATGCCGACCACCATGGCCCCGTCAAGGGCAATGCTCAAGAACACGACCGAGGCCACCCGGGAGAAAACCAAATCCCTGGAATGAACCAGATCTTTGACCCTTACGATCCCATGCTGGATGCTGATCCGTTTGGATTGTCGGCGAGCATGCACTTCTCGACAGATTACGGTTTCCAACATCCTCCTCAGAGATGAGAGGGGAGATATTTCGTACGGGGAATGAAGGAGGAAGAATGGATTACTTTGAAACGTGGTGGTTTTGTCAGTCTCGGGATCTGAATGGTCCAACCTTGCGTCAGGTTGCGGTTCGTCGCCAGAGACTACGAAAAGGGATACTATTGAACTGGTGTACATGAGGACGAACGTAAAAGTTCACAAAAAAGTTGCTGTTTGGGTGGGCATTTTATCTTTCTTTTATGGCATAGCAACGGCGTTTGGGCGCAGAAAGGCTGCTGCTGACTGGAATCACGACTCTGGCATTTTTGTCATCATCGTTACCATCACTACTCGATAGCGATGGATTGGCTGGCTGTGGACACATGCTCTGGTACACACGATCATGAATACTGTAACCAATAATCGAGTGGTTGCAAAATGCAAGCGTTCAAATATGATGAACCACAAACCAACTGATAATTCATCCATTTCGAGAGTGAGCCTCAGATCATGTGTTATTTCATAAGTGAGACAGGTAATGGCGGGTTTCCTATGCTCCAGCGGCATACGGTCGATTGAGCAGTGCTTGGTAGTTGAGAGAGACTCAGGAATCACTCCCGAGATCAAAGCTATCACTATGTAATTGAGCACAGGTTGCTGCTTGTGTATACGAAATAGACTGCATGCTGATTGCTGCAAGAGCATGAACAAACAGACGTAGTGAAGGCATCGAGTGCCAAAGCAAGTCGGTCGTCACTTGAAGTCATGATGTTAGCCGAGCTTCGCACACAGAGAAAAGCACGCACAGACCAGGCAAACTGTGGATTTGCGCAACTTCGACCTCTCTGGATTTCTGCCGGCGACGGGATGGAGAGAGTCTGACATCGCTCAAAACACAGAGAAAGATCAAGACAGAAAAATGACTTCTGTGGCAAGCAAGGTACGCCTGCCCCCACAACGTGTGATGATTGGCGCATCTCAACTATTACGCCAATCATCAATTGTAGCTCGACAAGAGCTCTCGACACGCCTTTTCGCATCTCCAACCGACGACCGCTGACCCAATTCCTGAATGTAGAACCTTTACGAGCTTCTGGGTATCGCAAATCGCACAACCGTCACCTAAAATGCCTTCTAACCACTCCTGTACACAGGCAACGACCTGGAGCTCGACCCCAACAGAGAGCCCGAGCCTCCCACCAAGGTTATGGACAAGCCCGTCCAGCGCGCCGGCAAGCGCAACGCTGGTCCCGAGGCCCCTTCCGCCGACACTCCCAAGCCCGCTGCTGGTGGCCGCGGTGGACGTCAAGCCAACTTCACCGGCTCTGAGCAGGGTAATCCATCACCATCGAACTGTCGCCCTGGTTTCCACCACTGACACGATCCGCCGCAGCTTTCCGTGATAAGGCCGCGGGCGCTTCGAACAACAGATCCAAGCCTACCGATGACGGTGTCCGCCAGGACCGCCACCCCAACCGCACTAGAGATGCCAACGACAGCGGCAGAGGCCGTGGACCTCGTGGAGGCCGTGGTGGTGCTAGAGGCCCCCGCACTGGCCGTGACGACAAGCACGACCGCACTGGCCACGCTGGCAGCAACGTAAGTCTGGACTGGCTGCGTATGCCATTGAGCTGCGCGCTGACAACCCATCGCAGGACCACGCCAAGCAGGCCGGCGCCGCCTGGGGCCACGAGACTGGTACCGCTGAGTTGAACGACGAGAAGGCCGCTGTTGCCGACGCCAAGGACGAGGAGGCCAAGGAGGGCATTGTCGCTGATGCCACCGTTGTCGATGCTGAGGGTGCCCCCGCTCAGGAGGAGGACAACGTCAAGTCGTACGAGCAGTACCTTGCCGAGCAGCTCGAGAAGAAGGCCGCTCTTGGTGGCAGCACCGAGGTCCGCAAGCCCAACGAGGGTGCTTCCAAGAAGTTCCCCGAGGGCAAGGCTTTCGCCCGCAGCGAGGAGGAGAACTTCATTGCTCCCTCCGCTGGCAAGGCCAAGAAGCAGAAGGAGCGCAAGGACAAGAACCTCCTCGACATTGACCAGGCCTGGAAGGAGGAGCAGTCCCAGTCCCAGGACTCTGGATTCCGTGGTGGCCGTGGTGGTCGCGGCGGCGACCGTCCCCGTGGTGGCCCTCGTGGCGGCCGTGGTGGTCCCCGTGGTGGTGCCCCTAGAGGCGGTGCCCCCCGCGAGAACGCTCCCCGTGCTGCCCGCACCGGTGCTTCCCCCAACGTCACCAGCTCGTCGGACTTCCCCACCCTCGGTGCTTAAATCAACTCACTCCTACGAAGAGAGTAAGGCCGTTGCTGCATATCGGCCTATAAGAGAAAAAAGCAGTTACGGCAAGGATCTGAAAAGGGGAACTGTCAATGAATCTCTCTGGTGGTCCCATGAGCCCTTGCTCCGAGCGTGCTGAACACACTCATGTACCATTGTCACCACTTAGTCGTCTCCGTGCGAAAGCAAAATTGCAATTTTGAAAGTTAACATGTGTCCGTTCTCAAAGTCCTTATGGTGAAGTTGATTGCTGTTCTTGCCAGCTCTGAGAGCCTGGTTACCTACAGTGCTTTTGTGATATGATCAAAATTTCGACCTTGATAAGCTTGTTTGAGATTGCCATAATGTTTTGCTGTAGCAGAACTTCTGATAACAACTTGTCGAAGGTCGATCGTTCGTTCACTTGGTAGTCTTGTCTCATGATTGAATCTCAAGACAGCACATGAAGTTGGACTTGATAACCCGGGATTCGCCGTCGATTTAAGGTGGCCCGAGCTCGCGACTGGCGATTGAAGGCAGCTTGACCATCTGAAGCGCGACTTTGGTATTGCGCCTATCACCACAAGTCAACGACATTATACCAACACCATGAGTGTGAGTCGGAACTTGTCGCGCAAAGTACTCGAGATGTTTTGCTGACTCACTTGCAGTTCGTTCCCTTGAACCCGCGGCCTATGCTGCAATCACTGTTCGTCGACCCATCCCTGCGAACGTATCAATTTCCACGACGAAATCACTAACACGGAACAATACAGCGTCAACGACGAAGTGCGCATCCGCCTGAAGTGGGGCCAAGAATACACTGGTCTGCTCGTCTCGGTCGACTCGTACATGAACATTCAGCTTTCGAACGCCGAGGAATGGATTGATGGAAAGTCCGGTGGTAGCCTCGGTCAGGTCCTCATCAGATGCAACAACGTCCTCTGGATCTCATCAAACAACAAATCGAAGAAGGAGGATGTGGAGATGAGTTGAGAAAAGAAGCTATACGAGAAACAAGACTCGCAAGGACAGACGACCCTTGGACCGGCTAGGACTCTCAACAAGGACAAATCTACGTTATGCACGCAAGATACTTCATTGGCAGGCTGACGGTGCCGGATCGCATCAACACAGCCGCTCGCTGCATGTCCGACATCGAGAACCACCGAGGTTTTATGGGAAAGCAAAGATGGATTCATGCTATCAGGTCGAAGCTCAGGCGTTAGGGGCGCTTGAGGAACAAAAGAGACTTTTAAAGTCTGGCAAATAAGGCTGGACGACCTCACACATACGAGGATATGAAACTACAAAATATCAAAAGCTCTGCCTTTTCAGGTTCTCAAACTTCTTCCAACCAAACCAACTGAGTACGTTTGCTGAAAAGTTGACATGAAGCACTTGAGGTTTGGTCAATCGGCGTACGACACACTACTATTACTGCTGCAACGTAAGAGCAAGCCAGATGGTTAGTAGCATGACTGTTGTGAAGAGCTCCAGAGCCATGGTGATATTGCAAGATTGTAACAGCAGAATGAAGTGCAGATGATTCCTTGAAGATTGTAGATGTTCATGACGCTGGACGGAAAACGAATGGCAAGTTCGAGAGTATATCAAACAGCTGTCACATGAAAGACAAGGGTGGTGAGTTGGGGTGAAATGACATTGGCTTGGCAGTAGCGAATGGGCGGGGCGGCATGTTGTTTGGGAGTGTTTTCGGCGTCAGAAACCAAACACCCGGCCTGTGCTAGTTTGGACTCAGGCAACTTTGACATTTTGACTCTGTCCACATACAACCTTTGTAATCTCTACACCCTTTTCGGTACAACTCCCGTTCGGCAACTTCACACCTCGCATACAACATCAAACACTCCAAAAGAGAAGGCACACAATACACACAACATGGGCGAATCAAGGCATGTGCATCTGCCTGGCCGGCGCATATCAGGGGAGGCGCAACCCATGGCTAACTGCTCGCTACAGACAAGAGCTCCTGCAATGGATGAACAGCCTCTGCTCCCTCAACCTCACCCGTGTCGAGCAATGCGGTACCGGGTATGAACATGTCCATCACTCGACACTCCAAACACCCCAGCTAACACTGCATTCAGTGCGCCATTCTGCGCAATCTACGACAGCATCTTCCGTAATTTTCTCCTCACTTCCTCCGCTGTCTTTCCACCCAGCTGACTCTCATCCCTCCAGTCGATGTGCCCATGGCTCGTGTCAAGTTTAACGCAACCGCCGACTATGCCTACCTGGACAACTTCAAGATTCTAAGCAACACCTTCCGCAAGCACCACATCGACCGCCCCATCCCCGTCGAAATGCTAGTCAAGTGCAAGATGCAGGACAACCTGGAGTTCCTGCAGTGGACAAAGCGCTTCTGGGACCAGCACTACCCTGGTACGCCATACCTCCATGTCCAAACACCATCTAACATTGACTGATTTCTTCCCCGTTGCAGGTGGTGATTACGACGCTCTGGCCCGTAGAAAAGGTCAACCCGGCGGTCCAGCTCCCGCTCCCTCTGCCCGCACATCCACGGCCACGAGACGTGCCCCCGCAGTCGCCGCATCCTCCGCTGGCGCAAGAACACGCACTCCCCTAGGAAGCTCAGGAGGTGGTGCGCAGACCGCCGCTCTGACACAAGAGAACAACGCACTTAAGGAGACTGTTCAGGGTCTGGAGCGTGAGCGCGATTTCTACTTCAGCAAGCTCCGGGATATCGAATTGCTCGTCCAGGGCGCCATGGAGGCCGAGCCCGAGCTCGAGAAGGATGAGGGCGGTCTCTTGAAGCAAATACAGACTATTCTCTACTCGACCGAGGTAGGTTCTCTTTCTGATGCCGAGACCGAGGGAGATGGCACTGACTGATCTTTTCTTTTTCACAGGAGGGCTTTGAGATCCCTGCAGAGGTTGACGATGAAGAGGGCGAGTTGATCGAGGAGGAGACCTTCTAAGTCATCTCGCGTCTACCATGTCAGCTTACCCAATTCCGACATTTGCATGAATCTCTACCCGTTTCATGCTGTCATGCAATAATGCCAACAATTTCGTTGCTCTTTCCCTTCACATCTTGGGTCAGAAAAATACGGATAGCAGGTCTGTGGATAGATTGGGCTTTTGTGGCTCCTTGAACGGGAATCAAGCGAGGATACATTCGCCACTTTTCATCTTCTCCTATTAAAAAGATAAATTCGTCGTCGTCAGTTTAGCATAGCAAGAGAAGGAGCATGCATGTAGCAGATTGAACGAGAAGAATGCAGCATTTTCATTTCACTTTTTCTCATCATCTAGTCTCACGCCCACACAGTCAGCGTTCTTCTGAAACATGTACGCTTCGATGAATCTATTTCCCGGACCCTGATATCCATGCCTTCTCACCGCAAACACCTCACTTCAATCCGCACAAACAACGACAATCCGGTACGGGACACATAGCATGCCTGGCAAACCAAGTCCTGGCATGATGCGCGTGAAAACCATGCGTACAGCTAGCACAGAAAGTGATGAATTTGCTCAACACATCCGTCTCCTTTTCTCCACTCTGCACCTCCTTTGCACGCGTGGGCTCAGGGGCACCGAGCCATTGCATACACAAACAACAACGCGGTAAATGGCGACCACAGCGCGGACACACTGTGCCTGCACTGGCAGCTGGTCCTGCAATACGCGCTTGTGCTTGTGTTCCTTTGGCTGGTGTGCTACTTCCATGTGCTTGATGCGTGTGTGCTGCGTTTTCTTTAGCCAAAGAGTGTTGGCAGTGGGCACAGCGGAGGGCCAGTTGTCGAGGCGGTGGTGCAATGAGTTTGTTGCCTCCTTTGGTGACGGCGCGGCGGGTATGTTGCATACTGAATTTGGTGCGCTCGATAAACGCACGCCAGGATTGCATGTGTAGAAAGTATGTCTCTTTCCACATTTCCCAGCGGGGGTCGTCGACGTAAAGGGGGTTTGTGAATGCTGTGGCCAACACTGCTGTTTGCAGGTCAGAGGTGCGGCGGATGTAGGATTGGAAGAGCTCCATTGCTTTTTCGCCGAGGCCGGTGAGGAGGATGCCTTCGACGTTGCCGGCGCTGATCAAGGAGTTGCTGGTTTGGGATAAGAAGGTGGAGATTTGGCTGTCGCCGAGGTGTTTGATGGCGATACCGAGGCGGTCGGAGAGCTTGATGTCAGCGTCAAGTTTATGGACAACGTCCAGCCAATCATTACTGGCTAGGTAGATGAGAAGAGAGCGGAGGTATGGGTCTGTGGCGTCTTCCTCCATCCAACGGCACATCTCGCGTTGCTCGTCATTGAGGGAGTCTGAAGCTATCAGGGCTCCCAGTCCTATGTTCTGGATCGTTCTTTCCCTGATTAGATCACGTAGAATCTCGAGAGCGATCGTCTTGCGGCCTCTGAACATTGCTGTTGCCACTGCTTCGTAATAACGCTGTTTCTTGACGAGGTAGTCGCATCGCTCTTTCGTGTGTTCATGGGAGAAGTCCCAGCCACACAAGGCCAGGCAGAGTTGTCGTTGCTCCGGCTTCTCTGTACGGATCCCAGCAAACTCTGGCAGACTATGGCGTTCGAGGATGCTGGCTATCACGTCCTCGAATCGCTCTGGCATTGCGTTATGGGCAGACGTCACTCTATTCGGTCCATTGCCCAGCTTGCCTTCCCATATGTTGCTTACGCCAAGGTAGCTCAAATCAAGCGTTTCTGAAGCCATACCGCCGTCTCGAGACAAGTCTTCGAGCCTCTTAATGGTGCCCCAAAGCTTGACCAGTGCCGGGTCCTCGGCAACGATCTCAAGGTTTCTTCGAGGATCGAAAAGGTAGCCCTCCTGACAACGTCTCCGCGACACATTCGAGATAGCTAACAAGTCTACGACCCTCTCATTATGCAGAATTTCTGGTGCCTTACTCAAACTATCATCGAGCCATTCTTCCGTCCTAGCCGCTACAGCACGGGTCGATCCGTTCAATGATTTGAGATTGCGATGGTCTAGTTGAGCTGGTCCATTGGTTGGGCTGGGTAGCTTGGAGGTGTGTTGTTCATCCTGCGTAGAGCTTGCATTTTCGGAAGTCTTTCGTAATGCTTTTATTTCCTGAGCGACGGATTTATGCTGCTCCTTTGGCTCGTATACCGATAGTGCTTTGTTGCAGATAGACAGATCACCTCGGCCTGTCATACTGATGTGACTGGGGTCCGGAGTATATATCAAGTCGACATCGCGGTTCGGGTGCAGAGCTAGAATGGCCTGACGATCCTGGTCGTCTATCGAGATCCAGTCAAATGCAATGACTCTGTTGGCTCCTCTATCTTTTCGCGACCCGGTCTCGGGAACTCGCAAATTATGTGTCCGTGAAACATAGTGGGGATGGCTCCAGGGATTGCCTCCGTAGTAATTCACAGAGGCTGATCGTAGCTTCGAATGTACTTTGTGTTGCGCTGTGTCATACAACTTGACTTCTCCGGTACTGGACAAGACACAGAAACGTCCTCTCTTTTGGCCTGAATATCTGATGCTCCAGACACTGGTGGTTTGACTGTTGTCCGTGGCTGGTCGAAGATCGAGAACGGCACCATTGTTGGTAGCATCGGCACCTACCGTGTTATTTGAACGCGATAGGTAACGCTTGTCCCAGACCGTGACGGACGGATCACCCGTCGATCCACCTGAAGCGAAGTAGTTCTCATCCAAAGGATCGATAGCAATGTTGTTGACCAGTTTTGTGATACCACAATTTCCCAGTCCTGCTGTACTGGTTGACGAATCTGTATGCAAGATTAGCTTGTGACTTCAAGCATGATTATATGCCTAGATGAATGTTTGAGCCTACCTCTCAGATCGTACAGGCGAATTGTCTGACGCGAAACAGCAGCCAACATCTGCTGTGGATGGTTGGGAAAGAAGCGAAGACTTGTCACAGCTTCAGAAACACACAATCTTGAATAGGCATCGTTGGATTCGATGTCATAAACAGTCAAACAATTATCGTGTCTGACTCGATCTAAGCCCACAGCAAGGAGGTTTTGTGTGTTGAAGGCAATAGTATTGCATCTTCGCTGTGTCTTGATGTTGAAAAGGGCAACAGGATCGGATGAATCAGATCCATCGAACCTGTATAGCTCGGCATTGCCAGACGAAAGGCCCAGTGCTACAAGAGAGTCATCTGTTTTTGACCAATCGAAAGCGGTAAAGTTGTTAACTTTCTCGCGGCGGGCTATCGGTTTGTATTGAATGCCATGTCTGTTCAAGGATCCTGCCTCGTATAGAGTGAGAGCGTTTCCAGCGACATCTGCAAGCAAAAACCGAGCTCGGTCAGGAGTTGAGAGGGGAGACCAGCGTATTGCGGCTTCCATTGAGACAGAGGAAGTCGCTTGCCGCACGCCTACATACAGGCGATTTAAGGATCAGTCCGGATGCTTCAGGGTTCAATGAAAAATCACAGCGTGTTTCCCTGAGATGATGGTTGGTTGATTCTGTCAGAAAGTGTCAAGATAGTAGTAGGTGGAGTTAATATGGTTGACATGTCTGCATGTGAAGTGGTCAGAGCGAGTTGTTGCCCAGATCCGGGGAAGCTCATGCTGATCGGCCGCCCCCCTTCTGTCGCTCCTTCCAAGTTACGCGTTGCGCGTCCTGATTCTTGACTTGCGTCAAATGCGCGGCTGCAAAGATGGAACACCTCGACATGGCCATGGAGCTGGATTCCGGCCGACAGATCGATCCCGACCTGGCTGCGACTCTGTCCGACTTCCTGACCTACACCGAACACCTCCCTTCGAGTGTCGCTAGGTCGCTGTTCTTGATCAAGACTCTGAACCATCAAGCCTACAAGCTTCAGCTCAAGATCCACGACCTTCTCTCCGAATATGCCTGCCTCCCACAGACAACAACACATACGCCCGAATACTCGGCCGGATTGCGTAAAGATATCAGCTATGCGTACGAGTCGCTGGAGAAATGCAAGCGCATGTCGGCTGCAGAGGCCATCCGCCTGGAAGAGACAGTCATCAAGGACGGCGCAAGACTGGAGCTCGTGCAGAAGAAACTAAAGGCTTTACCCATGCCACCAGAACGCGATGCGACGCCCGATGCCGCTCTCACCTCGCCTCAGCTCAGAAGGAACGCCCAAGCACAACAGCAGGCCGACAAGCGCACTGCTCAACACCGCACCGGAACCGCTCCGCGTGTCAGAGCCCAGAAGATCATGGTCCCTGGCGAGGTTCTGCCACCGCCGAACCCAGACTCTCCTCCACCATCCGATTTCTCTCCCTCTCCCTCTCCACCGCCTCGTTCTCCCAACCAAGACAAATCGCGTAACAAACCTACCACTGGGAGACCACCAAAGACTCCGAAGCTTCCCAAGCCTGCTACAGAGCCCAAAGAGACTACACAGAAAACTCCTCGCGTCCGTGTGCCTGGTTCTTCTGGCACAAATGCACACTCAGCCGTTGCTGGTATAAGCACGTCGAATGCCTTGATGGCTCTGACCGCTCCTCCTCCAGACGTGGCGAAGGGCTCGAAGTGGCTACCATGGAAGAGATTGACCGAGTATGAGATGGCCACGCTGCGGAAGAGGATGAAGAAGAACGCCATCTGGCTACCATCACCCGCCATGAGGAATCGCGAGCTGAAGAACCTCGGCAGAGGTGTGACTGCTATGGAAGAGGCTAAGGGTATGTTTACGAGTTCTACTCTCCTACTGATCCAATACTGACTGATGATAGCGGAAGCCGAGGCTTCAGGCAAAGAATTCATCGACGAATTTGACCCTGCCACATGGACAGACCCCACTTGCATTCATATCACCGACGCTCAACAGGCCGAGACTGCCAAGATGCTTGGACCAGAGCTGCCAGACGACAACGAGGATGCCGCTCTCATCAATCGTGGTATGCGGCTCAACGAAGCCAAGAAACTTAAACGTGAAAGACTCAAGGAAGAGGAGGCTGAAGCTCTCAAACTAGGATTACAACCACCCACTGAGCAGAACAAAGAGAAGAAGACACCACAAAAGTCACAGACAGCACAACCAAAGCCAAAATCAAGACCACAGGCACAACCACAATCTGGTAAACCAGCTGAACCACCAGTCGAGCCACCAGTGGAACCACCTCAAGCTCAACTAGGTGTACCTGCTGAAGAACCAGAGCTTGTCCAAGCTCCTATTGTCCAACAGTCAGCGCCAACTCCTGAGCCAAAGAGCAAGCCTGAGCCAAAGCCAAAGAAGCAGGCTAAGCCAAAGGCTGCCGCTGTACCCGAATCCGTTCCGCTTGAGGAAACACCTGTTGTTGAAGCGCCAGCACAGCCTGACCCTGTCACCGAAACTCCTGTACATCACCCAGTCAAGAACGTGGAGCCCGTGACAGCTGCTGAACCAGTCACAACAAGGAAGCGCAAACGCGACGCTACGACTCCTGCAGCTGCACTACCTTCAAAAGAGCCTGCTGTGGAATCCCCCGACGTTCTCTCCCTCCCTCGCCCTGGTCCACAGCCCAAGAAGCTCAAATTGAGCGCTGGTGCTCCGCCCCCTTCGGACAAGCCTACAATCACCATCTCCACTCGCGCCATTGCTGCTGCCAAAGATGTCTCTTCTCCAGCAAATGTCAGCACACCCATTGCCGATGGTCCGCGTATATCTGCACGTCAACAGACACAGCGCAGCCAACGCAGCTCTGCTCAGCCTGAGCCTCCAGCTGGACCAAGCGAGGCGGCCGCCCAAACTCCTGCTGCAAACACGAGAGCTACGAGACCGACCACAATCACCATCAAGCGTTCTGCCACCAAAGCTGCATCTGCCGAGCCAGCTGTCAAACGGCAAAGCTTACGTCGCGACTCAAACGCCTCACTGCCTGGTGCTGCAAATAACAAACCACAATCTCCTGTACATATACAACCGCCTGGTGCTGCGGACACTAAGGTTTCCAAACGGGCAACGCGCAAGAAGGTACCTCAGGGAGTTCTCCAAGCTGAAGAAAATGGTACAAAGGTCATAGTAGGCAAACCAAAGGGTGCTTCCAAGAAGAAGAAAGCCCAACAGCCAAAGGAGGCCAAGGGAGAGGCCGCTACCCCTGTCGTTGAAGAAGAGTACATCGATCCTGACGAGCCACGTTATTGTATCTGTGGAGATGTCAGTCATGGCACCATGATCGCCTGCGACAATGATACTGTAAGTTTGGAGCTTGGTTTCAATACCTGATACGTTTGACTGACTTCTTAACAGTGCGAAAAGGAGTGGTTCCACCTTGAATGCGTTGAGCTCACAGACCTGCCTGGACGACGAGCCAAGTGGTACTGTCCCGATTGTCGCAAGAAGCTCAAGGTTGGACTGGAGACCAATGGCATCGTCCGTTAAGACCGAGGATACGACTCGGAGAAGGGGAGTCTACCGCTGTATGATTAGGGCCTCGCTTTGGAGCGGTGTGTTTTTTACGATTATGATTTTCCGATACCCGATAGCAGCTTTTGCTCTTTCTAATACTATTTACTAATGCCGAATATTATACCTCATACTGCATTCGTATCAAATGCCTCGTAGTATCAAGGCAACCACATTACCGTTTCTTCCATCCAGTCAAATGACGGCGGAGATGGTCACCCGAGTGGTCAACAGAATCCGAGGTGGGTTATGTGAGGGTCTCATGAGATCGTGTCTCGAGCGCCTTGTTCATGCATGAGAGTGGAAACTTGAGGCTTGCGAGCAATGTGTTGGTTGATCGTTGCCGACTCGTTGCCCTCCAATCGACTTGTTGCGCTGGCACACCTTCCATCTGCCTTGGCGCTCGCTTCTCGCATGTGACTCTGGCATGTTTGACGATTCGCCGGTCTACCTTTTTGTGATGTATAATATACTTCATGCTCGGTCTAGCTCTCGGGTCTTTCGTGTGTGTTGCTGCATTATCGTGAGGGGTAGGTAGGCTTGGGATGTTGCGGTGGGCGGCTAATATAGAGGAAGCATGCGAGAGATATCTGACCATTCGGGGTTATATAAATGCTCGAGTCTTTCGCTCTTCTTCTTTTCGTCCTGCAAGAACCCGAAATCTACAATCACAATATCACTTATTTCAACATCAATATCAACATGCCTTCCTGCTCTTGCTCCAACTGCTGCAGCACATCTGGCTGCAGCAACTGCGGTTGCTCCTCTTGCGGCGTGAGTATCGATGAGAATGTCTTCGTATCCGTGTAGATATTGACAAACAACAGCACTAAGCGTCAATCTGCCATGACCAATCACGACGAAATGAACCTGTTGATTTGAACGTGAGTTCTTTCTGTCCACATGGCTATATGGTCGAAGCTCATGCTGATTTCTGACCCAGAAGCCAGTGGACACTCTTTGATTGCTATTGCTTTACCATTCGCTATGACCTACATAAATACAATGAATTATACATGAACAACAAACTTTTCATCGTTCAGAACCAGTGACAATGTCTTTGACGATGCCTGTTGCTGTGTTCTTCGTGTTTATGAAGTCGTATAATTTGAGCCGGGTCGCCCGATCTGCAACTCGAGATGGTCAAAATCTTCCTCAGTCATCTGCGCATCAACGCCGAAGAACTCGGGTACATTTGTTTCCCTATCGAAGTTCATTTGTCCGACCAAAGCCTCCAATTACATGACACAGGACAGTTTGATTGAACTGTTTCACCTCTTCGGTGTGGAAGGGATGCTTGACGTAGGCGGTGATTGTGCGCCAACCTTCCAAGATCTGATAAGGTACTCCCTATCAGTACAAGGTTGTTGCCAGGAAGCGTCACGGGACGTCGTCGCAAGCCAGACGATGGGCATTTGTCGAAACGGCCTGTAAGAGTGCCTTGTGATCAGGTCTTGGGAGCACTAGGAACTGTTCAATAGTTCATGGCAATCGAGAGATCGTGAATTTGCATGAACTCCCTCCCTTCTCCGTTGGTTGTCTCGACGCACGGCCAGTTCAGGCCAGACACCTCGGAACCGCCGATTTCTAGCGTTCACGCGCTTTGAGTTCAGCTCTTCAAAGGGGCACAGTGATAACCTTTCGGCAGAGTGCAGCAGCAGGTGAACCGCCACGGAACCCTCAGTCCTGCTCTGCGAGCAGCTGCGGGGTCCAGGTCGTCAAAGATGAAGGGTGAAGTGGCTAGAGCTCGTTGAGTGACGCGCGTGGGGCTTGCGGTCGGGATTCGGGAGAAATCGTGCCTCACGGAGACGGAACCCGATGATGAGGGCGGTTGACCCCTCGGAGGCGTGGCGACATCGGTCAACGTGATAACAGAAGGATTCTGGCAGTGGTTTCAAAGTCCTATGTGAGTCAAAGGTGAACTGGAAGGTGAAGTACACGTGTGTGCTTTGAGCGGTAATAGTTCGCCCGCGAGACAAAGTCTTTTGCAAGATGCGCAACGCGCATGGAACAAATGGACAGAGTTAGACTTCCATGGCCCGAGTGCGGTTACCCCATATGGTGGCCACCTCGATGTGATAACCAATCAACAGACCACGCTCAAATCATGAGGCAGGCGCAACTGCTGACTACCTTGCTCCTTCTACGTGATAACCAAGTTCTTCCTTTCGCTAATCACTCGAGTACTCTGCTATCATCGCACTGAATAATTTCCATCCTCTTTCTCCTGCTTCCTGCAACAATACCAACCCTGCTGTTTCATCGATCGAGTCCGCAATCGCGTACCCCGCTGTGTATCTCGCGTACCTAGATTACGTGAATCAAGTCGCGCACACAACCACTCAGCAATTTACCCACCCTTACACCATAAAGACTCCCCAGGTCTCCTATCCATCGTCGGTGTAAGTCATACCAGGCAGCAATCACCCAGAAACCTTTTGTCTCTTGCTTTGTGCCATCGTCGCCCTGATCCATACGTCATCAACGTATTAGTCTGTCTGACTCGTATCTCGTGGCGCAGAGAAGCATCCAGCAACACTCGCGAATATGGCTCACCCTGCGACTTCTGCCATAACCATGGCTTTTGCTTCTCCATCCTACTCCGGCGGCATGGCCAAACACTCCACCGTCAGCAACCTCTCTGCCGCAGTTGCCAAACACGGTATCGGCATGCCACTTACACCTCCTAACTCCGTATCTCCGGGCTTGCCTGCCGCCGCTCAGGCAGGTCTACGCTCGCCGCCTCCGATCCATATGGATGGCGAGGACAACTCTCGTCAGCCTCTTCCTCTCAGCAAGGGTGCTCTATCGGGACTAGATGCCTCACAGTCCATCACCGCATCCATGCTCGCCAAGCACCATTTGCCAGGCATCATGCTCGGACACGGTCCTATCGCGATCAGACACGTCATGGCTTGCTTGACTCAGTCGGTGCCTGGCTTCTCACGTATACCGCCAGCCAAGGCCCGTAGGCTAGTTGTCGCCGGCCTAGAGAATCGTGCAGGAGGTGGTGTCGACGGTAGTGTTGTGTTTGAAAAGGTGGGTTGGGGTCGATGGGACGCACACACAAAGGGCGAGCGTCCTGACTTGGGCTCGAGCTTCAAGGACGGAAAGCTGTCTCCGCCACCGAGTGAGCCTGGAAGCTACGCGGCTTCTTACAGTGGGTCCGGCTTCCCTGGCTCGTTCAAACCTCGCGAGAATCAGCAGCTCAACAGCTGGGCAGAGTCTTCGATGGCATCTCATTACGATGAGCACCTCGAGAACATGAGTATGGAGGAGAACGAGGCCGACAAGATGTCTCTTGACGGCTCCTCTTCTGCCATGTCCGAAGACGAATCTGCAACTTCGGACAGTGAGGGTGACGAGACCGAAGAAGAGGACTGGGCTGCCATGGGAGCGGATGCTTTACGCAAGGCTTCTGTGTCGACTGCGGCTTCTCCTGGCGCCAGACGGAACTACAACCTCATCAGTATCCCAGGATCCATACAAGAAGCAAGAAGTCCGTCCGTGTACGGTAGTGCTGGCGGTGCTAGGTCGTCGTTCCTGGCGAGATCCACACCACAGTTCGTCAGAAGGCCATCTGCGATGAGTTACACTCAGCATAGAGGCAGCGTCAACCAGGTACCACCAAGCCACGGTACAACACCCATGGAAATTGACCGAACTACCCAAGAGCGTGAAGCCATTGAGGCTCTTCTGCGTATGGGCTCTGCATAAGCGGTGTTTCCTCATTCAGGCATTCCGAATGTCCCTGGTCTTTTTCATTTTGGTTTCGACGATTGGATCGTCTCCGTTTGGCTCTGTAAAGTCCCTGCATGGGTATGAGGATTCTCTGTTGTCCTTTTGGATGACTAATATACGACACTGGGCACCAGTCTCGGCCAATACAATGTCAAGTGCTGACTGTTGGCGAGGTCCTGGATTGACATGGGTGGCGTTTGTTTTTATTGCGGCATCTCCATTCTTATCTTTGTTTTCGAGGCGAGCATTCTCTTTTTCTTCTGTTCGTAACGATAGGCATTCATGAGAGACGGACGAAAGGGAGAACATGCAGATAATGACGGGAGGACATCATGGCGGATTGGGAGGAGAGCGACTGGTAAAGGAAGAGAAGAAGGTCTTGAGCTCGCGTCTACTGTCGATATTGCAGACGCTAGAGCTCGACCACTCACCTTGATATGCCAGGAATACCTACATAGCATTTTGTACAAGCTCGCCGGTCGGGTGGTGAAGGTCTCATTAGCTTGATCGACCTCTGCCTATTGGCGTCGGCGAGCTCATAGTTAATATCAAAGCTTGGCATTGGCCATCAAGACGCAAAACTAGTTACGGACTCCATCAGCAGTATCTGTGAATGCTGTAACACATGGCTCAGTCGTTAGCAAGGTCTTCATGTATTTGCTTACTTGCTCATACCCTTGCGAGTCTTGATGCAGGAAAGACGAGGGATTCAAGCCACGAACGAGCCTAAGAAGACAATACGCGCGTAAAGCAAGTCGAGAAACACTCACTTACAATCGTATCTGCACCGATCACAGGTGCTTGGATAGCTTGAGCAGAAACCAAGCATTTCGAGAGGATAAAAATGCGCGAGGTCGAGGGAAGAGAGGGAGAGCTCAACTTTTGATCTCTGCATTTCTTTTGACAACAGCACGGACTCCCTCCGTCCATCACCCACGCACGCGACAAGAACCCGCCGCCGATCATCCAACCACATCTTCGTCAAAGACAGATCTACCTTGAACTCTTCCACTTGCAACAAATTGTACATCTCCCTGATCCGCACGACCTTCTGTTCTTGTCGCGTTTAACGAGCATACGAGCTCTTTATTAAATATACAACATAATGTACGTTGTCCTGCCTATCGGTCGGCAATCCGAGCCCAATCGCAATCGCAACGGGGATGATACCACTGGAAACCTTCTTCGTGTGATCACGATCATACCCATGAGTCGGGGTTCACTTGTGTCACTGGAGAGACTTCTGTCATGATGTGTGGTTAAAGGCTTACGATTTCTCAGGCCTCTTTCTGCTGCCGAAGTTCAGGCTCATCCTGAGTTCCCGTACACTACATGGGATCTCAAGCCGCAGTCCAAGGGCAAATTGTCTGTTGCTAAGGGTAGAGGTGGTCCCCTAGATATAGCATGGGAGGTACATGGCGAGGGTGAGAATAAGATGGTGGTAAGTGTCTTTTTCATTTTCGCTCATGCAATGTATTCTGGTCCCATATTCCAGAAGAAGGATCTACGGATTTGTGATCATGACTGGGCTTTTATCAACCCTTCACAACATAATCTTCTATTCTACATGTCGTGGAACACAAACGCAAAGTTCTGACATACGCTGTGATGTTAGTGGATCATGGGACTTGGTGGACTCAAAACCTCATGGCAAAGACAGACCAAGGACTTCTCTCACACCCAAGGATCAAAGTACCAGTCTCTGATTGTTGACAACCGCGGTATGGGTGAGAGTGGCAAGCCGATGCAACGCTACTCGACCTCGGAAATGGCCAAGGATCTTCTCGAAGTGATCGATCACGTCGGCTGGACAAAGGACAGACAACTAAATGTCGTCGGTATCAGTATGGGAGGCATGATCGCTCAAGAACTCGTAAGTGGTATTTAAGAACTCTTAACAACCAAGGCTTCAGAAATTGACTCGAACCAAAACAGGCATACATGATCCCCAGCCGCATCGCAACACTCAACCTCATCTCCACAGCACCCCGTCTGGTCAATACAGTCGGCTTCATCGAGAATCTACGCAACCGCATCAACCTCTTCATTCCCCGTAGCTTGGACGACCAACTCGCCCACGTTAAACACAACATCTACACCGAAGCCTTCCTCGACGCCCCGGACTGTCTAGAGTACAAGGTTGAGCCTTTCCCTACCAATGGCGATCGCTTTGCCGCACAGGAAGTCGCCAAACGTCAGATGCCGCAATACTTTAACCGTACTGGATTCATGGCACAGGCGATTGCTGCGGGCTGGCATCACAAGACTGATGCGCAGTTGAAGGAGATTGGCGATAAGGTGGGTAGAGAGCGTATTTTAGTTTTGCATGGTACCAAGGACCGCATGATCACATTCCCTCATGCAGAGATGTTGTTGAAGGGATTGGGTGGTGAGGAAGGCGGTGTTCGCAAGGCTTTCTTTGATGGTCAAGGACACGTCGTGCCCATTGAACTCAGGCAAGACTTCAACAAGCTGATCGAGGAGATGGTTGAGAAGGGCCAGACCTTGAGTGCAAAGGCATAAGCATGAGATGGACATTTTGATGTTTTGTTCTGTAACATGGATAGAAAGCGAGGCGTTTCTTGTTGTTCAGAGGAAGATAGATTCTCGAACGGTATAGTTATTTGGTATGCAGATACAATGATTCTTTCTGTTCATGAAGAGAGGGGATGTTGTACAAGAGGTGTATGTTTTTGGTAGAGGGATATTGGGCCCGGCCGAACAGGAAAAGGGCAAAAACCACCAACGCCGCGCTGCGGTTCCAAGGACGATAGTAAAACAAGATGGTGATGTGATATGGCAGAGGTGGTTATGTCGTCTTCTCCAGCAATTCTTTCGCTTCATTGACCTTTGTGGCGAGATAAGGGCTACCGCCGCGATCGGGGTGGTTCAACAGCATGAGTGAGCGGTGCTTCTTGCGGATGATGTCGCGAGTGAGACCGCGTTCTCTGTACCGGGCTTGTTAGTGAACGTGTTCAGGGAGTCCAAGTGTGGAATGGAGGAACGAACGTGGTTTCGAGAATAAGAGCGGCTTCCTTTCTGGTCATCTTTTGCTCGAAGCCGCCCTTGTAAAAGGCCTTGCCTACAGCGCTGGTGCCACCGCGGTAGCGCTTGAAAGCCACCAAGCCAGCACGACCCTGTCAGACGGTGTTAGATGAATGTAGCAGCGCATAGATTCCGGAGATTGCGTACGAAGAAGGCAGTAGCGGCGATTCCGAAACCGAGGGCGAGAGCAGTTGCCATGTTGATATTTGTGTTTGTATGTGACTGTGAATGTGACGATGACTTGGTCGACGGCAGGCGTAGAAAAGTTCGGAGGTCTGGCTCTCTCAAGCTCCGTCTCCCGGTCCCTTGTTGCTTCGCCGCAGATGGGTCTTGGCAACTCCGCAATATCCAAAGAAGTTTCGCCCGCAGAAAGAAGAATTATTGTCCCATCCATCTTGACATTTGACCAACACACGACAAGATGAGGTATGCGCCATACTTTTCCTGCCCAAATCCACTGATACGCCTACTGACACCTGTCCCAGAATCGAGACGTGCTATTTCTGCTCGCAGCCCTGCTACCCGTCAAAGGGTATCACCTTTGTACGCAACGATGCTCGCGTTTTCCGCTTCTGCAGATCAAAATGCCACAAGAACGTATGTCGCACAAAAGACACTCTCTGATAGAAGAATATCCTGTTCTAACACACTCCCCCAACAGTTCAAGATGAAGCGTAACCCCCGCAAGCTGGCCTGGACAAAATCCTTCCGTCGCGCACACGGCAAGGAGATGACCGTCGACAGCACCCTCTCCTTTGCTGCCCGCCGCAACGTCCCCGTCCGCTACAACCGCGACCTCGTTGCCACCACTCTCAAGGCCATGCAGCGCGTCTCGGAGATCCGCGCCAAGCGCGAGCGCCAGTTCTACAAGAACCGCATGCGCGGCAACAAGGAGCGCGACCTCGAGGCCGACCGCAAGCTCGTCGCAGAGAACCAGCACTTGCTCCCCCCTGCCGAGCGCGAGGCCGCACAGAAGCTGCTCGAGGACGAGAGCGAGATGTTGGATGTTGTCGACGAGCTGGACGAGGAAGAGGAGGAGGAGTTGGAACAGCAAAAGTTGGCCCAGCAGAAGCTCAAGGCAAAGAAGAAGCAAAGACTGGTCAGAGGCTCTGGACCCGAAGACATGGATGTCGACGCATAAACGACCTGACTTGTGTGCTGCTTGGCTTTTGTTGTTTCTCATCACCCTCCACGGCGTTGTTGCATCTTTCTTTTTCTTTTCGTATGGGACTTTGGGGAAAAAAGAGCGAAAAGCACAGGGACTGGCGTTCGGCTTCAATTTCTTTTACGGATACCTTTCGCAGCAGCATTTTATCGCTAATCCGCCATTGCCTGCCTTGTTCAAAAAGGACTTGGCGAGTTTCCACAACCTTTACATGTGTCTGTGTATATTTTTGATCAATTGTGACTTGATACTACTCACCATGATCAGCTCTTCAATAAGTATACAAAACTGAGCGGTCATTCGTGTACAGCAGGTTTATGCTAGGCGGAAATGGTGATTGTGGCACGATGCTCTACTATAGTCTTCAACTCACTCTCAAGTACAAAGACAGAACTTCAAACACTTCCTGCTTCCCTTCTAGGGTTCCACGATCTTGCCCGCACCCAGGACACTCCAGAAAGCAATTTCCCTGCTCTCTTTGGTTCCCTTGGCTGCCCCTGTAGCAGCTGCGTCCTCAGCTGTGACCTCTGCCTCCCACTCCACACGCACGAATACCGGAATTTCGAGCACTTCGTCATCCGCACCCTTGCTATCATCCCCTGTGGCTTTTTCTGCAGTGGGACCAGTCTTTTTGTCCAACCTGCCAGGGACCACTTCTACTACCACAGTCGTCCAGTTGCGGCCTTTTTCCCAGACCTTGCCTGCTTCTGGCTGTCTGTCTTCTGTAGATTGATCCTTAGCTGTACCGCTGGAGATGGCGTCTGGGTCCCACATATCGCTCGCAGCACCAATAGGAAAAGTAGGGCAGAGAACAGTAACGCGTGAAGCCACATTGCCAGGTGTAGTAGCCGGAGTGGCGAGTGTGACTCGTACGGCTTCGAACAAAGGATTTGTCAGGGTGAGCAGGAACTGCACGGGAAGTCCTGGTCTCAACCGCTCATACTCTGTATTGTGCTGAGCTTGTAGTGCTGCCGGGGTAAGCGCAAAGGCGGAAGCAGGAGCTGACGAAGCAGTCGGTGCGAGGAGGCGCAGAGACAAACGAGGAATGTTGTTCTGGGCCAGCAAACGAATCTTGTAGCGTGTGCTACCCATCTTGGGCTCTGGACGGGCAATAATATGGCGGCAGGTACGGCAACGCTTACTACGGCGAGTCCGTAAAAGTGTAGCAACGGGCCAGAGATGGTCGTTGAAGTGTACATGGTGGTTGTATGGATGACTGACGCGTTGTGACAAGGTCGTGGTTCCTTCATAGCCTTCTGTGAAGAGTTTCTTCACAGATTCAGCTTCGACATCAGCTGAATGCGACAGCACTTCTAGGCCCTCAGTTGTGTCCAGAGCTTCACGCATAGGCTGTGGCTTTTCGCGAGCCTTTCTCAGAGCGGCGTGGGACAGTCCGCCATAGATACTCATAATGCGTGCTAGACTGTTAGGAGAGTTGAAGTTGCCGGCGTCCGAGTATGCATTCAGACCAGCACCGGCCGAGTCTGCCATCTGATCCTTGTAGAAGCGAGCCAAAGTTGCAAATCGGTCTTGTGATGGCTGAGAAGGCGGGGTGGAGTCCGGTTCCGTTGAAGATAGCTCGTCTGTGGGCGCGAGACTGGTCCTGGTAGACCTGGTCCTGCTTGGCGAAGGCGAGCGGTTTCCTTGACGCAATCTAACCAATTGGTCGGTGATTTTGGTGGGCTTGCTGAACTGTATGCCGACGTCCAGCGACGACCAGTCACAGTATGGGCATGATAGAAAGAACGGACCAGCCGGTTGATTTGCATCAGGAGGGGCCAAATGATCCTTTAATGAAGAATCTAGACCATTAATAGACAAGGGGGAAGTGCAAATTGGACAGTTGTAGCAATTTCGAGTACATCTAATGTGAAGTCAGTATTTTTGGTTGGTCCTTAGACAAGAGACAGCGCTTGAGCTTACCTTACCTGTTACCATCGGTCTTGACTACGCTACTAGGAACCTCGAAAAGACAGTTTGGGCAGAACCAATTCATGATTTCTTCTGCCCAGCATCTCGGGCACCTGATTTGATGGCAGTCATCACAATACAGCAAATGCTCGTAGGGGTATAGGGAAAAGTTTGCGCGTATGTGGTGAGGGTTGAAGGTCGTGTCGTCGTCAGGATCCTCTATCGAAGAGAGATTTGATTCAGAAGGTGAGGTGAAGGAGGTGCAAGGACACGCGATCAACGTGTATGGAAAAGTGGCCGCCATGACAAGATTGCTTAAACACAACAGCAGCACATTGATGGTCGGTGGAAGGAGCGACAGCGTTGGACCAAATTAGCTTTGTTGATTGCAGTGTTCTCAATGTTCCAGGGTCCCGTTGAGAACGCAGCCACGCCGCCCGGCAGCCTTAGTATTCAATGACGATTATGTTCGCGAAATGTGGGGAGAGGTCGAGGTTTCTGAGAATTGATGGCGACACAAAGCATTCTCCTTCACCAATCAGTCAAGATGCGTCTCAGTTATATCGCCCGCCGAGTGCAATGCACATCTCGCCCTCGAAGCCTGAACATCTGCAGCCGACGAACGTACGCAGTACAACAACCTGGTGCCCCTAGCATTTCCGTCTTCTCCAACGAGGCCAAGCAGCAACAACGGACCCGCGCCGCCGCCGATGTCGAGGAATCAAGAGCCACAGACTACCTGAGGGACGAGGTAGCCACACGATTGACCAGTCGCCTACTCGACATCAACCGTAACTTCGACAAAGCCCTGGACTTCGGCGCCAATGCCTGCAATATCGCCCGCGTCCTTACCTTGCCAGACCCCGACCCCGACTCTGCCAAACCCGTCTCAGACCCTCTGAGCTCGAAGATTGGCCACCTTACCTGTGCGGACTCCAACCAAGTCATGCTGCATCGCGACCAGAACGAACCTTTCAACAAAGACTTGTCCCTCACACGCCATGTGCTCCAAAATCCAGAGACACTTCCCTTTGAAGCCAATTCTTTCGACCTGGTCATGTCATCACTGAGCTTACACTGGATCAACGATCTACCCTCCGTCCTGTCTCAGATCAACAACGTACTCAAGCCTGATGCTCCCTTCATTGCCGCCATGTCAGGCGGCGACTCCTTGTTTGAGCTCCGTGGTTCTCTACAACTTGCCGAGCTGGATCGCCTTGGTGGTATCGGTACCCACGTCTCGCCACTGGCTGATGTCCGCGACGTGGGCAACCTTCTCACTCGCGCCGGCTTCAAGCTTCTCACTGTCGACGTCGACGATATCATTGTCGACTACCCTAGCACGTTACATTTGATGCGTGATCTACAAGCCATGGGAGAGTCGAATGCTGCTCTCAAGCGAACCCCTGGACCCATCTCTAGAGATGTGCTCTTGGCCACCGAAGCAATCTACAAGGAGTTGTACGGCAACGAGGACGGAACCATTCCTGCTACATTTAGAACCATTTACATGATTGGATGGAAGGAAGGTGCAAACCAACCCAAGCCTTTGGAAAGAGGCACTGGAGAAATCAACATTAAAGATATCTTGGAAGGTGGTGGCTCATACAACGGATAGAAGACTGGCTGCAATTTATTCCTTATTCTTGTACAGCTAATCCATCTGTACATATTCTCAGCATCACGATAACGAACACAATTTACTCGAGCGATCTTACAGCGCATATGCTATCTTGTAATGTTCTTCTGACGGTCATAGTTGTATAGACGGAAGTCTTGGTATACTTTTTGCAGGCATAACGGATTCAGGGGCAAGCTGCATAGAACAATGTGTCCGAAAGGAATGTTGCGTTGTTTCTCCGCCTTGATAGAATAAGAGAGTGGGAGTGGATGGGCAAGGGCCTGCTATAATATAATCCGTCACACCAAGAGCCGACACGATACACACGTCTTTACTTCAGAATCCACTCCTGTTCTCCGTCCTCAAATAACCTGGATATGACTTTCTGTAACGAGCAATTAGTCTCCGCTGGCAATCTATCAAAGACAAGCAGCATGTGTAGATGACTTACCGTGTCAACGTCGTGAACCTCCTCGAACCAACATTTATCGTTGTAGCACTCTTGCCCGTATGGACAAACGTGGCCATTAGTGCAGTCAAAGTCCCTACAAGCGCCACGGTCTGGACAACTTCTAGTACGAGCACGATGCTTGAGCACCAACTGCTCACCAGGACTCAGACGCTCACCGTGGTCGTAATCGCAGTATTTTCCAGCTTCGCACTTGCCATTGAGATGGTAGTTGTTGCAGACCTTCTTGTTGCGAACACGCTCGCTGAGACGGGCGGCAGCTGCTTGATCGGTACGTGGGAGAACAGCGTCGATGCGTTCATCGAAGGCGTTCAGAAGGATGCACTTGCGGGCAGGTGCCTTTTTGGTCGCGACATTGATTGTTTTGGGTGCGCCTTTGCCTACGGTTGCCCATGAAGAGGCGCCTCCGGTTGTATCGCTGGACGACTGGGGCGTGACAGTTTTGACGGCGGCTGCCTGTGCGAGTACAGGTGTAGCCGCAGGGCTGACTGAAACACCGCCAGTCGCAGCAGAATTAGTTCGAGTAGGCAGCACAGGTTTCGGTTGGAATGCGGCTGCGTTCTGGACCACAGGAGACGCGAAAGATTGCCTATCTGGCAGTGGATCGGACCTAAAGACCGTAGGGAACTGTACGACCTTGAAACCGAGCTGTGTGAAGCCGGGCTGTATGGGTAGTGTTTCTAGTAGACTGATACGAGGGGCCGTGTTCTGGTCCCGCTTGTAAGGGTCGAGGGTAGGCAGATAACCATTATCGTGGCATCCTCCAAAGATTACATGCTTGCACTGCATGTTGGGTAGGAACAAGCGCAGTGTTTCTGGGGACAAGTCAGTCATCTGTCTCCCTTCGCGGCGGAACAAGCACTCAATATACCTCTAACTTTGTGATCTGCCCTTTCTTTGCCACTACCGACGTCGATGAAGCTGAACAGAGATTTGTTAAGCGAAAAAGCTCGAGCGAAGGGTGCCATCTCATTAGGATTCTTGAAAACACCCAGACTCTTCAGCTTGTGACTCAATCCCTCCATGTTGTAGAAGATCTGGACCATGATGTCGTAACCCGAGGTGTTGCGATCGGGATAACATTCCGCAACGTGAGTCCTGATTTGCGTGTACAGCTCTTGAGCGGCATCAGCACCACCATCCATACCAGCCTTGTAGAGATAGTCATGGAACTAAACGGTCAGATTGGCTCTACAGCACTAATATTAGGAACACTTACAATAGCTCCGTCTCCATCAATCAAAGCTAGGACAAAGCCGTTTGCTTCCTACTGTACGTCAGTAACTCCAATACTCTACTGAATCCAATCGAACATACAAGACCCATATTCGTGGTCTGCAGGGATCGCTCGAAGTTACGAGCCTGTGCTTGCCACATTCGACGAGACGCGAGCTCATTTTCATAGTCTTCCGATTTGTTATGGTACTGCTGCTGCAACTCGGCGTATTTATGAATAACTTCCTGTATGCTCAAATCAGCCTGTATCGTGAACGAGAGAGCCATGGAGCTATCTCACCTGAACTAAGGCATCGCGCTCGGCGTCGGATCTGCGAAAGCCTTCTAGCTGGCTCTCCAGACCCCCTAGGAAAGATTGTGTATCGGTATGCCCATTTGTGTGGCCGCTGCTCATAGGTGGTCCACTCATGATTGTAACGTTTCTCAAAGCCAAAAGATGGAAATGCGTGTAACTGGATGGTTTGGGCGAGCTTCACGGAATGGACTTTTAACCGCCGGTGGCTGTACTCGTAGAAGGGTACAGAATCGCAGGCGCTAAACGAATATTTTTTCAAATTGTTTTTGTAAGACAAGTCGAGAAGAATGTGTCACTGTTTCAACCCGTCTTTTGATAATCGAGCGACTGCGACAAACGGAGTAGGAAGTCGCGTGAGCCGGTGGAAAAGATTATTTGTTGCTTATCCACGCAAAAGACTTGGCACTGTGTTGGGTGCTCGCTAGACCACTTTCCATGTCGGAATATCATGGAGCTGGAAACACGCTTTTTTCTTTTGGTAAAATTGATGCATAAATTGTAAATGGAGGCTACTTGGATTCGATCGCTGATAACTTGCAACGCTTTCTATATCAGATTCTGTCTCGCAATTCGCTCGTGTACACTAAGCATAGTAATTGGTTCTGATCCTCGACTCGGAAGAGTCGCTCTCGTTCCTCTTGGGTTCAGCCTCAGCCCGCACAGCTGCCTTTCTATCCCTTCTTCGCTTTGATTCGCCGACGAAGATGCTAATAATGTAAACGACCCAAACAAAACCCGCAACAACGCCGTAAGCAATTTCACCTTTACGAGTGCTACAGGAAGTCAGCGTTGAAGAGAAAGTGAACATGAAATTGTGGAAGGACTTACTTGTTTGCGAGCTGGAGGCCAAGCCCTCCATTAATCATCCCAAGTGTTATGATAATGCGTCCAAGCCAAAGATGAGCATACGACCAGAAGGTACGGCGCTTGTACTTCTTGAAGAGGCGGTGGTGGATATATCCAAGGAATGGCTGGAAGAAGATGAGGACGAACAACACAATACCAATGATGGGATGAGCGTGATCGAGCTTTAGACAGACGTCAGACAAAATTTCGAGTAGCTCTTTCTCGCTCCACTTACCCTGCGGATCTGGGTGGCAAGGTAAATTCCAATACCAAAGGCCGCAATATAGATGAGGTATGCGAGCACTTGCACAATAGCGTGAAACCAAAGAAGCCCGCGAAAGCTGAACAATCGAATGCTGATAGCTCCAAATGGGAAGAAGATGACAAAGGCCAAAGATGCAAGGACACCATGTGCGATTTGAGCGCGCTGGGCCTTTTCAAAGTCACCGCCGAAGGGGATCGAGAAACCAGCGGAGCCTCCGAATCCTGAGCTCGATGAACCAGATGAGCCGGAACCGTATCCAGATGAGCCAGAAGAGCTAGAGCCGCCACTATCATCGCCTCCACCCCATCCCCAAGCATAAGTGGAGCCTGTATTGAGATATTAGTGTTACTGTGCTAAGACCATAAAATCTCGATACCAACCGAGGCTCAAGGCGATAGCTGCGAGTGTTGATGAATATCCCATTGTGAGGGATGTGGGAGCATATGAAGGACCAAAACGTAAGGTGGGATGAATTGGCTTTTAAGTCAATACCTTCGCCAGACACTAAGCGAGGCTGAATGGAACCAATCGAGGTAGAGAGTACAAGATTATAGCCTCACAAGAACTGGCACTTGGGTGTCTTTAAGTTCTTACGTCTTGAAAGGGATCAGCGAGGTAGATGACCACGCCCAGTCCCATATCAACGACAGCGGAATAGATAGGCATGCACCATGTCGTAGCCCACCACCACCAGCAACGTGTCACTGCGCCTCCAAAGGCTTCTCTTTCTCGAAGAGCAACCCATGTTCCCAGCCCCGAAAGCTGGGAAAAGATTGACGGAGTTCTCAGGGTCGGCGGGGACCCGAAGACCGACGATGAGTATTTGAACTCCGGCCACGCGTACAGCACGAGCTCGGAGGTTCTTGATCTTCAGGATTTCCTTTGTGTTTCTTGGCGGCGCATTGGAGTGGTCAGCAACTGTGATACCTAAGCTGACAGAAAAGGTCCACGGTGGGCTGATTATCTCGAATCACTGCAGATTGGCTGTACCAGGTCGTTATCGAAGATTCTTGATGAAGTCGGACACGGCGAAGCTCATGGCGGGGCTGATTGATGCGATCAGCCATTTGAGACTTCATCTTGTGCCATAGTGTGAGTAGAGGTCAAGGGTTTGCAGGCAAGCCCCCGTGGAGGATGGAGGCGCGGTTCAAGGCATGGAGGTCAACCAGCCACCAGGCTGTCCGCCTCGGAAGATAGAAGACCCACACAAGTCACCCCACAAAAATGCGGAGATCGGCGCTAAGGGCATTCCGGTCTTCACCTGCCGGACGCAGGCCAGGCGTCTCTAACCTTGTTCATCCTCCTTCAAAAACAGCATCAAGTGGACTCTCAATCTCTGTCGGCAACATGGTGTCAACACGCAGCCATCCTCAGGAGTTTCCTCCGCAACATGTCAACCAGCTGGGCTCTGAGACGCCCTCAAAGCGTTCGCTGTCAACGGTGACGCCATCGACATCGCAACCTGACTTTCAAGGCCGAAACAACAACCAGAAGCCCTGGTCACACACGCCATCCCTCCTTACTCTGACTTGGCTATGTATCTCGATGCCATTGGTTATTTGGGATAGCTTCTACGTTTTGCTTCGTCCACATTCCATGCCTGGAGGCAAGTACCAGAAGCCTCTTTGGGTACCCTACGAGCTCTACGGCCAAGTCGATCACATTTACGGCTGGCCTGCATATAACTCGGGTAATGGCTTTACTGCTGCTCAGACTGGTATGAACGTTGTGGAGATTGTAGGCTATGTCTACTACCTTTATCTGCTTTATACCTACGGAAGGACCGAGGACGTTCAAGGCACTGGCGCTCCGAACAAGCAACAAGTCGGAAAGCTCGCGCGAAGTCGAACAGTCTATGGGAAAGCTGCCGCGAAAGCAGTCCTCTTGTTGTATGGTGTTGCCCTCATGACCCTCAGCAAGACTGTGCTTTATTGTATGTCTTACAAACCTTTCAATTATCCATCTAGAACTAACATCAATCTCAGGGCTCAATGAAGTCTTCTCTGGTTTCGCGAATATCGGCCACAATGATGCATCATCCATCTTCTTCCTCTGGGCTCTCCCGAACGGCATGTGGATTCTCTTCCCGGCATACCTGGTTTACGTGTCTGGAAAGGAGATATTACAAGGCCTCGAAATTGCTGTGAGCAGCTCTAAGAAATCTCAGTGAATGGTCGAGTCTTGAATGAAATGTTGTACTGGTACTGAGCGGCAGGAGACGCAGACCGATACAGCTACTTGGACTCTAGAGCATTGCCACTGAACAAGCCCATCCTGTTTTGTTCCCAGCTTGGTGACAGCTATTCCCAGTACAGCTGTAGTACTCGATGGTCGCCTGTCAGTACTGCTCCACGACGCCCCGGCTAACACGGAACTCGCGATCCGAACATCATGTCTCGTAGCTCCGCGATTCCACTGCCAGAAGCATAACTTCAACTCGCTTCACCTCTGCCCATCCTTGTAAGCCGCTCAATTATTTGCACGCCTACAACTGCCAGCCAAGCCGTACTCTGCGCTGGAATTGATTCCTCTTTGGCACTATCGTTCGTTCTCGCGGCATCACCATCATCAATGGAAGAGAACTTTGTCCGAGCTCACAGACAAAACTTGCTCACTATTATACAATCCTGTCCTTCCCGCTCAAGCTTCGCTCAACCCTTATATACGATTTATTCTCTGCCTTTCTTGTCCCCAGCCAAGCAAGGGTCCCGCCTTCTCGCCTGGTGTGTTTGGCCCACTTGGCTGGAGCCGACACTCGCCAAAGGCGCGTTCGTGGGTTCTACCCCCACTACGCGCCGAATAATAAGCAAACTGGACCGCCAGTTTCTTCTCCACCTGCCACCGGGCGGTGGTTTCTTTTGCTCCTCCTGGTGGTGTGAGGTTTCGCTTTTGTGTACGTACTGGTAGTCGTGCTTTATGTCTCTACAATTTTGAATCTCGAGGCACTTTCTTTTTCGTTCCTCCGCATGCATATACGTATCGTGAGATGCTTTTTGTAAGCAGGTGCTTCAAGGCAGACACACCGTCGAACAACCGGCAGCCGACATTAGCACAGCTGCCAGTAGAGAAACCAACGCAGAGAGAATATATTTCTTGCTTACACCCCGAGGGACAACCCTGATTTCAAGCAAACGAGGCAGAAAACAACTGCACGAAGCGAGTGGTGGGTCATACCCTCCTATCTTTTCCTATCTCAAGATCTGTAGCTCGGTATCCTTGTCTGTGTCTCCGTACTCACTGGTGTTCTGTACAAAGTCCTTACGTATACCCGAATGTCGCCCACTTATGATTGATCTTCTTGTTCACGTTTTCTCTTCACCTTCTGTTCTTTACAGATTTGGTATACTGAGAAGGATAGTGGTGATTATTTTGTTCAGAAAAAAGGCGAGCTCATTAAGCGAGGTCCATACGGTATGCATTCGTGTGTACTTGGTAAAATACCGTGGTTCAAGTCTGCAACGCCATGCCTCTACCAGTCTAAAGCTTACTCTTACCAATGCCCCAAACCTCGGACTGGGGATTGTTCACCTTCGATCCCACCGCGCCGTACTCGCCCTTTGGATTTGCTGATGAGTCTTGGATAGGCTTTCCCTCCATGTCGCTTTCGGGTAGCTCTTCAACGTAAAGCGACTTTGCCTTGTTGATGGTCTCTAGAGCCTCGCGCTCAATGCGTGAGATGAGGTCTGCGCAGCTTGGAATGTCGTGGATCAGGCCGATGACTTGACCGGCTGTCCAGACCTGTATCGTAGAATGTCAGCTTAAGCTCTTAGAGATCTAAATGCTTACTTACACCATGCTCTGGGTCTCCGTTCAAGAAGACCTCTCTACCTCGCTTTCCGCTGACGTAGGGAGCGACCTCCTCGAACTTGCCAGTCGGGCTCTCTCTTTCGATCTTGATGGCATCTCTCGCAACCTTGTTGGAGAACATTCGGCTGGTGTTCTTCCATCGTCGAAGAACTAGTTCTGTGTCTGTCTCTTGCGCCTTGACGATCGACTCCTTGATATTTTGGTGGATGGGAGCTTCGATGGTGCACATGAATCTAGTGCCCATGTTGATGCCTTCAGCACCGAGGGAAAGTGCTGCCGCAAGCCCTTGACCGTCGGCAAAACCACCTGACCTGAAGATAAACAGTAGAATTAGCATATTTCTCGTGTCGAAAATGATACATCATGAGGCTTATCAAGAAACCTGAATGTGCACCTATTGTAATGCAGAGTGAAACTCGAAGTAGAGAAGGCATCCACTGAGAGCCTGTGATTCGTTGTGGAAGAAAGAAGCTCTCAGTTGCGGCATATTCCATTCGAATGACACTTTGCAATGCGATAGGTGCAGCCGCTGCTGGTTTCCAAGATCGAAACACTCTGGCGGCTGTTGGCTCATGATATTTGTATCTTTGCATACGTACGCGATGAAAGGTACATTCAACTCCTGGCGAGCTCGCGAGAGAAGAATGAAGTTGGTAATGTCTGTCTCCCCGACGTGGCCGGCGCATTCCATGCCGTCTATAGCTGTGATGAAAGTAAAATTAGCGTGGTTTCTTGCGAGCAGGATCAGGGTACGTCAGGAGCTTCTCCTGCATGTGTTTGGGCCTATTAACAACGACTCGGGGCGGCATTCGGCTTGACACGCACTCGAACATCAGATCCAATGTCTCTGTGCGCTAGAGCTGCCACGAGTGCCACTGTAGAAGTGCACGATGTCTTTCACGTGGCTCATCTCCTTGGACAGCCTCGTTAATCGGAAAAAACATCGTGCATGGGTGGGGAGTGGAGCCAAACACATATCAAGCGAGTCAAGGGTTTGCACCTTCGGCTTGACTTACATAGAAAGTCGACGCCAAGTTTGATGGCAGATAGCGCGTGGCGGACGGTGGTACACTTGTGCAAAATGATGATTGGAGGGTCGGCAGCCTTGAGTTGCTTGATCACAGGAGCAGGGTTGTTGCCTGCTGTCTCCACGATCCGGATGCCCTCTTCGATGATGACACGGGCATATGCAGGATAGTCCGGAGGCTGAAGAGCAGGAAGAAGGGTCAAGTTCACACCAAACGGCTTTGAGGTCATCTTTCGACATCTTCGGATCTCCCTGTGAGTTGTTAGCCATGATCCCGTGGAACTTGATTCGTGTTCCATACTTTCTCAGATCTTCAGGAGTAGGTTGGGTGAGCGCGGTCAGGATACCCAAACCTCCTGCGTTGGAAACAGCGCTGGCAAGCTCTGCATATCCAACCCACATCATTCCTGAGAATCACATTCAGCTACTGCTCTTTCCATCACTTCAGGATGTCGTACCTCCTTGGACTACAGGAACCTTGATCCCCAATTTACGGGTGAGAGCTGTATTGAACGGCATTTTGACTTTGAATATTCGGCTTGATCAGAACTGTGCGTGTTGAGAGTCACGTCTTTAGGTGTTTGGATGTTGATGTCGATGTTCACCCCTCAAGAAACCACTTCATCATGCCTCGGCTCGTCTCGGCCCGAGCCCATGCATGTGAAAACGGTCTGGGGAATCGTGGACCCTTGCGCATATCACTTGGCAAGATTATGAACACTTGGATAATTAGTGATGAGGATCTGCACAAATTTATCTACGGCTCTGACAGAGGCCTTCGAAACCTCACCACTTTCTTACCACACCTATCTACGGACCCTTTGCTGTGAATTGAAGTGTAGACAAGCAAGAAGACTTTACCTACTACTAACCCAATAGCTTCCATCGAACTTAGCATTCACTCATCCCATATATCTTTCAGTAGGGTAAGGACACCATCGCATATAGTCCAATCATTCACGTCTGTAGTGTTACGAGCGGCTTCTTCGTCTAGATATACGGACATGACGGGATGATCATCCAAGCAAACAAGCAAACAGAATCGGAGATCATCCAAGCAAACAGCACGCCTGCTCGTCATTCTCGTAGATAAAGAAATGTTATATTTAGTAAGTGATTTTGAACCTCAGGTGCTCCGGAAAGAGAGTTTACTTTACCACAACAACTACCACCATCAATTCCTCTCAACCATTCATCGGTCATTCCAATAAGGTACGCGTGGCTGTCTTGATCGGCGAAGACAGGGCTACAACGAGTAGTCCATTGAGACAAACGATCATGCTGAATAAAGGTTAAAAAGAGCCAATACGAATTCTTGGAATGCTGATGATCTAAGTTGCTTGAACATCAAGAGCATGATAGCTGGCTCTCTTGATATTGTTATGCGACTCCCGAGCAGTATCTTCGCCCGATGCTCACAGGTGAATTTGAGGATCCTTGCAGTTTTCCCACCACCGGTCTCATACCGAAGCTGCTTTCTCCTTCTGCTCAACAGATTCACCACCTTTCTCGATATCCTGCACCTGCTTTTCGTGTACAGATGAGTCCTTGACATCTGAAGAAACTGAAGTCACCATGTCAACATCAGCATCCGCCCATCACAGCTAAACACAAACGCAACAACTTACATCCAAAACGGCTGCAAAGAGCCCTGAGCTTTTGCCATACCTGTACTCTAAGCTTAGAGTCTCCATATATGGGCTTTCTCAATCTAGTCCAATATACCAGTACAGTGTTTTTTTTTGACCAACAAATGGAGTACCGACGTCTTGAGGCGCTCCTTCAAGCTCTTGGTAGGTTTCTTAGGTGGCTGTTCTGACAAGATCAAGTCCTGGGAGTTGATGATGAAGCGGCGGACGCATACCAGGGTGCTTGGATCCAAGGGCTCATCGGCTATGGCGAAATTAGGTGGAGGATCCCAGGGTTCATCGACCACGGTGAATCTAGGTGGAGGCACGGTGAATACAGGTGGACGATGTTCGGAGTTGATTGCGGAGGGTGATAGAGGCTAGATTGCGCGTTAAGGAGTTGGTCAATAGGTAGAATCGAGTGAAAGTGGCTTTTTGAACCGCAACCCGCGAACTCGACGATCTCCTCAAGAGCTGTGAAAGCTTAGACGTCGACATCAACGACAAGCAGAAAGTAGGTTGGAGATTTGTGTTGAGCCAAGGACTCTGTGGCACGATCAAACGGATGGCAGACAGTTGAATACTCTGCTAGCTTTTGCGGGTTTTGTTCCCTCTACAACTCCATAGTGGCAATTCTACCACCAACCTCTCCACCCTGACCTCCGAAAGGTCCCTCATCAACCTTTTTTCTCAATGTAGTAACAACATCCCCCCACTCCTTTCCTTCTTCGCCACCCTCGTCGACAAAGACCTTGAGTCTGTTGTAAACCTCCTTCAAGCATTCAAACTTACTCATCGCGACTCTGTAAGCCGAGTTTTCTGTATCACCTACACCGCCGACCAAATTCGAGAATGTTTGGGCTGGCGAGAGGAGGTATGGCAGTGTGTATTCAAGCGATGGGGGTGAGAGGATAGCGAGGAAGCCTTTGCCTTGCTCGGCAAGAGATGTGGGTGGCAAAGCTCCGTGGAACTCTTGATCTGTAGGTGTTGATGTCGGACCGAGAGGCAACCAGTTCGCGGTCACTATACTACGAATCAGGCTGATGGCTGCAAGAGCGACTTCTCTCAGTGCAATGACGCTGGCGTGGTGGGCGAGGTCGGCGAAGAGAGTGGGATTGTGGTTGAGGTAGAGGTAGTAGAGTGCGTATGCGGCTTGGGCTTCGCCTTTCCAGATGGCATCGTGTGTTGTGTCCATGAGAGGTGAGCTGGGCGGGTAGTTGATAATCTCTTGCTTCGAGGGACCATGGAAGATCGTGGCCAAAGTTGCCAGTGCGTCTGCATTTGTGGACTTTGACGGAAGGAGAGAAAGCGGAGATGACGACCACCTGTTATTCGTGGGAAGGAGAGCACTGCGAGGCATGGACGCCAAGATGTGTAGATCTTGTTTCGGTGATTCGGCATGGGCCCAGCGACTGGGTGAGATGTCCAAAGACTGTTGCAGACGCTTGATGACTGTTGACTTCAATGGGCTGGCTAGGAAATGAGAGGGGTATGAAGACACGTAGGCGGCGACGTAATTTGCTGAGGGTGCGTACAGGAACTGCAAGTCCAGAGGATCATGACGAGGATTGGCTGGGTCGAGGTAGTAGCTCATCGCCTTGTCGTGGAGTTTATGTTGGATGAGGAAGTCAAGAGCTGCGGATGAATGCGGCGATCCTGCTGATTCAGTAGGGGTGATCGTCTTGAGTAAGGTGGCATAGAACTCGAGCAGACAGCGATGCATCAATACATCATCGGCAGTGTCAACCATGTTCGATGAGGCAAAATATAGTAGACCCTCTCCTTTGCCGTCGGTAAACCGCTTCTCGACTTCTGGATGATGTGCGTGTGTGATGGCATTCCAGTTCAGAGCACCAATCTCGGGCAACCATTCCAGCAGTCGAGCTTGTGCGAGCGTCTTCTGGCTCTTCGATAAGTCGATGCCTTCAACACTTTTCAAAGTGCAGACTGAGAAGATCAAAGCGTAGACATCTTGATCTCCGAATACACGCTTCCACATCAATCCTTGACTGTGTCCAGGAAGCGACTGTTCATCACCAGCTCCTGGAGGGACTGCATGGTCGACCTTCAGTAGAGCCAGCAGAACATCTCCAGCCTGCTTTGCAATTCCAGCTTCATGGGTACAAAGCCAGAGATTCACCAAAGCCGTGACCACTTCAGGTTGAGCAGCAATGGTTGCGGCATCCGTGGCGTTCGTGGCAGCTTTGTTCAGCAATGCCAGCATAAGGCGATTATACGGAACAGCAGCCACGTTGAGTCCGCCGACAAAGTCCACAGCAGCATTCAGGCCGAGTACATCCGAGAAGCTCAACGGCTCGAGTAGAAGTACCAAGAATTGAATTGGTTGCGTTGGGTCCTTTTGTAAAACCGGCAGTATACGAGAGAGTTGTGAGATGAGTGTGATAGAATCCTTCTTCGATATCCCGGGTGCAAGAGCTAGAGAGCATGATTCGAACAGACGTTCATCGATATCGGTGTTGATGGGGTCCGCTTCCAGCTGGCCAAGATGAGCTTGGAGACGCTCAAGTAGATCGTTAGAAGCCGCCATATTGACAACAGATGCGCAAAGAGTTCTGTCAAGTCGAGGACGCAGCCGCAAATTATTTGATGATATTTGATGACTTGTCGGATTTATGCGTGCGGTGTTGTAGCATTCCCAAGACGTCACGAGAGGCAAACGCGGGCAAACAGAAGCTCGTCACGTGCTTGGTCAACAATCAACATGGAAGTGAGCGAAGTGAAGTTTTGTGGTTCAGCATTTCTCATTTCATGCAATATGGATATAAAAATGTACATAATTCGTGCCGTAATTCAGTAAGGGTCGTTAGGAGTTAGGAGAGGATTGTCTAATCCCTCTCAGATATCAGCTGGATCGAAACCTCCCATTTGAGGCCGCCGGATCCGTAACCTCCACCAAGCCTGTTGCGTACAAGACTTGAAATTCTTTCTCTCGTTTTGGCCAAATCAAGACCATAGTCAGCTGCTCTATATCTCAGAGTCAAGTTGGCCATGCATAGTCCGTAGTGAACTTGCCAGAACTTGGCGTCCTGAACGGCTGAAACGGATTTATCGTTTTCGATTTCGGAGATAACGTCTTTGACTGTCGCGCTGCCAGCAGGTGCGGAGTAAGACATGAGTAGGATGGATGATAGGGAGGTGCCCAGGCGGACGCCAATGGCGATCATGGCAATTGCGATAGCGAAAGACATGGCGGCGTCAAACCACTTGTAGGCTTGGATACTGAGTAGGGGCAGCAGAAGTAGGAGTGTAGAGCAGGATAGAGTGATAAGATGGCTGGGGTTACTCAAGACAGTACCCCAGCATGCAATGAAATCAAAACGCATAGCCTTGCCAATGCGAGCGTGATTTTTGAGCACGACAGCGGAGATGAGGGTGACAACGATCGCAAGTAAAGCGGCGACATCAACAGATCCAGCTGAGATGCGACGGTGGGTATGAGAAGAGTGGGCGACGTGAGACCCAAGGTTTTCAAGAGAGTGCTGAATACCGTGTGACAAGACATCGAGACCCATGAAGCCAATGAAGACCGCAAGGCCGAAGCCTACGAGCACATCCAAACGCTCAAGGCCAAAAGGATGCTTGACACTGGAGCGCTTCCAGACTTCAAAGTTTCCCATGGTCTCGACCAAGACACAAGCAATAGCACCAGCAGCATCGAAGAAAAGTAGACGAGAGAGGGCGGTCATGGCAAGAGAACCCGAAGCACTCCATTGAACATATCCAGCGATCAAAAAGTGGCAGAAACACCATGCTAGGCGGGCCTTTTGGTTGGATGTCATGCTGTGTTGGACCTCATTGCGTGTGGGAACAGGGAGGGAAGCAGGTAATTGGAGAGGGGCGCGAGGAGCGGGTTCGATGAAGATTTGGTGGGAAACACTGGAGTGCTTGTATTTGTGACCACGACGTTTGCCAACATTGATGTCCTAGTTCGTGTTAGTTGTCTATTGCTTGCGGGCGTAGATGCATGTACTGACAGGCTTCGCGGGAGAGAGGGCAGCAGAGTATTGCTGGGTGGTAAAGTTGAATGGGTTTGCGGCAACTGGAGGCTCATCCTCTTTCTCTGAAGACTCGTCTGCTTCGCTGATGACGGTGTTGGGCGTGAAGGGGCTGTAAGGGTCGGCAGGTGTTGTGAGGGAGAAGGTGGGTGATATCAGATCGGTACGACCGGTGTTCATTGAAGTGCTCGCAGTGTCCGGAGGTGAAGAAGAGAGTCGGTCGAATGAGCCCGAAAGACGAGATCTGACAGGAGACTCGTTGTATGCGTGCTTGATGCGCAAGCCCGACTCTGCCATTTCAGGATCCATTTCGTCGTCGGATGTTGTAGGAGTCCTCGGAGGAATTGGCATAGGCAATTGGATGTCAGCCATGGCTGCTGTCGGCAAACAAAAAGAGCGTTGAGATAGTAAAAGCCGCGACTTCTTTGTCTAGCTGGGAGCGGATGTGGTGGAAGATTGCGGTCAAAGGAGCGACGCGGATTGTATGCGAGATGTAGAGTAGAGACAGTATCGAGGGCTGGTATGTGGATAGGGGAGTGGAACGGCGACTATCTTTGTACGTGCAGATCCCTGCAAAATACGCGCTTTCAGGGGGTTAGATGTCTCTCTGCGCGACACTTTTGACGTCGTGGGCCGTCACCGTTGGAACTTGGAAAGCGCGCGCCCTCCAAAGTCTCGTCTCGCCCTGTTCCCCCGCCCTCGGCCCGCTCTGAGCAGCACCCTGCTTTGACACCTTCCGTGCCGTCGGTCAACTCGATCCTGTTTCATAGAACGCGACTTCCTCCTTGAGAGAGCCCTTTGACATTTTTCTCGAGACCATGCAGTGGACATCGATTCCAACAATGACTTCTACCAATGCTTCTATTCTGGGAATACCATGACAACGGAGGGCAGAAACATGAACGGTGCAACTGAGACAGCCGTTGAAGACGAGCACTTGGCATGCACCGCGCTTCCGCCAGCTCCCAAGCACAAGCATCGGAGCCTCTCTGCTGGTCTTCTACAGCGATTCAACTTCCTGTCTCGTCCGGCGCCTGTCGAACTGTCGACATCAGCTCCTGCTGCAGTTGGCCTTCCAATGCAAGCAGAAGATGAATCGACCCATCTGTCTCGTCCTCTCAAGGCGCGTAAACGCAAGGGTTCGCTGAGGAAAACGGCCTTGCTGGGTCCTGGTCGCGTCAAGCAAGACCCTCCTGCCACCGAAATATTCAGAGTTGCCCAAGACGCTCAGTCCGACGATGCCATCCGATCCATTGACGACGCTCTGCACGATGCTCTGGCTGCCGAAGACTTGCACCAACCTCGCCGATTGTCTCTCGTCTCGGAACACTCGCCCAACTCGTCACCGCCCTCGATCCCTCCTCCGCCTGTGCATCCAGACTTGGGCTCGCCCATAATCAGTCCTACGAGTCAGAGTTATGCCTCGACCACCGACGATGACGACCTTAGCATGGCCGCTACCGTGACACGTCCAGCTTCATACTTTGACCCCCGTCCCGTCCTTGACGTTGTCCGCCGTCGCTCATCCCAGAAACATGCGCCGTCTCCGCTGTCCGCCGTACCAGTGCTAGCACACAAGGCAGATGATGCCTACGATTATGCCGAGACAGAACGCTGGGGATGGGTTGTACTGGTCGTCACTTGGGTTGTCTTTGCCGTGGGTATGGGAAGCTGTCTCGGTGTTTGGAGCTGGGCTTGGGACGTTGGACAAACTCCCTATGCGCCGCCTGAACTCGAAGACGATCCGACGTTGCCCATCGTTGGCTACTACCCCGCCTTGATCATCTTGACTTCAGTCATGGCTTGGGTTTGGGTTGTTGTAGCGTGGGTCGGCATGAAATATTTCAAGCATGCAAAGATACAAGGCGATGACTGAATGTTCTGCTTGCTCCGCTTGCTACTATAATCTGCTCTGTGTTTTTCAAATCTTTCATCTCGGTGGTCATCACGGCCAGCTTTTCGCTTTGGTCGGATGAAAGAGACGACAGGAGCTCGGGCGCGATTCCCATCCAGGCTCGTGTTGGTGCCACGAGTGTTCAGTCATAGATGCCACAAGGGTTTCTCGTCACCTTCATGCTCTGCAAGCATTCACAATCACTGCCCCATACTCCTCGTCTCGACTTCGAACACAATTCGACTATTCACTCCACCTCCACTATCGAATACGACCTCATTCTTCTGCCAGCCGCAGACATGCCAACAAACATCCTCACGCTCCCCCCCGAGCTTCGCATCATGATCTGTGAAGAGATACTTCCCGACATAACCATCGCATCCCACCTACCGCTTCCACCGATTCTCCTTACCCACCCCACCATAACGCAAGACATCTATCGGCTCTGCCAAATTCGTCTGCATGTCCATCTCATATCGACACACAAATGCAGACAAGCCAACATCGACAGAATCAAAGCTTTCGAAGAAGTATTGGGAAGAAAGGGGATGGTTCTGGTGCTACAGCCTTGCGTCAAGGATCTATGGGGGAGGCGGGTGACTGTGACTAAAAAGCAAAGTCCAAGTCTCTGGAGTGGAATTATCGAGGTCTTTGGGGAGAGTGCTGTCGAGGGTTATCGGAAGATGGGGATACATGCTATCGTCGCGGACAAGTGACGGTACACTCTTGCTCGATCGTTCAGTTGCAATGTTGTAACCAGTATTCTGCGGTGAAAGAGCAATTCTTCCTACCTCTTCCGACCGCATGGCCTAGCCCGTCTCAAACGTATTCCCAGAACCCACTGCAACCTCCTTTCGACGGCCCCCGTTCCAAAAAAAAATCACACAACTCTCTCCCACCTTTTGTGATTATGAGATCCACTCCACAATCTCTAGAGGTATCGACATTCTTTGCCTTTCACTGCTAGTCATTTCCCGATAGGTCTTGCTCGTTTTCTGCCTCAATGACTCTGATCCGTCAACCAGGATCAACAATTTTATCGCCACGGGAATTCCCCTTGCTTGCTGGAAGTCTAGATACGGTGACACATCGTAGCGTGATTGCTGGTATCTATAACTTCGATCCTCTAGGGGTGACATATATCGCCTCCCCCGTCGCACACACCTTCACCTCCCCATCCAATTCCTCCTCCTGCCCGACCTTCTGTCCGACCGTCGCAACCATTTTAATCCCTCTCCCCTTTCTCTCCACCACTTTCACTTTGACAAGTATAATCCCAGGCGTCTTGATAGGACTCTTGAATTCCACATTCAGACTCTTTGTAAATGCTTCCACGCCCGATGCGATCTCTCCTGATGCATGACCAGTAGCTACACGACCGAGATGCAAGCGTTCAGATTGGAGTTGCAGTAGCATTCCCATGGCCTCGTCGATAATCGTTGCAGTGATGCCGCCGTGGAGGATAGATGGGTAGCCGTTACATCCATCTTCTACTTTCAGCAGCACATTTATCGCATTGACTTCTGCGTCTGCGAAACAAGGGCGGGGATAGTAGATCAAGCAGTGGGGGATCGTGGATGAAGTCGCGAGGGTACCGGCGATCAGTGAGTCCTCGCCGGTAAGAGGTTTCGGCGTGCGTGAGAAGGGGTGGGCTGTGCGGACGCTGGGGGAGGCGAGGAGGCGAGATGTCCATGGGATCGAGGTGAAGAATGCGTGAGAGGTCGACGCCATTGTGTAGTTCTTTTTGCTCTTCTTATTCGTCCTTGAGGGTGGTCGAGTTGCTGAAGCTAGCTCAAATGGTACGTTGTATGCTTGGAGCTCGGTCTGGGTCGAGCGAAGGTTGCGTTGCGATTGAGATAAAGACAGTGGAGTTGTAAAAGCTGTCAAGGTGGTCTTGTACAGAAAGAAGAGGAGCTGGAATTGGATAGGTGCATGTTTGCGGTGAGCGGTACAAGGTTACTTCTAACTTTCATTGCATGTGAAGTTGAGCGCCGAGGCCAAGGGTCCTTCCCCCGCTGTCGATCTCAGGGGTCATCGGAAAGATGGCGCAAGCTTCCAAGCTTCCTCCTTCCAGACCTGGAGCTCCTCATCGAAATCAGAAGGACCGAATGAGATGTAAAAGGGTTGAGCAGACGCCTTCCCTTGATTGTTGCAAGCCGAGGCGATAGAATAACTACAAGCAAGGTATTATACAGTGAAAGACTGACTACAAACACATTGATACAAAGAAGGGGGTATCGAGAGCAAAGCGAAAGTGTTCCTCCAAATTGTGAATCCCTCAAAAAGCCATATAACGACAGAGAAGCAAGGTAAAGAGATTGCTGTTATCATCCATTCTTCTCTCCTCCTCATCTTCCAGGGTACTGATCATGTCTGCTGATCATACTTTCCAGCGTAGCAGTATGCGTAAGAACATGCGTCAAGTCGTCGTTTGCCAGCGACTTGCTACGCATGGGCTCAAGCGCTTCTCCATCCATGCCACCACTGGGCCCACTCTCGGACCTTGAGCGTGAAGGATCGGCAGCAGCTGGTGACAGCCTCTCCATACTCTTGCCTGAGAACAAGCGCGTGAGCTTTGGCCTAAGAACTCCGAGCAGTTTTCCCTTCTTCGGTGTCTTTGGTGGTGAGACAGTCGGCTTGGTTGACTCCTGCGCGCGAGGCAGAGGTTGTGCGAGCATAGTGTGAGAGGCGGTCTTGTGGATGATCGGGTTGTGATGGTCAGACATCATAGCATCATAGCCATGACTACCCTTCCATTGATCAGTGACATTGTCCATAGCCTCCTGTGCCGCAGTACTATATTCGGGATACAGAGTTTCGGACGCTTCGACCAGGAGAGATAACTTCAGAGTGTCACGGATAGTGGCATTCATGTCTTCGCTAGGATGCCATCCCATGGCACGTACGTCGTATCGCATTGCCTTGTCGACTCTTGTTTGCGTATCCATGAGCTGAACCAGGTAGTCCACCTTCTCGCGGATGAGAGCACAAAGTCCGGTTGCTTTGGCCACATCCATGATTTGCCAAGCGCTCTTCTTGTTCACACCAAGATGTTTGTGAATCTTTGCGTGGGGATATGCGACCACGACTTCTTGCAGCAATTCCAACTTCTCACGGAATGCTTGCAGTCTGAAAGGATTGGGAGCCAGCATATGGTTCTCGCGCACTTTTGGTGAGCCTTTGAAAAGATCCAGTCCATAGGTTTGCAACATCTTGGCTTTCGTCAAATGTGTCATAGGGCTGGCGATAGCGTGCAAAGAGTCTTCCACACGCTGTCTAAAGCGAGGGTCATCCAATCGGGCATCTCGAGTGCCAAAGTACAAGGGCCTCTCAGGTTCTGGGTTCAATGCGCCAGGATGTTTTGGAATGGCGGATGTAACGCCGGTAGAATTTGGTGGTGAGCAAATTCCCACAGCATCTCCCCAAATAAGAAGGCGTGCTTGTTCGATGCCCAGTTGTGATGTAAGAATCTCTTCACTGTGAGATTCTTCGTGGGTTCCATGGATCAAGTTGATAGACTCGACACAGTCCGCGAAGAGGTCAGCGAGAGAGTATGCGTCAGTCAACGACTTTCCGCTCTCGTGATGGTCCATTGTCGATTACTTGAGTTTCTTCAGTATCAATATTGTAGCTCTCGTAAATTCCTGGTCTTCTGGTTTGAAAGTGGTCGCGAGCTGATTATTTTTGGTCTTCGCAGGCAACTCCACAAGATTCTGCTATGACATCGGCGGCGCGTAAGATTTCGATTCTTCAACTTGCAGGAAGGTGAGATGTTGGTTGAAAACAATTCGATGGGCACGTAAGATGATAAGACCCAGCCATCTTCTTATATCATTGGGACGCTAGCACAACTGCTAGGGAGACAACATTGTGGGGAGTTGAGAAAAACTTCCACCCTGTTGGAAGGCCAGAGCTTCTCAGCCAAAAGTTTGCTGTGATTATGTCTTGGCAAAAATCACCGTTGGAGCTGTATGTACTCGCGACCCTGTCGCTGACTTTCTGACCGCGTCTTTTAGCTATCAGGAACTCATTCGACATTCTCGTTGTGTGTGGCCAGCTAGCCGCCTCTCTGTAGCCATAATGTCTAGAGTATGCGGGCGCATGCAGGACCGACACGTGATGCTGGATGTCGAACCGCCACGATGAACCTGCACAGGAGATCTGCGCCTCGCATGAAATCTACAAGTCCTCCATGATCTTCTATAGCACATTACCGCATTGAACCTCCCTACAAGCGGTCGGCTCCCTCAATTCGGCAGCCTTCATCGCGGCTTGGTGTTTGTGCACCATTACGGAGCCTCTGCGGTTCATTGGATGATGGAGAACTCAACTCACCGCGCACTTTTGCTGCCCGAGATAGTCCACGACATCTTGGTACATGTCGACCAGAGAACCTTGGTTCACTTTACATCGTTCGTCAACAGGTTGTTTAATGTCGAAACCTCTGCTGTTCTCTGGCGCAACCCCTTCTTCGATGTTCCGACAGTGCTGGACTCTGTTGAAGACATAGAACGCGGACAGCATCTTGCAAACAGAATTCAGTCAATGACACTTCGCATGAACATACTCAACGAAGACCAATTTGACAACCTTATGAGGTTCTCTTACCCAAGTCTTGAACACCTCAAAGTGGTCGATCTAGAACGCTCAGAGGAACCAGTCAATATCGAACGACTTTTCGAGAAAATTCCAAACCTGCTTTATTACAAAGATTCAAACCCGACCGGAGCTACATTAAGTATGCTTGAGCATTGTTGCCCTAAGCTTACCAGAATTGAACTCGACGAGCGTGACAAGATGACTCTAGACAGCACCTTATCAATTTTCCACAGTCATCCACACCTGCAATTCATCTCCCTTAGGACCCCCTGGTTGGAAGCAGACCAAGCGGACTTTCTTCTGCGCAACATTATGCAGTACACAAATCCAATCGAACTGACTGTTGGCCGCGGACCCGTCACGGTCGAAACTGCCAAATGGCTGAGAGACAGAGAAGGTATCGATAAGATATGCCGACTGAGCACGAAAGCTGGCTTCCGTGTAATGATGCTTCTGCTACCAGCTATGGTCTCATTGACGGATCTCACGATTCGCGTCTTTGGTCAATTTGATGTGGTCGAACTTTTTTGGGCTCTCGCTACTCATCAAAAACTGCGAAGGCTAACTCTGAACAACGTATTACTCGAAAGTCACTTGCAAAGAATGGTCCATGATTCTCTTGTGCTCTCGATGATTCAGAAACTGGAGCATCTAGATCTGGAAGTGACTTCTGGAGCAGCTTCCACACTACCCTCAATCTTCCAGACTCGTGGTCAATCCCTCAGGAGCCTGTCTCTCACAATATCGTATGAGGATCGAGAAACTGGGGATGCACATATCATACAGTTCTACAAAGGATTGGCTGAAATGAATCCATCAGGACTGCAAAAACTTACCATACAACAACCGCGGCAATCGACCGTTAACTGGAATGAATTAGCCAATTGTGTTACTAGCCTTCCAAGCCTCAAAAGCTTGGTGATCCATCTGGGGTGGCTGCCTCGAGCATCTGTCGTACCAGATACTATGTGGCGCGCCTTGGGCAGCAATAAATTAGTAGAACACATCTGGCTCGACCATGCAAGACTGAACATCGACCTTTGGACGAACATAAACACTCCTCTATTCCCCGAGCTTCTCTTCCTCAGAATTGACAGTTTCTCCTCGACCAGCGAGGCGGATGGTTGTTCGCATGCAGAGGTGGTGATGCGTCATTGTCCAAATCTGCGCGCTTTACGATGCAACGGCATCTCGGAATATTCGACAGCTATTCGCCGTATGATATCCGAGCGCGATGCAAGACCTCAGTGTTATCAAATTTGGGACGAAGATTATACTTAGACTTGACCTCGAGAGACCGAGACCATAAACATGGTAAAAGGGTCGTGGAGTGCTATGGTATACTGTCTATGGAAAGCTGCTCAGCTATTTGCTGATTCTGTAGGATGTCAACGCGACCCACGGGAAAGGTCTAGATGTGTCTGACAAAACATCTCAATCCAAGGACCATGTCTTCCACCACGAGAGAATCGTCCATCTACGAGCCCACGTCGGGATCAACGCCTCCACCTAAAGTCTCTTCTCCTGTCCAAGGCTGCTGAATGAATCCATATGGTACCCTTCCTTCGTTTCTGCAGCGTCTGCACACTTGCATCTCACAGCCAGGACAGTGAAGGGTGCGGCGAGAGTCTGTTTCGCAGACCGAGCAGGTGGCAGTGCCTTGATGGTTCCACCACTCTGGATGAAGGCATGCGGTGGGGTCGTCGGCGAGCTTCCAGGGATCATCTTCGGTTGTGGTAGCTGTAGGTGGAACTACTGGTGCGTCAGGTCGGGGATCGTGGTGAGCAAGCATTTGACGGAGTCCTAGATATTGCTGAATATGACGGGGAATACCTTGGAGCCTTCGCCCGGTTATGACGTTGGCGTCGTTGGGATCTAGGAGCCCAGGCAGGTCGATGAGTATTATGGCGGGTACCTCGGGATCTCCAGTAAGGACTTGGTCTTCCGCAGGCTCATTTTCTCCGTTTTCTCCAACACCCTCCTCGCGATCTGCGTCCAGTTCGGGTGGATGATATCCCCAATTGAGTTCGACGTCCTGCAAGCGTGCCGCTGCTTGAAGCTCTGCATGTCTCATGGCCTCGATATGGTTTTGATAATCCTCATAGCCCGCGAGAATGACGTGTAGTGGCGGGCGTCCTTCTTGCGGGTGAGGATTGTCATGAACAAACTCAGCGATTCGTTCATTGCGGCGACGCAGTCTTTCCAGATAGCCAATTTCAGGCTGCTGTCGATCATGCCAGGGAAGGCGCTGACCAAGCGCAAGTTGTATGTCCTCCGGAGGAACTTCTAGCTCCAGGGCCGGACCCCGTATAGCTCTCTCTCCCGCTCCTTCGTCCAGTCCGAGACCTTCGAAATCACCTCCTTGTAGAAGCTGGGCTTGTGCCCTCACGTGCTCGTCGAGGATTCTTTGGCGTTCGGCTTGGTCCATAGCAACAGGCCAACCATGTTCGTCTCGGTCTTGCCACTCATCTACCGGGAGTCCTCTCAGTCGTGATCCATCAGCAGGTCGTCGATAGAACCTATAGTTATAAATGATCTCTCCGTCAGTGTCAGGATCAAAATCACGATCGTGGGCTTGTCCTCTAATCTCGAGGGTGCAAGGGCAAGTGTCTCCATCTTGACTACGTCTGCCGCAATTGTAACAGAATCCAGCGCCGCATCGACAACTGAACTTCATGTTAGCTCATGTGTCAATTCTAGCGTCAACATGTTGGACTTACTCAATATGGCTGCAACCATCCAGTCTTTGGACCACGCGAAGACAATTGTAGCAACGCTGCCAGCGCATCTTTTCTGCGTGTTCGAGGAGCGCCTTCAATTTCTCATCTGCCGGACAGTCACCAGGATGAGTGGGTGCCTTACAGACAACACAGGTCTGTTTACCGCAACCATCGCATACTGCTGCATCGCCATGGATATCCGAAGGAGGGATGAAAGTCGAGCAGGTTGGGTCTGAGCAGTATGTTCGGTCAACAGTACTGAACTCGACGCCCTTTTCGTTGAAGGTCTCGACCATTCCAGGTTCCAGGAACCTCTTTGCATGTTCGATGGGTAGTGGTGTATTTTCGCAGCAACTAGGTGGATAGAGCGACTCGTCAAGCACGGCTGCATTGAATACCATGTCCAGACATGTCCCACAGTAGCAATGTCCACAAGTCGCGAGTATGAGATCCTTGGGCGGCAGTTGATCTTCACATGCCACGCACTCCACAAGCGCTTTGCCGTTGTCATCAGAGGTCTTGTGTTTGGGCGTGTCAATGTTCAGAGAGTCTAGGAATTTGGCGAGTTTGTCAATATCGTGCGGTCCGAGTGTTGAGATTGCCAGTTCGGCGACCAAGGAGTCGTAGTTGCCTCTCGTGGCGAGTCGGACCATGACTGCTTGGAGCATTGCTTCCTCGTCCGGCGCGGCTTCGATAACGGTCGTTACTTCCGAAAACGCAAACTCGGGAGCTTTGTGATGTTAGCATAACTCAAGCATTAAATTGTTGTCCCTCGCTAAGGCTGGGAGGTCGGTTCAGCACAAGTGGAGGTGTAGCACTTACCAGGATCTCCTGAGATATCGTCTTCGTCGTAGCCCAAGTCTTGCAGCTCGGCAAGCAGAGCTAGACGCCTTCTGGCATGGCGTGCATCTTCTCTCGAGATACGGACGGCGATATTGAGGACTGACTCCTCTAAGCCTTGCTCAGTAGGTGAGAGTCGATCTAGTCGTTCGTGTAGTGGCTCCATATCTGGCAGTTATGGTGTGCGAACCCTGATATCCACTGATGTTGATATTGCGGAAGAGAAACGAAGGGGACACCAACAACAATAAAAGAACCGAGATCAGGCAGTAGTGAGAGTGAGAGTGAGAGTGAAAGTGGAAGTGAAACTGAATGCGGAAGAATCTTCTGGGCGTATCAATGACAGCCAACACTCACTGGAGTGGAAGGAAATTGTTGTTCAATTCACGCAGTTTGCTCCATGCACCAGACGTTCGAAGTGATCCAACCGACTGAAATGCAAGATGACATTGAGATTCAGAGAGGGTCCGCTGAGAGCTCAATTTGTTCGCTCTCTCACCGGTCCAACTCGGAATTCCCAATGTCGTCTTGCATCTTAAGAGCTAGCAACAGTATCCTCTCGCTGTATAGGGAGCGATAAAAGTCAGGATAGATTGTAAGAGAACCTCATGTCCTTGGGTCAATGTCTCACTTCCAGCAGCTCCTAAGTCACTTTCAAGACAGGGACATATGTCTCACAGAGACTTCTATCCTTAACGAAAACCATGTCACCTTACAGAACAGACAGATACCAACGCAGGTTAATGAGTCAGATGGTAGGAGACCGAGTAGCACGGTTGGAAGATACGAGGTGTATGATCAGTCATTCCAATTTCTGCTTTGTTTAAGATATCACCGGTGCAGCGTTCGAATATGTGAGCATAGGGACACTCTCATCTCTCTATCATCCTCATCTACTCTGCTTCCTTTGTTTGAGCAGAGGAAAAGGCAAAGCATTGGTTGCGAGGATTGAATGGTCGCGGAAACGTAAATCACACCTTTTCCTGCCAATGGCATCCAGACATGCACCACAACTTCTCCATGCATATTCCGCTCGATCGTTCTTACAGCACGTGTCGAATCAATTACAACGACATAGCCTGCAAACTTCAAGTCCATCTCCAGCTCCAAGATCTAGAAAATCACAAACACAATCCGCACACCCCCTGAATCGAACCCCAGTCCTCTGCCTCAAGACCATATAACCTCTCAAGTTGGATTTACTACCATAATCCGCCGAGTTGGCGCAATGGCTTAACCACCAACTCATGATTTGTCAAAACTCATCCGAAGTTTTCCTGCCGTGTAGTCTTAAATCAATTGGAGCCAGAGAAATAGCCGTTCTCTGGTGGCAAAGATCAAGGAAGTTTCGTCTGAAGGGTTTTCCCAGGAGCTCAAAGGGTTCTGGTTTTTTTGCTGGTTGTGGGCAGGGGATGTGATGGTTTGTTTTGAGGAAGGGGGGAGAATGGTATGGTTGGTTGGAACATCTCTCTGTCTCTTTTTGCAAGTGGTTTTGCTGCCACTTCAAGCATTAGTGATAGCAGCTCTGATCGCTTCGGTGCTATCGTTCGGACTACTGCTTCACATATCACCAAGGTAGAGTTCGAGCGAATTGATTTTGAAGAAGTCATTGTGTCTGAAATGTTTGCATGTTTTTGTCTCTCCGATGTTTGTGCTTTTGTACATTCAGTCTCCTCGCTCGCCCATGTTGATCGTGCTTTCCCTTCTGAATGATGCTTCTGCTTTTGTGGGCTCCACTACAAGTACATGATTTCCCGCTGCCACTTTCCCATCATGATCTCCGCCCGAAAGTTGGGAACAATCGTCATTGGGATTCCTTGCTCCTGCCGGATAGTTGACACGACTTTAGATCTCAGCATCGTTGAGGTCAGCGAAGCCATAGAGGTCGGTAGCGGCCTCCTTCTTGATCTTGACTCCCTTGTCCTCGTCTCCAGGGTGTTCAGTAAGATCGATGAGGCCTCCCTCGATCTTAGCACTCTTACCCTTAGCTGCCTTCTTGTGAAGAGCTTCAAAGTCGATGGCGTCGCCGAGATCCTCAGCCTCGTCTTCCGGCTTGGGTTCCATCTTTCTCTTCTTGGGGGCGTGGGTGGGAGTGGCGAAGTCTTCTTCGTCATCTTCACCGTTGTCTTCCATGAGAGTTGTGCGGGTGTGGGTGGCTGAGAGACCGTTGAGGTCTTTGCCCTTACCCTTGCCCTTGCCATTGGAGGACTTGGAAGGAGTACCAGAGAACTTGGCCGCATGGGCCTTGCGGGATTTGGGGGTTGCGATGGTGGAAGAAGGAGACACACCAGCGCCCTGGGCACGGATCTTGGAGAGACGATGTGTGATTGCCTTGGGAGTGCAGTCTTTGGAAAGATACAAGTCAGTGTGAGGGAAAAAAAAGGAAAGTATTGAGAAAGAAGATTTACCAGATCCCATCATTTGGGCAATCTTGTCGTTCTGGGCTCCGCTAATCTTGATATCATAGACAGCCATGACAACGGTGAACAACTGGATACTCGGAAGTCAGTATCTGTTGGTGAAAGAAAGAGAGGAGAACAATTTACCTTTGCGTCAGCTGCGGCATCCCAAGTCATAGGCATCTTTGCGGTAGGTTGTTGGGTCTTGTGTGACTTCTTTGGTGTTGGTGTTGAGTGTCCGTGACCTTGGAACAAAACCGGAAGTCAAAGCAGACTTTAGTGTTTTGTGTTGTGCGTGAGACAAGAGTGTCAGAGTATTGACGTGTGAGAAGGATGTTTATAAGTCTGTCGATGGGTGTTGGGTGCCTTCCTGTCGAATTCGATCGAGTCGTCGTCGATTCGACGTCGAGGTAGAGCGAGGTGACTTCGCTTTGCGTATGTGTGGGAAGAAAGTCGTAAGAAGTGAAGGTCACGTCGAATATGGCCTCTATCTTCCAAGAAGAAATACGGAAGACTCGAGATGAAAAGATGTGATAAAGAACACTTGCTTGGGTAGTGACGAGTCTTGAAAAAGAAAGCGAACAAGAATGAGAATAGAGAGGGAGGTTGGAGAGACGGTAGAGAGAGATGGAACAGGAGCGGAGAGATCAATCAATGATGGTGATCGGAGTGAAGTGGAGCTTGTGTTGCGACTTCGAAGGGAACGTCGAGAAGTAGTGCTACTGAATTTGGCGAAAGGAGGAGGATAAACAAGAAATACACTCACATAGATGTTGAAGATGATGGAAAAACTGAATCGTGGTATCTTGTACTCAATAGACATATACATTCAAAAACTACCTCTCGCAATGCAAACATTCCTTCTTGAAAACACTGATGATGAAACGAAATGATGTACATCAAATTCATCTCCTGTGTGGAGGAGGTGGGAAACCTCCACCATATCCTCCTGCGGACGATCTACCCATCATGCCGCCAGGGTTGCGGTAATCATAACGTGATCTTTCTTCCTCGTCTTGCATGCGCCTGACGTGCATCTCCTGTTCATATCGCTCCCTGTTCGTAGCATCACGGTAGCTCTGATCAGCCTCGATGCGTGCCTGCTCTCTAAGCGAAAGCATTTGAGGAGGTCCCGAAAGTGGCTGCTGCTGGAATGGTTGCGGTGTACGGTGTTGACCATACCGTTGTTGTTCCTGCTGTTGCTGTTGATGATGTGCTTGGTGGTACTGCGCTTCGCGTTCCTTGTACTGTCGGTCCATATCCATACCCATACGGTGCTCGCGCTCACGGCTCATGTGAAACTCCCTCTCCTGTTGCTGCTGCTGCTGTTGTTGTCTCATCATTGCCATCTCTTCGCCTCGACTGGGCTGTCTCTGGTGAAGGCCTCCGTGCGATGACCCACCAGAGCTGTTATGACGATGACTGAACTGACTCTGCTGATGATTGTGCATCTGCTGCATGTGTGTCGGACCGGCATGAGCCTGGGAGTAGGGGTTGGACTGCATGATCTGAGCCTGAGCTTGAGCGGTCTGAGCCTGCGCCATATGTGACATGGCAGCTGGACCTTGTGGTTGTAGCTGACTGGGCGTCATCGGTCTGCCGCCAATCGAGGGGGTTCGAGAATGACTCATATAAGGGTGATTGTTAGGTGGCGGCGATGGGTTCGCTCTTGACTGCGGGTTAAGACTGCCGAGATTGGCACGATGCGAGTAGTAAGGACGGACATCACGTTCAAGAGGTGCCGGTGGGTGAGGTGAGCTGGAGGTCAAGTTCTGACCCATGGGAGGTCTTGATTGCCACTCTGCTTGTCTTGAGCCGACCGGCGTACCTGATCTACCAGGCATAAGGTCATGTTGAGCAGACGGAGTTGGTGCATGCGAGGTAGGCTGGTAGATTGAGCGTGTTTCGAACTCCTGCCTAGAAACAGGTGTCTGGTTGAACACCTCTCGCCTGGGAGGGTAGATCGATGCACTTGGCCCAGAAGGTGCGACACTCAGAGTTGACGGTGTGGGCGACTGTGTGAAAGGCGTCACACCCTGATCGCTAACTCGTTTCTTTTGGCGGGGTTCTTCAGGTTCAGAATTGAGCAAGGATGCCAAGTTCGACGTCTTACGAGGCTCGGCAGGAGTTCCTGTAGTCAGGGATGTAGCAGGTTTGGCGACAGAAGGAGCGGGTGACGGCGCTGGCACTGATCCTGGTCGGTACAACTGCTCTTCTCTCTTTGGAGGAGATGGTACATGAGCAGACCTGAATGGTGGATGCATCGTGACCGTCGGAGAAGGCATTGGACCAGGAGAACCAATGATGCTACGGAACATGGATGGTCCAGCGCGCTGATGTGGCATGGAAGTCATACCAGGAGTTCCAGAACGTTCTTCCCTTTCCAAAGGTCTGTCCAGCATTGACAGCTGAGGAGACGCGTTCGGCGCAGAAGTTTGAGCAGCAAGAGGCTGGAACATCGAATGTTGAACCACCTGCGGCACATGCTCTTGGGATGCTCGCTTTTGGATCGACAGAGCACGCTCTTGTTCTTCCTTCAGATTCTTAACAAATTCAGAAGTCAAGTTCGATAGATTCTGGTGCATGAATCCAGGTGGCGTCGGCTGCTGTTGGTGCATCAAAGAAGGCGATGGTTGCTGAGCAGGACGTTCCGAAGACTGCAGAGTTGGTCTTCTCTCCATTCTGGACTCTGAAAAGAAGCCCATCTTCGGGCCGGATGTCGAGTTGGTGCGGACTTGCGAAGAGAGACTTGGCTTGCCGAGAGCGGGTGAGCCATGCGGCGGCTGAATTGGAGTAGGCGCAGCTCTTTGTGGAGGTGCAGAAGTCGGCTGCATAGAGGTCGAGAAACGGTATTGATGTTGGTATTGTGATGAAGGCTGTGAGATGGGGGTAGGTTGTGTTGCTGGAACCGGATCGATGTCCATGACCTCACCCTGTGAACCAGAAGCTGTACGTGGAAGAATTGGACCTGGGTTGTCGTAGCGTCGTTTGTTGATGGGCGTAGGTGTTGGCGGAATGCCCATGTCTTCTCCTCGATCACGACGAGCGTTAGCAATGTTAGCAGCCTCAACAACATCAGGACGGTTGCCACTCTCGACAAGTCTTTGGTAATAATTCTTGACCTGATGAGTCGTGAGTAATTGATTGTCGTGCATGGAAAGATGTCAACGTACCATAGTTTGAGTCTTAGTGCCCATATGATTGGCAATAGCGCCAAAATCGGTACCGAAATGAGCAATGAACTTAACAAAATCGGTCTGCTCTGGTACAGACCAGTAGCTCGACGCGCTGGATCTCGATATCGAAGACTGAGTAGGAGCGCGAGTTCTTTCCGCAGTATCATTGGCAACGTGGGTTGGGAACGGCTCATTGGCGTACTCTACCGGCTGAGGTCCTTGCATTAGCCTGTTGTTTCCAGTGGCTAAGTCAGTCAGAAGAGAAGCCTCTTCTAGGCGCTGTTGGTGTGCTGCAAGATCCTCTTTGCTGAGAACAACATCTTTGTCAGTGCCAGCAGGCGAAATAACAGAAGTCGAGGCGGAAACAAGAGTTTGTCTGCCTCTCTTTGGCGGCTTGTCACCAGCGGCTTGCGTCTTTCGGCGTTTGGCAGGCTTCTCGGAACCATTCTCACCACCTGCAAGTACTTTCTTGCTAGTGGTCGTGACAGCAGCAGCAGTTTTGACCTCAGGATCTTTCTCGGCAGTATATGCAGTACGAGTTGCGGCACGTCTCGGTCTTCCAGTCTCGGTGAGCATTGGTCCAGAGGAGCTGTCTTCTTCGCCTTTGCCGAGATCGGCCATGAGTGGTGCAGCTCTTGCGCGAGCGCCAGCCTTACCACCGCGACCTCTGGTACCCTTCGTTCTACGTTTGGTCTTTTCCTTGAATCGGCCATCCCACTTGTACTTATAATAATGATGAATGCAATCAGCATATGATCGACCAGGAAGCTGAGCGGCGATTTCTCCCCATTGCTTGGGCCTTTCCTTAAAGAGATCCACGAAGCGTTTGTGCTCGGTTTCGGTAAATGTGTCGAATTCAGGTTCGTATCCATAGATATCCGTCAGACAGATAGGGTCGCGATAGCGGTTCATGTTTCTGAAGATGTGCTTTTCTTTCGAAGCATCATCCCACATGTCTGGTGGAATAGCCTCTTTCTCGAGATCGATCTGAGCTCTTCTAGACTCTCGCTCAACCTTCTCCTGCTCAAGTCTGGCCGTCTCTTCTGACTGCTTCAGTACTTGCTGGATATCATATTCGCTGCTAAACTTGTGCAGTCTGGACCGAGACTCGGAGATTGGGTTCTCGAGGATTGGACTTGACTCAATGTCGAGACCGAGTTCGACAGACATCTGTCTCTCTTCAGACTCTTTACTCGCTCGTTCGCGATCAAGCAGCTGAGTTTCGACCCTCCAAGCGCGATATTTCTCAAGGTACTGCTCATGGAGGTTTTTCTGCAGAGACTTCTCTTCGTCTGCCTGTGCTTGGTAATGCATGATCAAGGCAGGCTTCGCAGCGTTCAGGCGTGCAAGGTTTTCGTGGAAAGCCCCCAACTCTGAAAGTGGAGTGAGCGGTGCCTTTACCAAATAAGGAAGATTGATTGTTTCGATGCTTCGCTTGGGTTCTGGTGTAATGTAGTCCAGCTCGTCGCTGCCATCCATATCGATGTCCTCGGTATGGTCAATCTCGGCGGTCTCGGCGGTTTCGAAAACCCTGTCCCCTCCCGGATGTTGAGAGCGTGGAATAGCCACTGGTTCGACTTCTTCAATTTGCTCCTTCTTGGGTGTGATGAGATCCGGCTCAGCATCCTCATGGGCTCTTGAAGATGCCGGACGCAACGGTGAGACAGCTGGTGCAGGCACTTCAGTCTTTTCCAACCCTTCCATAACATCTTCCTTGCCTTCTGAGGATGTCGAAATTTGGGCCAAGGGAAGATCCTGGACGGTGATCTTGGCAAGTCTAGCGATTTGTTCCAACGGAGTAGTTGCTCTGTACTCTCTTGCGCTGAGATCAATCATCTGGGCTTCCAGATGTGCCTTTTGGCGTTCAAACTTCGCCTTGCTCTGTGCAAAGTCTTCCTCATCTAGATCCATGCCTTCTTCATCACTGATATCTTCCTCTGAAGACTCGGCTGTTGCCATATCGGCGTCTACCACAGGGTCAGATTGCGGATCAGCTGGACTAGGTACGCTATATTCCTTCTGGAAAGGAGGATGTTCTTCACGAGTGGTCATGTTGGCGTCAGACATTCTGCGCTCAGGCGACGCAGGAGCGGTCTTGAAGGCACGGTCGTCTCTAGCGTCCTCAACTCTCATGGACGAAGGATCCGAGATTTGGCGATGCATGCTCTGAGGAGAGGCTCTTTGCATAATTTGTTGAGACTTCTCATCACCATTCAAGTCTCTCTTGGCGGGTACTGTAGGCTCTCTGTATTGAGGGGCACCAGGACGAATCCACTGGTTCCAAGCAAGAGCTCTTGGGGCCCCTGGGGGTGCGCGTGATACAGCGGGACCGTTCCTGTCCATAGGTCTGTGTGGTGGTTGTCCACGGTCCACCGAAGCACGAGGTGCCATAGGTGGTGCTCGAATGGCCTTAGGTGCAGTCGGTACGTTCGGATTTTGCATGACAGGTGATGTGCTGAATGAATGTGCATTGCGTGGGCCGCTGGGGGCGGTCGGAGGCGGCGTTCCAAGCCTTGGAGGTGCCATATCGACTCGAGATGCTCTTCCATCTTGGTTGTTACCAGGCGCAGGCTGCTGCATTTGAGAAACAGACATCTGGTTGGTCATATTGTCCATAGGCTTTACTGGAGTCATTTGAGCAACCGGGGGTCCAGATGTTCGAGGTGAGGTGGGTGTGTTGTTCATGTCTGGCTGGAAAGATCCCGAGAGACTACGCCCTTCACGCACTGCGGCCGGGGCGAACTGTCCACCCGCCCTCTCGTCTGTTCGAAGCGCCCATGGTGCTGTAGGGACGGGAGGTTGGGGTGCGGACGAATTCCTTGCCTTGGGTGCAGAAGGCGTTCTGTCCAACGGAATGTCCCTCGGAGCTGTGGGAGGTGCATTCTCCAACGCTCTCGGAGCTCTGGGAGCAGCAGGTGGTGGCGCAGCCAATTGTGCTTTGGGCGCAGTTGGAATTGTCTTTGTAACGGGAGAAGATGGAACCGGCACCTTCGCAGGAGTTGGTGGCGCGCGGTTCTCTGGCGAGGCTTTCCAAACATTCGATGTAGGACCACTGTATGGCTGAGACTTAAAGGACAAGGAACCAAAGGCAGGTACTTGAGGTGCAGACGGCGGCGGTGAAGAGGCACGAGATCCGTAACGAGCGGCCGAAGATTCGACACGGCCAGCAAGAAGATCATTGGGTGGTAAAGGCATTGGTGGTGGTTGATTTTGAGGTTGCACATCGCGTCTGAGAGGCTCCTTGACGCCAGACAAAGAAGTTGTCGACGGGCGTCGCATTGCCAGATCATCTCTTGAAGGTTCGAATGGCGGACGCTCGGCTGGAGGTTGTGTCAACGGTGCCTGTTGATGAGGCGTGGGAGGGCGCGAGTCGAAGCGGCTCGATGCAGCATCTCTTCTGAAGCGATCAGGCTCACGCTCGCGGTCATCACGATCAATCCAGCGATCATCTTCCCGACGCTCGGGCCGCCAGTCATCTCTATCTGTGCGAGATACGCTGCCCCATCTCGTAGGCGGTGATCTGTCTCTAGGTCTGAAGGTGTTACGGTCATCCGCAGGTCCACGGCGGTCACGGAAGCCAAAGTCTCCTCTACCTCTGCCTCGACCCCTACCGTTGAAGCCACCTCTACCAAATGGAGGCTGACCAAATGGAGGGGCATCCGAGTATCCTGGTCCCGGGTTGATAGGTCCGTCTCTAGAGTCGCGACGACCTCTTCCTAGGTCAAGATCGCGTGGAGGGATAGGACCATCTCTGAAGCCTCTCACAGGTGAACGTACTCTGGGCGATGTAGGTCTCGGCCTGCGATCAAACTCGCGCTCTCTGAATGAGCGGTCGGTTCCAAGAGGAGGTGCGTCTCTCAGCTCTCTGAACTCCGGTCGCGGTGGTGCACCTCTACCGCGAGGGCCAATTGGTGCTGATGGACCAGCTCCTGGGCCCGGTGGTGGACCTCTGGGAGTATCGTTGAAAGTTTTGGGACCTCTTGGAGGATCCAGTCCTCGGCCGAAGTCATTATGTCTGTTGTTGTTAAATCCGGGGTTTGGTGGTCCACTCGGTCTCCATTCCTGATACCTCGGCGGCGATCGCGACCGAGTGCGAGGCGGATACCGGGACTCATGAACCGGAGGAAAGCGTGACGACATATTACTGATGTACTGCACAAAACATTATCATGAAGAGAATATATCGTGGGGCACGTGCTGCGTCGTCGCGTTGGTGCGCCGTTGAGTCCTGGAAATGAATTGATGATAAGCCAGGAAACCAGGAAGAAACAATGTGCGCAACCGATGTGTTTGCGCAAGCTGTCAAAGGAGTGAGTTGATTAATGGTATGCGCGATGAAACCTGCAATCGAGGCGTGGCAAGATTTGGCAAGTCAGATCTAAACGCCAAGACTCCGCGAACTAACAAGTAGGGCTTGCTGATCCGCGCTTGTGGGCCTTCGAAGACAAGGCACTCGAATCTCCGTGCCTGTGTAACGATTTCACCCTCAGCTTTCAACAACACCGGGAGAAGGCCTCGACAGCTCAAAAGACAGCGTCAGAGGATCTCTGATGATGACAAGACGCTGGTGATATGCGTGCACGACTGTGCCGGGAGATATGACAGGAAGGGTCCAGAAAATGGCCGGATCTCGAACGATCACGACAGAAGAAGCGGGCAGGACGGCCACTTGGGTGTCAAAAGCAAGCGAAAATGACACACAACACGATTTTCGAGGTGCCGAAGAGTCCTGGAAGTGTCCGAGGGAGTTGGAGGTGTGTGTCTGGAGGATGTCGAAAGACAGGAGAAGGAAACAGAACGTGTAGAGTAGGCGTGCGGAGCGACGAAAGCCTAAACTCTATGTCATGCTGATTGGCCGGTGCACATTTACTTGGTTTCACGCACTGCATCTCGTGGCCCACATTGCACTAACTTTTAGCCCGTGGATGCTGGTAACGAACCGTACGCTCGGGCGGAATGTCAGGAACTGATCAAGAGCCCAGTCGTTATTAGGGGCTTGTTGACCTTGAAGAACAAAGAACCAAATTGCACCACTGATCAAACCTCTCGAGATGGCTCAAATTTGAAAATGCAAACATGTCGCAGGATGGGTCTAAACACGAGGCCTGGTTCGTCGCATATGTCATTTGTACCATAACGGTTTTGGTGTTGAAGCTCAAAAAGTCTCGGCTGCATGCAAGCCAGGATGCCACACCGCAGGGATTTGCGGATCGAGATGTTGACGATCTTTCAACTTGACAGATGTTTGCTCAACCTATGCCACTTCTGCCATGAATCAATACTTCGGCCGTATTTTTCTGTCCTTGTCGAGAGAATTTGCACAATAAGATTGAATTGCATGTGCATCTAGATGTGAATCGTTCCCGCCGAACCGTCGTGGAACTTTACTGGACGTGCTGCATGATAACCGTGCCGAGCCGCTTGTATTTAGAGTGAGCTGTCGCGTTAGTCAGCCTCAAAATTCAAGGGTTCTCGAAAATCTCCTAGACCAAAAGTCACGCCAGTACAAGTTGATGGTCGCCGCCGGATCGCACGAATACTTCGAACCCACGCTCTACCCGCGAACACAAACGCTTACACACTCCTCAACATGGCTGCGCCGACCGGAGCTCAAGATGCCGTCCTCAAGCCCTCCGACCCTGTGCCCGAAGGAGCCGTTCCTGTAGTTGGACTTGACTTCGACAAATTCGCTGGCCGCAACATCACCGCAGCTGAGATGGTAGAGAGCATGACGAACATGGGCTTTCAGGCAACATCAGTTGGACAAGCAGCTCAGATCATCAATGGAATGGTAAATGACTCTAGGCGTCGTATAAAGTGGCAGTTCAACTAACCACGGACAACAGCGCGAATGGCGTGACGAAGAGACGGGACAAGGCACAACAATCTTCTTGGGATACACATCGAACCTGATTTCTTCGGGTCTGCGAGAGACACTGCGGTGGTTGGTTCAACACAAGCACGTCTCGGCCGTCGTAACAACAGCTGGAGGTGTTGAAGAGGACTTTATCAAGTGTCTGGCACCGACCTACCTTGGTTCATTCTCCACTGCTGGAGCATCACTTAGAGCCAAGGGCATGAACAGAATTGGCAATCTGGTGGTACCGAACAGCAACTACTGTGCGTTCGAAGACTGGGTAGTACCAATCTTTGACAAGATGTTGGAGGAACAAGAGGCATCGAAGGATACAGAGGAGCCCATCAACTGGACTCCAAGCAAAATGATCAACCGACTGGGCAAGGAGATCAACGATGAACGCTCAGTGTATTACTGGGCATGGAAGAACGACATCCCGGTATTCTGTCCTGCTCTGACAGACGGAAGTCTGGGTGACATGCTGTACTTCCACACCTTCAAGGCTTCACCACTGCAGTTGCGCGTTGATATTGTCGAAGACATTCGCAAGATCAACACGATCGCAGTCAGAGCAAAGAGAGCAGGCATGATCATCCTAGGAGGAGGCATTGTCAAGCATCATATCGCCAACGCTTGTCTGATGCGCAACGGAGCAGAAAGTGCCGTAATCATCAACACAGCCAACGAGTTTGACGGAAGTGACGCGGGTGCACGACCAGACGAAGCCGTCAGCTGGGGCAAGATCAAGGTGGACGGCGACAGCGTCAAGGTAAATTGCGGCGGCTGAAGACGAGAGACGATTGGACGGACACTGACACAGAAAACCTGCAGGTTTACGCCGAGGCGACGGTTGTGTTCCCTTTGATCGTTGCATCAACGTTTGCCAAGGTGGCTTGATCAATCCCACGAACACGGAAGACGCGACTGAAAAAGGAGAAAGAGGCACACTTTGAACCACCTGAGGCAAATGCAATATGGGTTGCATGGGAACCAGACAGATGCGTAACCCCCATGCAGGTATGCGCCGGGTATGAAACACTTCAGAGCGGATGGATGCAGTGCAGGCAGAGTGCAGGGGGTTGTGTCCTCTTCCAGGGTTCAGTCATCAAAAAAGCAGCCAGGCTGATAGAGGATTAGGCGCGAGCCGAGCCGCAGAGTCTAGCGCCCGCGCGGCAATGACAGGGCAAAGCCATGCACGTGCCAACTCGAAGCCGAGGTCAGGAGAAGACACCTTGATGAACATATGTCCCTTCGACAGCGATAAGAGCTGCTCTTGTCGCTGTTCTGGACTCTTCGGTCATTACCATCAGCTCTTGTTTTACTAGAGGTAGACAGATGGCTAGAATGATATGTCAGTCTATATGTGAGAAGCGATGAGTATCCCGCGACACGGCGCCAATTCTGAAGCTTCAAACGTTCGACTTGTTATGGCAGGTAGCAGCTATGTCTAGCTTGGTAGCTGCAGAAAAAGGTATGATGGCGATGTCTCTCAAGCGTAACGGAATCCGACGGTGATTTCTCATGATTGCTAATGCATGTTGGTGCCTGTATGGCGCGTGTGGCTGCAGAAGCGGGGATGTCCTGATTGCGCATGCATGTGAAACCGAAAGTCGGTTGGATGAGGATGCTTCTTGGCCGGGAGTGGACAGTCATCAGAGACACCGCACGCTGACCTGTTCATCGCTGTTGTCTTGATCTAGGTCCATCGCTTTGTTGTCGAAGTCCCCGGGTTCCTCGTCTGGCTTGGGCTCGTTTGGAACATGGCCACGCTCACTCATTCACCGCACGCTTTACATGCGCAAACGACAACAAATCCGAATCATTTCCACGACGGCACCTCGGAAATTCACTCAACCTCTTCAACACAAGATTCCAGCACGCTCAGTGCCATTACACCTGCACTCATGGACGAATCTGAAGACAACGTCCGCGAGAGACTAATCTTTGCGCCTGCTCTCGCTATCCCTCGAATGGATGCTGATTCAGACATGGAAGGCGCGGACGACACTGCGGGCAGATCGCCTATCTGGCCTCCGCCCCAGGCCCTCGAGAGAGGAGTAAGTCTTGATCCACTTTGTGTATTGCGACAGCTCTTATGTTTGCATATTCAGCATGTGAGAGCCCTACTAACCATCAGTTGCAGAATTCACCAGCTGCACCAGTCGCTTCCATCAACGTTATCGACCTCCCTGCCGCCGATGCTCGCTCGCCGATACCAGAACCACTGTCACCTATACCTCCTCCTCCTCCCCCGCCGGCTGCCGATCTTTTCATGGAAGGTCGACCCCCACCTCCGCCAGTTCTCGTACCAGATGGTCCTACTAGATCTGGCGACAGCGGAGAGGAAGATGACGACGATGACGACGACAGGAGCCATATCAGCGATGAGCGTGCCAAAAGCTTCTACCCGTTCAAGGAAGACATGTCCGAGCCGGATGCTGAAGAGACCAGGATCATGCGAGGCTATGTCGAGAACAGCGCTTTGGACGACAAGCACTGGCACTCAAGAACCTTCTTCGATCTACAAGACGCCGAATTTACGCCTAAGGAACAAGGTAAAATCGAATGGACCATAAAAGAGTTCAACGGCACAAAGGACAATCCGAGGAAGAATCTACTACTCACCTCACATACGGTACATATTGGTGGTCATGACTGGATAATCAAGCTACTACCGCACGGCAATATGCAAACCGATCGCTTGAGTCTCTATGTCGAGAACGTGTCGATTCAGTCGGCCGAGCCACAGGAATGGCCTGAGGGTAGCTTGCCTCTGCCTGTCTTGGGCGAGGGTGTCAAAGTCATGAAACGTAAGGCTGTTGCTGCTCAAGTCTCAATCCTCGTGTACAACCCAGAAGAGCCTCGTGTGAACGAGTTCAGGGCAGACGCTCACCAGTTCTTCCAAGACTCTCCTGATCATGGCTGGACTCGCTTCACGAGCGTGCCATGGTATGAAATCCACCGTCGATCGTACGCTCAAAGACAACCACTTTTGCGCAATGACACCCTGGCTGTCAAGGCCTTTATTCGCGTGATCGATGACCCGACAGGCTGTTTATGGACTGCCAAACAATCGAAGCTGTCAGTGACCGGTCTGAATCCATTTCACTCAGGTGGCCACGAGGACGCAGCACTCTACCCTGTGCTAGCGCTCTGGTTGCACCTTCGTCCCTTCCGCCAACTGCTGTATCAGACTGCCACTAAAAAGGATGACAACATCCTCGCCGCGCTTCAAGCTGTGCTATGGCGCATGCGCTCCCGGGTCGGTTCTCCGGCTGACAATAACCACGTGCCTTTGCTCAGTGAGTATCTTGAGGACTTTTATGAGGACAGGGGACCTCAGGATGCCATGCAAACCATGAACGACCTCTATGAGGATGCCGCTGCGTACTTGCAGCACCTCGACTACGAAGACAAAGACAAAGTCCTATCACCAAGAGCTATCGAAAGGCTCAACAACGTATTTGGGCGACATCAGTTCTCTGGCGAAAGAGCGACAAAACGATCGATAGTCGGCAAGACATCCATGCAAGAGGTCGTTGATGGTGACTTCCCATCCAATTTAAAGAGCGAAGTTCTCACTATTGAGCTTGAACGCCAAATCTTCGACTCGGACAAGCGAGTTTGGAAGAAGCTGTTGAACAAGGTGCGCCTCGATGACCAGATAACAATTGCCGGTGTGACATACACCCTTTATGGCTTCGTCGCGCATGAGGGTCACCTTCGTACTGGCAGATACTCGAGTTACTTCCGTCCGGGTGGCTTGAAAGGCCTTTGGTACACCTACAAGAACATAATCCCTACCTGCTTGACAAGAACACAAGCCGTGTCTCCCAGAGAAGGCGTCTTGCCTGCTGAAGCCATCGAGGAGCCTGTCATCACCGCTGATCGCCCTGTCAACTACGATAGACTTCTAGGCCAAGTTGACGCCGTGGCATACGTGGTCATGTACATACGCAGCAGCGACGCCTTCGACCTGGCCGCCAAGGAGCCTTGGGATGTACCCGAATGGATAACCAAGACTTACGGTCCTCAGGTTATCCCAGAGGGTGCAGGCAACGGAGCAGCTGAGACTCTGCATTACGACGATGCCGAATCAGTCGCTTCGGACGAGGAGATGAACGATATCACCGAGGGCTCAATCTCAGAGGACAAGGTCATAGCAGACAATCTGAAGCTGGAGCAAGTCACAATCAACTACCTCTCGCAGCCCTTCTACTCAGGAACGATCAATTCCGACAACCAACAGCATGGCCAAGGTCATCTGATCACTCTTTCTGGAGATGAATACACGGGTCAATTCGAAAACTCCTCGTATTCCGGCGAAGGTACCATGCTGTATGCTAACTCGGATACGTATGTCGGTACCTGGCTCAATGACTTGCCCCACGGCCACGGTACTCACACCTCTCACCGCACTGGCAACGTGTATACCGGTAACTGGGAGGAGGGCAAGAAATCCGGCGCAGGCGTGACACATTGGAAGATGTCAGAGGAAGAGAGCAAAGCATGCCGCATTTGCTTTGGCGCCGAAGCAGATGCAGCCTTTTACGACTGCGGTCATGTGGTTGCTTGCCTGAGCTGTGCTAGGAGAGTGGAGGATTGCCCCGTCTGCAGACGTAGAATCAGAGACGTGGTCAGATTGTTTTATATGGCTTGAAGGAGCGAAGGGCGTTTGGAGTCGGTGACTTTTCTATAGATAGGTGCTTTTTGCATGGCCAAAGGCGTCAAATACATGAATTCAATGGAACAATTTTGCTATCTCATTGGACACTCGTCGTCTTCAGAATTGTATCGTGCCTGTTCTTGTAGGGATAACTCATTCTTCTTCTGGGGGGTAGTCTGATCTCGAAGCTCTAGGGCAACGTGATACACTCACCACCACGAGTCCCAGACATCACCACATCATCCTCCAGATCCCACTGTTGCAATCCCTCCCAAATCTCCTCGACATCAATATCCGCGCTGATGTGTTGCAAGAAGTTTTCTCGTTCACCCTCACCCTCATCATCCACAGAAGCTTCATCACCACTTCCTCTCCCTCCATCTTCTTCCGCAAACCCAGGGATCTCGCTCACTTCATCGCCGTTGGAATTGTTACTTCCAGCAACACAAGCGTTACCTTTTCCCCACACGGTATCAGCCACAGTCCTCCACACGGCACTCTGATCCACAACCATAGCAGCCGTGTAAAAAATCCTGCAATCCGCGGGTTCGTAAAGAAATTGCAAAGGCAAATTACCTTCATCTCCATGTCTGATGCCATCGCGTGAGTTTACGCTGGGGGAGGATCCCGATCTCGCCATGGGTAATTGTGTGTATTGGGTCAGTACGGTGTTGTTTAGCGATTTCTTGATCCAGGGGTCGGACCAGGAGAGGGCGGAGGTTATGGAGGTGAAGATGTAGGAGAGGGGGAAGGAGTTTGTGCCTTTGACGCCGCCGACGCCTTGCATGGGGTTTGTGGTTGGTCGGCCGCCGAGGGCGATGGTTTTGACGTCGGCTTGTCTGTGCATGAATTCGGCAAAGATGGCGCAGGTGGACGCGCAGTAGCCGTCGTAGACGAGGATGATGTCTTCGGATCGCCAAGGTGGGTTTGTTATGTTGCTGCGACCTTGATAGCCGGATACGTAGATTCCTCCTGAGCTCAGCTTTTGCAAGGGATCGGTGAGGTTCCAGCGAATGATGGAAGTAAAGCTGTCGTTGCTGGGGCCGTGTTGGTGAGGGCCGTATTTTGCTTCCCAGTCGGAAAAGGGTTTGCCGTTTACGTCCATGTCACTGCGGTAGTTCCATGATGACTCTACTACTGCGAGTATGTTGTCGGTCTGATTAGGATTGTGGGTATAAGGTGCGGCGGCTTCGGAGTACATCTCGCCTAGGTTGTCTAGTGCTGTGTGGGCTCGGAAACGAGTGCCTCCATAGGGTTCGAGATTAGGGAAGAGCTGCTTGAACAGGTCGTAGCCTTGTAAGATAGTGCCACCGCCATTGGCAGAGAGATCGATGATCAATTTTGTCTTGTTGGCGGCTTTGGCGGCAGCGATGAAACCGTCGTTGATGTTTTGAAATTCGACCTCTTGGCCCTCGTTGCTGACGAAAGATCCGACGGTCAAGACTGCGACATGTTCGAATCCGGGTTGGTCTAGGAAGTAACCGCCATTAATATTGTGACGCTGACGTAGGACTGGAGTGGGATATCCAGGAGCAGGGACCGTCTTCCTGGCAGCCGGTTTCTCCGGGCTGTCCGGTTTGGAGTTGTTGATGGTATTATTGGTCTCCTTTTTGTTGATTTCGAATGCATTAGCATATGCCCTTGGAGTGACAATGAAGTATTTCTTGTATATGTCTGCTCCAGAGCTGATGTTTTTGAAGTCAACCAAGACTTTTGCAAAGTTCTCATGCGTGGCCGTAGATCCATTTGCGAAACTGAAAGTAGTGTTGGCCCCTGGATAGACAAAGCGACCATGACCTCTTCCAACAAAGGTCCCAGTAGATGTACCAGCTGTTCCTAGAGAGACTTGAGCAGGGCTGTAGAAGAGATTATTCCAAAGAGCATCTCTGTCTTGCAGAGTCCCATACTGCGACCAGTCTTCCAGAAATTGAGTGGTGTTTTGCCCGTCAATCATTGTAATCGGAGAGGGTTGGAACGTGGAATTGCCAAACGATGAAGCAACGATGTCGGCGTATGCATAGACGACAGGAAGACTCTTGCCGTCGTCGGAGACGGACACGAGTGGAGTTGTTCTCCCAAAAATGAAGATCCTCCCAACACTGTCCGGGACGAAGGTGAAGTGGCCATCGTGTACTTGTTGATTGGCTTGGTAGAGGTCCCAACCGAAATCGTACTCGCTTTTGTAAACTCCGTCAACAACATTCTGTTCGACCGCATCGAATGCCTTCCAGAAGTCAAATCCAGGTTGGACGTTTAGAGCGTACTAGAACATGAAGTTAGGGTCTATCCCAGAGAGGTTCGCATGGAATGGGTGGATATAGACGTACTTCTTTGGGTGGGTCCTTGACATAAGACAGGGTGGTCTGCCATTCCATGTATGGTCTGATGGATTTCAACAAATCAAGGGCCGCGGTTTGATTGAAAGGAATAGAGTGGAGGCACTGATAGGCGATCTCGGCCGGCACATTTCGTTCGAGGGGAGGCGTATCAATCGTGAAGGCTTTTACCAGAGTCGACACACTCGCACAGGCATCTTGACTGCTATATGCCGTAGGAGTCGAGCTCGTGGATGTTGCATTGGTGCTAGTAGACGCAGTGTCGGTAGTTGGTGCAGTCTGAGACGAAGGCGGCACTAAACCGGTAGTGGAAGATACGACAACGGTCGAGGAAACACTGGTACCAGTACCGATACTCGTCTCGTTGGATTCGCGAGACATTTGTGGAAAGCCAGTGGGCGATCGCGGCTTGGGCTGACGAGAAAGAATACTGTTGCTATGTTAGAACGACTTTTCGAAGCGAACAAGTATAAAGAAGAAGGTCGCTACTTACTCAATCGACGATGCATCCGAATGAGATTGCCATGGCGCCGCTTGTACAGCGATACCGATTACAGGCAGCAAAATCAACAAGGAACCAAACATGGCTATCGTTGTAGTAATGGAAGAATGGCTGCTTGAAGACAGCAAGACGCCTGGAAACACGCAGTAGATGAGATTCGAAAGCCGCTAGGACTGATGGATTCAATCAAAGTTGAACGGAACTCAGTGCTGTTCTCTTGTTGGGTTCCTTCGATATCATGAGATAAATAATCCGTTGGGTGTTCAGTAATGTTGTTGTTCAGTAATGTTGTTGTTATTAAGATGTCTACTAATGCCAACAGAAGCTGCTTTGTAGCTGCGGGGCCATCGCTCCTTCCACCGCTGTATGTATCGGGTAAAACGTGTACTTCAACCACGTGTCTCATCAGATATTCAGCTGTCGAACGGCAGGAACATGTTTGAAGGCTGGAGAAGATCCGGTGAGAGCTCATTTCGAACTGCTTTCACTGAATGTGACGCCGATTTTGGAAATCACTGTGCATTGAGTCAGCTAGAGATGCAATGCTTTGCGATGAATGTTTGTTTCATAACTCCGTGAGACTAGAAAAGACAGATTTGGGGGTATATGCGATAAGATTGATATTTTCAAGGAAGCCATGAGGTGGGACGACTATCAAGACATGTTCGATGGCCATGCAGAAAAATGATATCTGGTCAAAGCATGCTATGTAGAAGCTCCACGGAACAGACGAATGAGTCTCTCGCCTTGGTCTTCATCACGCAGTCTCTGAACCAAAAAGTCCTTCAGATCGGCCCAGAATTCGTCAGACTGCAACATCTGAGTGGCGGTATCGTGGGCGTGGGGAAGAGCCTCGGCTTCTGCTTGTGCGTGTTCGGACAGAGGAGCCGAATCAGGCGGAAGCTTCTGCGATTCCTCAGGCTTGACTACAGGCGAAGCAGGGGCGGGAGTTGAAGCAGTGCTTGGAGTTGAGGCGCCAGCGAGAAGCATGAGGCTAAAGTCTGCTTGGGCTGGGAGAGGGTCGGGCAGGATGTCCTTGAGGGTCTTGAGGTCGGTGCATGGTCTCTTGTTCAGGAGGACCTTGATCTTGGTCTTGTCGAGGCTGAACTTCTCGGCGTATTGTGACTTGAGATCGAGGACGGTGGTGTTGGGAGATTGACTTGGGAGGTCGAGCTGGTCGGAGCCCTTGAGCGGCTTGAGGGTGACATTGACGGTTTGTGACTGGCCGCCGGCTGCGGGTCTTTGGCGGCGGGGGAAAGGGTGAACTGGCTTGGGGAGAGTGTACTAAGTGGGAGAGATGAGTGTGTGCTCGGTGATAGTGTCGTGTCGATGAATACATACAGGAGCCTGAGCAGGGTATTTCCTGGGGTCCGAGACGTGATCACTACTCAGTCTGGAGGGACGCTTCTCCAAGCCCGACATGAGAGCCTTTGCAAACATTGTTTCCGACATGATGAAGATGTTTCCTGGTGTGTTTCTGCCGTCTGATGGTTTGTGGTATATGTCAAAGTGAGCTCGACGGAGGAGTCGCTCCCCCGCATTCGACACTCGCGCCGCCTGATTGATGTCAGTGGGTCCGAGCTTCAACAACTTCTTGAGACTTGGATGAGATGCGACTTGCGACTTTCCACATTTCACACCAATCACAATCCTCGTCATGTCGACGCTATACAATCTGGAGCCGCAGCCGACGGCCAAAGTCCTGCTCAGTACCACTACAGGCGATCTCGTCGTCGAAATCTGGGCGAAACAGGTTCCTCTCGTATCTCGAAACTTCCTCCAACATTGTCTGAACGGCTACTACGATGGCACAATCTTTCACCGCCTGGTTCCTGGTTTCATCATCCAAGGTGGTGATCCTACTGGTACTGGCTCTGGCGGTATAAGTGCCATCAACGATGGTGCTCCTTTCCAGGATGAGTTCCACTCGCGCCTCAAGTTTAATCGCCGTGGCCTGCTCGGTATGGCAAACTCTGGAGACAAGAACGACAATACTTCGCAATTCTTCTTCACACTGGACAAGACTCCTGAGTTGCAGGACAAGAACACCATGTTCGGTCGTATCGAGGGAGATACCATCTATAATTTGATGAAGATGGCCGAGGCAGACTTGACTTCTGAGGACTCGGACAGACCACTATACCCTACTCGCATTACGTCCACCGAGATCCTGCTCAATCCTTTCAACGATATGGTCAAGCAGGCCTCAATCGCCATTTCCACACCACAAGAAACAACCAAGGCTCCCAAGAAGAAACGCAAGGCCACAAAGACTCTCCTGAGTTTTGGAGGAGACGAAGGAGAAGAACCCGCAGCACCAGTAGTAAAGAAAGTAAAGGTCAACCCAAACTTCACCAGTGCTGCATCTCAGCCCTCAGAAGTTCAGAACAACGCACCCACACCTCAAGCCCCCGAACAATCAAAACCAAAAGAAAAGCCCGTCCGCAGAAAGTCGCCCACGAGATCACCGACACCTCCATCAGCAGCCACATCGAAACCCGCCCCAGCTCCAACAAAACCCGCACCTTCACCATCACCATCTCCCTCACCAACGCCTGAACCAGAAACCCGCAAACTCACAGCCCTCGAACGCACAAATGCCGAAATCGCCTCCCTCAAAGCCTCCATGAAACGCGGCAACACCACAACCTCTTCAGCGCCAGAAAAGAAACTGTCCGCCTTGGAATCCATGATCCCTGCCTCTTCCACCCGCGGCCGCAAGAGGGGAAAAGCAAAAGATGATGCTTCTTCACTATCAACATTCAACGCATTCAAAGCCCGATTGTCCAAACTCCCCGCCGAAAAAGAAGCCGCCCCTGCTCCCTCTGCACCAACTGTGGAAGCAGAAAAACAAGCACAAGAGCAGGAAGAATCAGCACTAGACTCCGAAGCCCTGCTCTGCGATCTTCATTTCATTGCAAATTGCCAAAGCTGTGGAACTTGGCATGATGAAGACGCTGCTGCTGCCAAAGAGGACGAAGACGATAACGATACCACTTGGATGTCTCACGCATTGAGTTTCGCCAAAGATACGTTGGGTAAAGATCTAGAGTGGAAGAGAAAAATGGAGGAATTCGAAGTTATTGATCCGAGGGAGAAGACGAGGGAGATTGCGGGGGAGAAGGGAGGGAAGAAAGGGAAGGAGTGGGATAGAGATGGTGGCAGAGGGGGCAAGGGTAAGGGAAGAGCATAGGATATCCCAGAATCGGGCCTTTCAACCAAAGTTTAACACCTTGATTCATATCTTCGAACTCTTTTGCAGGGGATCAGTAAAGAAGCTGTGCTATTGGTCTCTTTCGCTATGCTCATTGGAGGAACAGCGCCGGTCGATCAAGACGGGACAATGATGACAAGCACTGTGTAGGGCAACACTCCATCGCGCTAGAAGTACGTAGGAATCGGAGAGGGCTGCTGTTGTTCTCTACATAATAAGGCATGGGGAGATCGCAGAATAGTCCACTGCTGTAGTCGCAGCGACTCATTCGCTCAGACCGTGTACACGATGACTCAACGTAAATTCTTCATATAGGTCACAGGAACAAAAGTGGTTGGAATAGTGAAAAGAATAAATAGTCTATGTTTGATTTCTTTGCTAAAATTGTAAGAAGAAATCGTATACTAGGGGGGGTATCATTGAACTTGAACAGCAGCAGTGGTATCTGCACGTTGTTGACGGATTTCGGCATCCACGACTGCATTGCCTCGTATCAGTCTTTGCCACCAGAGAGGAGGATCCAGCGGTCTTGAGCCATTATGGTTGGCTGGGTAAATGTCGTTGAAGAAGTACCAGACTGTTTTCGCACGTCAGTATTCAGATATGAGGGTGGGTTGAGTAAGAATCTGATCTTACCATGTCCAACAGCAATACCGCACAACTCATCTTTCGGCCACTGTCCATGCATAACCACACTAAGCGCAATCATGACCCAAGGCAAAAACGGTGCGCGGAAGATGAACAGGCCCAAGAAACTAAGTTGGACGTCTGGGTGTCGGCGACTCCAGATATAGACCAGTGTGCTGCTAAGGATGGAACCCAGAAAGACGACAGACACCAAGGGAGCGAGACAGAGTAGTGTGGTTGCAGCATATGCCAGCATCCAGGTGAAGTGTGCTTGTGACTGTGCGGATTCTTCCAGCATGCGGGCGTATCGTTGGATAAAGAAGATGTGGAAGAGGAGGTTTAGGGATAGAGGGCCGAAGTAGATGAAGGTGGTGAAGAGACGCCAGTACTGTAGCTTGGAGTCAGTGATGCTGCTGGTAGAGAAGGAAGAGGTAGATGGGATAAGGCATACCTGGCTCCTCACAAAGACGGCGCGGAAGGAATAGAAGAGTTGAAAGGGCGTCAAGATGTGGCATTGAACCAGCAGGCCCGTCACGACAGTCGCAGTGGTCCACCATCTCGTGCAGACGGGCATCTCAAAGAACCACTGCTCCAAAGGCAGGGCACCCAGATCGCCACCAGCTGCTCCTCCCAGCATTGCAGCCATGTTGTGAGTATGTATCCGAAAAGTCGCAACAGGAAAGTTGCTATGTAGGGTGACAGTTTGGACAGACGAGCAAGTGAGACCAGACCCTGGGAGACAAACGTAAGCCAAACACGAGCCGAGGCGCCGAAGGACTTAAAGTCCGGCGATAAGATAAGATAACGACCTGCGGCTTCTCCTCCGAGCCTCCGTTTCCTGTCTTGCCGAATCCAGACAACGCGACTCTTTCATAACACACGACAACTCAAAGACAAAGACCATCACCTTCTATCACCCACGGCATCATCCCATTGCATCAATCGCGACAACCGCTTCCCGCACGCGACAACGGCAATCCCGACTATTGCATCTCGAGCGCGTCAATCGTCCCGGCGCAAATGGCTCCTCGAGCATCAATGGCAGCACGACCGAGTACCGGCGGAAAGCACACAGGAGGCAAAGGCATCAAAACAAAAGCACCGCGGCGGAGTACAGGAACTGGTACGGGAGATATCTATCGTCCACAAGAGATGAAGAAAGAGCAGAAGGACACACCAAAGCTAATGCGACAACCTCGTAGGCCACGTCAAACAATCCCGCCGCTACAAACCTGGCACCGTCGCTCTTCGAGAGATCCGCAAATATCAACGCTCAACCGACCTCTTGATCCTAAAGCTACCCTTCGCCCGATTGGTACATCACTCCCGCCCTTCTTCCCCACCATTGAATCCCTAGCACCACTAACATCCGGCACAGGTCAGGGAAGTCTGTATATCAATGGCACCGGCCGGCTCTGGAATCTACCGCTGGCAAAGTCAAGCAATCATGGCGTTGCAAGAGGCAGCTGAAGCATTCTTGGTCCATCTTTTCGAGGATACGAATCTGTGCGCTATCCATGCCAAAAGAGTTACCATTATGCAAAAGGACATTCAATTGGCGAGGAGAATTAGGGGAGCTTGGGGTGGACTGGGATGATCAAGATTATGGTTCGACGAATCTCGACATCACAAGGCCGGGAAACATGAAGAGCTTGGGTGACATTTTTATTTGGCAGGGGTTGGAGTTCTAGTTCGACACGTGGGTTTGCGTGGACATGCATATTCCTGCATTTGTTCTCATCCCACTTCTGCACCACGATTTTATGCATGGCGTTTGACGCCTTCTGTTTTTGCTACCCAGTCCGTCTGTCTGATAGGCAGGACGGAAGAGTATGGAGTTTGAAAGGAGGACCAAAGATATCCCAAACAATGATTGAAAGTATTTTGTTGACTACCATCCAAACAGCTTTTCTTGGTTTCCAGGAGTTGAAGTTTGGTCTGATGAGCTGATTGAGCAGGTTCCTCGGCAACTTCGTGTCTCTCCACCATCAAAGATGGCTCGCCCACTAGAATCAACTCAGACATGCGCCTTATTAGGCAGAAATATAAAGCTAACAGCAGAGCCTCCGCAGTCACGTATGTGTCCTTCCTTCTTGGTCAGTATTCCCTCTCGCAAACTTCTTCCTTCCTGCATCCACATCTCAGCCGAGAAAACCTTCCATCGACAACTTTATCGACACCAAGACTACCAAGATACATCATGTCACCACTTCCTCATATCCCAGGCGCCTTCCCAGACCGTAGCAAGCTCCTGAGTGTCGATGGAAGCGGGTGCACCAGAGACCGCACCGCAAGATCAGCAGGTCCATCACCCGAACCTCAAGACGTTCGCTCTGATAGAGCTGCCCACCACCGCAAACCTGGACAACAGATCGGCATGATCGCAGTCGACGAGACTGTAGAGTACTCCGCTCCTGTCGGTCAACTCGTTGAAGATATCGAGATGAAAGATGCTAAGAGAAATTCATCATCTGCTCGCACTGCTGATGAGCCTCAAGATGTTGGGAAGAAAGGAGATCGCACAATTGGAGAACTTATCGAGATGCTCAGTATGGAGACTGTAGATACCTGGTCCTCTTCTGATAAGCTTTGTGAGGACGTAGAGAAGAAGGGTGTTGATAACATCTTTGCTCCAGACTTCTCTGTTCTTGAAGCCCAGAGACCAGAGAACAAGAAATCACAGACGTCATGCTATGACTTTGTCGGTGTAACCGCATCCCCGGCCAAGTCGATGTCGGATCTTCCTGCTACGGGTCCTAAGCAGACTTGTAACTTCATGCAACAGTTGTCTGTTCCTCATCCTAGCCAAGACTCGCCGGGTCCAGAGCCTCTTCCCATGAAGAAGGAAGTTGCTAGGGAAGCTCACTCTCCAGACTCCTCTGGAGTCCACACCCAAAGACCACAGACATCAAGTCCTGTTTTCATGCCAATGGACATCTTTAAGGATGATTTTTCTCCTTCTCCACCTCCTACTACATGTCCTGAGGAGCGATACAACCCGCAACAATGGCATGAGTTATATGCTACGCTTCCGCCCCCAAGGCCAGCTGAACAAGGCATGTCGGCGTTACACGGGTATACGAGTACCGAACTCAACGCCACGAATCTGGGAGCGGCAAATTCGAGAGGGATGGATGATGGTCATCTGGACACCGCGATGCATGGCTATGGCATTCCCTCCTCGACACTCCAACAACTCTACGCTCCATTCAACCCCATACATCATCAACGACAACCTCAATTTGGTAATCCTAATGATGGGTATGGCCTTTTCCATCCTACGTATGCACAATATCAGGCATCCTACATGCCGAACAACTCATATGCCCCTTACAGAAAAGCATGTGCGCCGAGGCCAGCTTCTGAAGTGTACCAAGCTCACTCCCAACCAGCAACACGTGCGCCGAGGCCAGCTTCTCGAGTGTACCAAACTCACTTCCAGCAAACAAAGAATATCCATCCCAGAAGCAAAACAGAAGTAGAGAAAGAAGCTGAGACCAAGACCGAGTGCAGATTTGATCCCATTTTCGATATCAAATCTTTGCCCCTCGCTCCTGCTCAGGACCGACTGAGACAAGCCAGTCAGGGAACAGAAGAAAAAGCTCCATGTTATCTTCCCGTTCCGGGACATGAGCAGGGTACTCCTCCTGTTCCAACCACCCAAAGTCCTCACAATGGATTTTGCCCTAAAAGCGCGGCTGAATTGATAAGGGAACGATCAAGGAAGAAAAAGGCCCTCCCAACCGCAAACAAGAGATCTCCGGAGCCCACCAAGATTCACCCTATCGTGCAGAGCTATTACGATATGCATCCAAATGACCACTACGCATCCGAACCAAATGCAATGAGCAAAGATCAGATAATGCAGCAGCATGAAATCGAATACCAGGGACTTCTGGAACCCAGCCGACGAGCTCTCAACAAGCGACAACGGGTAGATTCGGACGAAAAGATCAACCCTTCAGCACCTCAAGCAGCAGAGAGTAACGTCCTTCCCCCATCTCCTCAGCAAGCCATGGACGACAAGAACAAAGGTGTATCGAAACCTCGGGGCAGAGTGCCAACTCAACAACAATTATGCCAATGGCAAGAGCAATTGGTAATGCAACAACGTGCAATACTAGGAGACAAACAACATGTTTACCCAGTATTCCCAGCATCACCACAAGTGGGACCATTTTATGCAGCAGAGAGTAACTTCCTTCCCGCACCGTCTCAGCAAGCCATCGACAACATGAGCAAATGTATATCGAAACCCCTGGGCAGAGTGCCAAATCAACAACAATGTTACCAAATGGCACAGCAAAGGATATTACAACAACGTTCAATACTACAAAACAATCCGCAGATTTACGGAAAATTCCCAGCATCACCATGGGAACCATCTAATGCAGCAGAATCAAAAGCAGTGGTCTCGACAAAGGAAAAAGCAGAAGCCTCGATGGAGGAAAAGGCAGAAGCAAAAGTGGAATGTGCAACAGCAGCAACAACAGCAGCACAAAACCCCCAAAAAAACGAGCTCAACCGACCACTCGACAAACCAGAACAAATGGACTGGGAAGCAAAGACATGGACATTTTACAAATCAGGGCCACCGTTCGATCTTGCATTCTCATCAGAGGAAAGAGATAAACAATTGACAAGATTCTTGGACTTTTCAGTTGATGATTCTGACGGCGATTCTGAAGATGAAGAAGAGGATGCTGTGACAAGAATGAGAGCACAGGTGGCACAGACGGTACAGGCGCGAGTTTCTTTTGATGATTCTTCAAGCGACGAGGGATATGCACTTTCCAAGGTCCCTCTGAACGACGATGACTCTGGAGACGAGACATCGTTTGACGGAGCAGAGATCTTGTATGGAGAGGATGTAGATGTTGAGATGAAGGATTTGGATGATAGGGAGGATGAAGAAGGAGAGTGGATGTTGGTCTAGAGTAGGGGAAGACTTGAGTGAGAGGCGTGTGAAGCGATAGATGTTGAGGAGATGGAGCTACCACGAATGGAACAGAACATTTTGATGTCACGTTTTATTGTCAATGTACTGTGAAGAATTTTGATCAATGCTATAAAACCTCGCAGAGTATGCTCCATTGAATACACCCTTCCATCGCTCTCCCATGCATGCGGACTTTCTCTAAGTGGCCTTTCCACCCATCCCCTTCCTCCTCTTACCCTTGACATCTCTTCCTTCCTCAATAGCCAAAAGCGCTTCCCTCTTCTTATCACCAACAACATTCAACGCATCCCTAACAACCCTACTCTCCACATTAACGCCTTCCTCCACATACTCTTCCATCTGCGCCTTCACCCTCTCCTCAATCGCCTGCACCAACCCCACATCCCTCTGCCCAACCAACGAAATAGCAACACCTTTTCTTCCAGCTCTAGCCGTTCTACCCACCCTGTGCACGTAATCGTCCGGATCGCGGGGTAAGTCGTAATTCACCACCACACCCACTTCGGGGATATCCAGACCGCGGGCGGCGACATCTGTGCAGACGAGGATGCGAGCGGCGCCAGCGCGGAAGCGGGCGAGGTTGTTGGTGCGTTCGTGTTGGGGGAGGCCGGAATGCAGAGAAGTCACGCGGTGGGCGAGGGAGCGGAGTAAGTGTTCGAGGAGGTTTGCGGTCGAGGTGCGGTTGACGAAGATGATTGTGGATTTTTTGACGTTTTGCTCGGTTAGGAGGAGGACGTGGAGGTACTGTGATTGGGGTCAGCGGGAGGTGGGTAGGGGGATGGGAGGGAAAGGGAGACGAACCTTTTCTTTGTGGACGACGTTTACGAGACAGTATGTTTGGTGCAATGTGTCTGGGACGGCGAGGGTGTCGAGATCGACCTGTTTGATTGTTAGTATTCCAGTCCTTAGGTCGGGAGATAGAAAGGAGGAGTAGAGCATACCTCACAAACAGCAACAGGTGGTTTACCAGCTGTCCTGGGTTTATCCTGCAACGCCCTAACCTCCGCCGTAACAGTCGCAGTGAAAAGACAAGTCTGTCTCTTCGACGACTCAGGCAGTACCTCCATGCAAACGCCCAAGTCAGGCAACATGCTTCCCTTACCAGCAGCCAACAATCTATCAGCCTCATCCAACACCACAAATTTGACCCTTCTCAATCCAGCAATACTTTCTTCTCCACTGCTGTTGATGTGATCGGCAAGTCTTCCAGGTGTAGCGATCACAATATGCGGCCGAGCAGCCAACGCAATAGCCTGAGCCCTCATATCAGATCCTCCCGTCACCAAACAAACTTTCAAATTCTGCACCGCTCCAATTGCCTTGAATTGTTCGAAAATCTGCAAAGCGAGCTCTCTAGTCGGTGTAAGCACCAGACCAAAGATGCCAAAAGGGTCTTTAGCCCATTGTTGCAAGATGGGCACGGCGAAAGCGACAGTTTTTCCTGAACCGGTTCTACTTCCACCGATGCAGTCGCGCCCAGATAAGATCTCAGGGATGGCGGCGGATTGAATTTTGGTGGGTTGTTTGATGGCCATGTTTGCCAGGGAGGCGACTAGCCAGGGAGATACATTCAAGTCCGAGAAATTAGATTTTGTGCTTCCTGCTTGGGCTGCTGCGATACTGGCGGGGACCTCTGCTGTGGTTGATTTAGATGCGGCGGTTGATCCGGTTTGTTTGGCCTTGATACGGGAGACCGTTTGAGTGGTGGGTTGAATGCGGGTTGTAGTTTTGATGGGAGCTTTTTGTTGCTCTACCTCTGAATCCGAGTCTTCTGATCCTGATCCAGTGGGTGATAGTCTGCGTCTCTTTCTTGATCCGTTTTGGTTGACTTCTTTGCGCTCGCTGTGAATGCTGCTGGCGCCAGAGTCGCTCGAGTTGCCACTGTCTGAGCTGGCTATAGATACCGCCATGTTATTGTTTTGTCCTTTATTGGCTGTTTCTGTAATATTCTAAAGTCTTTCCAGAGGTTCCAGAGTGGATCTTTGTAATTCTGTTGCGCGGTTGGCTGATGGATTGATTTTCACCGTGATGGTCCGAAAATTTCAGCTATATCACGTGCACGGTCGGTTGATACACATTTTAGGAGTCAACGCATGAATGGAGTTACAGATGCGAGTATTTTCTTTTTTTGCATGTGCTTAAAAATGTAATTGTATGCTCATATGTACAGGTATATCATGTCGTAAACTCCATCTCTTTTGTTCCACGCGCTTGATTTAAGCGGTGGCCTGCTCCTTCTTTGCGTCCTCAAAGTAGTTGGGGACCATCTCCTGCTCGCGGTATCCACCACGAGTGAAGCTCTTCATGGGAGTAAGTCCGTACTTCTCAAACATGGCCTTGTCCTCATCCCAACCGTTGCACTCGGTGGTCAACATCTTCTCACCAGTGAAAATGGCGTTGGCACCGGCGTTGAAGCAGAGAATCTGCTCGGCCTCGCTCATGGTAGTACGACCAGCAGCGATTCTGATGATAGTGGCGGGCATGACAATTCTCGCGGTGGCGATGGTACGGAGGATGGCGTCAAAGCTGATGCGCTTACGGCTGGGGTCGTCACCGAGCGGCGTGCCCTTGATGGGAACCAAGGCGTTGACGGGGAAAGATTCGGGGTGAGCAGGCATGTTGGAGACGGTGTAAAGCAAACCAACGTGGTCCTCGGGTTTCTCACCCAGACCCAGAATACCACCAGAGCAGACATTGATACCAGCCTTGCGGACGTTGGACAGAGTTTCCAGACGCTCATCGTAGGATCTGGTGGTGATGACTGTGGGGTAGTGCTCGCGAGAAGTGTCGACATTGTGGTTGTATGCAGTCAAACCGGCAGTCTTGAGCTCCTCGGCCTGGGACTGGTCAATCATGCCGAGTGTGACGCAGACCTCCATGTCCATGGCGCGAACACCCTCAACCATGGCCTTGACGTTCTTCAAACTGGTCTTTCTTCCTCTCATGTCACGCCAGGCGGCGCCCATGCAGAAGCGGGTGCTTCCATTCTGCTTTGCGATGCGAGCCTTTTCGAGTACATCGTCGACGGGCGACATCTTGGTAGCCTTGAGGCCTATGTTTGCGATTAGTCATGGCTCCTGGTAGGCTTGCATCGGACCCAATTCACATACCAGTGTTGTAACGAGAAGACTGGGCGCAGTACGAGCAGTCTTCGGAGCATCCACCAGTCTTGATGTTCATAAGGGTGCACATCTGGATGGACGAGGGAGAGTGGAAACGGCGGTGGAGAACACCCTGCATACTAGTCAGTCATCCATACCACTGGTCCTGTTCACCACATGTGCCTACCGATTGATGTGCCAATTCCATCAGAGGAGTCTTGTAGATTTCGCGAATTTCATCCTTGGACCAGTCATGTCTAGGTCCGGTTTGTCTCATAGCATCCTGGAGGACGCTTCCAGTTCTAGCAAGAGGACTTGAGCCTGCTGCCATGGCCATGCGGTCGTCCACGACCGTGCTGAATTGGCGGCCATTGGTGAGTTGTCTCAACGACCGTACTGCTTGTCTGGTAGACATTGTGAAGACGAGAATGGAGCTGAGAAGGACAAGAAGCGATTGGAGAGGTCAAAAGAACGACAGACACCCAATGCAATGGAAGAAAGCAGAGAGATTGTGACTGGTGAGTCGACAGGAAGGGTCAACTGTTTCTCCGTGCTCCTCTCGGTCTTCGGGGTGTTTGGTGGGGGAGCTTGTTAGCCGGGTCATCAATCAATTCACCGATACCGCTTCTTATTGGCTACATCTTCGGACAAGCTTCGGCGACAGGCGCTAGAACCGGCCTTTTGGTAGATCTTCCAAAGAGCTGCAGGAGAGAGTCGTCTCCCCTCAATTCAACCAAATTTCTCTTGTTCTTGGATGAAGCCATGAAGGCACATATCAATAGCTTGCATCATGAGATAAGGGCTATCTTTGGCTTCTTTCTCAGCTGACGCATTCGGTTGTAGCACTAATCTCCTTGCCATGGTTCCAGCTCAATATTTGAAAAGTATGCCTCCTTGCTCGTGTCGATATGTGCTTGTTTGTATTCCATTCATTCGAGACCGGCCCCATGCATGTGCCATTAGCACTTCAAGAATGCCGACAATGCTGTTTGCTAGTACGGGGGTGTTCGTTCGTTCAAATGGCAGAAATAGAAATCTTGTAACACCGTCCTTGCGCCCGAGGTTCCCGAGAACTGGGATTATTATATTGCTTTGTTCCAATTGGACTGGTGGAAGGAATATATGAGAAGGTCTCACTTTGCTCGTTTTTGCCGGTTTCGATTGATGCACATGTGTTCAATAAGTAGTACAACCGTCGCCTACCCATCTTATGCAAAGTAGTGTACAAATTATCCAGATCTTGATGCAAGACCCTTGTGTCCCCGTTACCCTGCACTACTAGTGTAACAGCAGCTGCTATGCACACAGCCGTTGAGTAGACGTTTCGGCCGTTTTGACAGAGCTTCCACGATCCACGGCTGCCAGCAACGGGTGTTCAGGTGTTTATCACGAGTTTGAAGGAACTACACGATATGCTGCGATAGCCGGTGCGACCTGACAACAAAGAGGTGTTGAGAGCATGAACGCATGAACTCCTGATCTTTTGCTTGTATGACTGCAGACCCGGGTTGATCGATGCGTGCGTTGGCGAAGGATTACAACAATAGCATGATCGTCGTCAATTCGAGGTGCCAGCATCTTGAAGACCAGCCTCGACTTCGCCCAGAGCAAACAAACGCGAAGTCTGGTCTTGATCACAAATCTCCACGTCAACAGAGAGAGCTGATGAACGTGGTAGACGCAGAAAGTTTGACACGCAGTCACACCACCTCGACCTTGACTTCGAGCTGCAAAGGCTTTTTCCTATCAGCTGCTAGTATGCTCACATCATCGTGAATAGCGCTCAATTGGATCCGAGTTTTTCTCAGACGGACCTGAGCGAGTCTCCACATAGTGTATGCACATCACTATTGAGGCTGAGGGCCTTGGTGACATGGCATACCACGTACATAAGCTTTATGGCAAGAAGGATTGACGTGAGCCATGAACCAGGCACCCCCTGAGTCTCGGAGAATTGTATGATGCCACGGATTACGGCGCCTGGCTGAGACATCTGAGACGCGAGCCGTATCCAGCAAGCTGGTTTGAACGTTGTTGCCGAACAGAATGTGCAACGAAGAAGGTCTTTGAATTGTGGATAGAGTAGTCACTCTCTCACAGCTCGAGGTCGCAGAGCTAAACATACCGTTGTAGTCTCTCGAGAGCCCTAACTTACGTATCCTCTATGGTCTCGGTCGACTCGAGGAGAAAGAGGTCGTTGGAGCAAACGTAACTCAAACGCCGACACCAGCGAGGAAAGCGGTTCTGGTTGCAGCTCCCACGTAGACGAAACCCAAATTACCCCAGTACATTGAGTTCCAATCCCAGAATTTCCAATAAATGTCGAATCCTACATCCTTGACGCTGTAGATGTGACCAAAGTCGGCAAGCAGGAGGCCGAAGAGGAAGACGCTCCAAACGCGCAGGTTGGTGGTAGAGCGTAAGACAAGGGCTTCGTTTAGTGCAAATACAGCGTACATATTTGCGAGTTGACTCAGAACGATGCTTTCGCGGGCGGATGGGCCGAGGGAAACGGCCGAAGCCGAGGTGTAAGTTAGGTCGAGGTACTCATGCTGCTGAAACCAGGCATAGTAGGCGCCGACAGCGGTAGCAACAGGCTCGATGTAGAGGAAGAAGAGTCGGTACCACAAGGGAATGCTGGACATGGCAGCAGCGTTGGCAGAAGGCATTGTTTATGAGAGCGATTGTTGCAGGGAATAACAATGTACGTGCATGCAAGAGGCTGCGGAAGAGAAAAAAGCAGGATGCAGGGTTTCGGATGGCGGTAAGCCAAGAGAAGAAATGACGAGTGGATTGGTAGACGCAGAGGCTTCCCTCGGAACCGGACAGAGCGGGCGCGGCGGGAACAGGCGCACAAGCGGACGGTGAACGGGGATGATTAAGATCAAGAAACAACAGCAGCAACGACGACGACAACAGTAGGATAGATGACGGATCTCGAATCGTGAACAGGCACAAGCTCAGTCTGGCGTGAAGCGTGACGGTCAAAGTGGTCAGGCGGAAGTGAGGGGAGAGGACGGAGCTGGTGGAAGGAGTAGTTTCGCGACAAAGTGCGAGACAAGCAAAGTAACGTTAAGATTTGTCGAATTGGGGATTGGAAATGATGACGGAAGGAGTGGTCTCTTTGGCCTCCAATAACGCGATCGGGATGTCTCAGAAGTAGATAAAGTGTCTCGCTATTTCAGAAACAGGCAAGGCGCCGGTCGACCAAGACGGCCTGATGATGACTAGCACCGTGTAGGGCAATCCGCCGGGCTAGAAGTTCGCAAAAAACAGGGAGGGCTGCTGCTGGTCTCTGCGTGAGCATGGGAGATCGCAGGAGTCGACCGCGGGATTTGACTTTGGTACTGGCCCAGTGTGTTTGACACCAAGACCTTTTTCGCTCAACGGCCAGAAACGCGCGCGCTGTGTCCTGCGCTCTTCGCTCTTGCTTCTCCCTCATTCCAAACCAATCGTCTCGCCCCCATTTTGCTGTCGCTCGTCGCTCCGTCGCTTGCTTGTGCCATCATATACCATAAAAATACCGGCCGCCGCAACCTGCAACGACCCCCGCCTAGACACACGATTCATAACCGTTTCGCTTCCCTTCCTTTAACTCCCCTTTCCGCCTCGCCCTCTTCTTCTCTTCTTCTCCGCCTTTAACAACACATCCGCTATTCAACCTGCTCCACTCCTTTTTTTATCACATCCATCGCCATTCCATCGCTTTTGAAACTATCCGCACTATTCTCTCGGCCGCATTGCTCTACTCCACTGTCTCAGCCGTAACGCGGATCCACTCTCACTCACTCCGACTCGATTGAACCCCCCAAAAACTCTGTTCATCTCGCCAAGGGGCTCCATCAAGCCACAATGTCCAACTATGACCTAACTCACGTCCACGACCTTCACCACAAGTACTACTCCTCATCCCAGGCCTCGAGTGGTGCCGAGTCCTCTTCATCCTCGACCTTCTCTTCATCATCGACCCGACCGCACACTTCTCAGGTATCATCTACCACCACCCTCACTCCATCCATCCAAAGTCAACACTCCCTCTCTCGCCCATCGACACAACCCATCCCCATCCCTCAACAATATCAACCCTACGAACAGAGTGTCGAGGCAGATCAAAGACGGGAAGCCGAAATGTTCCGCGAAGTCGAGTGGAGGTCGTCACCCAAGTTGGAACAACAGCGTGAAAGGGACATGTCCTTGAAGCGGGCTTCATCAGCAGAACCCAGCCAAGGCACAAACACAAAGACCAAGCAACAGAAGGAGAACGGCATCTTCAGAAAGACGTCGCAAAAGTACACAAAACTGCGTTCTCACTTCCACGGAAGAGGCCGACGCAATTCTGGAGATCTCATGGAAGGTGTCGAAGGTTCTGCCTCCATCCCTGAACACGCCGCCGCATCCGGGCCTTACCATTCGGGCATCCAACGCTGCTTGAACCCTACCAACCGCTTGATCCAGTCATTGAAGACTCCTAGACACGACACACCGCAACCTGCCAATGCCCCCTCGCCTACTCTTCAAACATCTTCGACCATGCCCGCTCTTCACTACAACCCCGATCAGCACTTCATGCACCGCTACATGTCCGAATCGAGTGCTGGTGAGGCTGCTCGCCGTGCCGCCTCTGCCTCTAACGCTGCCAGCTACGCCTCAAATTCCCGTCAGTTCATTCCCCAATACCAAGCGACAAGAGATCTTCACCGCAGCCGTATTGGCAGCATCCCTGGTGCAAGTGACAGTGGAGCCGATCTTGCATCCAACGCCGACATGGATGTTGAGATGTCTGACATTGCAGAGGTCGCTCTACCCGTCAACAAGTGCTCAGATCCCGTGGAGGCACTTCCTACTGAGATCGTTGCTCTCATTCTTTCACACCTCGACTCTGACAGCCTCAAGGCTTCCCAACGCGTCGCCAAGAGCTGGGCTCGCATCGCCAAGGACCCTCTGATATGGCGCGCTCAGTATCTCCAGCAATACGAGAAGCAGACTTATGTGTCTCCTGCCCCCATCCAGATCGGTGGTATCGGCACAGGCATTCCAAACCAGCCCATGCAACACTGGGAATTGATGCACGACGCTAGAAGACGTATTGATAAGAACTGGACTCGCGGCGACCAGGGCGGTAAGGGTATCTACTTGGCCGGCCACACCGACTCAGTCTACTGCGTTCAATTCGACGAGCAGAAGATCATCACTGGATCTCGCGACCGCACTATCCGTGTCTGGGACATCAACACTTACAAGTGCCTCAAGGTCATCGGCGGTCCTAGCGTCCGTCCTTCTCCCGGTCCCAAGGTCCTGCGTACTGTGGAATACCCCAAGTTCCACCATGCCGAGTCATCTGTTAATGGCACTGCCTACGGCAACAGTATCTATCACGTCCCTTCCGACTTCCACAGCGCCAGTATTCTTTGCTTGCAGTACGACCATGAGATTCTCGTCACTGGCTCAAGTGACAACGATCTCCTTGTCTGGGACGTCAAGACCTATGAGCCCATTCGTCGTCTTAAGCAGCACACTGGTGGTGTCCTCGACGTTGCCTTCGATGAGAAGCACATTGTTTCCTGCTCAAAAGACTGCACTATCATCGTCTGGGACCGCAAGACTCTCGAGCCCATTCGCACTCTTACTGGTCACCGTGGCCCTGTCAACGCTGTTCAGCTCCGTGGTAACCTTCTCGTGTCTGCCTCTGGTGACGGTGTTGCTCGTCTGTGGGACCTGAACAAGATGCAATGTGTTCGCGAGTTCCCTCAAAAGGAGCGCGGTCTTGCTGCCGTGGAGTTCAGTGACGATGCCAAGTTCGTCCTCGCTGGTGGTAATGACCACGTTACCTACAAGTTCGACGTCGCAACCGGTGCAGAGGTCAAGCAGTTCACTGGTCACACTCAACTGGTCCGCTCGCTGTTCCTTGATACTCAGAACCGTCGCGTCGTCAGCGGCTCTTACGACTTGGACCTTCGCGTGTACGACTACGACACCGGCGCCCTTCTTGGTCGCTTCAACGAGTGGACTACTTCATGGATGCTGGCAGCTAAGTGCGACTACCGCCGTATTGTCTCTACCAGTCAAGACGGCCGCATCCTGATGATCGACTTCGGCCGTGACGCTACTACTGGTCAAGTCATGCCCGGTGTCGAACTCCTCAGAGGTGTAGCACCTCTCTCGCTATGAAGTGGGGATACATAACACAACGGACGCACACAAATACACGCAACGGAACGAACAACAGGTGCTAAGGTTTTGGATTTTTCTGAACAATTCTGGGAACACAGCGCGATACCTCTGGGTCAACAATGGGACAATTGGGAGCGGGCTTTTTTTCTTTTCCTATTTCATTTGTTTCTCTCTCTTTCTTTCTACTAGACTACTTTCCTTTTTTCATCGTACTTTTGGAGATTCAAACTGGGAAGGGCAAGCAAGGCATATCGGGCGTTAATCCGTTTCCTCCTGGATTCAACACCATTTCTTTCAGGTGGTTGAAATGGCGGCGTTTTGTTTGGACAAATCTGGCTGCTTTTTCACTCTCTTCTATCGCACAATTTCCAGATAATGCCAGAACGTCACATCAAAGTGATGGCATTCCTTTCTTTCCACATGCATGACTCTCTTGCTTTCCTGCTCGACTTTCGCTTTTTCAAAAGTTATGATCATGTTCTTTTTTTCCTGTAATCAATGTTGTAAATGATGAATCAATTGAACAAAAATATTATCCATACTCCTTGCACCTTGCAATTGGGAACTGTGATAATGACGGCGATATTGAATCCCTGCCTTCTTCATTGTCATTACAAGATTCGGGAATACTCGGTTTTGCGTGCGACGATCACAATAAACTATGTGCTGTACCTTTATCGATATGTTTCATGTGTGCAATGGGCAAATGTGCAAATGTTTCAGAGCTTGTTACGGAGGAGGAGGAGGGGGTATCTCAGCGAAGTGAGCTCCTATTTGACCGAATTGGAATCGTCGACTTCTGAAGTATCGAGTTATAAATCGAGCACGCGCTCCATCTTGCAGATATTTGTCGTTCATTAGTGAACAAAGCTAACTTCATGTCCTGTGTTAATGGTGAAGATGTGTCGTTCATGGTGCATTTGGAGGGGCGGAAATTGAAAAATTTATATGACGAAGTCGGATTGACAAGGTGATCACCCTGCTCTTTGATATCTCAACTAGTTTTGACGACGATATCGTGTCTACGAGCATGATTGTTTCGTAGGGAAGGTGTTCCCAACCGCTTTAGATTTGTAAAGCCCTACTTCCAAACATCCAATCACATCGCTGTCAATTTCTCGTACTTTTTAGACAACTGTCTCAAAATTACCAAGTGCAAGGCTTTTTCCATGTTGAATGCACTCCACAACAAATGATCATGCGAAGGTAGGGTTTTGATAGAAACTACAGTGGATTACAGCCGAACTGCTGTGTTTCATTTCGTACGGATAATCCAACAGTATTGCATGTATTTATCGTGTCATTATGGTATCGCCGCCCAGCAGTTGTGTCAAATTTTCAAGTTGATGTCTACGACCCTGTCCCCCGTGCACGGAACTACTTTATAGATTTAGTTCGGCGACGACATCAACGACGCGCTTTGAATCACGAGGATACGATATAGGGACAGAGTGGATTGAGATTAGGTAGAAAGCGTCATAATAGGTAAAAAGGGGTATCTTTCTAGTTAATAATGAAGAGGTCCGTCCTGTCGTAACCACCACCTCAAAGCCCGCGGCTTCATGCACTCATCATAACTCATCATTTCGCAGATTGCAAAAGCTCTCTAAACTTCGGACTCAACAGCTTGATCGTCATCTCCGCTGATGGGGCTGCAGGTGTCTTGTCACTGACAATCTTGTCCGCCTGCTTGAGCTCAACACCAGACTCCTTGATTTCACCATCAACGTCCCTTCTGGCCTCTTGCTTGACACTACTGCTGGCACCCTTGCGGACAGGTCCCTTGGCCGTCTCGGGGGTCACCAGGGTAGAGTCGAGTAGTTCCTGCCATCTAGCCAGATAGGCTCCGGGTCCGTATGGTGTTGATGCCTTGTTGGAGATCACGTCGCTGATTCTAGCAGCGGATGATGCGTACAACTCATCCAGGTATTTGGCTGATGCGTCAACTTCTTTGCGCACCTTCTCTTGCTCGTCGGGTTTGAGTCCATCAAATGCTGTGGAGAGAGAGTCGAAGATTGATGGGGAAGTGTGTTCTTGCCTGAAGTTGGCGGATGCCTTGTGTACGTAGTCCTTGAACCACTGAGTGACTTCCGGACCATTCTTGGCAACTTGATGGATGAAGCGATGCGAGGCACCCATGTGGCTGTGCAAGAGGTGTACGAAGTCCTCGACACTTGGTGGCTTGCCATCCTTCTTGGGCTTGGCTACCTTGATCATGTCGTCCATGAAGGCTTGGAAGTCTGCGACGGTTGCGCTGAGATCAACTGCTTGGTGGACTTGTCTGATCATGGGCTCGTAAGCAGATACACCGTCGCGTACAGCTTGGGTGAGGTGATCAGGGCTGTGATGACAGAGGACGTCGATGATCTTGTTTCTGTCTCGGACGGCCAAGCTTAGGGACAGGTACTCGAGCGCCAGTTTGTGCTGCTTTTCGTTGAGATCTGGGCTTGCCGACGATAGTGACAAGATGGTCGAGACAATCGACATGGACTGGTCTTGACTTCTCTTGCGAGTTTCTTCTTGCTCTTGTCGGCTTTGGTCCATCCACTCTTTCAAGGCTTCGCGCTGTTCCTTGGATGGTGCATCCTTGTCCTTTTCGATCTTTTCCAGTCGCTTTCTAAGCTCCTTCTTGTCCCAGCCAAGAACAGTGGAGATGATCCTAGGTGAAGTCAGCAAGAAGCCTATCATTACGAAAAAGAACGACCTACTGTTGCATCAAGTTCATGCCTTCGTCTGCTCCACTGCTGATACCCATCCAGTTGGTCAAAGTACCGACACTCACCTTGGCAAGCATCAACTTGACCATGCCATTAATCATGGTAGCAACATTGCCGACACGCAGGGTCTGTCTCATCAAGGTATACGGTGCACTGAGCAGAAGTTAGCAATGTATCAATCGTGGGGCAGCGACTTGCTTACAGCTTGTGAACGTTCTCGACCATACGGAGCAATGACGGACCCTCGGGACTAACGACGAGAGTGTAGTGCATGAAAGATGCAAGACTGTGACAGGTCAGTAAAAGGGACCAGCAAGGCACATCGGAACTTGAGGCATACTTTACGACAACAAACTCATGTGCTGCTTGGACAAGAGAATCGTGTTTTGAAAGGTCGTCTGTCTCTGCAGCCTTGGCGAACAGCTTCTCGAACAGGTCACCGTAGACCAACTGCTGCATAAAGACATACCACGCACGCAAGACATCGTCAGGCTTGGTGGGGTCAAAGTGTTGGTCCTTCAGTGCGGACTCGTCTTTCTTGATGCCTCCATAGCATCCTCTCGCCGGGTATTCTATCAAGGCCGAGATGGCAGTGGCCAGAGTCTTTCGAATACCCAGAACACCCTTGTCATAACTCTCGCTCAAGTTTGCAGCTGCCAGCTCTTCTATAATGTTCTCGATTCGGACCTTCCAGAAATCGGGCGAGACGTCGCGTAGTCCTGGTAGCGGTAGGATGAACTTGGAGAGAAGCGACTGGAGGATGGGAGAGGATGTTTTCTTGGTGTCTTGGAATGGAGGACCGTATTCTTGGATAGCGGCAGGTGTTTTGAAATGACAGATCTCGTCGTAGGTTGCATGATGGGTTAGCAGGTCGAACAAAGCACTGCTCTGCTCCGGGCTTAGGTGTGAGGTTGACATGTGTAGAGTAAATTGATGATAGGATGGATTATGATTGTAGAATAATAGTTTGGAATTGATCAATGTCGATGGTGGTGTTGAGTTGTGGATGGCAGAAACTATCGAGTTGCTCTTTGAAATCCGACACTCGATGACGTCGATTTGGGGAAGTCGCGCTCATGATGCGCGTGAATGACCCAAACCTCTTTCCTTCTCGACATTCTGTTCCCCAACAACAACAACAACTGTTGGCAATGTGACCGATCGTATTTTCAGAAACACTTCTCATGCTCTTATAACCATTAGAGATCAGTCAGTGCGCCTGCAAGTTCCCGATACTCGTCGTGCTGTTGCAAGATTCGACCCCATCTCCGTCTCCTCGCATGTGATACCAATTGCTTTTGTTTCTCCTGACGCTTTTTCTGGCCCATCAATTATCGAGTCAACATTTGGAAATTTCCAAAGTCCTATTGCCAGCAGTAATACTGCTCCACTTAAAGCTATTTGAGCAATGAGAAACTTGCACGGAGTTCTCTACAGGAATCAGTTAGTATCACTTCCAAATGTGATTCGAGCCTCTTGGACATTCAAGAACCTCTGAATGACCGCTGGTCTATGTTGAATCCACTTACTGCGATATGACACAAGTGATGAGCATAGGTGTCCTCTCCGACTGCCACCTCGGCGAGGGAACAGCTGAACGATGCAAGAGTAAACCCAACCGAGCTGGTGTATCGATAGTATGGCCCGAAGGTTGGTGCGTTGATATCAAAACCCTCAGTTATCGGATCAAGATCATGGTACCCATGGTTCTCGCGAGCGGTCCAGGCCAACGCAGAGCTGCTCATGATCAGGTTGATGGTAACAAGACAACAGATGGCCAACCATGCGAAGTATCGTTTGTCGGACTATGCAACATCAGTGTCATCACTCTGTCGTGTTTCTGAGAGGTCGAAAGGCTTACCCTGTCGTTGCTCCCCAGACGCTGTCGCCGCCAGAGGACGAACCCGATTATTGGTATATCAACGATGGTGATCATTGATGTTGCCAGAGTGAACCATGAACTCTCCTCGAGAATCCACCCTGGCAAAATGCTCATTGGTGAGAGTACACGGAGCACGGGATTCACTAGGACATAGTATTGACGCCTTGCAGTGTTTGGATCCCGTACTAGAGCAAGCAGATAACCTGTGATGCCCAGGTTCGCAATAGCGATACCGAAGGTGGAGAACAGAGCCACGTAGAGAGAGTACTGGAAAAGTAGCATGATTGATAATGTTTTTGCACCAACGCCTTTGTGTGATGTTTTACGCCAGTGTAAGACTCTTTTGAATCATGCTGGAAATGGAACCTATGAATGTGTTTCAACCGCAATGAGTTGTGATCAACAGCGAGGCAAGCGCGATCAATGGGCGCTAAAGCGAGATCCAGGGGGAATCCACCAACGAAGATTCACAAAACCATGCAAGGGTTTTAAAATGTTTGGAAAAAGACATTGATATATGTTTATTGGTTTATCTAGTTTATCTATCTGGTATACCCAGACTTCATGGTTCTTTTATTATTTTTGTAATTCTCTTGATCGAAAGTGTATCCAAGGCAATGGACACAAGGGAATATGTACCGAGAAATTGGTGACGAAAACAGAGGAGGAACAGGCGCCAGCGCCTGATCAGAACCATTATGCCGAGTCTATGGTGTGGTGAAAAACGCCGAATCGAAAGGCCGTGACGAGGGTATTGGGTATGGATTGGGTTGTGCTTTAAGCAGCAATCTTACTCCTATGCGGCAGGGGGGGTCGAAGGGCGAGAAGGTTGAGGAGTGTCTGAGATAGCGGAGCCCTCGAGGGACTTGGTGACACCGATGATCTCGCGGAGCTGCTTTTGGCGCTCACGCTCGATACCGTGCATGACGGCATCCAGGACGTTGGGGACGGTGGCCTTGGGCTCGAAGCGAGGAGTGGTGCCAGCTTGGTATACACCAGTCTCGACGAGGATGGAGTACCAGTTCTGATCAGCGACCTTGTTGAACTCGTTGGTTCCACGGATATCCGACTCAGGAGTGTCACCGACGAAGTAGACAGTGTCCGGAGGAGCGTCAATACCGTGAGTGACCTTGCGCCAATGTTGCAGAAGACGAGTAGCGAACTGGAATGTGCCAATCTGGGGCTTGCCAAAGGCAACGGTCTCCAAGTCCTTACCAGTGACGGCCTTGTACATGGCCTCGAGGGAGACACGAAGAGCTCCCATGCCGAGACGGGTGTGTTCGTGGGAAGCCGACCAGATGACATCGTTGTGCGAGAAGAAGACTGGGGGACCCTCCTGAAGAGTCTCAGAGCGGGTGCCGAGGACACCGCCCTTGGACATGAGAAGATCCAAGATGATTTGCTGGTCACCAGCCCAGTCACGGCTGTCGGCGAAGACGAAGATGGCTTCGATCTTGACGTTGGTGAAGTCACGAGTACGCGAGTACTTCAACTCCTCCTCGGTCATGGTGCGGAAAGGCGTTGTGTCAGGGTTGTGCTTGATGATGTCTCCGGGGGTGACGACGTCCTTGAAGCCATAGCCCTCAGCGACTTGGCGACACTTGTCACCTTCACCACCGATGACGAGAACGGTGTTGTACTTGTCGGCCATCTCCTTCATGGGTGTGTGACCGCAAATGAACTGACCAGGCGAGACTTCAATGTCAAGCTGTTTGCTGAGCTGAATGCATCTCTCCTGCTCAGTCTTGCCACCACCGTTTGTAAGGAAAATGTAGGGACTGTGGGAAGTCAGAAAAGGAAACACTTGTTTGGCTAGGATCAAAACTCACATCTTGATTCCGTATTGGTTTTGACCATTGAGGACCTTCATGGCCTCAACAGCTTCCGGAATAGGACGACCTCCACGGATCAACACACCGTCGATATCGAAGGCATATGCGTATCTGTCAGTGACAGTTGATTCCTTGGGTGTACCATCCTCCTCAAGAGGAGTGATTGCTTCAATCTCCTGTCTGGCCAATTCCATAGAAGCAGCAAACTCGTTGGCTTCCTGATCGACGAGATGAGGAGGCACAACGATGGCGGGACCACGCGATAGAAGGTCAGCTGTGGCATCCTCGCTGGACAACCTGCGCAGAGTGCGCGGTCTTGGGGGGTTCTTTGTGGTGCTCATGGTGACTCTAGTTGCTCTGTGACTGGTATGAAGGACAACAGAAGAAGACGGAGAGAGAGGAATAAGTGGGAACCACGTGCGGGGAAAAGAAGGAGAGTGTCAACAATCTTTGGAGAGGCGTCATTGCAGCCTATATAAACCGAGAAAGCACCTTGAGATTTTTGGTGCTTCTGGTTGAACTTAGCCCGACTCCGCGCGATTAAACGTAAAAGCCTCTGACGAGTTAGCGCGGTGTACTCTCTGGTCAACGCTCACCAAAATGTATGAGGCTCAACGCGGAGTTCAAGTAAGCATTCATCTCCATCGAATTGACAGTTGTCGAGCCTGGCCATACCAATGTCTTTGAATAGATATCAAGACCCTGCAGACGCCATCACATCTCTCTGACGTGTTACCGGCACTTTGTATGGCGCACAAGTTTTGTCTGAGTTGAGCCCTGTGAAGCGCGAACCCGATCTCTGTGACGACATTGGACAGGTTGGTGGCTTGCGCTTTCCCACGTTGCCGACGAGCGGGTTCCTCGCCGTAAAGAGCGTTCCTCCTCCGACAGCCCGTGTTTTTGCTGTCTCAACCGATTGCAAATTCCATGTGCCGTGAAATCTGCATCAAACGGCGGAAATTAACATTAAGATCGAGAAGACCAGGATTTTCCATGTCGAACTATTGACATCCTGGTATTGTAGATGGAAAGACTTGATCAGAGCAGAATCAGATCGAGATGTCAGGCTGGGCAATTGATTGTGACAGATATCGGATCCATATGAGATCGTATGATTTGAATGCAAGTGTTCATAAAGGTGAGCCTTACTCGGCCTCCTTCGAACAATCTCGCTTCGCTCTGCCCTCGCTTAAAGTAACATCCTAGAAGCACTGGAGAACAATCGGAACGAGTTTAGGAATCAAATGTGGAAGCTGCCATCAACATACCTTCCTCGACATTTGAAGATGTCGATGTTGATTTCGCATGTTGGAATGAAATACCATCTTTCTTCGCCACTGACTCGTCAAAACGGATGTCAAGATGAATTGGACTGGAGGTAACCTGCAGAGGCACTCGAAGAACAAAGGCAACGCAGTAGTCGAACGTCAGAAGTCACACTTTGCCAAAGCTCGCAGCAAAGTCCCAAACAGGAACAGTTCTTCAGTGAAAAGCTGGAATGAGACCTCACCGACCCGACCTCCATCTCCTCCGCCTTTCAAGAAGACCAAGACACATCACAAGCGTAAAACTCGGATACACGAATGGTCCATTACTGGCAAAAGGGATGCACAACGCCCAATAGGAGATTTTGTGCTGCCGTCGAAGAACAGCGATGTTTACGTTAGGGTAGGCAAGCGGGCATTTGCTAGCCAGCTCGACACAACAGTGGCTAGTCCATCAACCAGGATTCGTTCACGCTCCGGATCCTACTCAGAACACTCTTCAAACTCGATGCTTCTTGATATCCTCGACCAGCCCGTTTCTACATCTAGGGGCTCTGACCGTGGCGAGATCCCCAGGCTGCAATTCGACGAAGACGAACCAACACATCCTGCAACAGACCAAATGAGGTTCGTGCTGAGCGATTCGCTCGACGACGTTTTGCGTGATCAGAAGGGTGTTCATCACCGCTCAGGACCTGTATCACATGTCCCGTCAGACCTCCATGAGAATGCCGTAAGTCCTGCGAACTTTGAAAGTGCTAGGCTAGCCGACTACGCACGCGGTACTCTAGATGCGGCTGAGCGAGTGGAAGACTCACCGGTCGAAGTGCAAGCACAGCACACGTTCATTTTTGGAATCCATGCAGAGGAAGATCCTACAAGTTTCGATCACGAGGACTTTGGAGATAACGATGATACTTGGCGAAGGTTCATTGAGGATAAGGATGAGGAATATGGTCAGGCAGAGAGTGATCTGTTTGCTGCACCTCAATATAATAGGCAAGCCTCGCCAGATGCTCACCCTGCTGGGAAGAAAGTCCAGGAAGAGCCGCTCTATCCGACCAGTGTTCGTGGCAGCACCCCGCAATCATCGTGCCCGACTGCTCGCGCATGTCTACTCGAGACCGGAACATCGAAGCGAATAGGCGGTGAGATAAGCGAACGTGGACCAAGACTAAGTGACGACGACCAAATTTGGAGACGATTCATCCTGGGTGCCGACTACGCAGATGCTTTGTGAGCGATCGGGGGTATATCAAGGTCGGATATGATGATACTTGCCTCTAAGGACTTGCTTCTTGCTTCAGAGGTCGAAATTGCTGCAGCAAACGTTTTCAGTTCCAGCTGAAACTTGACCTCTCCGAGACGTATAGCACGTTTCTAGCTTGCTGCTGCACTGAGAACGTTCAAGAGCACGCCACTTGCGGAGAACTATGTGGGGGTATGTGTTGTTCGCTCTACCAACGACCGGGAATATAGCGCCCACATCATGACCTGTCGTAAAAGCTCTATACGGTCAGGCCTACATGGCCCTTTCGATACTCACAATGCGGGAAAGCAAGTATAGGGTATATTCAAGTGGTACAACCATCAAGACAGGAGGCCAAGATTCAATACATCTTCATCTTCATGGTTAAACGACTTGATGAACGAATCACGGTGAAGTCCACGTACTTGCACGTGTTAGCTGCCCAGCGGCCCCAGCCCCTTGTCAACATAGGCACGGTTGTGGCGTGGAATGCAGAGCGCTGTAACGCTAATGCGACAGCTTCTTTAACGTGAGCGCGGGCAAGTCAAACCGAGTGAAGAGTGGCAGAGTGGTTTGAACAATCTGATACACCCCACAAAGATGTTGCCTGACATCTGCGCAGATGCCGTGAGCCGCAGAACTGTTTCGAATCTCGTCCAAAGCCCCCATGCTGTTCAGGCTTCAGAGCCAGCAGGGGTCTGAGATGGAGGCTTTGAAAGTGTCCCAATCTCCAATCATGAAGGATTCAAGATCGGTGAGCTTATGTACTCGTTCGTATCTAACGGCTGCTGCGAGTACCCCCCCTGCGACTAGTATGTCTATGGTCGGTCATCCTTCATGATAGCGGACGAGTTTGCCAGCTGGCGGGACGACTGCGTGGTGATGTGAGCAACCTTGGTGGCCTTGGAATGATGACAAGCATGAATCCGGCTATCTAGCCGTGGCATTAATACGGCACGTTGCATATGAACGCGGGGGAGTTTCCAATCAAAATGTTGCGGCAGATTACGATGAACGCGACGGCCGTGTTTCAGCAACGAGGGCTCGGAGCGGATGCGGCCGGGGCTGGAAGAAGGGATACTGTACCCTGTCTAGTCTCACCACTCTTTGGCGGGAATTGAGAGAGTTGCAAGTCATGCTGGCGTGAGCAGATAAATCACTACCGAGGAGTTGAGATGAAAGCAAGAGACCCAACAAAGCAGGTTTCGGTGAATGTGCTTGTCAGGAATAGTCAAAGGATGAGGTTCCGTGGCCCGTGGGAGTTGGTTCTTGGTATTTTAGTGGACCTGTCATACTAAAGTTAGCTCACGGGAATACCATGAATTTGGCAGTGGGACGTGGGAAAAGGCCGCGGATTCCATGATGGTTTAGGAGTGCGCCAAGAGCATGATCCTCGCATCAGGAGATGATGCGAATCGTTTTCTCGAAGGAAGAAGAGTGGGCGCAAGGAGGAATTGCTCGCAGGGGTTGGTGACGGATGGTCGGGCTCACAGATCATGACACTAGATTGACGGCAGGACTAGCCGGGGAGTTTTTGCGCGAACGCCAGCGTGCAGTCTAAATCATTGAACTCCACCGTCGTTCCTTTTTCTCTTTACCTAGCACCTCCCGGCCTGTGTCATCTCTCTCTCTCTCTCTCTCTCTCTCTCTTCGCTTCTGTTCTGCTGCCTCTCCTGTCGAGTCCGTAGCGACCGTGTTCCGACCTAAAGACGTTCCTTTCCTGCACGCACTGCCCGGTAGCTCGCTCGCCCTCACACAAACTATTTTCGTCAAGCCTCAGCCTTAAGCTCCTACTATAACAAGGCGCGTCATCTTGCCTGCAGCTGCGCACGACCTGTCGCATTGCCAACACGCACCCTCACCGGATAGGCTGGTCCTTGGAAGATGCATCACCGCCTTGCCAGTCTCTCGACATGAGCCTGACCCGGTCAATCCTCGCCGCCCGACCTACACCAGACCAGTCCCCCTCTAGACACGACCTGTCTCCCTCCGACAACAATGGCCTCTATACCGCTGCACAACCTGTTCTGATCCCCGCCTGTGCCCCTTCTTACACCAATCCGACCCTTACCATGGCCTGCACCCCGGCGTCGGCTGCTTCCAAGGCCTCGACGGCCGCCAGCAGCCCTCAAGATGCTTTCTCCATGTCACACTACCAACGCTCCGTTGATCGGGCCGCTCCCATATCTCTACCTCCATCAGCCATGTCCGAATACCCCTCCTCCTCGCCCGCTATCTCGTCGTCCTACAGCTCCATGACCGAAGCCTTTGGCATGTCCAAGGGTACCGGTCTCATCCGCCGTTTGTCTCGTGGTGCACACAACAGACTCAGACGACGTCCATCCACCACCCAAACGAACCGAATCCGCGATCAAAGCGCCGGTCCCGTCTTGGTGCGCAGAAGGAGCGACAGTACTGGCCAATCCGATCTAGCCGGCGACATGTCAGACCTTGACCTAGGACGCACCTCGGAGGATGGCAACGAGGACTCTGTTAGTACATTTCCTCCTCCGGATCAAACAAGCACATTCGGATCCCTTGCCAGCCGTAAGAGTTCAGCAGCGCTAGCCGAAGGTGGCGTCGCTCCAACCATCTCTTCAGTCCTGGAACAAGGTACCTGGCTCACGAAGGTGACCAAAAAGAAGCGCAAAGTTCTCAAATTTCGTCTGGATCCATTGGCTGCTAAGGTCTGCTGGAACCCCTCGAACCCGTCCAAGCAATTCTACATAGACGATGTCCGCGACATTCGAGTTGGTGCTGAGGCCAAATCATCACGCCAGGACATTCAAATACCCCACGATCAAGAGCGATGCTGGATTACCATCGTCTACGACGCCTACGAGCGCTCCAAGGGCAGTTCTATCAAGACAATGCACCTCATCGCACCCAACGACTACATTGTCAAGCTCTGGACCGATGCCCTGAACGGCGTGTCACGCGAGCGTATTGAGATTATGAACGCACTATCAGCAAATCCCGAGAAGAGTGAGCGCAGCATGAGAATGGCGTGGAAACAAGCCACGTCACGCAAGAACCCTGACGCTGAACCGAAAATCGATTTCGAGGATGCAAAGTGGATCTGTCGTAAGCTCGAAATCAACTGCTCCATCAACACTGTTCGTGCGCACTTCAACCACGCGGACCACGATTTGGTGGGTATGCTCAACTACTCGCAATACCAGTACTTTGTGAATTTATTCAAGATCCGCAAAGACGTTCAGTCCCTCTACTACGGCATCAAACGCTCAGATGAGCCGGAGCTTAGCTTGGAGGCCTTCCTCGAATTCTTGCGCAAAGAGCAGCGCATCGATGTCGAGAAGGATCGTGCTTCGTGGGAAAGCAAGTTCGAGCTTTATTGCCGAAGTGCTTCTGGCAAGGCCGCCGACCGGCAGCTACCACCCACTATGAATTTGCAGGCTTTCCAGACGTTCCTTTCTTCTGGCTCAAACGGTGCTACTGCTTCGATCAAGTCCGATCCTACCCTTGATCGACCTCTGAACGAGTATTTCATCTCGAGTTCTCACAATACCTACCTCATGGGTCGCCAGGTTGCTGGACTTTCAAGTGTTGAAGGATACATCTCTGCATTGGTCAAGGGATGTAGGTGCATTGAGATCGACTGTTGGGATGGCAAGAACGGCCTACCTATCGTCAATCATGGCCGTACATTGACTACCGAAGTCATGTTCGAAGATTGTATTGCTGTTATCGCGCGATATGCTTTTGCATCATCAGTCTACCCGCTGATCATCTCACTGGAAGTTCATTGTAATCCAGACCAACAGCTGCACATGGTTAACATCATGAAGCTCTATTTTGGAGATGCTCTGCTCACCACGCCTCTGGTCGAAAACGCATCAGTGCTCCCTTCGCCAGAAGAGCTCAAGAATAAAATCTTGATCAAAGTCAAAGCAGCCTCTCAGCAATTTGAAGGCCAGAACTTTGCAGACAACGCTAACGCTCGCCGTCAAAGAAGCTTCAGCTCTCCGTTCAGCCGAGCTACGGACAACAGCGTCCCTCCTTCGCCCCTCCAAAATGCTGTAAATGGTGATGGACTTACTACCAGACCATCGAACACTTGGCCTGTACTTCGCGGTTCTTCATCTGCACAGAGTACCGTCCCATCAACATCGAGCTCTTCCGAGGATAGCGACACTGCTCCTACATCTGTGGATTCCAGGAAGAAGAACAACAATAACAGCAAGAAGACTAGTAACATTGTGCCTGCTCTGGGTGCTTTGGGTGTTTACGCTTGCGGCATAAAGTATTCTGACTTCTCTGCTCAAGAAGCACGAACCTACAACCACATCTATTCCTTTGCTGAGAACACATTCGAGCGCATCTCTAAAGATCCTGGAGTCAAGAGTCAATTGGAAAACCACAACTCTCAGTACCTCATGAGGGTTTACCCTGCTGCTATGCGCATCGACTCCTCGAACTTCAACCCGCTTCAGTCATGGAAGCGTGGAGTACAGATGGCCGCTTTGAACTGGCAAACATACGATATTCACATGCAGATGAATGAAGCCATGTTTGCTGCTGGAACTGACCGCACTGGATACGTTCTCAAGCCCGACGAGATGCGCGAAAACAAGCAGTCTCAAACCAGTGGGTCTTTGCTTGACACTCTCAGGTTTCACAAAAGAGGGAAGCATCTCGTGCAATTCAGTGTGGACATCATATCAGCTCAGCGTCTTCCTCGACCACGTAATCACAATCCTGAGCTTGGGATGAATCCTTACGTCGAGTTCGAGGTGTATACCGCCGAAGACAACAAATCTCGCGGATATGCCAAAGTCGATGGTGGTATCGATGTTCAAGCTTCTGGTATCGGACCATCTGTCAAGAGAAGAACCAGATTGATCGAAGGCAATGGATTTGATCCGAACTTTGGTGACTGCTTCAGAGTTTCTCTTGAGACCAAATATCCAAGCCTAGTCTTCGTCCGATGCACAGTCTGGAATTCACCGGATGGACGCAACGCCTCGTCTAACAGCACGCTCCTTGCCACCTTTACCGCAAAACTCACCAGCCTCCAACAAGGCTACCGCCACTTAGCCCTCTTCAACTCATATGGCGAACGCTACCGCGACGCCAAACTATTCGTCCGCATCAGAAAGGACTCGCCCATCGCCTTGTCCTCGAGCGAGATGAAAGACGAACCTACCCCCATAGTCTCTGGTCCGCGGGCGGAATCCATACGACAAGGTTCGAGATCATGGTCTAGAAAGATCTTCAAGCGCGCATCCAGTGAACGCAGGAGAAGACCTCAATGGCCAGAGTGGCAAGGACCGCTCAGCCGCACCTCCAGCACCGAACGATGAACATTTAACGAGACTCACGCCTTTGCATCTCCATCTCCCAACACATCATAGCAGATCCGAATCTGCTGCTTTCGGTCTCATTTTCTCCTTTGTCCCACAAAGCATTACTACTATTGGAGTTTCCGGCGATGAACATATCTCTTCAGGGTGGTGCATCGGCGTTCTTTCTGGATTCACAGATACCCACAGCGGTCCACATGACCCGCTTCTGATTGATTATTTCCTCCCCTGCTTGTTCAACGGCACACACGCACTACACTTACTCTCGCTGGCGGTGTTATACCCAATGATCAATTTTTTTGATATCCCTGTATTACTATCAACACACCAGAACAACTCCAGGCTTTTCCGCTTGTTGAGGCATACATTCGCTATTGTCGCATCTTTTCTTCTTTTTTATTTTCTTCTTGTATACATTAGATTTTCTTCCTCTTCTTTTTCCTCCCTCCGGGCATTTTTGTTGGGCAGGTACCCGACGAATGGCTGGATGGGTGGTGGTTCATTTTTTTGAGAAACTCTTTTAGGAGTATCGATTGGAATTGAGACTTTTTCGTATTGAATCACTTTTTCCATCTCGCTAGGATCTTCCATGGTTTTACATTCTTGTGAACAGGTCTAAGGAGTATTGATGAAAATGAGTCGCTTCATGTTTCATCATAACACATCTGTTTTCCCCTGTTCTATCATGATTTTTGTGATCGTGGTTCAACATGTCCAACCAAGCCCCGTCTATCTCACAGTGCCTGTGCAAAGATATCACAAAGAGAAGTCGAGCAAAGCAGATGACGAAGAAAGTGGTGGTCAGATGAAATGCTACTCTATACAAACCAAAAAGAACAATTACAAAGGGTATCCAAGTGCTATCGCAAAACCAGAAAACACGACTCCTCTCTCTCTCTCTCTCCTCGCTCAGTGAATCTTCTTGATCCTCTTCTTGGCGACATCGATCTTCCCTTGCACTCTATCCACATCCTGATCCATCATACTCAACATCTCATTCTGCACGACCAATTCCTCATTGATCATAATTCCCATCTCCTTCATCCTCGTCACCGCTTTGCCGATCTCAAGAACATCTTGTTCTTGCTCACCCATGACTTGTTTTTGTAATTGCAAGACACCTTGGTTGTCTAATTCGCGCGTGCGATCAGTTTCTTGGGCTGGGCCACCTAGAACGCGGCGGGAGGATCTAGCAGTTGCAGTGGGGGTGTCGCCCCAGAGGGCGCGTTTGTCTGTTTCGGACGCTGAGGCGGCGAAGGTGGAGGCGGAGAGCATGCTGCCTTGAGGTTTGACGACTAGAGATTTGAGAGTGCTTTCTAAAGTTTCGGTTTCGGCGCGGGCAGAGGCCAGCATGTCACCTCTGCGGCGGAGTTCGCGTTCGCCTAGGGAGGATTGGTCCCATCCGCCATCGTCGTCGGAGGAGTCTTTGGGCCTTTTTGAGAGTTTGGTGAGGGCGTCGTCGAGGCGGGCTAGACCGGTTGCTGCGCGGACTAGATTTGCTTTTGCGTCTGCGGAAATGGCGTGTTGTTCTTGTGCTGTGGCTGCGGCGTCTCGCTTCTTGAGCAGTTGCCTTGCAGTGTGGAGTTGGTTCTTGACGTCGCGGTGGAGGTCTAGCCATGCGGAGGGGTCGGTGACAGAGTCATTTTGTTGTTGTAACCTTGAGGCCTTGTCGTCTTGGGGTAATGAGAGGAAGTGGCGCCATACGGTGGAGGAGCGCCAGCGTGCATCTTGGGCGTCGACGATGGCTCGTACGTAGGCTTCAAGACCGCGGCGGCGTTGTTCGGTCAAAGTCGGGTTGTCGACGGTGCGACGGAGCCAGGATTTCGGCGGCAAAGAGACAGGAGGTGCGGCGCCGGTTTGGGAGACCAAGTTGTCGTGGAGGGTCGTGAAGTCCGAGTAGCGTTTGAGCGTCTCATGGGTGCGAATAGGGAGCGCAAGCTGGATGTGATAGCGGGTGTAGGCCTTGCCGCCTTCTTCGCCCGTTGACGTTGTCGGGATAGATATTTGGAGTGCGGGCGCCATTGTGTATAGAGGTCGAGCTCTGATCAAGAAGATGGAGAGGGCAAGATCAAGACAAGATCAAGATCAATATCAAGATTGCGAAACGGAAAGTGACACTGACTGCTTGTTTGGATGAAGTCACTCCCCATGCACGTGCCATGGCTCTGGCTCGGCCCTGTGCCGCCAACCTTCTTGGATTCGACATTGTCGAATAAGCTCTTGTCCGTATCATAGCCTCCAAAGACCCGATGACTATGTTTGCAATGGATATCTGTCGACAGATCACCAAACATGTCGCCGCTCGTGTGAGCACCCTCTCACTGGTGCTAGCCCCCACCACTAACCCACGTCTCATATCCACATATCCGCCTCTAGACAGATCAACAGAGGACTCCGAGCCGCGCCTTATGAGCCCAACAGCCTCTGCTATGTGGCATCGCCGTAGATACGCAAACGATCCTGCTTGGCGCGAAGAGAAAATTGAACGCATTATTTTAAGGGAGAAACTCAGAATCAAAGAAGATCCTATTTTCAGAGCAAAAAAGCAAGCTCAGAGCGCCGCTTTTTATGCCGAAAAACTAGAGAAGGCACCTTACTTTAAGGTCTTGAGAGACATCCGCAACTGGATCGATTCCTTTCCTGCTATACGCGAGCAGCTACATTGGCAGTATCACGACCTGGCCTGGAGTCCTCAGAAAGTGTCCCATCGCTGCGCCTCTTGCAACCACAAGAGAACTAGAGGCCAAAAGTTATGGCTTCGGCGACGCACTTGCGACTCTGATACCGAACAATTTGACTGCTGGGCCTGCTTCACTAGCGATCCTCAAAGAGCCCTACCTGAAGGTTTCAAGGACATCACAACGATTGAACAGCTACGCGCACGTAAGAAACAGCTTTTTGGTGTGACTGTACACACACGTAGTTCATCCTCCAGAATTGCTTCATTGTCAGACAGTCCGTGAGGTTACGAGTCTATGGACGTCATCAATCTCGGTTGTCGTTTGCATATCTCAACTCCTTCTGGCATCGAGCATCTCAAGCACATGTCGTTTCCAGCTCTATTTTATCAATTGAAGAGGCCAATCACAGATGCCCGAGAATGCTTTTACGGGCCGACAATCATAACCAACATCACCAGTCAGGTGTTTCGCCGATCCTTACGCACCGCAACGACGGAGGGCCTTGTTTACGCGCCTGTTCCCAACCAATGCTCTGGCTCAACGACACCCTTGTTGTTTTACTCGAGCCGTACGATCAAAACGCTACCGATACTATATCTATGTCGATGCCGAGGCCTTAAAGTCTGTGGTCTACAACGTATCTGCAGATGGATTTGATCCTTCTTCTGTAGGGTTCGTCAACCCGATAAACACTGGGAGCCTGATCTGGAAGCTATCGAAACAAACGATGCCTACGAGCCCAACTAACTACTCGGAGGCACGCTTTTACACGATGTGGGTTGGATGAGAACCAGGTATCAGGCGGTGATGGAGACAAGAAGAATATCTCAACAAACTAAGAAGGAACGACCGGTGATTCGTTCCTTCTTTCTCTGTCACCAAGATGTGAAATGAACTATTCCTTCCTTTTTTTTTTGCGAGAACGCATCGCACCCTTTCTTCTATTTCACCTCATAAGAGAAATAACAGTCAGGGCCTCGCAGCTACACTTGATGTAGTATATACTTACTTGTATGGGCTTTCTTTTTTGCCGCCGCAGCCATCTTCTGATTGTTTGCTAATTCCATCTGTTAACATGACCTAATTGTGTGCTCTCACCCCTCATGTTCTTCCTAAGCAGTCTATATCTCCTCTCTCTTTATGTTCTGCTCATACCTAATTATGCCCCTTTTTTCCTCAAAACTTTGTTTGCCGATAACATAAGCGGACAATAAACCTAACTTAGCCTAAGGTCGTTGTTTCTTCTTTCCTAAAACGAGAAAAGATATAGTAACAAACAACTAAACAGAAACCAACAAAAGCATTTCCCAGAGAAAGGAAGAAACAAGCCAGAAGACAACGATCGATGTCAGAACACCCGATAACAAATACTCGAAATCAACGATACAGAGGCTTCCAAGAAATCAGTACTAAACACTATATCAGTGCCCCAGACCAGAACAGAACAACAAGGAAAACACTTTCGAGAAAACGCTCCAAGTGGAGGGGAGGAATCATCTGTTCAAATCAGGAAGGGGCGTTTCACTAACAAGGGAGGCACGACCAACGATGCCAGGAAGGAGCGAACTGAAAACACGAGGAAGGTGCGATTGAGAAATTTCGGGATTGTGAAAGAGGCAAGGAGCAACCAGGAACATAAGGAAGGAGCGATCGTAAAAACGCAGATCACATCTCTAAACTTTAGAGGATACATACGCACAAGGCAAGGTGGAGTAAGTGATCAAGGCCCAAAAGGAACAGACTGAAAAGATACGATGGTATCGAGGGACGAGGACAAAACGTCCCTTCACATATGACAAGGGTTTCAAAATAGCGGAGGCGAGAAACAATAGAGGAAGTGTAATCATGAAGAGCTGTCAGTAGCATATCACATGTTCTCACAGCAGCACCATTAACATAGGCGCCAAGCTTTAGAGCGACTGGAAAATTCCATGTGTTATTTCCTTTCTCTGAAACTTTCTCCATATTTACAAAGTGTGTCAAAGAACTTTGATCTTCTGTCTGCGTCTTTCTCCTGTTCATCAAGTCGTCAAGCTAAAAACGAGCGTAACATGTTTGTTCTTTCTTTTCCATATTGCCCTCTTTTCTACACTCTTCCTCAATCTATGAAGTAGAATGGTAGCCAGTAGGCATGGTGTAGGTGGTCCACGAGGTTGGACCATGGGTCTTGGTAGTAGAGTACGAAGACGAGTGGGACGAGGACTTGGAAGTCGAATGGCTGGTAGAGTGCGATGATGACTTCGAGCTCGACGAGGACTTGGAAGCCGAGGAAGAGGGAAGGGTGGCAGTGCCAGGGGCAGAGCTAGAGACTGAGACGGGAGGAACGGTGTAGGTGCCATTGCCGGAGCCACCGTTACCAGTACCAGGAGAAGTGGCACCGTTAGCAGGAAGAGCAGCCTTGAGAGGCAACTTTCTGCTGGAAGAACCAACGTAAACAGTCTTGGGGTACTCGCTGACGTACCAGTCGTCAAGCTCAGGGCTCCAGTTGCTGACGTCTCTGCGAGTAATCTCGGCAGTGAAGGTCTTGGAGGCACCGGGGGCGATTGAGAACTTGTCGAACTGGCGGAGGACAACGGCCGGGTCGTTGGGACCACCAAGGGAGATGTAGAGCTGAGGGACTTCCTCGCCCTCAACGGCGCCAGTGTTGGTAACAGTGGCAGTGACGGTATAGAGGACATCGTACAGACCGGGGTTACCGCCTGATGCTCCTGAAGCAGGAAGGAGAGGCTGGGGTGCGCTGGACGAAGAACCGGCGGGGAAGCTGTAGTTGCTGCCGTAGTAGGGGTCGCCTGAGGAAGCGCGAAGGCTGGTCGAATTAAGGAAGGGGTAGCTGTATGGGTTAGTCGAAGTCCTGATAATCAACCAATTTAGGCAAGACTTACATGTAGTACTCGATGCGCCTAACGTCATCGGGGAAGACGTAGTCGGCAGAGTTGTTCGAAACAGTGCCGTAGATAGGAGCGGCATCGGTGAAGCCTGAGTTAGGCTTGTAGGCGGGAGCAGCGGTGTTGACCGAGACCGAGATGTCAGAGTAGCTGAAGTTGGTGTACGAAAGTCCGTAACCAAATTCGTAGACAGGGGTTTCACCGCTTCTGTCAAAGGCTCTGTAATCGATGAAGACACCCTCCTCGAATTGGGTCTGAGGAGGAGCACCACCGTTGTTGTACTCGTAGAGAAGATCGGTACCGTACGACTCGCGTGTCTTGCCCATGGTGAAAGGAAGCTTGCCTGAGGGGTTGACCTTGCCGTAGAGGACATCGACGATGGCGTTGCCTGACTCTTGTCCGGGAACTCCAGCCCAAAGGATGGCAGTGATGTTCTCGTGTTCGTACCTAGAAGGCTAGTTAGCGCTGAGTTTTGACCAAATAGAACAGAGTACACTCACCAATCGTTGATCAGAACGGGACCGACTGTGTGAAGGACAACGATAGTGTTCTTGCAGAGAGATGAGACGTGTTCAATGACAGCCTCACCACCTTGCCAGAGAGTAAGATTGTTGCGGTCTCCTTGGTTGCCGTCGACGATGATATAGCCCTCACCAGCATCTGCGTTGGCAAAGCTAGAGTCCATCTATTAGTCTTTAGGAGTACTTGGTGTTGATTTATAGAAACTTACACAATGCAAGCACCATTGACTTCGTCAGTGCGTTGGGCAAGAACATCAATCTGACTGTAGGCGTAGCTGTCCAAGATGCTCTCGACAGACTTGCCGTGGGAGCGGACTTCATTCTCGATGGCAGTGTGAGGGGCAACCAGGTAAGGGAAGTTGGCAGTTCCTACAAATTCAGTCAGCATTGGGTCTCTTTGTTACGATCGTCAAACAGTATCACTTGCCTGATCCCCATCCCATAGCAAGGGTACCGTTGTCACATCCACGGTCTGAGCAGCCATTGGGACCGTATTGGTTGTCGGCAGCATCTTCGCCGAAAACACCGACGAGTTGTTCAGTTCCTTTGAGCGGCAGACCGCCCTTGTTCTTCAGCAGGACAGTACCCTTGGCAGCGACCTCGCGGATGTTGTCGCGGTGGTTGCCCTGAACATCGACGTGAGAGTTGATCTTCTCAAAGCCTTCTTGGGCAATGTAGTGACGGTATCCTTCGGTTCTTGAGGTCCACGAGGAGAAGTTGGGGCCATCCTCGAGCTGAGTGTCCTCTCTGTCGACGAGGTACCAGGCAGCAACGATACGAACAGCCATATCGTCGATTCTGTATTGGGGGACGGTTCCGTTCAAAACGGCGATGGTGAGGTTGGCACCCCAGAACGAAGTCTTGCTGTCGAAGCTGACATCTCCGGGCATGGTCATATCGAGACCAGCGAGAGCACTGGAAACACCGGAGTGTTGACCAGCCCAATCAGAGACGACGAAGCCTTGGAAACCGAGCTCGGCCTTGAGGACCTTGTTCAGGAGGTGAGAGTTTTGGCACTAAACTTGGTCAGTAGAGTCCGTTGAAGTGGTGTTCTTCCACTTACGACGTAGCTGTTGTTGGCCTGGTTATAAGAGCACATGACACTGCCGGTACCAGCACGAACAGCATCAGCGAAAGGCCAGACGTAGAGCTCGTGGAGGGTGATGTCGTCGACATTGGCAGAGACGGCGTCGGAGATGTTGGGACCTCCTTGTCTGAAGTGCTCCTGCTCGTTGAGGATGTAGTGCTTAGTGCAAGCAATGACACCAGCATCCTGGATACCCTTGACGGTCTCGGCGTTCAGAACACCAGAAAGGACTGGGTCAGGGCTGAAGCCTTCCCAGTTACGTCCACCTTCGGGGCTGCGGCCAAGAGGACCAACAACGGGACCAAGCATGACATCGACGCCCTTGTCGCGGTGTTCGCTGCCCATATCATGGCCACGCTCGTAGGCAAGCTTTCTGTCCCATGTGGCAGCAACAGTAACGCCGGCGGAGAATGCGGAAACGAAGTCACCTGAATCTTGTCAGTATACAGGATACTCTTCTGTGGACGGCTCATCACATACCGAATCTGACACCCAATGGGGAGTCCTGCAGACAGAGGGCCTTGAAGCCCAGACGTGGGATGGAACCAGTGTTACCAACACAAAGCTCAGACTCCCAACTAGAAAGCGATTAGCTACAAGAGCTCGGGAGCATTTTAAGTGATGATATAGACTAACCCGACACCTGCGAACTGTTAGTTGGGTCCAATTGCAAAAGAGTCACGGAGTGAACGTACCAGTGGTCAAGTTGACCTTCTCGGCCAGAGTCAATTGAGAGACGAATGCTCTGGCCTTCTCATAAGCACCTGCCCATTCTCCAGCACCGGTTCCCCAGGGAGAAGGGTAGTAAGGGGGAGAGGTCTGGTTGAACTTTGCACCAGCCACGGCGTAGGGGACTTCGGAGCCAGGGTAGTTGGTACCAGGGAACTGTGAGGGTGTCAATTGACTGTTGAAACATTGAGATGTTGGTACTGGGCCTCCTCAAAGCATAGGCTCGGGATTGGTGAGCGATCGCAATGCAAAAACTGTTGCCAATGCAGTGGGATGCTGATGAGAGCAAGGCTTCTAAGGGCAGATGTTGTACTCTCAGTGGCCGCGCACTGCATTGGCTCAAGATCTTGTATTGGTCTGGTCTTGAAGGGGCTGTGTGTGCCTCTGGGGAGAACAAGTGACTAACAGGCAAACCATCAACGGGAGGATTAGGGTAGCCACCCTGAGCATTGGCGAGCTGAGCTGCCAATAGCAGGGCAAGACTCTTGAAACCGGACATCTTCAAGGCGGTGCTGTCTCAATGCAGAGACAAATTTGGAAACGAGGAATTGGTGAAGAAGGGACCTGATTGTGAAGAGGGAAAGCACGATGCGGTGCAGCTTCCCGTGCGTCTTGAGTAACCCAGTGACAAAGTGACGGTCCTACGTTCCAATTTAAATAATTTCTACTCACTCACTTCCCCTGCCGAGTAACCTCATGATGCCATTGGGATAGCTAGTAGCTGCCCAGAGCCGCGGGGTAAATTATTCTTCAGGGAAGCTGCAACACCGAGTAAAATTGTCAGCCTGCATATATTGATCATCTATGCAGGCACGGCACAGGTGTTTGAAGAGAGGGGTGCATTGCAGTAGTAAGCGGCCGGAAGTATCACTCATCCATCGGTCATTCACTTCGGTTCAACAGCCTCCATCTTGCAGCAAGGTGTGATTCTTGGAAAACACGCTTTACCAGGGAGAGGCAACAAACGGCTCTCCCAAGATCAAGTCAAGAAGATCCAGTGTTTCAGACCCCAGGCAACGTGTTACGCGTGTGCGACCCATGAGGGAGATCTTGGTTCGCTCGACCCCAAGGTTTGGAAGATCGGTTGTGCTGTGCCCATGGGGTCGTGGAGACTTTTTTTCTGAGATGATGTGGAGAACCGCGATGATGTCGATCATCCTGCTTCGCCTCGGCTGTATGCATCTTTTGATCACTCAGGACAGGTCATGACACCTAGCCCGCCAGCAAGTCCATGCTGCAAGGCATGCGGAGTGCATCAGATCTCTGTATCACGTCAGAAAAAATCAGGTCACGAGTGATGATTGTTTGCTGGCAGGATCTCTATGCAGCAAGGTGGGATCTTATTGTACGAAGGTTAGGCATCATCGATGTACCTTTCGTACGTACCATGTCACGTTTGCAGAGAGACAAGAGTTCGGATAGGAGGTGCCGCATGCCGGAGATATGCAAGGACTGAGGTTAATATCTTCTAGCGGGGTGAAATTGATACACAGCACACGTAGGATCTTATACGACGCCATGCCTTACACGCTCCAGCATCCCATCGCTGATGGACGCAGCTGTAGAGATGCACGATGCGATTTGGACAGAGGTGAGACATACCTCTGATTTTGTTCTGGCGACACTCGCCTTAGGCGACTTAGAGAGTCTGTAGTCTCTTTGCTGTTCTACAGCTAAATATGTGGCCATCTGCAAGAGGGAGGCAGGTGTCGGATAGCTTCCTCCAGCCACCACATATCAACTCCTCACGCGGGGCACCAAAGAAAGCGGGGCAAGGGTCAAGGCGAAATGTCCATCAATGTCCTCATCAGACAACTCATCTAACTCGGCCGAAGCAAGATTGCAACTGCCTCTACGAACCATGCAGATCAAGCAAGCTAATTGTACAGTAGATAGCCAGCAAAATGGTTAAGTTACCTGAAGCTACTCTATCACGCCCATGTTAGCAAGCAAGATATAAGAGGTCCTGTCATCTCCACAAAGGTCACAACTCCACCCTGAAATTATCCCACCCATGCTCTTCTCCATGTCCAAACCTTCCAGAACAAATGAAGCGGCTAAAGAGAAGAGAAAGAGGGTCAAGAGGGTCAAGAAAAGCTTCATCTCTGAACGCCACACAAAGGAAACTGCCGTCCGTGTCATCCACCCACCTCATCAGAGACTCCATCTGGCATCCACCCCCGCTCTTGTCATAGCGCTCACTGCTGCAACGCGATGTGGAGGCCCGTAAGGTGTGGCCCACAGCTGGGCGCTGCAAACCAAGAATTCATACACGATGCTCGGCCGGAAGAGTTGGGAAGCGCGGTTGACAGGGCCGCACTTCCGCGACCAATGCATACGTGCCTCTGGACTGTGATCACAGCCCCTCAGAAGTGAGCGCAACCTCTAGAAACGGAAGGTGAACAAGAAGAGTCCATGAAGATGGTAGTCTGATCATAATATGATGAATTTGGAAGAGTGGAGCAAGGAACTATTTACCGCTGATTTGTGCAGAGCCTATCCTACGACTGACGCCTCAGCTACGCCGCACACACGATTCTGTACACTGGAGAAGGGAGGAGATGAGGAGGAAAGAATAATAATACAAAAGAAAGGGAATCCGCTATGCGCAATATAAAGACAAAAAGATGCCGAAAAAGAACGCCAAAATGCCCCTGTCCGTCCCGAAACTCCAGGTTCGTTCATTCTATACATGGGAAAAAAGAAGCGAACTGGTTGAGATTTTCTATTGCTTCAGGTCCTTGAACACCACGGGTGCAGGGTTCTGCGAGCCAGGAGGGAGGATGGGTCCATCTGACTTCTCGGGGATACCAGGGATACCGGCACCGGGACCCTCACGGTCACCACGGCCGCCAAAGTACTTGCTAAAGTCGCCCTTGTCCTCGAAAGGTCTTTGGCCGAGCAAGCGGACGAGATCGTCGCGAGTGAGAACCTCCTTACGGAGAAGCTCTTCAGCGACAATGCCGATTTCCTTCTTCTTCTCCTCGAGGAGATCGCGACATTGCTTGTAGGCTTCGTCGACGATGCGCTTGACCTCAAGGTCGATGTTGCGGGCGGTTTCCTCCGAGAAGGGCTTGGTGAGCTGGTTTGGGTCGTCCTCCCAGTAGAGGTAGCCGACCTTCTGTGACATTCCCCACTTGGTGACCATGGCAGTAGCCATGCGAGTCACCTTGTTGAAATCGTCGGATGCTCCAGATGTAACAGTCTCGAAATGGATCTCCTCAGACACACGTCCAGCAAGAGTCATGGCCATGCGGTCAAGAAGCTGGAGGTAAGACATGAGGTAGGTGTCGCCTGAAGGAAGGTACTGGGCATAACCAAGAGCTCCCTGGCCACGAGGAATGATTGAGACCTTGAGCAGAGGGTCGGCGTACTTGAAGTACCATCCACAGATGGCATGACCAGCTTCGTGGTATGCAACTGTGCGCTTTTCCTCAGGCGAGAGAACCAACGACTTCTTTTCGAGACCGCCAATAACGCGCTCGATAGCTTGTTCGAAGTGGATCATCTTGACAGTGTCAGCGCCACCACGAGCAGCGATCAGAGCGGCTTCGTTGACGCAGTTGGCAATATCTGCTCCAGAGAATCCAGGAGTAAGTGCTGCCAAACGACCCTTGAGGTATTCGATATCCTCCTTTGTTACGATGTTCTTCAGGTGGACAGCGAAGATTTGCTTGCGACCATCCATGGTGGGCTTGTCGATGGAAATGTGTCTGTCGAAACGACCGGGACGCATAAGAGCCTGATCCAGGACATCTGCGCGATTGGTACCAGCAAGGACAATGACCTGTAGCGAATTGTTAGAATGTCACACAACTGTTGTAAGTATTATCAGAACTCACCTGTTCAGTGCTGGCAAAACCGTCCATCTCCGTAAGAATCTGGTTGAGCGTAGCCTCTCTCTCATCGTTGCCACCACCGAAGTTTTGCTTCGATCTTGACTTTCCGATAGCATCGATTTCATCAATGAAGATGATACACGGTGTGCTCTTTCTAGCATTCTGGAACAGATCACGTACTCGCGAGGCACCAACACCAACGAACATTTCGACGAACTCTGAACCACTGACACTGAAGAACGGCACACCAGACTCACCAGCGGTTGCCTTTGCGAGCAGAGTCTTACCAGTACCGGGGGGACCAGAAAGGATAGCACCTCTAGGAATCTTTGCTCCGAGCTTCTGGAATCTCTCAGGCTCCTTCAAGAAGTTGACGAACTCCATGATTTCGACCTTGGCTTCGTCCATACCAGCGACATCGGCGAACTTGACCTTGACGTCGGTTTCGTGGTTGAACTTCTTGGCACGACTCTTGCCCATGCCAAAGATGCCACCACTACCACCGCCACCGGCTCCACTAGCGGCTCTCCTTGAAAGCCAGAAGATCGCACCAATGAAGAGAATGGTGGGACCAAAGCTCAAAACTGTGTCGGCCCATGAAACCTCGCGGCTGTACTGAACGGGTATTCTCTCTGATGATGGGATACCAAGTTCGGCCTGCGCATCGTCGAGTCTGCGCTCAAAGGCTTCAACAGAGCCAATGGAGAAGTAGTAGTAGAAGTTTCCGTGAGCAGCGGGGCTTTCGGGGTACATGGCAGCAACAGACTGCTGGTGGACATGTACTCTAACCTTGTTGTTGTTGACCACGACAAGTCTCTCAACAAGACCCTTGTCGAGGAAAGTGTTTCTCAGCTCTTGCCATGTGATTTCGCGCGAGTTCTCACCGGGGACGACCAAGCGGTAGAGGAGGTATGAGGTGAAGGCGGAGAGGATGATGCTGTTCATGTCGAGCTTGATTTCCTTGATGTTAAATTGTTGGCCGTCGCGTTCCTCGCCCTTGTTGTTAGACTTGGACTTGGATCCGGCGCCAGGATCGTGGGCACCAGACTTTTGTTGAGGACCCTTGCCGTCGGCCTTGATGTCGCTCTCGGCGGTCTTTCTGGCCATGGAGGACACCTGACGCCACAAACGAGCAGCGATGGCGGGAGTCATGACACCCTTCTTGACCTCATCCATAGTGTCGCGGAGCTCCTGAGGGATACCATCTTGACGCATCTTTTGGAAAGTCTTTTCTACCTCTTCGGCCATGGAGGCAGGCATGCCCTTCTTGATTTGACCAAAGACCTCCATAAGCTCCTTGTCTTCCTCTGGTGTGAGCTTTGCAAAACCGGGACGGGCGGACTCAGAAGCAGCCTTCTCGTTTGTCAAAGGGCCGCCCTTGTTGTAAAGGTGCTCCATGCCGGGAGCGGACTGGCCGGGAGTCTTGTCCTTGGCTTCATCCTTGTCGCGAGGCTCCTCAGGCTGGGTGGCGTAACGGCGGACGCGCTGGTATGCATATGTTGGTCGCGGAATTGATGCAGGTCTTAATGATAGCGAGCGACCGCGGGTCGATATCTGGTAGGTCGGCCTGTACAGGCGACCAAGGTTGATGGACTGCCTGAAGATGCCTGACATGGTTGGTGGCGGGATGTGAGGCGGCAGATGTGGAAGGTGAGTTGTAAGTTCAGTACGCAACCATCCAGCGGAAGGATAGTACAATGCGTGCAGCGGCGAAGTGGGCGGCGAGGGTTGAGTGGTGAAGAGGTGATGACTTGAAGGCGAGAGAAACGCCGACAGTCAATGACGCGAATCTGCTGTTGGCTGGCGTCCCGCACGAGACAGCTCAGACCGCCGCCCCGGCAATTACCGCTGGCTTTCTAATCACGATATCTCCTTCGACGACCTCGATCAATTACTCGTACACCATTGAGCTGCTTGTGAGTCAGCTTGTATTGCTCTGATCCATGGCGGTTGGTCGATGAAGAGGTTGCTTGGAGCAAGCAATTCTCTCCCTCCCTCCATCCAATAATGGGAATTGTTGACAAGGACAGCTGTTTCATAAAATGTCGTTTCATTTATGTACCGAGTACTATGTATGATAAAATCTATGTACGATGTGATGTGATGTCCTGCAAAGTACCTAGGCCCTAAAGCCAATGCTCTCCCTGTTGTCATCGACAAGCCTGCCGTACTCGAGTAATAGCCTGAAGAACCACACTTCAAAGTCTTCGTTTCTTAGCACTTTGTTGCTCCATTCTCTGCCTTGCTCGGCCATCTCGATAGCCATATTCTTACCAAGCTCTTCTGCACCAAAGTAACGTACTGATTCAAGTGCTTCTTCTGCTCGTAGACTGAGCGGTACATAGTGTATCCATGGTTTCAGCCATTCGGCGTGCCACTCACGGAACACGGCCATCTTGAAGACTAAACTGTGAGACTTGAGGAACGCATAGAAGCGGCCACTGAAAGCATTGCCATCCATATCGAGCAAGTATTTGTACTTCCAGGCATCTTGTTGATCGGCAGGAGCCACAATCTTGAAGAACTCCTTTTGTGCATCACAGTCGCCAGGGTCGCATTGGCCAACATGAGAGAAGTGAACATCCATCAGTTCCGAGTATTCGGAGCGAGCCACTGAGCGCATTTGCCAATCGGGCGTGTTGTCATCCCGAGATGAGGCGGAGTTCAGGTGCGCATCGTACATGATCTTGGCTTGGTCAGGAGCATTGAGTGTGCGCACAAGCTTTTGGCGATGCTGGCGACGCCATCCACCATCGCGTGAAAACCCGCCAGTCGTGCTGCCGACCCACCATAGCTTACTTTCTTTCTTGTCCCATGCAAGATCTTTGTGTTCGTCGTAAGTGACTTTGCCGTACCAATACCATGGAGAAGGATAAAGGATGTCCTGGAAACTGCTCATCTTGGACTGGGAGAAGATAGGTACAAGATCGTGCACCACGTTAAATGCGTTCGGTCGATCAAAGAAGCCGTGAGATGTCCCGAATGAAGGAGAATTGCAGACGTCGCTGAAGGCAGTGTCATTATACACAAATCCTAGCTCGCTCATTGCATATGCTGCAACATTATCAGGAGTGGTTTCCTCTTCGAGTGCTCGAGCGGGGCTATTAGGAGAGCACGAAAGACGTGACGGAATCCATGTAGGCTGGTGGGCGAAGACGTTGAAGCGTGTAACCTTCACCTCATCTACTCGTTCGCCTGAATTCAAATCCTTGGGTCGAGACGAGAATCCGTCTTTGGGGTCAGGATTGGCGAATGCAGCAGGCATATTTCTGTCTTTGGCTACTTCGACCAGACGGGATAGCTCATCGTGAGGCACAACGACTCGAGGCTCATCATGAATGTTGAAAGCCAGATCCATATCAGGCAGGTACTGAATAAATTTGTCCATCATGCCGATTGTCGCCTTTTGCTGCCATTCTTGACCACTTCGAACGTGTGTCACCTTTCCACTTCGTATCATCAGAGCGATCAGATTGTTACCATCGAAGCCAATAGCCTCTTGAACCCTCCGTCTTATGGTGACGGGCTTCAGACCCCAGAATGGGAGGAGCGAATTGTGAATGGTATCAAACTCGTCTATCAATTGGACATTACGGTCCTGTGCGAATTGGAACCACTTGTCGAAGTGGGGCGGTGGAGGGATATTGTATCTGCGCTTGTATTCGGCGACAGCTTCCCCTAGCGTGCGCGACTGTCTTTGCAGAAGAGAGCTGAAATCATGCTCGGCGTTCTTCGCTAGGTATTCGATAGGATGGACGTGGGTGTCATTGTATTGTAGTGGTGCTGATAGGTCTTGGTCGCGAAGTGTGGGTGACCAGGGGGCCGCCGGACCATTCGGGACGACTCGGGCAATCAAGCGGTCGCGGAAGTTGAAGGCTGCAAGTAAGGCGAGTGATACCAGCAGTAGGAGCGTGAGGAGGCGTCTGGACCGCATGTTTGCTCGGTCGTCTAGCGCGGATTGTCGAGTCGTCGAGTTTGTGCGGTCATGGAGAAAAACGTAGAGCGAAAGCAGGCATAGCGATGCAAACCAAAGGCGTCCCAGAGAAAATTCGGTTGCTAGCTGAGCAGCAAGGGCTGCGACGACAAAGGTCGAGGCTGTTGTGACTTGGTCGCATTTATCAACCTGTACACCCTGGTCAGTTTCACATGCCGAAGTGGATCCGCTAGCCACTTTGTGCTATCTTATCTGCGTGGTCGACTTACCACGAGGATCATGCTTCTGTTCAACATGACATGGACAATTACCATGCTTACTCCCAAGACTACCATGAGAATCTGTTGCGGCAGGAACGCGAACCAGAATGGTCTCGTACTGAAGCCTTCGAGAAGGAAAGCAGACATCCACTGCGCCAGTGCCGCTGCAAACGACACATCAACCAGCACCTGCTGTATATTTTTTCGAATGGTCGGTTGCGAGAGCAGGCCACTCACGGATATCACTCCATCGTTGGTATCGGTTGAGACTGTCTCTCGATGGGCAGTCTGTAACAGCGAAAGGACGACAGCCACGAGCACAGCGTTACAACAGCCTAGTGCGAATGTTGCTCTCAATTCGCTCACGTAGCTCAGAGCCACGAGTGCCGACACGGTAAGCACTGTCAACAGCCTGGTGTCTCCATTCTTTGGCTTCTCGGCGGACCGCGTGTCCGTACTAGAATTGAAGCGCGCAGTGCCGAATGCATCTACTTTGACGATTACGCAGACGAGGACGGGAAGAAGGGCCTTATGATTTAAGAATTCAGCCGATATGCGTGGTATGTATTTGACGAGCGAGTCTTCTGACCTTTGCCCAGTATATGTGGCCCCTTTCGACAGCTCTTTCGCACACGCTAGACAAGGCCAGCAGCACACCTGCCGCCCAGGATAGTAAGCGACCTTGCGACTCCCCGGTGCTGCTAAGACCACTCCTAAAGCGAGTGTATGCCCAGATGCATGTCCATGATGCGGCACTGGTCGTGAGGGAGTGTCGCGGAGAGGTGCCTATCAAAGCGAGCGCGGCGGTGACGAGCAGCGTGCCCAACAGCACCGCTTGCTGGTTGTCGTGTATCACCCGGCCCGGCGATATCATCAGTGTCTCGAGATTTGACAACAAAAAGTCATTGCATCGATTTAGTTGCTGCACACTTCACCATGACCTCCTTCCTACTCCGTGACGCGCGAGCTTGGCAATCCTTCTCCGAGTACCGAACCTATGGACCTACAACGTGATTGGCTGCACTTGATTACCCTGTTTCCACGCGTCTTCCTGGATGCTATTCTCTCGAAAGGGCAGAACTCGGTCTGGATCTTACATACGCCGGGTACTGCAAGAAGCATTGTTGCACCGAGCTCATTTGCTTCCATTGTCTGATCATGTTTGATTGGTGGATCTTGCATCGAGTCAGGGACAAGGGTCCGCTTCCGCATGTCAATAGGCGAGGCTGATAAGGACGTTATCAAAGCCGATGGCGCATGACCGACTAACTCCGCAACGGCTGTGTCACCGCCAGTGTACAGTGTGCAGTACCCTCTCCTCCTCTCACTCTCCCACTTGCATCTTTGTTCTTTACTTTACATTTGTAGCCAGTATTCTTCTTCGCGAGATTCTCAACCTGCTCGCCTCAGGAGCACGTAGCAGAGCTCATACGCTCTGACATCACCGCCAACATGGCGTCCAAAGCAATGATCCCGGTCCTGGTAGCCATGATGCTCCTGACGGGCATGTGCAACACTCTCTTTACCAAGTATCAGGTCTGATGCGCCATTCGCATAGCTGCTGTCATCCTCTGACTCCCTTACAGGACATGCAATGCGTTGCCAACTGTGACGATCCCAACCCTGCCAAACGCAAGAACTTTGAGCAGCCCGTCATTCAAACACTCCAGATGTTTGTCGGCGAGTCTGGCTGCTGGCTTGTTGTTCTCGCCTCGTCCATCTTTTCTCGATACATCAGCAAGTCGTCTGGCTCTACTTCCTACCAACCACTCGACACCGAGGACAGGACTGAGTTGGGCCGCGACCCGCTCCCACAAGAGGATGTTGAAGCTCCCGCCGATGCCACAAACGTTCCTGCCAAACCCTTTGCCGATGCTGAGGGTTCTGGCGAAAGACTGCCGCTCAAGGGTTGGAAGATTCTCTTGCTTGCCCTACCTGCATGCTGCGACATTGCTGGAACCACCTTGATGAACGTCGGTCTGCTCTTTGTGGCAGCCAGTATATACCAGATGACAAGAGGTGCTCTTGTGCTCTTTGTTGGACTCTTCAGTGTCATCTTCCTCAAGAGACATCTGAATGCTTTCAAGTGGGGTAGCTTGTTCATCGTCGTAGCAGGAGTGGCGGTGGTTGGTTTGGCCGGAGCTCTGGAGAACAAGAAGGCTACAGTTCCTGGAACAACACCTGGTTCTGACCCTCCTGGCATGAACGAGCTTCGTCACCAGATGGCTCATAGCACAATCCACATGCTTCGTGACGTCGCAAAGAACGTGAAGGTGGCTGCTCAGGAACATTCAGCTGCCCAGACCATAGTAGGAATACTTTTGATTGCTGGAGCGCAGATCTTCACTGCGTCGCAATTCGTCCTTGAAGAGAGCATCATGGCTAAATATGAGCTGGACCCGCTGGCGACTGTCGGCTGGGAAGGAGTATTTGGCTTCTCTGTCACAGCCATTGGTATGGTTATTCTGCACTTCGCAGTTGGACGCACTGAGGCTGGTAGAGGTGGTTACTTCGATGCAAAGGAGGGACTTAGCCAGGTCTTCCAGCATCGAGCTATCGCTTTTAGCAGTTTGCTTACGATGGTTTCGATTGGGTAAGTTCATCATAAGGACAGAACTGGATCACGACTAACACTGTTCTAGTGGCTTCAATTTCTTCGGACTGTCTGTCACACGTACAGTCTCTGCAACAGCACGCAGCACGATTGATACATGCAGAACACTGTTCATCTGGGTAGTCAGTCTTGGGCTAGGATGGGAAACCTTCAAGTGGCTGCAAGTGGTCGGCTTTGGATTGCTGGTGTACGGCACCATGCTGTTCAACGAGATTATCCAACCACCCACGGTAGGATTCATGCGCAAAAGAATTGCGCTCGAGTCGGAGGATGATAGAAGAGGGAGAAGCGAATAGCGATAGGTCATCTGTTGTCGGTAAATAGATATCAATTGCTCTAGAGCAGAATTATGCACGTCATTGCACAAAACGGTCCCCGCATGTTCGCTTCGAATCGCATGTCTTTGCTAGGGATGCCGATGGTATCGATCGAATCTTGCTTTCTTGTGACGCGCTTCATTTCTCTCCCTGCACAATCCGTAAGACCATCGATAATGTCTACCGCTCCATCATCGCGTCCGTTATTTCAGCCCCAGGGCGAGAACATGGGTCCACCAGGAAAATCAATCGCTCGACCCCGACCAGACAGTAGCAATCGACCAGTACTAGGAGAACTGACGCCGAACGCCAAACTTGACAAGCAGCAACAGACTGCTAGAGCGGGCAGTCCATTGAAGCGACAAGCGAATATCTTCGATGATGGAAAAGGCTTCAGCTATATCAAAAGACGCCGTCTTTCACACAACAATGCTCTGACGCGCCGAATCACGCCGCAACCTCCTCAGGACCAGCAAAAAGGTCTCTCTCCTACCGAGCACGACTCCCAGTCTGAAGGTGACAGCGGTCGCTCATCGCAGAACTCAAACGCTACTCGTGGCTCCTTCTCGTCCTTGATCAACTACGACCCCTCGTCTCAACAGCAGATCTCGCAACAGCACCAGGCAGGCTCATCGGCACGATCCATGACCATCAGAACCGCTGCCCAAACCCTTCGGTTACGTCTACGCATCGCCATCTACAAGGTCCGCACCAACCAGATCAACGTACCCTTTTCGCGTCTGCAGATCATCGCCAAGCAACCCACACGACAACAACCTCACCCTCAACCACAACCTCCTCCTTCCCCCGATGCCCTGCCCATGGCTCCTCCGCCGTTACGCCCTTATAATGAGAAGCACATACACGCTGCTGAACCGCAACACCAAGCTCAGCAAGCCCTCTTCTCCACGCCAAACATCTTCTCGAACCGCTTTATGCCTTATAACGCTCCCTCGAGCTCGCCGCCGCTAGCACACGACCCATTGCCTCGTATTGCAAGAGAAGCACAAGCTCGTATGGCTGCTGCCGCTGCTGCGCAAACTGCGGACAGAGATAGTCTCGACTCTGAAGCTACCGAATTGGCTGACGACCAGGACGAACATCCTGTGGCTGAGAGCCCGCTGGACAGGTCTAGAAGACACCACATGCTGCCACAAACTTGAAAGCTCTTTCAAACCACTTCTTGATATATACAGACAGTAGTGACTGCGCTGCTCTTGCTTTTTTATGCAGCCGTCTTCCTCTTGCCGGCATGCGCTTCTTCAGCGGCCCTGCTTCGATCTTTACACTACCTGAAATGGTACATGATCCACAGACCTTGCTCTTCTGGCATCAGCAGACGCGTGTTCCTTGCACGCGGGCAACCCCAAATTCACATTACATTCGAGGCCATCACGAAGGCCACCACAAAACGAAGGAGAGATGAAGATAATGGACGCAAAAAAACGGGAATAGCAGAAACACGGCGTTTATATGAGGTTCGCTGGTAGGTATTACGCGGGTCTGGCTTCTTTGATATCCGATTTGCGTTTTGGGGGTCAATTTCACCATCCCATGTTGATGGTCAATCACGGCCACGTTTTTGTTATCTGTACTTCTCCTGACTCTGAATTGAGAGGTGTATAGGGTAGCCCATTTCGCACCCTTTGTTATTGCTAATGCTTTTGATTCTTCGACGACGAAATAGATGAGCTTTCGTAGTGTTTTACAATTCACGGTTTTTCTTCGTTCTTCATTCATGGAGTCTTCGGTCTGGCGTTCCTTGAATCTCTCTCATTCGCGAGGGATAGCAATTGATTGATCTGAGGCAGGATCCGGACAACGAGGACTGCGATGTAAGAATTGCAATCATCTCCATCAATGAATGTAATGAGCCACTTCTGATAAACGCCGTCAAGAGAGGTAGAGCAGAGGTGTATGCTCAGAGCAGATCTCTTGAAGTGCATGATGATGCAGAGGAATCATCTCAGCTACATCTCTTGATTTAAGCTTCGCGTTCTTTCCTACTTGTCGCTAGTACTGGAAATAAGAAATAGAAAGACGCAGATTGTCCCACCCGTCTGTCATCAAGGTCGAAGAAGTGGTTTCTCATATCGTAACGCGAAGTGTGCTAGCGCATCACGACGCTTCCGTAATCAAACCATCATGATGCTTTCGGCCAGACTCGACAAACCATAATCCCGAACTCCTTCACGCTTGTGCATCTCCAACATAAACACCAATATCAAGTCATGCCATAAAAACCTTTCGAGTTATAACAAAATCATCCGCACGGCTTAGAATACAACAGAATCAGAATGTCGCTTTGGCGGTAAGTGGTTGCTTAACTACGCTCATCTACCCATCCAAGAAAAACAATATTGCCATCATCTCGAGTACCATTCCGATCACATCCATCTTTTAAGACATATGCATCCCCATCACTTTGTACACATATTTCTAGGCCTATCAGTTCTCGTCTCGCCCTTTCAAATCTGATACTTTCACGATACGTCGACCACTACTTCCTAGCCCATCCCATCGACAATCACGATCCCATACTAACAAAATCCCTCAAAGCTACTACAACTCCCTCTCCCCCAAGACCCGCCTTATGGTCGGCGGCGGCGCAATGGCATACGCCTGTATCGGTCTCTTCCTCTCAGATACCGCGGAGGAGAAACTCGGCTACACGCCTACGGAAGAAGACAAGCGAAAATTGAGGGAAGCTATGCCGAGGATAAGAGTGGTGGAGGAGTGATTGAGGCCAAAAAGCCGAGAGTAGATGAAGATATGGGCATGGGAGGAGGAATGAAGGGGGTGGAAGGGGACTTGATTCCTTTTTTTTCTTTTTTTTCTTTTTGGTGGGAGATGTATGGGGGATGACCCTGGTGTGGAAGAAGGGAGATGGAAAGGCGACCATCGGACGAGATGACAGTCCAATCCCGTCAGTAGGTTGGAAGAAGGTGTCTCTTGAACGACTCTGGAAGACGTTCAGGTGTCCAGAGGTCAATTTTCACGCCGCGGCTATCGAGTCGAGAAATTCGAGGGTTCGGAGAGCAAACAATCAGCACAAACACGCAGAGAGCATCTGTCCTTTCCAACACCAGCATCATATCTCACAAGAGCAGCACCAATGTATCAGGCAAATCCCATGACTCAACATGAAAACTGTTTCCATGTCACGATACACAGCAGCGCAGTGATATTTCGCAATGCCCGTATGCTGCTGCATCAGTAAGCTCAGTCATATCAATCGTCCACACAAATCATGAGCACATACCCGGCCTATCTCCGCACCACAGGAAACTCACTCCGACCAAAGGGGCATCTCCATCGTCTCATCGAAGATGCAAATCTCAGATCCAGATCTCGCTCCTCATGCAAACATCACGCCAGAGCAAAAAAAGCACAACTGCCGAGGGAAGATCCAAAGCACACGCGGCACCCTTTCTATCACTAATCATTGCAAGGCCTCCTCCTCAGCTTTTGCGAGACTGGTGCGTTGTTGCGACTCTCAACGGAATTTTATCTCGCATAGCACTCGCATCGGAATTTGTAGAAGCATCGCATTTTTGAATCGACAACATCGGGAGTCGAGATGGGTCGGAAGGAACGTAAGTGTGGGGAAATGAGTGGGCGGTAAAAGCTTGGCATATGCACGTGTCGTTCTCGTTCGCGGTGTGCGGAAGGAAGGAAGAGGCTCCTGGTCATGTCGGACCGTGCAAGGGCGGTTGTTTCGTTTGTGGTTTGGCCGGTCCTTGAGAAGGATATGCTCCTACTAAATTGGGTATAGAGGGTGGAGACGGTCGGTGTTTGACAGTTGGTTGCCGTGACGGGGTTGCAGTAGGATGCAGCCGGTAGTGTGTCGGGTGTTTGGGAAGTTGTTGGTATGAGCCATGGTGCTGGATACAACCTGCTTGAGCTGGCGGTGATGTCCGGGCGCGTTTGATGCGGTGTCAGTGTTTCGAAGCCTTTGGTTGAAGAAGCGAGTCAGTGGATATGCGCAGCATGGTATCCAAAGGTGAGTTCTCCGAGAGTCGCCATCAAGGTGATTGATTCAGCGACCATGAGGTTATGCTGGGCCAGATTGAACGCTTCTGCTTTTACCGATTATCTTTGCATGAGATTTGACACGTACGATTGTGGCAGTCCATCTGCATTAGAAATCATTCAATTGGTTAGCAGTGCACAAGATATCCTTCCATCGAGCCTCCTATCATTCCAGCCCCTCTTCGCGTAACCGCATCTCTCGATTCCCCCGATGCGAATCTGAGATGCAAGCAAATATACGATAAATACGGTGAATGATCTTGCCATCTTGCTCATCTCGGGCAAGGGCTAGAGCGCATCCAAAGCAATGCACGAAGCATCTGATGAGCGAAGGGTACACTAGCAACCTGGTGAAAACTGGCGACCGCTGTTGAGGGTAAAGAAAAAAGGAAGGGATGGAAGCAATCGAAAAGTACGCTGGTGAATCTGACATGTTGGAGATGGATCTCCCGATTCCCGAACGGTGATACATCCCATTGGCTCGGTGGTTACCTCCGAGTTGCGAAAGCGGCAGCCACATGGGTTCAGCCACTTCTGATTTGCCCAACACGACGTCTTGGTCTATTTGTCTGTGCTGGGTGAGAAAGTCTCTTGTTTCCACTTTGAAATGGTATGAATTTGACAGGTCTGAGATTTGGGCCGAAGCCTTACGTTCCATGTGTATGTTTGATTATCCGTAAAGTTTTGAGATGAGGGTTACCACTTAGAGGACATGGTAGAGAATTGGTACTGAATTTGGGGGTATGTTCGCTTCCTCCCCAGTCCTCTGTCGCGCATGTTCCGCTTGTTCTAGCTGGACTACCCGTCCGCTCGGAACCCAAATGCCGGGTACACCATGTGTACGTGCAGCATCAGACTGATTACTCTTCCGGAGTCCAAGTCCCAAAGTGTTCCATTGGCCCCCATATTAGAGCTTGGGTTGTATGCAAGAGTGTGTGCCTGACCCATGATTTCCCCAAAACCTTGTATTCCCTCCTCTTGCTATCGTTTTGTTCTGCAAAGCGAAGGAGCAGATGCTGGACCCCTAGTACCAGACTATGTGCAACGGAGACTGATTGATCAGTGGTTCGCATTGAGCGGATCAACAGATTACTTGCAGTGGGTCTGTCGACGCGATATCTGGACGGATATATTTCGTACTTGGTAGCAAAGCCCGAGTGGAAGAAAGATTTGAGATGAGTGACACGAAGACAAAGATGTCCGTCTCTTTTGCTATGCGTTGCGCCGTATCTGTCAGCCATCGAACCTGGAATGCCTTCGACTCATTGTTTGGCCATTCGTGGGATCGAGGTTGCCATCGGTCCAGTCGGTCTGCGACATTTGTACGTTGTAGAGGTAGTGATTCTGCTGAGAGGATCCACCCTGACCATCTGGCTTTGCCCAATCCTGAGTGCTCGACTGGTAGGTTTCTTGTTGAATGTGAGACGAGTTCTGGAACGGCCAGATTTCAGCCCTGAGCATAGGTCAGCATTTGGTCGGGCGAATGCAAACACACACTCTTGGTGACAGAGCTCACGATTCGAGAAGCTTGATAGGCAAACGCTGCACACCACCGAATATGGTGATGACTGACAAGAGAGGGGACAATGCCACTCACAGGCTCTGAAGAGTCGAACCATTGTTGTCTGGAAAGCTGTACAAGGTTTGTTGACCAAGCCGAGGATCGATCATCAACGGAGGTTGTTGAGGTGGACTTGTGTAGTCTGTCATGGGAAGAGTTTCGGCGAACATGTTCGAGTCGCCATCATGTTGGTCTTGGGAGTGCGTCGACATAGGCGAGAGGTTTGAGAGCGTACTGTCGTCCATGAAGTCGTGCATGCTGTCCGGCGGTCGTTTTCTGCTTGTTGGTCGCGACTTGCGGAGAGTCCTGGCGTACGTTTCCACGTTTGGACACTCCCTCAAACGACGGAGATGTTCAAATGCCTCTGGCTCGGGTGTGGTCTGCAAGGCGTTGAAGACGAGGTCGAAGTCAGAGTTTCGCTCTGCCAACTCCTTGTTTCGCCGCCTCACTGCTTCGACTCTTGAGATACCCGCTTCGGAATCGTAGATGCATGTTTGACCTCTCTGTTGGCAGAGCATACACATAGGACGCTCACCACTGCACTAGAGCTTGTAGTCAGATCAATTGCCTATGATAGGTCTAGCCAGATCGCAAGTGAACTAACCTTTACTTTTCGTTTTTGACATGACTGACATGCGGCCTTGACGAGTTGTCGTTTTGGTCTGGTTGATGAAGACGCATCTGTGCTCATCTTGCGAGCGAGGGGTCTCAATGCCGTAGGAGCAATGGTTCGTTTGTGAAGGGCGTTATTGGATGTGACAGTGCGGAGTCCAGCAACTTTGGCTCTCTTGTACTCGATTGTGCATGGAGATTGGCGTTCTTCAATGGGCAGTCCCCAGGCAACTCTTTCCGCAGTGCCGTAAGCTGGTTCTGGATCGACGATGAGAATCGTCGAGTTCGTCGATTCTAGATCTGCAGATTTCCTTGGACCCTGACGCGCCAATTCAAGAGATATCAAGGGCAGCGGCAGAACTGCGAAGTAAGAGGCAAGCGTTCAGGAGCTGAAGAGGGGGTGACGTTGTTATGAGAACAGAAGATATCCGGTTGAAATGACAAAGCCTTCTTTCGGACTTTCTTCCGAAGGGCCGCGATGCAGAATGGCTGGACCTTATTGTTTAGGCACGCAGTGGGGTCTGTCTGAGTTTGGTTGATGGAGGCGTTCTCCTAGACTGCTCAATTGTCCTTGAGTTCGAGTGGAATCGGTTTACCAATGTTCAAGGGGCAGGCGACGAGGCAGGGCTGACAGGTGTTTGACGAGGGGAACAATCCAGGGCAGAGAAACAGCACCATCGCAGCGCCGGGCTGCAGTTGCAGACTTACTGTCTTATATTGAGCCATCTGCTGTGGCGATGCGCAAGCCGGCACGCTCGACCAAGCTATGCTCCGCTCACTAGACCTGAGTTGGGAGGACAGACGGGGAGGCGGACGGACAGCCTACGACCTCGCTTAAGCGCCTAGACGGGGCCCCCAGTAGCTCAGGCATTCATGTCCGAAGATCGAGATTTGAGGAAGTAAAAGAGTAGGATGCCCCGTAAAGCAGGCCATGGGAGAACCTGTATTTACTCGTAACCGCTTGCACTGCTGCAGTCTGCTGATGCTCCTGCCACGCATGCATTTCTCGTTGACCATGGCAAATGTGGTATCTGGAGCGACGCCAGCCAATGCCCATCACGATCCGCTTACCTCGACCGAATCAGGACCGTCGCATCAACTATTGGAAGCTTCAGAGTAGCAGCGACAGCTATGTTGCACCACCCGACTCGCGATCGACCTGCGATATCGTACTCCGCCTGAACGTCTGCTTGGTTTGGAGTCTGCACCGCGGCACCTCCCATGCTTCTCTGGCCCTCGGTACTTCTCCGTTGAACACCGCTTCCTCCTCGGCATCGATTAGAATGGATTAAAAGCTGGTTTGGATCCAGCCATAGCAAAAGAGAAGGATAAAATACAATCATGCCTGCGATTCAGAAAAGTCATTATAAAGAACATCAGCATCACTTAAAGTTTGCTCTTGCTGACAATGGCGCTGTTGCCCTTGCCGATCCATGTTACAGCATCGCCAACCATCTCATCAACAATCTGCTTGGCTGACTGCCTCTCATTTACAACAGCAGCGGCCTTGCCCATCAGGAAAGGTCGGGCGTTATCCATGGTATCATCGTCAAGGTCATCACCAAGGCTCTCGAGATCGTGCTCGACAGGGATGACACCCTCAGATGTCAGCTTCTTAATCTCGGCCTGTCTCTCGTTCTCCCACTTCTCGATGTATGGGTTCTTTCGCACACGAAGCGGACGTCCTGTGAAGATGATGGTGCGGACGTTGTCGTCGAATCCAGATGTACGGACTGCTTCCTGATGGGCTTTGCTAGCACCTGCCTCTTCACTGAGTACAAAGCGGGTACCGATCCAGACAGCAGTGGCACCGAGCATGAGTGCAGCCGCTAGTGACTGACCATTGAAGAGACCACCAGCAGCGATAACCTGCACCGGCTTGCCGGTCAAGGGACTCTTGTGGCCCTCGCACATCTTGACGACGGTGGGGATGAGGATCGTCGTAGGAACATCTCCAGTGTGACCACCTCCTTCGCCTCCTTGTGCGCAGATCATATCGACACCGATCTCTAGGCACTTCTTGACATGCTTGGGATGGCCGATCATGTTCATGTAGAGGACGCCAGCTTTGTGCAGTTTCTCGACAATGTGCTTTGGTGGAACTCCAACAGCCGAAACGAAAAGGGAGGCCTTGGAATCGATGATGATGTCGACGAGCTCGTCGAGTTTGCCCTTGGTGTAGTCGTAGCTGTATCTTACATGAGCATTGACATAGCAGGCTCTATGTGGTAGGCCACTTACTTTGTCTTTCTGGCACTGCCACCGACTTGAGGCAGCAGAAGGTCAACACCGAAGGGAGCATTTTTGTCCTTGAGATAACTCTTCAGTTCGGCGATTTGCTCTCGCAGCATGTCAGGCGTGTAGCCAACACCTCCAATAACGCCTAAGCCTCCGGCGTTGGTGACAGCAGCGGCAAGCTTCGGACCAGCGGCGACGTTCATTCCGGCAAGCATGACAGGGTGGTTGATCTTCAAGAGATCGGTCGTTGTGGTTCGGATTTGCTCTACATCGGGTCAGCCACTGTCGGACTTTGTCTAGTGTCATTCCTTACGAGGAGACGCCATGTTGACTGTTGACTGTTTGGTATGGTATTTGATGGATGGAATGTCAGCCAGAAGTGAAGTCGCAAGATAGATGTATGAAAGAGAGGAGAAAGCAGGCACGACCGAGGACTTAAGTGTTGATCACCAGATGCCGAGGCATCTCACACTCGGCAACAATCTTTCGTAATCGATAAATCCTCGATCACCAGACCTACCAGATTGTTCCAGCTTCTGCTTTCCTCCACAGAGGCCGCGCTGAACTCTCTATCATATCCTTGACGAGTCATTTTGTGTTACACCTTAGCGGACTGATAGTTCTCGAGTTGAGCAAAAGATGATTGTTTATGTCGCTCGAGCCTCCAAAAGCGGGGCGTCCGGGGTAAGCTTTCTCGGATGCAACTGCTTCGGGAGCCGGACAGGGTCTCCTTTCACGTGCTGGAACTCGAGCATCTATCTTTCTCGCCCCAACATCAACACAGTCCTACATCTGCAATCGATGTTCGCTTCGAGAAGATCTAATGAACCTGTTCTCCTTCACAACACTGCAATGAACGTGATCCAGACAACACTCTAATCGATGCTCTAGAGAGAACCCCATCCCGCTATCGGATCTCTTGCTTCTGGCCCTTCCCGCTTTCGACTAGCGAACGGAGGAAAAATTCACTTGCGTTCTTGGCCCCCTTTACCAACACGACAAAACGTTCCGGAATGAGATATATCTTCCCAGCGACCAACTTACCGTGTAGATGCGTTCGACCGTATAATCAGCGTGCTTTCTTTGGATCTTCTCTCAGCCGGACACATCATCACCGCTCAAGGACGACCGTACCAATACAGCACAGTCCAACACTACGTCGAATGCATGGCTTGACTTCACAACAAGATAAGACCAACATCTCGATAATGCCGCTGTTCCGTCGCGACATGTCTACTGATAGTAGTCAAGTACGTCGGTGTGCGTATATTGCTCTCGGAAGCAATGTAGGCGACAGACTTGACATGATTGAGAAGGCATGTCTGGCTCTTGATCAGGATCAAAATATCAAAGTCACGCGAACAAGCTCGCTATATGAGACCGAACCTATGTATGTTGAGGATCAGGCTCGCTTCTTGAATGGCGCTTGTGAGGTAAGACCTTCTGATGTTCGGTGATATAGGGCGGGCTACTAACACTCAGGGACAGGTCGAGACTACCCTCGAGCCAATGACTTTACTGGACAGACTACAAGCTATCGAGAACGAGCTTGGACGTGTCAAGCTGATTGACAAAGGACCTCGAAGCATTGACCTTGACATCTTGCTTTACGAGAATCAAGTGATTGACACAGAACGCTTGAAAGTTCCACACATGCTCATGCTTGAACGAGAGTTCGTGCTTCGTCCTCTTTGCGAGTGAGTATCTCCGTCCCGTGTCGACTGGATCACAAATTTATAAGTCTCCAGTATCATCCCAGAGGCTATCCCTTCCATTGGCAAAACGCGGGTCCCACTCAGTGAGAGTTTGTGTAAACTGGCATCTTCTCCTTCAACCCCCATCTCAACTACAACGAGTATGGGAGAAGGCACGTTTTCCATTCGAGCCCTCGAATCAACACGCCCAACTCATATCATGTCTATTCTCAACACTACTCCTGACTCATTCTCGGATGGTGGTCTCAATTCACCCACAGACGAAGCAGCTCTTCGAAAAACGATATCATCTCATATTCGTACAGGCGCTACGGTTATTGACATTGGAGGACAATCCTCTCGCCCGAACGCCCCGGATGTGACGGCAGAAGAGGAGATTCAACGAATTCTTCCCGCTATCAAGATCACAAAGGCCTTGCCAGAAGGCTCTAACATTTGCATCAGTGTTGACACGTATCGAGCTGAAGTAGCCGAGGCGGCTATCAAGGCGGGAGCACATATCATCAATGACATTTCTGGAGGTCTGTTGGACGCAGATATGCTTCCTACGGTTGGTCGCCTGGGATGCACTGTATGTCTCATGCACATGCGTGGCACTCCAGCGACTATGACCAGTGCAGAAAACTGCTCATATCCTGACGGCTTGATCCCAACAATAGCTCGAGAGCTTCTGGACCGCGTCCAGGCAGCAGAAGATGCAGGAATTCGTCGCTGGCGTATCATACTAGATCCCGGCATCGGGTTCGCCAAAACAGCCGAGCAAAACCTGGAGATTCTAAGGGGCATGAGTGAACTTAGAAACTGGCCTGGCTTGGTGGGTCTACCATGGCTCTTAGGTAGCAGCAGAAAGGGCTTCATCGGTAAGATCACCGGAGTGAAGGAAGCAAAGGAGCGCACATGGGGTACGGCTGCGACAGTAGCGGCAGCAGTTCAGGGAGGAGCAGACGTGGTGCGTGTACACGACGTAGACGAGATGGCCAAGGTGGCCAAGATGTCTGATGCGATATGGAGAGCATGAAAAGAGCAGGATGTCGATCAGTTCGAACGTCTTTGGAAGATTAGAGTACAGACGCTCTGGCCTTGTTGACCGCCGAAGGTGAAGGTGGGATACTTGGCCTCATCGAAGAATTGCAGCTCGCCGTCAGGAGCGACAAACCAGTTCATGACTTCTTCTTTAGTCCAGTTGCAGGATGTGATGATAAAGAATTGTCCAGGCTTAACGAGAGGAGTAATGTGCTCGCGGTATGACTCGCAGATACGGCGGCCTTGAGCGTCTGTCTCGGAAGACAGCGAGATGGCGTCGAAGGTGCCTTTGTCCAGGACAGCGTCGAAGCCTTCACCCAGCCATTCTCCAGGTTGTTGATTGAGAAGATCCCACTCGTCAAAACGAATGGAAGCATCTTCCTCTTCGCGTCCAGCAGCGATCTGACGGGCAAGCTTCACACTGGCATCGCTATAGTCGACACCGACTAGCTCTCCGGACCACTCTTCATCCAGCAGAGAAAACAGCATGTGTCCGTTGCCGGTGCCCAAGTCGAGAATGCGCGAGTCGTCCTTGCTCAGCAGGCCCTCGTCTTCCAAAGCTTCCAGGCGTTCAATGACCTTCTCTTCAGCACCGCTGTCGTCGAACCAGATGGTGCCCTCATCTTGTGCGTCCTGGGCATGATTTGCGATTTCACGTGCATAGGCTTCGTCCCAGCTGGAGAGTTGATCAGCCGAGTTCTTGTCGCGTGATGGATCATTTGTGGAGGCGTACTATTGCTTCGTGCCGAGTTCGCTTGGATCAAGGTGGGAGCGCATGATTGTTGAATTTACAGCTGACGAATGCAGCAGGCGCAGATGTGTGATTGTCTAAAGAACGATAAAAGGAAAACAAATGTATCGATAGGGCGGAGCTTCCCTCGTTCACATGCGGCGGTGCTCGGTGATGACAACGGCCCGCACGGACTTGGCATCATAGTAGCGACGACTTGGACAGTGAGGCAGCTCCTGACCGAGTGCCAATTGTCCCCTCAACCCTTTCGTATCGTCTTCGGTGCAAGTTTTCTGGATGCTGTGAACACGTTTCGACTCGCTTCCTTGTTTCCACATCGCCCGAATCTCCGTGTCCACGTCTCGACTTGGTTGAAACTTGACCGCTACCCTTCCCCGGACACGCCAGGCCCCCGTCATGGCCGCCGCATACTCTGCCTCTGCTCCGGGAACGGCCCCTCCAGCCATGTCGAGCTCGAGTGCCCCGCCAGGCACCTTCGCCCCGGGTACCAAGGTCCAAGTCGGCTCCCACCGCGTCGTTATCGAGAAGTACTTCTCCGAGGGAGGCTTCGCCCATGTCTACACGGTCAAGGTACCGCCCAAGGATGGCTCGGCCAAACCCACAATCGCCGTGCTCAAAAGAGTCGCAGTGCCGGATAAAGATGCTCTGGCAAACATGCGTACCGAGGTCGAGACTATGAAGAAGCTACAAGGCCACAAGCACATTGTCACATACATCGATAGCCATGCCAGTCAGCTGAAAGGCGGTGGCTACGAGGTCTTTTTGCTCATGGAGTTTTGCTCGGGTGGTGGTCTGATTGACTTTATGAACACGCGCCTGCAGCACCGCTTGACGGAGCCTGAGATCTTGCACATCTTTGGCGACGTCAGCGAGGGTGTTGCGACCATGCACTACCTAAAGCCCCCGCTCTTGCATAGAGATTTGAAAGTCGAGAATGTCCTTATCACCAATTCGACAAAGGGTGCTATCTATAAGCTTTGCGATTTCGGAAGTACCGCTCCTCCACGACCGGCGGCTACCAATGCTCAAGAGGGCAGGATCATTGAAGAAGATATCCAGCGCCACACAACTATGCAATACCGGAGTCCCGAAATGGTCGATGTTTGGCGTAGGCAGCCTATCGACGAGAAGAGTGATATCTGGGCTTTGGGTGTCTTGTTGTACAAGCTGTGCTATTACACTACTCCTTTCGAGGAGGTCGGCCAGATGGCCATCTTGAACGCCTCATTCAAGTATCCGCACTACCCTCCATTTTCATCACGTCTCAAGGCGTTGATCGGTCAGTATGTCACCTCAGGGTTGTGCTCGCTCCACTAATCGGTTTGTTGCAGGCTCTTGTTTACGAGAAGATCCTCGTCAGAGACCCAACATATATCAAGTCGTGACTGAGGTTTGCAGCATGCGCGGCACTCCGATCCCCATCAAAGACGTATGTTTGTACATATCCTTTCTCAGGCCTGTATCTAATCGTGTACAGATCTATGCACAACGCACCCAATCTGAAGCTGGACGCAACCAAAAACTTCCTGACATAACATCTCCAGTGGCCTCACCCCCTCCAGCTGGTATCAGTCACGCATCTCCAATCAAACAGAAGCAATATATCCCCGAGATTGCTCCCATGAGACGAGGCAGACCAACAGCTGCTCCTCAGCCCGTGGCTGCTAAGCAGAGTGCAGCATCAGCTAAGAGCTCCGATCCTTTTGCTGCTCTTGATTCGGCATCAAACACTATTCGCTCACGTGCCGTGGACGAACTCTCAGCCAAATTCCCCTCCTTGGACGAATTCTCCATTGCACACGAGTCTGGCGGTTTCAACTTCTCCTCGTCCAAGCCGCAGAGAAACGATCCTGCAACGAGTGCACTGGCAGATGAAGTATTTGCACGCCCTGCATCAGCGAGGGATACGCCTCCCCCGAAGCCTGAATCCGCCTCAACACAGAAGCCTGGCCAGTCGGCGAACCCTCAGGCGGCACCAAAGGCCGAAGCACCTCCCAAGCCGAAGACACTGATGCACCAGCCAGCACCTCAGAGGCCGAACTATTCTTCGGCTGGTACCATGACCTCTCCCTCGCCAACTATATCTGCACAATCGACCCAACCAGCCTTGCCCAAGATGCCGGACGTTAGCAAGCGACCAATCTGGCGTGTACCAGACCACTCGAGATCTTCGAGCCAGCCACGTGCATCTCCATTGGCCCAAAAAGAAGCCGACAGACTCCAGCCTAGTGCACCGCCTGCGCAGAGACCTGTACTCCTAGATTCTCACCGCTCGAAGTCGCAAACAGCCACCATGACACTCGCAAAACAAACGACTTCCTCCAGACCATCATTGGAAGGGCACAGACCATCATTTGGATATGAAGACAATATCAGCAGAGCGAGATCTGCCAATTCAAGACCACGACCCGTTAGTGCTGCGTATGTGGACTCAAATCTGGATTACTTGCGAGAACAGGAAGCCGAAAGGAAAAGACCATCTCTTGAGATTAGGAGATCCAGCCGATCGATCAGAAGTACTGACATCAATTTTGATGATGCTGCGAATATTGAGAGCGATGCAGACTATCTTAGAAGTCTGGAAAGCAACGAAGGGTTGAGCCGTAGGAGTAGCGGCAAAGATGCCTCTCACAAGAAGCGCTCAAGCATGTCCTCACTAAGCTTTAGCGGAACCAAAACCATGCTATCTGGCAGATTCAACGACGCGTTCAAGAGATTTGAGCAACCGAGCGCAGATTTGAAGGCCCAGAAGAGCGGTAGAGGATCTGAATCAGGATTCAGGACCCCAAGTCCAAACCCGGCAATGCAGCTTGAAGGCAACCTACTCAGCCCAATTTCAGGATCCGACACAAACGAAACGCCACGTCGTCCGGAAGCCGCTACCACCGACCTCGCTGACCTGATAGAGACCGAAGACTTGCCACCGGAGATGCGCAGAGAGATGGAGAGATTACAGCTGGCCCAGGAAGAGAAGCGCGTGGCAGCAGCAGCCGCCGAACATCGCAGTCGCGGAGGTGCTCCTCCTGTGCCTTCTAAAGCCAATATGATTCAGCAGCGTGTCCAGTCGTTGTTGGACGATGGTCAGAAATCTCCCGTGCGTAAGAGGCAGGCGGAGGGCTACGGACGTTTCACAGAGAGGCCAGAGGAAGAGCCTGCCCGACAGGCAACACCAAATATCCAACCCACAGCTAAGAGAGCACCTCCACCAGTTGCGAGAAAGCCAGCCACACCTGTACCTGCATCTATTCCCGCATCTGGAGAAGTGGACATGAATCTAAGGTACCACAAGGTCAGGCAGTCACAATCTTTTCCGACACCAGCAGGCACGTATCCTCTGGAGCATACGGTATCAGCACCTGCACAACGAACAGGACCTGCACCAAGACCTAGCGCCCCCGTCAAGCCTGCATCTCTAAAGACTGGTGGATCAACCATGTTGCAAGGACGCCCTCCATCTTCTGGAATGACGAGTCCCGTATACAGTCAAGCCTCAGGAGCAGCTCGGGGACCCAGCCTCGCAGCTCTTATCGCACGCGACAATGAGGGCGTTGCAGGTGCTGGTGCTGGCGCTAGCACAGGCATGGACCAAGGCATGCGACAGGAGTCGGATTTTGCCAATCAATCAGATTTCGACGACTGGCAGGCGGATTTCAGCAAGCGATACCCGAGTTTGAGCGGCATTGAGATGGTCGAAAGGGAGATAGCGGCGACTGGTGGAGGTAGAGATGCAGGACGTCGTGGCATGAGAGTTAGAGATGTATGAGTGTAGTGACTGTTGTAGCATAGAAGTGTTGGATATCACAAACAGTTCCAGAACTTGTCGCACCTTCCCTTGCGTATCCTAAACAATCATGGTTCCAGATGGAGCATTTAGAGTGTAGTGACGATCGCAGGAGGGTTAATGTTTCACAAGGCCGGCGGAAGGCGCATCAAAGTCCGACTCCCGACACCCAAAACGGGCTCCCCCCACTTTAGCATCACAAACACCCTCAGCGCTTGCTTCTCTATTGTTGACTATCGAAAGAATACGAACACATTTAGTTATTGTCGCCGAGAAAGAGTCGGAAGCGGCTTCAGGCGTCAAGAAACAGCAGGCGTCAACAAGGCCACAAGACGACCGTCATCATTCATCACACTGTGACGCGCGCCGTCATCTCTGGAGAGGGGCTATAACATTGACATAGGCGAAACACAAACACGAACTCGATCATCACAATGGCGCGCAGCATGGATCGCCCTCGAAGACAACGCCGCCTGTCCAATGTGACCAACTCGTCCTTCTCATCCACATCCCCCGAACGCGAAGTCGACGATGACAACGACTCGTTCATGCTCCAGGCCAACGACTCGCAATCATCCGTAGCCGCCTCGGTCGACGTGATGGACGATGCCAACTTCGAAGAACGATGCCGCCTGTCGCCTGTCTACCGCCTGCCCGCCGAATTACTTATCGCCATCTTCGGTCGTCTTGCATCAACAAAAGACCTCATGTCATGCATGCTCGTAACCAAGGATTGGGCACGAAACAGCGTCGCCTTACTGTGGCACCGTCCACAAACAAACAACTGGGCCAGCATACACAGCGTCGTCAAGTCAATACGCAAGACGGAACGCTTCTTCGCATATCAGGATCTAGTCAAGCGCTTGAACCTCTCCACACTCGCCTCGCAGGTCAGCGACGGCACCTTGATGGGCTTGACGGCTTGCAAACGCATTGAACGCCTGACTCTGACCAATTGCGCAAAGTTGACCGACTTGAGTCTGACCAGCCTCATTCAAGGAAACCGCAGTCTGATCGCACTGGACGTCACTCAACTAGATCAACTCACCGATCGCACGCTTGAGCTTGTGGCCCGCAACTGCGTGCGTCTCCAAGGTCTCAATATGACGGGATGTCGCCGCCTCACAGATCAATCGTTGGTGCAAATAGCAAATAACTGCCGCCAACTTAAGCGTCTCAAGTGCAACAGCTGCTCCCAGCTTACCGATGTCTCCATGTTGAGTGTCGCCCAGAATAGCTCACACCTCCTGGAAATCGACCTGTACGACCTGCCATTACTGGAGTCGGAATCCATCACTGCCCTTTTGACTCAATGTCGTCAGCTGCGCGAATTGCGTCTTGCCCGTTGCCCACTCATTACCGACCAGGCTTTCCTGCAAGTGCCATCCAAGGCTGCTCCCTTCGACGCCCTGCGCATTCTGGATCTCACAGACTGCCAAGAACTCACCGACAAGGCCATCGAGAAGATTGTACAGACATGCCCCAAGCTGCGCAACCTGATCCTAGCCAAGTGCAGACAGCTTACCGACAGAGCTGTCTGGGCCATCACCAAGCTCGGCAGAAACCTCCACTACATTCACCTGGGCCATTGTGCTCGCATCACCGACGCTTCTATCATTGGCCTGGCCAAGTCGTGCACTCGTATCAGATACATCGATCTCGCCTGCTGCAGCAACCTTACTGACCAGAGCATAACTCAACTGGCCAACCTTCCCAAGCTTAAGCGTGTGGGTCTTGTCAAGTGTGCCGGTATTACCGACAGGAGTATCCATGCTCTTGCCACCTATGGTGGCCGTGTCATGCAAAAGCCTCGCGACCGCCAGCACAACGTCAGTGCCTTGGAGCGTGTCCACCTGAGCTACTGTACTCTCCTTACTCTTGATGTATGTACATGCCTGACTCCATGCTCGTCGCCTCCTTCTAACATAGTCCCAGGGCATTCACACGCTTCTTAACAACTGCCCTCGCTTGACTCATCTCAGTTTAACAGGCGTTCAAGCCTTCCTCCGCGACGACTTGACTGTCTTCTGCCGTGAAGCTCCGGCAGAGTTCAACGACCACCAACGCGAAGTCTTCTGCGTCTTCTCCGGCAACGGCGTATCTCGCCTTCGCGAATACCTCAACCGTGCCAGCGGTCCTGGTCTCGACACTGGCATGGTCAACGATTCTGACGACGACAACGACGGCGCCACCCTTCGCGCCCTCCCTCTCCCTCCACCCCCACCTCCGCACCACCCTAACCTCATACACACATGGAACAACCCAGCCTTCCAGAACACCAACGACCAAGATATCGAAGATGAGGACATGGAAGACGACAATGACGGCGTGGACACACCTAACGACGGCATTGGTATCATCGACGCTGCCGCACATGGCCATATGCTTAATCTTGATGTCCACTCCACTCCGGCCAACGACCCTGATCAGATGATTGGAGGTACGCAGCAGAACCAGGGAGGTGCGCTGTGGGCCGGTGGTAGTGGCGAGGCTCAACATGTTACTGGCATGATGAGTGCGGCCATTCTTGACGATGCCGACGATCTGCAGTGAGGTACACAAACGTAACACAGACGGGAGGCGTATTTGCATCCCACGGTGTGGGCGGATGGAGTTTTTATCAAGGAGTCTTTCTTCTTCGGTCCTTGTCTTTTTTTTTTGTTCTTTTTGGTCCTTCTTCTACATTGCGCGACGGAAAGAAACTCACAGGGGGCAGTGCTTTTCGAGGAGAAGAGGGATAAGCAAGGCAGTTTTGGAGTTTTTTTTTTTTTTTTTTTCCTGAACATGGTCCTTTTGTCGTCAACTGCGTTCAGACCATCCATGGACATTACAGTCACAGGCGCAGACAGGGTCCTCATTTCTTGTTAGAGTAGGTTAACTAGTGGTGATGATTATCAAAGCATTCGGCTCTCCTTTTCTTTGAGCCTTCATTCTTCTTTCTCAACTTGTTTATTCTCCACCGTTTATTTGAAAATTTCTTCACGGCTGCAATGTGTCAAACAAACGTTGTCTAACTATGATCCTAGGGATTAAAAGAAAGCACTTCTGCTGTACATAGAAAGCTCACCATGCCAGTGACTTGTTCTTGATAACATTCCGCAGAATAGCATTTCAGGTCTACGAAGAGCTCATTCGATGGAACGGACAACGATAAAGACACAGACGATTACAGATAGGCAAGGCGCTGAAGACAAGAAGTTCAAATGTGTGTTGTTGCATCGCAGATGTCACCGCAAAAAGAACTAGAAGGGAGCGGATGGGAAAGAAGAGATGAATGACAGGTCAATGAACCATGACAAGTATCTCTCTCTTTCCACTATAGGTGGATGATCATGCGCTAATGGGAATATTGCTACAGAACGGAGATCGAGCTTGGACTTCGTCGACCTGTGTTCCTTCCTCTTCACCCTTGGTTCCTGATACAGAATCATGTTCTAATGGTCGCTTTTCAATATGACGGACTGGAATAACCATTCTGATGGGGCATCACCATCAATCATTCCCTTTCTCAAGCGCAAACGGAGATACTGTATCGTCTGAGAGTTTGAAGCGAAAAAAAAAAGCAGAAAGGAAACCAGGAAGATGGGCAGGTCAGTAGGACATCTCAGACTGACCCTCACTACCTCTACTTTCTCATTATGACGAAGACCGTGACCGCAAGCTGAGGGAACAGAGGTAGCCAGGGGATCACGGACCTGCCATGTCTCTTCTCTTGCACATCAGTCTTTCGGAGATGACTTGTCGATGTTGTGTGCACCACGGGTACGCAAGACTGTTCTGAAGATCGACTTCAACTTCTTGAGGAGTGCTTTCCATGAGAGATATGCCCCGGTGAAGACTATTACGTCTCGAGTCCAGGTCCAACTAAGAAGTGAGCGCTCCCGCTATCGTTGGAGCGACATCAGCACTCGAGATGTGTGAAATTTGAGCTGTCATCCCTCCTCAGATGGCCCTCTTCCTATGCCTGAGATGAACTACCAGCAAATTCAGCTGTTCAAGTTATAAAAAAGAGGCAGGCACGAAGCAAATCAGAAGCAAATGAAAACAACAGGTGCAGCCCAAAGTCGAACCCACCATCTTCCACCAGCAAAATTAATAGACCCCGACGCTACTACTCCCGGCGTACACAATCACTGTAAATGTCGGTAATTTACTCATGTGCAGAGGATCGGCGGTCTCACTTAGGCTAGACTACCGTGTGGGCTTGTAGAAGTGATGGTGGATGTGAACTTTTTGTTATTATATAGTCTCATTGTTTGTTTGTTCACTGTGTTTGTGCAGGTCATTGGGTGCGATGATTGTTTTGGCTGTGTTTGTTCGTTGTAGGTGACTTCCTTTGTTCCTTTTTCTTCTTCTTCTTAGCTGCTGGTGAAACTCAAATGATGCCCCTGTCCTCGAATGCCTTGAGGAGCGCTCTCCATGTAAATATCCATTTCTTCCGGTCGTCGCTTGAGCAGACTAGTTGCTGGCTGGATTACAATAAATAACATATCATATTCATACAGAAAAGCTGATATAAGTACTAGAACTCCTTTCCGGTCTCTACACAGCATCCACACGCCATTGCCACCCATACTGAAGTTGAATAGGAGCTCAAATTGCTGTGGAGCAGTGGTTCTCAGGGGGTAAGGTTCAATAAGTGTGTGCGGAGTCATCAGGTCAATAGAACATTGCTGATGTCCCTCCATCCAGCACCGCAGAGATCTGCAACTGGACTGTAGCCACTCAATCACTCCATCTGGAGAGATTAGGGATCTTTTAGACGACTCACAGACCTCGTTGTCTTCTCGAGCGGTAGCTGTGAAGACAAGTCGTGCTATAAAAGTGACCTTCGAAAACCCTCGGTCGCTATGGATATCACAAACAAATATTCGGAGTCACACTTTCTTTGGAAAGACTTGTGGCGAGGGCAAATGGAAGCCAGTCTCTTGCTAAATAGTGGAGCATATCGACAGAGATGCTCTTTCCCTTCGAAGACTGTCATTAGTCATAAGACTTTTGATTGGAGGAAGAGCTGATTATGTATGATCAGCCCAAATCGACTTCCATCAGATTTAGACACGTTGTTCGGAAAGGTCTTGTGGTGGTTGTTCACACTTCTCTGATAGGATTAGGAATGCTACATGCCGACAATCACCACTCAGTACTGCCGTTCATTCGATTGCTCAAGATCAAGTAAATGGCCTTGAGCAGCTTGAGAGTAGTGAGGAACATGTTGCTGTCGGTATAAAAACTTTCACTTGTCACATTCCAGAAGAGATCAAACTACATCATGAACCTGGTGGACTGGGAGACCAGACACCACACTCTTGGTCTTCTTATGGTAGCGATCCAAGTAGGCCAGCAGATGTCTGTACGAGGTCCGTGGATTGGCGCTTTCGTGTCATTCTCCCACAATTGTTAACAACCATTGTTCCCTCGGTCTGATGTACGAGTCGCATCCCTCGGTCTTTGGGACTCTGGATTGAGTAAGCGTCTTAAGAACCTAGCTCACTTCTTCGGTCCGTCTTGCTCTAAGCATAGTGTTGACGAGGATATTTGAGAGCCGTGAGGTGATGTTGAGTTGGCGCAGTCGACATTCATTGTCAACCTTGCTGTTCAGGCCGCTCTCTAACGAGCATGCTAAGGTTGAGGTCTGGCTTTAGGACAAGAAATAGCGCGACGATTATTGTAGAAGAAAATCATGTGTCATTCTTGTTGCGACGACATGAAGGACCACAACATACGATGGCATCGGAGTCGTTGCCCCATAAGCAAAAGAAATGCGGACAAAAGACACGACGCCGACACAATCAGAATCCTCGAAAGCAAAAGTTAAGCACATCATGGGCAAAAGAAAAAAGATAAGCACCATGGGAAGGAATCGAACCCCCGACCTCCTCGGATCTAGACTGACACGGCGTTGAGTAACAACGAATGACTGCGCACGTGTTAAGACCACGGGTGTGTTAACCACTACACTACCACGGCTGAGAACTTGTTAAAAGGATCCTGGAGTTTTTCGCATATAAAGGTTAAGGGATGGCAGGCAGCAGTGAACCTGATGACTAAAAGCAAGAGTCATTGAGGTGGTTTCTTCGGTAAGGGGCAAGCTTCGGCTTTCCAAGCAACAAAGCTTTGAGGTGCTTGAGGTCGCGACGTATGGATAGTGACAGACATGTTCCAGCATGCTAGTGCCCCTCAAGTTCAGAATAGTGAGACGGAAAAAATGATGACCCTAATTGCACCTCTGGTGCGACGAATGCGATCGACTTCGATGAAGCTGGACGAGACTCAAATACCTCAAAATCAGTGAGCATACACATCATGAATGGCGGAGGCTACTGCAGACTGGAAGACGTCTTTCTCCTTCGAGAACGTATGGTCACATCGGCCCTACACCGTAGGTGTTCTGGGCCGCCTGCGTCCATTGTGTCAAATCAAAGTCGATGTCGAGGTCGGGATTTGTGTAGCCTTCTTCCCAGAGTCCAAAGTCAACATCACCAGCCTCATACGACAACATTTGGTCGACGTCCACGAAAGTCGTGTTTTGTTGGGGTATTGCCGCGGCAGGAGGAGTCGAGGCGATGGTGGTAGAAGGATGCGAAATCATAGATCGTAGATGCGACAACAATTGACATCTGGCAGCGATGTGAGTATTCCCTCTGTCAGCCATGCCTCGTAACAGTTCAAGGGCTTGGTCCATAGCTGTGATCTCTGATCTGGTTGCAGGGAAGGCAACGCAAATCATGACAAGAACAATGGCTGCAGAAAAAGCGTGTTCACCATCCATGTAGCCGTAGGTCGCTACCAGATCTTTCTGTGCTGCAAAAGTCATCATAGTGACAGAGTCTTTCGCCGCTGAGACGCACATGTCGATCACAGCAATAGTCGTGGGGGAGAGTCCGTCCTTCCAGTCTTTCCCAAGATCGTCAGCAGTACCTTGGAGACGTTTCTCAACGACGTGGAAGAGAAGAGGTCGAGCGGTGAGATTGATACATTGATGGTAGTGCAAGAATGTCGAGACTGACTCTCGAGACACATTGAGCTTCGCAGGGTCGAACCGAAGCTGATCAGGCAAGTCTCTGTGCCATGTTGAAAGGGAGGTCATGATCTCGGAGACAGAGGCAATCAGCGTTGAACCGCTCTTCGGTGTTTTTCTGTAAATGGTTTTCATAATTCGTCCAAGGATGCGTGATAATTGGGTATAGTGTCGTAGACACACTGCAGGGCAGTATTCAGGCTCATTGCTCAGCCTGTTCGGCAGCTTCACAGCAATGTCTTGGTCGTCAATGGTCAGAGGGTTGCCACTCTTCACGCATAAAATGCGATCAAGACTGTACACGCTCCACCATATCCGCCGACGTTGCTCTTTACTGGCCTCATCAAGACGTGGATCCGGTACTTCTTGATGCAGAGCAAGTGATATTGCCATTCTCAATGCAGTTCCAACGTACAAAAAGGCGGCATCTCGTCGGCTGAGATTCTGCATGAAATATCCGATCAACGCCAAGACGCCCACGAACAAAACAGAGCCTTCTTCATACATGTCTGGTAGATACTGCAGGGCTTGGGTGAAATAGTCGAAGCCAGGAGGACCGTCAAAGCCAGACCATTGGTTCACTGAGTAAAGTTGACCAAAGGCCAAGACCAGAAGCGTCTGACAATATGCAAGGCAAGCTTCTCTGTCTCCAACATCTGGAGGGCCTCTATATGCTTGTTGTAGTTGTTCCTCAAACATCTCGGGTGTACAAAATGCGAAGATGGTGCCGATGTAACTGTGTTGTGCCATGTAGAGTCGTTTTGCAAACGCAGCAGGTGGAAGCTGGACGTTGTCCACGATTGAAAGGCGCCTAAGTCGTAGTGCAGAATGATTGTAGGTCGAGTATTCTCGATCAAGGTCGAAGCCTGGACTCGTGATGCCTACAATATCGTTGAAGCGTCTGCCTAGGACTGTTGATGAAGAACTTCCCAGGTAATGGTGTTTACCGGATGGGCTCATGACAAGGTTGGCAAAGTTGTCCATGAGAGGATTGACATCCAGGTCCGAATCAGTTCGCTTCCCGATACATGAAGAGCTTTGCGGAGTTGGAATCGGAGGACTTGCTGCAAACATGAATCAGCATGATGGTCGTGATGAGAATCGCCAGACTCATAGGGTACCTTCGTATGCTTTCAACTTTGCTTCGAGATCTCGTAGATAACTGTGAGAGGTTAGTAATTGGTTCGCTGGTTGATCACATCCAACTAGTATCACCTCTCCGATACTGCGATCTTTCGACCGGACTCGTACACACACTCATGTCGACCTTCTCTGCAGCTTGCACACACAGGCTGCTCTTTGGAGCAGTAGGTACGACGACCCCGACATCGCTTGCAAGCTACTGGACGGATGAGATTGTTGTCTGATGTTGGCGAGGTGCCTGTTATGTTTGCGGCCATTTCCTTTGTCCTACATCGGTCTTGCTGATCATGTCAAATGGCAGGAACGAAACTTCCCCAGACTCATGCACGCGCCGATGAAGCACGCGGCATCTGATTGCGACTGAGATTCGAAGAAGACACGATATTCCCGGAGATGAAATGACGGCGAACTGGTTTCGGGTCGTGACATGTTAACGCGATATGATAATGGCTATTAGTAGCGTGTATACGACGAGTCAGACGTCGCACTCTCCGTCCTCGCTGTTTGGTGGTTGGTATCAGGAAGCTCCACTTTTTTCTCCAGAAGCTGCCTAGATCGAGGATAGCGCATCCTCTTAGGCTAGTGCCTTGTCTCGCTATTCGAGTCCGATCACTATCGTCGCCCCGGCTGCCCGCTGTTCTCTCCCTGGTTCCTGACGCTCAATGAGTCCGATCACAGCTTGCACAGCAATGTCGTTCTCTCGTGAAGAAACGGAATCTTATCTCCTGGAGAGACTGCCCGCTCATGCGGGGTACATTCTCGTTCTTGAAGGCATATCTACAAGATAGGCAGAAGATCGGCTGAACGTTCCAAAGGCAAGTACAAACATACATATTGCATAAGTCTAGCTCATTTCTTTACTTCCATCGATCTATCATTCCTTCCACTCTATCTTCATCATGTCAGAGAAACTTGACAACCACGTCGTCATGGATGGCGAGAAGAATGCCGTTGATGTTCAGCTTGGAGAATTCATCGACCCTTCGAGGGAAAGAAAGCTTCTTGCCAAGTTGGATTTGGCATTGGTACCTATCATCATGTTAACTTACTTGGCTTGCTTCCTTGATCGAAGCAATATTGGAAATGTAAGGCATTGCACAGAGAGACCTAGCATGGATACTGACAAGGACTAGGTGAAAGTTGCTGGTATGCCCGAGGATGTTGGTGCGAGCGCGGAGCAATTTTCGACAGCAGTCTCGATCTTCTACGCCACCTATGTTCTATCAGAGACGCCGTGGGCCGTCTTGTTGAAGAAGTTGACGCCAAAATACACCATCGGTGGCCTTTGCGTGGTCTGGTCCTTGACGACAATCTTTAGTGGATTCATCACCAATGTTGGCGGTCTCTATGCGGCCCGTCTTGTGCTTGGAGCTTGTGAAGGAGGTTTGTTCCCAGGTCTGAACCTTTACCTCACAATGGTCTACAAGAGAGAAGAAATGGCCAAGCGAGTTGCCTACCTGTTTGTCTGTACGGCACTTGCAGGCGCATTCGGCGGTCTGCTGGCTTACGAAATCCTGCAAATGGATGGAGTAGCAGGTCAGGCAGGGTGGAGATGGGTGTACATCATTGAGGTGAGTCTCCAGATAATTGTTGACATGAGCGCGAGCTGACATAGATAAGGGTATTTTCTCCGTCGGAGTAGCAGTTGTGGTCTTTGTCTTCTTGCCCAATGATCCTAACAACGCGTACTTCCTTAACGACGAGGACAAGCAGTTGATGCAAGTCAGAGCAAGGCAGCGTGCGGCCTACATGGGATCCGAAGACTTTAGCTGGGCAGAAGTCAAGATGGCCCTCACTGATCCTAAAGTTATACTCAGGTACTTTGCCTTCCCATAAGCTCAGAAGCAAAATCAGACTGACATATCAACAGTGGCCTCATTCAGTTCTGCCAAGATATCCTGCTTTACGGATTTTCGACCTTCCTCCCCAGTATTATTAAGTCGTTAGGCTACAACACTCTTCAGGCGCAATACCTCACTATCCCCGTCTACATCTTCGGTGGCGCTGCTTTCATGGCTGTCGCCTGGTTCTCAGACCGAACAAGCATCCGCGGTCCCCTCGTGGCCTTCGCCAATATCTTCGGCATCATCGGATACGTACTAATCATCTGCCCAACGCCAAACGGAGTCAAGTTCTTGGGCACCTTCCTCTGCGCTGTTGCTGTCTACAACGGGCCTGGACTGAACATGAGTTGGCTGAACGTCAACGTTGCTCCACAATACCGCCGGGCCACTGCTATTGGTTTCCAACAGACTATCGGCAACACTGCAGGCATTGTGGCGGGGCAGATCTACAGAAAAAGTCCTTACGTCCTCGGTAACTCCTTTTCGCTTGGAGCCTTGGGCGTAGCACAAATCTTGATTGCTTGCAAGTGGCTGTACCTCAGACACTGCAACAGTGTCAAGGAGAGAATTGCGAATGGCGAGGAGGATACCAGGAAGGTGCAGACTGGCGATGCTGCTACAGATTTCAAGTACCATCTGTAGATGTCATGAAGGCTCTAGGGTAGTGATTTTACGTAGCGATTTATGTCTTAGAATTGATGAATATTCTTCAACTGAGCAGCCAGCTTCTATAACCTGTTTCTCACCATTATGTCAGATACTTCTAGAGCTTGATAGACCGTTTGATTCCGAGCAAACATGGTTCGACGACAAGGATACGCGAAGGCAAGTTTCCTCCTTCCAATTTCCCATCTTCGTGGTCTTCTGTCCCTCTTTCGCTCTAGATTTATTCGGAAGATCACGAAGTCTCATCAACTAAATAAGTCGAAGGGTTGATCTGAGGCATATATGCTACTTTGTTCATTTGTTCATAGGAAATATCAGGCGATAGTGAATACATCCTCATCCTTGACATCAAGTAATATCATGTGTCCAGGTGCGTGTCCTAAGACTGTGCCCTTCAATCCAGCCTTCATGACGGCTTCCTGGGGTGTAACTCCACAGCCCCAGAATACAGGAACGACATCCTCGTTGGTTGAATCGAGCGGCTGTCCATCAAGCTCCACTGGAGCATCTCCCCAGTCAGGGCTGTTGATGTCTGCGATACCCAAGTTTCGCATGCCATGCCAACCCCATGCTATAGGCTCACCGTGTGTAGTCACAAATGGCCGAGTTATATCCCTCACTCTTTCTATATCAGACCGCTTGTATGGACGCATCGATACAACGTAAGTCGATCCCGTAAAGGCGCCAGCAGGGCAGAGTGGAATATTCGTTCGATACATAGGCACGTTTCGTCCCATGACAGTATGGCGAGGTGGAAGACCATCATCAATCAATGCAGTCTCGAAGCTGTATGAGCAGCCGATCAAGAAAGCAACATGATCTTCTGTCCACTGTGAAGCAATGTTCGTGATGTGCGATGTCGTCAATCGTCCATCCTGATAGACCATGTATCGCGGAGCATCGTGGCGGATGTCGATGTCAGATGCGATTCTGTCACCCTTCAGGCCGTCTATGTAAGACTTGAGACTGTCGTAGGAGCCAATCTGTGCAGATTCGGCAAGGAGAGGACATGGCACAGGATTCCGGGCACAGAGCAGGCGAAAGTCTGTAGCGTAGCGTGATGGGAGTACAATGAGGTTCGCTTGGAGATAGGAAGGAGCGAGGCCAGATGTGACACCATTCAGAGTTCCGTCTCTCGCTGCCAGACGGACAGCGACTCCAGTAGATGCTTCTTCTTTAGCCATAATGACGCGTCAATATTGTTCTTACCTCTGGTAGTCTTTGAGGAATTACATCTTGTATACCAGCTATTGCTCTTCGGCTCTACGGGCAAGCTATCAGGCTCTGCGCGCAAGTCCATGATAGTTGATAAGCGAGCAAAGTATCAGTGGGGTCGTTCGGGGAAGGAGCGCGAGCGTTTTGGTCAAAGCGTCGGGGTGGGTCAGCGATCGGTCAGCGATCCTTATCGGTCATCCGGCGAAGCTCCCACAGTGCTCTGTCAAACACCACGTCGCGGCAGAGAGCTCCGATCATGCTTGGTCAGTGAAGTGGTTCTCATTAGGTGAGTGCAAACTGTATTGGCGGTCTCGGAGCACAGGTAAGTTTTTGATATAAGTCGGTCTTGAGAACCTTTAAGCTTCAGGTCATACTCATCTTGTTACTGCATCATCAACCCTTTCACGATGGCCATCAAACCGCTTCAGATCCGCGTCTCCATCGACAGAGGCGGTACCTTTACTGACGTTCACGCCGCGATACCTGGACGCGATGATATCGTCTTGAAGCTCCTCTCAGTAGATCCGGCGAACTACAAAGATGCACCCACGGAAGGCATCAGACGGGTTTTGGAGCTGGCAACTGGTCAACCACATCCCAGAGGCCAACTACTTGACCTCTTCCATATTGAGTCTATTCGCATGGGTACCACCGTCGCTACAAATGCTCTACTAGAACGCAAGGGAGCCAGATCTGCCTTGCTGATCACAAAGGGCTTTAAGGATTTGCTTCTCATCGGCAACCAGTCTCGCCCAAACATCTTCGACCTTTCAGCGGCGAAACCTGACGTTCTATACGAGCACGTCATTGAGGTCGACGAGCGCGTAACGTTAGAAGACTACACCGAGAACCCAAATCCTGAGTCAGTAGAGCTAGACGTATCAGATCCAGACCTCGTCGAGGCAGTCACAGGAGAGCGCATTCGCGTACTGCAACGACCAGACGTGAAAGCTATATCGAACGCCCTTGAGCAAATATGGGAGCAGGGATACCGCTCTATCTCAATCGTCTTCCTCCACTCATACGCGTACCCTGCACACGAGAATCTTGTCGGCAACTTGGCTGTTGCGATGGGTTTCTCGGTATCTCTTTCCAGCGCATTGCAGCCTATGATCAAGGCTGTTCCGCGAGGAATGAGTGCTACAGCGGATGCATATTTGACGCCAGTCATTAAACAGTACATCAGCTCGATCTCCGAAAACTTCAGAGGTGGACTTGGTGCTCAGAACACTCGCTGCGAGTTCATGCAGTCAGATGGCGGTCTTGTCGACTTCCGCAGATTTGGAGGCCTCAAGGGTATCCTTTCTGGTCCTGCTGGTGGTGTGGTGGGTTATGCTCAAACATCATGGGACGATGAAGAGCGACGACCTGTCATCGGTTTCGATATGGGTGGTACCAGCACCGATGTCTCACGTTACGCCGGTGTTTACGAGCACGTATTCGAGACGACGACAGCAGGTGTATCGATTCAATCGCCTCAACTAGATATAAACACTGTCGCTGCAGGAGGAGGCTCTATTCTTTCATGGAAGAACGGCCTGTTCCACGTTGGTCCTGAGTCTGCTTCTGCTCATCCCGGTCCTGCTTGTTATCGCAAAGGAGGTCCATTGACCGTGACGGACGCCAATTTGTTCTTGGGAAGACTATTGCCAGACTACTTCCCCAAGATCTTCGGTCCTAAGGAGAATGAGCCGCTGGATCGCGATATTACAGCGCAGAAATTCTTGGCCTTGACTGAGGAAATTAACAAGCAGCAGCGTAAAGACGATTCTGTCACCTTCTCGCCCGAGGAGGTCGCTTTGGGCTTTTTGAATGTTGCCAACGAGGGTATGGCCAGACCCATCAGAGGACTGACAGAAGCCAGAGGTCATGACACCGCAGCACATCATCTGGCTTGTTTCGGTGGCGCTGGCGGACAACATGCCTGCTCCGTGGCCAAGGTTCTCGGCATCTCGCGGATCATCATCCACAACTACTCATCAATCTTGAGTGCTTACGGTATGAGTTTGGCGGATGTGGTTCACGAGATTCAGAAACCGGCCGCCATGACTTACTCGTCAGAAACCCAGCAAATTGTCCAAAAACAGCTAGAGGAGCTTGCTTTTGAAGCATCTATAGAGCTGAAGGATCAAGGTTTCACAGATGACAACATCACTTACGAAACTTTCTTGAATCTTCGCTACGCTGGCTCGAGTAGTTCACTCATGGTTCTCAAGGGTGCTGACTGGGATTTCCGATCGGCCTTCGAGGAGAGACATCAGCGCGAGTTCGGCTTCCTCTTCCAAGAAAAGCCCATCCTTGTCGACGACTTCCGCGTCAGAGCAATCGGTGCTGCACATGAGAAGATCGCTGCAAGCCCCTTTGCACAACTGAATCAAGCCGCTTCGCTCGACGTGCCTCAAGCTTCTCCCAACGCTACAAACCGTGTTTATTACGAGGGTACAGGCTACCTAGAAACTCCGACGTACGAACTGCCTACAATCGCTGTTGGCAGCAAGATTTCTGGACCAGCTCTGATCATCGATAAAACTCAGACCATCGTCGTCCTCCCTAACGCTGTCGCAAACGTGCTTGAGAGCTGTGTCGTGATTGACCAGGAAACCTCAACCACAACTGTTGACAAGACAATAGTCAACGATGAGTTCAGTCCCATTCAACTTTCTATCTTTGGTCATCGCTTCATGTCTATTGCAGAGCAGATGGGCAGAACTCTGCAGAAGACATCTGTGTCTACCAACATCAAGGAGAGACTTGACTTCTCGTGCGCTCTCTTCTCGAACGACGGCGGCCTGGTCGCGAACGCACCCCACGTCCCCGTACATCTTGGAAGTATGCAATTCGCTGTGAAGTATCAGCACAACCTCTGGAAGGGCAAATTGAGGGATGGTGATGTGCTTGTGTCGAACCATCCATCATGTGGTGGCACTCACTTGCCTGATATCACCGTTATCACGCCTGTCTTCGATGGAGAAGACATTGCTTTCTACGTCGCATCGAGGGGTCACCATGCCGACATTGGTGGTATTCTCCCAGGATCCATGCCGCCCACGTCTAATCAGCTGTACCAGGAGGGCGCTGCTATAGAATCACTCAAGATTGTCGAGGAGGGAAGATTCAACGAGGAAGCTATTACCAAGCTACTTCTTGAAGATCCTGCACAATATGACGGATGCTCCGGAACCAGATGTCTTCAGGATAACATTTCTGATCTCAAGGCGCAAATTGCTGCCAACAAGCGTGGTATCACATTGATCAAGGGCTTGATCAACGAGTTCGGCTTGTCTACCGTGCATCGCTACATGTACGCTATTCAAAGAGCGAGCGATATTGCTGTCAGAGAATTGCTCAAGCAGAAGTACGAAGAGTTCGGCAAGAAGCCTCTGAAGGCAGTTGACTACATGGACGATGGCACACCCATCGCTTTAGAAATCACTATTGCGCCTGATGGCTCAGCAGTATTCGACTTCGAAGGTACTGGGCCTCAAGTCTATGGCAACACGAACGCGCCAGTCGCGATCACCAACTCAGCCATCATCTATTGTCTTCGTGCGCTAATCTCCTCGGACATTCCTCTCAACCAAGGTTGTCTGAACCCTGTCAATATCAAGATTCCCGAGAACTCTCTGTTGAGCCCAGCCAAGGGTGCTGGTGTGGTTGGCGGCAACGTCCTCACATCACAGCGTATAACAGATGTCGTGCTCCTCGCTTTCCGTGCCTGTGCTGCTAGTCAAGGCTGCTGCAACAATTTGACGTTTGGAACAGGTGGTAAAGACGAGAACGGCACTCATGTCAATGGCTTCGGTTACTACGAGACCATCGCTGGCGGTTCAGGTGCTGGTCCTAGCTGGCAGGGACAGAGTGGTGTTCACACCCACATGACCAATACTCGTATCACTGATCCTGAGGTTTTCGAGAAACGCTACCCTTGTATTCTCAGACAGTTTGGACTGCGTGAAGGCTCAGGTGGAAAGGGCATGCACACTGGTGGTGAGGGCACGATCCGTGATATCGAGTTCCGTATGCCGGTGCAATGCTCAATTCTCTCTGAGCGTCGCAGCCGTCAGCCTTATGGTCTTGAGGGTGGTGAAGCTGGTTCCTCGGGTCTCAACTTGGTCATCAAGAAGGATGAGTACTCTGACGAGAAGAGGGTAGTCAACCTCGGTGCAAAGGGAACCATCAAGCTGAATGAAGGTGACAGAATCATCATCAACTCTCCCGGTGGTGGTGGTTGGGGATCTGTGGAAGATGGTGGAGTCATCGATTCGGAAATGCGAACAAAGGCACAAGCCAAAATCCTGGCTGGTGGATCGGTGAATTCTTACAAAGCTAGACAAGAGACTAACTAGAGTGTTGGCGATAGAAAATTAACGATACCCTAATTGATTCATGCTTGATGGTTCATTAAAATGGTCATCTCCACGTGACATGGTTGGTATAGCTCTTGTAGGGTTCAAGATCCTGTATATCTTCCAACCAACTTCTAGCGACTCGGTTTTTCGAGGTTTTTTCTGAAAGAGGAAGGTACCAACCCAGGCCGGAGGCAGATTCGGAGGCAGGTGCTCTAGTCGTTTACTGGAACGATACTCACAAGGGGGCACGAATCACGGTGGTGTCGTCGTTTGCTCGTGCTTTGACGTGACCAGGATGTGCATCTATCTGCGTCAAAACGAAGACCATCATCGCGGCGACGACGACCTCTTTACCAAGGAATCAAACCCGGGGTCATGCTCTTGGTGATAGACACGGCTCGTCAGGAAACTGCTCAGCGCATCACCTGCATCATCTTTGACTCTACATCAGGCAGGAACGAGGCACCTCTTTTCCTCGACGTATCCGACTTCGAAGATCTCAGAACCATGGCAGACCATTCGTCAAGGTAGATGTTCCTCGTACGCATGCGATGATGGCATTTACTGACTGACTTGCCTTAGTGTCTTCCACTCTCGCCTCTTCACCTTCCACGCAGGTGAGAATGGCGCATCAACCACTGTCCACTCGGGCGCTGTTGCGGCTGTCTCGACTCCTCTCAAGCTGTTGATGGAGGAAGAGACCCCCGATGGTCCCAGAACCAGCGCTATCCTTGAGGGTGTGCGTGAAGAAGATCTTCTGCGCTTCTGTGACTTCTGTTACACCTCAACCTACACCGACCCTTACCCTGTTGTCATCAAGCAATCTTCCACTCCTGCCCCAGACACCAGCAATGGCAAAGGCACTTCCACAGCCTTGGTTCCCACTACCGATGAGACCACTCTCCAGCCGCCTGCCGCAAAGCGTCTGCGCACCGAATCACCTGCTAGACTTACAGGCTTCGGCAGACCCAGTCTTCTCGGCACACCCGTGACTCCTGACGCTACCACCGCTTCTAAACTCAACAACAAGCTCTTGCTCCATAGCGTATTCGCAAACACCTCCACTAGCGGCCGCGTCTTCGGCGCCGTCAAGCCCAAGACCTTTACTGTCTCGTCCAACGACAACCACACCAGCGTCTTCATCGCCCACGCTGCCATGTACAGCCTGGCCATCCGCTACGACATCACCAAGCTCAAGGCTCTGTCGCTCCAAAAGCTCAGTGACAAGCTTATGCGTTTCGAGTGCAAGGCCGAGCGCGTCGGCGATGTCATGGCTCTGGTCCGTTATGTGTACGAGACCGAGCGCACCATGACCAGAGACATGCAGGACTTGAGAGACGTCGTTACCAGATACGTCGTCTCCGAAGTCAGTGAATTCGGCAACAGCGAGGAGTTCGGCGCACTCTTGGAGGAAGGAGGTCTGTTCGTCAAGGACTTCTGGTCCCTGATCTACAGCACCTTGCTTTAGCAAGACAAGGGGTGGATGCAGAGAGTGACAGCTTTGCTAGAGAGATGGGACGCAAAGAAAGGTGCTGTTACCGTGAAGAGCCAAAGAGAGATAGCGGTGATTCTGGACTTGTTCGATGATGAATCACATTACTGTGGTGAATAGCTTGCTTCTGCTGTGTTGTCATCAGTCTGCAGTAGTTGAGAGAAGGGCGTTGTTTGACGCGTCTCTTGCATGTAGACAAACAATCTCAATCTCAACTCTGTCGCCATAAATTGATCCCTATGAGCTTTGACGAATGACAGCTCTCGATGTACGCACGCTGCTCAGATGTCAACTTTCACTTTGCTGACCTGACCTTGTCCAGCGGGTAATCAACCAACACTCACCGGAATATCCAATCCTCCATCTTCCGCATCCTTCCCTCTCACAACCTTTATTCCAAAGCATCTCCAGAATCTACCACGTGTTCTGCTCTGCTCTGCCCAAAGTATCTCCAAGCCCAAATTTTTAAGCTTCTGTCATATCCCTCCGAGTAAGAAGGTAAGCATTACTAAACCCCGCTCTACTTTTCTACATACTTCTCTTCATCATACCTCTCGGATGATTGAAACCTCCGAATGCCATGGCTAGAGTAGCCTCATCATCATTACACTACTCCATGTTGAATCATCATACGACTTTTTGCAACTTTCTTCCTCGTCATCAGTCATCTAAAAAAAAAACCGTCCGATTTACATCTGTAGTCGGTGTCCTTAGACCATAATCAAAGATCGGTTTTGCATGTGATCGCAGAAACCAGGAAAAGTGTGTGTATACCAAATAAAAAATCATGGCGTGTACGGTGTGGACAACGATGGTTCGATATTTACTCGGAACCCTTCACTTCCGAAGCAAACCACCAACCACGGAATCCATGGGTTCCGTGATACATAAAAAGTTATGCAAAGGATGGCGGGGTTGGAAGCGGATACGGGAAATGCGGGATACGGTATACGTTATACGGGAGTTGATATGTACATGCAAGGCAGATCTACCTGCTTCGGTAAGATGCATGATTGCATGAAACAACAAACAAATTGATCGGGTGGTCGCTTGTGTTGGATTGGAAGTAGCAAACAATCCTCCTGTCAAAAGGCACAGTGCCGTTCAGAGTGTGAAAGGATGCACTGAGAGTGATTGCATTTCTGCATTGCGACAGCCATAATAAACGACACTCAGTATGGATGAGAGGTCAGAATGGTCAACAAAAAGGATATATCATAGATTCGTGTGATGTGTACGCTAATCGAGATATCAGAATACTTGTACTGTACATACGCTCTGCGTAGTAATAAAATGGATGGGTGCGGATATGGGTATAATGGGTGGGCTCTTTCAAGGTCCAGCCATTTGAGAGATATAATATGCAACGAGAACAAAACCAGTTGCTTCGAGCTCCTCCTCTTTCTTTCACATCAACCTGCCATGCCGCAGAAGAGGCTTCTGAATCTTCTGGTCTTTTTGGCTTTGGGCGTGTTTGCTTCGATTTTACCGGCTTCTATGCTATTGGTTGATGTGGTTGAGCTTTCGCGCTTCTGGCGAGCAGCTTGAGCGGCAAGTTTTCTTTCGGCTTCCTGAGACCTGGCAGAGTCTGAACGGCCGGTATGCGCGTCCTCGTCACTCTCTTGTAAATCAAGAGCTGGGATCAGAGGAGTTGGTGCCGAGGAGTGCTTTGATGACTTCGCGAGCATGGCTGCGGTAGTCTCGACGCTTTCCTCCTCTTCAGTCATGTCGTTGTGAGCGAGATCCATGTGTGCAAGGCCGGATGCAGTAGTGCTGGTAGTATCAGCACGACGTCCTCGAGGTCGCTTAGAATGAACCAAGACGGTGCTGGTAGAGTCGGCGCGAGCTCTTCTAGCACTGGCGCTTCTAGTGATGGGAGGCTCCTCAGTCGAGGTGACCCCATCAATCTGAGTAGATGATGTTGAGCGTCTTTTCATAGCGCTGGCAGAGCGGAACATGCGAGCGATACTGCCACTTCTCCTAGGAGTGTCTTCCTTGGCAGCCGATGACATCTCTGTGGGCGACTTGATAGGCGAGTTATTGAGTTTGAGCGAGGGCGATCGCAGCATGAGGTCGTCATAACGATATCCAGGGCACCAGCCTTCGCGAAGAGTAACCCAAACAGCAGTAGCAGTGATCAGGGCCTTGAGAGACTGACTTGTTACGATGGGATCGGTGCTGATATCGGCTGAGTCCTGGCCAGCTTCTTCATGGTCGGAAATTTCGGGAGAGGGGGCCAGAGGTGAAGGAGTCGTGTAGGAGTCGTTGATATCAAGGGAGGTGGTAGTAAGAGAAGCGATGACTGGGTGACGGCGAGAATTTGGGCTGATGGTAGAGAATTGGAAGCGTTTGGTTGAGCCATCGGCGGACCAAGAAGCCATGTCGGACGCCGATTGACTTCTTCTAGCACGCGGACGGCGAAGGACCCAGCGTGCAGTCATACCAAGACCATGCTCATCGGTACTAAAGAATTCATAACCGCCGTTAGGCAGAGGGTATGCCTCCCACTCGCTGCCGTCCTCGAGATACAGCTTTGCTTTGGACGCAGTGTTCCCATCCCCCTTACGCCCCTTACAGACAAGAGCCAGCACATCGCGCGACTCGTCCTCCTCTTTATTGGATGCTTCGTGTTGGTGATATTTCTCAGCTTTGACAATGGCGAGGTCGGCGGGGCAGAGGCCATGACGGGTGCGGAAGGCCTTTGATATGGCGCGCGATAATGAAGGTGAGAATATAGCAGAGGGTAGGAGTTCGTATGCTGGCATAGGCCTCGCCGACTGCGAGAGTTGGTGCAATTGCAACAAGGGCTTCGCGCGTACGTGGATCTTGTGTCGCGCACTGCCTTTTGGTGGGGCATGGGCGATGCTGTACGAGGTTTTGGGGCGAGAGGATCGCTTTCTGGACCTCCCGCCGCCATTAGAACTCATAAGGGAGCCCTCGCGAGAGGCATACTCGTGGTCGTCGTCGTGGGGCATCAACGGCAGCGAGTTCCTGTTTGCGTTACTCCTGTGGCTTCGCGGGGTATCCTGCTGCATCGGTGTAGAGGGTAGGGATTGGATATTGTAGTTGTTATGTTGATGCTTCTCCAGGTTGTCGTTCAAGCTGTCGTTCAACGATGCAGTATTGCCCGATGTAATGCTATCCGTGGTGGCTGGTCCAGTGAAATAGCTCATGAGCATGGTTGGCAGGGCGGACACGGCCAGCCGGGGAGGGGTCGCAACATCAGCCATGTCGATCTCCGGACGATTGTTTCGCTACAAAAATGGAAGTCGCAACTGACGTCCAGAATATCCAGTCTCTCCAAGGTGCATTTGCACGAATAAATGAGGCTGAAGAAAGGCAAGAATGAGAGTTGAAAAGAAGGACCCCAAGGTGAGACGACGGCCAACTCTTGTCAAGAGTCAAGACCAAGACCAAGATGTGCCTATTCCCGTACAACGTTCGTCAGATCTCGACCATCCGTGTATGCTTATGCAGATAGTGGGTCGAAGCTCCTTGGCAGCCAAGTAATAAACAGTCAAAGGAAGAAGGATGATGACACCAGGGCCAACTAAGATCCTTCGTGCTGACACGCTCCCAGAATCGCTGATGATGGACAAGTTGACCGTCAGACAAGGGAGGGCAGTGTCTGCCTTATGAGGAGGGGCTATGCCCATGTACATATACAATCAATTGGGTTGCTTAGCAGCGGCCTTTTGTCCCTGCAGAACGTTGCCCGCTTACGGTTAGCCTTGCGGCCACTCGCGCTTTCCAGAAAAAAATCATCACCCAAGCCTTTTGCACAAATCCGGGATTCGGATCTTTTACGACTCCTTCACGATCGGCACCTCCTTCGTCCGTACCCCGTGCGTATTTGATCGGTTTATCTTCCGACTCGGCCTTTTCCAAGCCAGTCGTCGCGTTTCCTGCCTCATACTTCTCCATCATCTGATCAATAAACTCGTTCTGCGGTTCAATTCGCTTCCGCAGAAACCCGTTCGCTTTGTTGTCGTCAAATTTTGCATCTTCTTGATACTTCTTTGTCAGGAGACGCTGGGTCCGGATTTCTGTCAACGTTCGACTCCTTTGTCGCCAACACTCATTTCGCGTTTCACCCTTTGGCGTCTCTGGCCCGTAGCCAGCTTCTCCTGATTGAGTAATGTCGAACCAGATGTTTGCGGACATCCGAGCATTGGCTTGTCTGTTTGTTTTCTGGAAGCTGTTGCTTCTCTGTATAGCATATGCCAGTCCCGGACCTGGCTACGATACGTCTACCAACTTGCTGTTGCTCCGTGCGCAGTCCGCGCAGTCCGAGAATACCCTTCTGGCACATCTTGCGAAGAATCTCGTATCAAAACTTGTTCGCTGGGATGCCTTGTACTTTATCAGTGTCGCTCAGCGAGGCTATCTGTTCGAACAAGAATGGGCTTGGGGCTGGGGCTATACCCGGTTGCTCAGCTTGATCTCTAAAGGTTGGTCCAGTGAGTCTGTCGAAGTACAAGTATCTAGACTGAACTCGATCTCAGTCATTCCTGGTGCTGCTTTATCTCCGCTGTATGCTCAAGCATATGCTGGTGTAATCATCTCTCATGTTGCCCATCTCTCATCAGTGATCATCCTCTATGGGTTGGTTCATCACCTACCCATCATGGACAAGAGACAACGTCGTAAGGTTGCTTTTGTTGCGGCTTCTTTGCATATTTTCTCCACCGCCGGTCTCTTCCTCTCCGCTCCCTACTCTGAGAGCTTGTTCTCGATGCTGAATTTCTTGGGTGTTTTGCTGCATGCTCGAATTCCATGGGAAATGCCTCTTGAAAAGTATGGACCATTCTCTTTGCTCAGTCTGCTACTGTCGGGTGCTTGCTTTGGACTCGCTACCACTGTCCGCAGCAATGGTCTGTTCAGCGGACTTGTTTACTTCCATCACGTCTACATGCTGTTCCATTCGCGCATCAATCTTCGCACGATTGTAACAATTGTGGTCATTGGCATTTCGGCTGCCATGATCCTATCTGGTATGCTATTCCCACAGTATATGGCGTATCAAGAATTTTGCGTAGGTCCGTCAGCAGCAAGCGAACTGCGCCCTTGGTGTACGCGGACCTTGCCTAGTATCTATTCATGGGTACAAGAACATTATTGGTATGTTTCAGAATATCTCTATTCCAAACTTTGCTGACATTGCTTCAGGAATGTGGGGTTCCTCCGCTACTGGACCGTGTCCAATATTCCTTTGTTCTTGCTGGCACTGCCGATGCTCTTTGTTCTAATCTCCACGGGACTGACTGCGCCGTCGCTCTGGTTCGAACAACAAGGTCTGGATCGCAAAAAAGACTACGACCATACGATGGTCTACATCTCTTGCTTGGCACTCCCACAAATCTTGCTGGCTCTGCTCGCTTTGACAACGTTCCATGTGCAAATTGTCAATCGTATCGCTACAGGCTATCCGATTTGGTACATTGTTCTTGCGGCTGCCATAGTATCACCGAGTCGAGCTTTCAAAAATGGCAAGGTTGGTCGTTCTCAATTTGAAAGGATTACGAACTTCTTCAGCAGGCCAGCGACACAAGAATTGATCTTTCGAGGGATGATCATGTACTCCGTTATCCAAGGTGGTCTCTACGCTAGCTTCATGCCTCCTGCGTGAGCTCCAAAAGTCTACTTACATCAATATTAACCATAACTACCTCTTTCAAGCCATCTCCATGTCAACAAGGATCTTCACATGCTTGTCCTTCTCCTTGATCAAAGCCAGAATACCCTTCTCAACCAGATCGTCGAGGGGAATCTTTCGCGTGATCATCTTGTTGGGTTGCAATCTTCCATCCGCGATAGCCTTGATCACCTCCACAAAGTCCTTGCGCTGATATCCTAGCACTCCAACATATTTTCCTTCATTGAACACCAAACTGTTAGGATTGAACGAAACTGGATTCTCCCAGATGGCAACATTGACGACGGTTCCACGAGCCTTGATGGCCTTGCATGCTGATTCGAAACTGGCAGGCACACCGGCACAATCGAAGACGATATCAGGACCCTCGCCATGGCAAAGCTCGCGCGAGATGCCTACCACATCGTACACGTTGGGTGCCAGGACGTGGTGTGCGCCAAATTCTCTGGCAAAGGCTTGTCTTTGTGCTGCGATTTCGCTCATGATGATCTTTTTCGTTCCATGTGCCACGAGGACTTGGACGACTGCGAGACCGATGGGGCCGCCTCCCAATACAAGGACCGAAGCGTTTTTTGCTCCGATTTCGAGGAGGGGTGAGGCTGCTACGGCATGCCAGGCGACGGAGAGGGGTTCGACGAGGGCTATATAATCTGGTCAGGCTTGTTCATCACCCTCGTTCGTGCTATAGTCTTACCTCCTGTATCCAGCTCAACATTGTCCGGAAGTGGCAGTACTGCATCCCAAGGCACAGCTACTGCTTCACTCAAACCACCACCGCCACCTGAGAAAGTAAGTCAGTTGATGCCACAACTCCCTCATGCTTGTAGACAACTTACCACTCAAACCAATGAACCCACCATTGGCACAAGCATTCTCCACCCCATTCCTACAAGCCCCACAACTCTGACAATAAATGGTCGGCTGGATCGCACATTTCTGGCCCTTCTTGAATGTGTCCGCATTAGGCACATCCGGCCCTACTTCCAACACCGTGCCACTGAATTCATGGCCCATGCCAATAGGAATGGTTTCTCTGGTTACCGCATGAGGTTCCAATGGCGCAAAACTACGACACATTGATCAATCATTGATTGTAAACCGAAAGACTGAGGGAGGGAAACAAACTTACGTAGGGCCGGCGATATACTCATGTAAATCGGTCCCGCAAATTCCCACATGCGAAGGCTTTATGAGGATTTGACCGGGAGACAATTGAGGGCGAGGTGTGTTTTCTATACGCACGTCTTCTTTGCCGTAGTATCTTGCCGCTCGCATCATTTTTGCTGATTTATTCCTTCGGAGCTACAATCGGTTCAAATGGAGGAGAGGAAGGTCAAACACTCTACAAGAGGGGGAAAGGCATAGCTGCCCTTTTAGATCGTAGGAGGCTGTGGTGATGCCAAGTTCGAGCCAATCCTTCCCGGTCAAGCGGGATACCTCTTTCAGCGGCATCTCGTCAGCGGCTAGAGGGGTGTTAGGGGAGGCGTGATTCTGGGGCGTGAGGTCTGATGCTTTTTGGGAAGCATGGCATGAGTTTTGCGGAGGAAAGCGTATCCACAATCGACCCCGCGCGGGGTAGGATCTTCACATGTCGAACATCGCTCTTGTGGGGGAGCCGTGGGTGTGATTGTGGGTGCCGTGTTTCCTCTACGGATCAATGGTATAGAGAGATGCACGTACGAGTCCCTGGGTGAGAATAGCTGATATGAGGTATCTCTACAAGAGTATCGCTACTACTGTTGCTTTGATGACGAGTAAGAAGTTCGGATCGTAGCTGTACGGCCTGCGGCACGTATACCGAAACCCTAAGCATGGCACGTGGTGGTATGATGGATGCTTTTGTTCTCAAACACCAACTCGCAATGTGGTGATAGAAGTTGCCATGTTGGTAGTTATCGGAGCTTTGCGTTGTACAAGCTTGTCCGATTTCAAACCTATGAGAGCATGTGCTCCGGAGCAGAAGAAGGACAATGGTCCGGGTTGATTCCATGCGTGTTCCACAACCGCGAATCTTCAAATCACTTTTTCTACCCTTGACGTCGACATCATGGTCTGATCACTCTAAAACTCGTCCCAAGCATCTAGAATGTCGTTCAAATTGTCCTGGAACATTGCAAAACCCCATAAGGTCCACAGTGGGCGATAGAACCACGAGTATATCTGAAAAATGGTTGTTAGCGGTACAACCCTGTCCATGTTTCATCCTCCACGAAAATGTATTTTTGAGTTTTGTGTAACTTGGACTAATCATCTCATATATCTACGGTAGTCTGCCAGATTGGCCTCTGCAGTGTTTCTCAGCAGGACGATAGCTGTTTTGTTTCCTCGCGAGGGCATGTTGAACGTCTCTAGACGAGCGACCGAACTTATAGAGCCAACACAACGACAGATCTGATGGAATTGTTGATACTTGAGCATCACGTTACTAGAAAAAGGGGGGTCTAGAAAGCGATGGACTGTATCGTTGGGGAGATCGTGAAAGAAGGTGAGCGTAATGATAACAAGGTCAGATGAGTATTGAACAATACTTCAAATTGAGCAGACAGTTGTTCAGTGACTGATATCATTCGCATAAGCTTTGAGAAGGCACAGTTATGTATGAAATAAGCTTGAGCCAAGGAATAGAAATTAGAAGCATACGTCTTAGGTATCTCTAGTGAAAAGAAGGAAGAGACAGAAAAAACGCCATTCCATTACCATGCAATTGTTTCCAGGATGCTCGTGCCATGATCATGATTACTTTTCCTCTTTGCCTTCTCCATCTTTCTTCTTTTCCTCCGTGTATGGCTTTTGTTTCGCTCGTGAATTCCAGTCGAGTGAGCGTGAGATACTTTCGATCCAGTCTTCGCTGCGTTTGTTCAAGGGTAATACGCTGGGGTAGGGGAATCTCGATGCGGAAATGGTTACGTAGTCACCGGGTTTCAGCTCGGTTCTGGTTTAGATGTCAGCGATAGAGCAGAAATGTCAGGAGCGTATGAATATGCATACCTATATTTGCCGTCGAAACTTGTGTAAGCAGAACTACGCGCATCATATGGTACGCCAATACGCAATACCATAGTGTCGGGTAGAATGATAGGGCGGAAGTTTAACGTGTGCGCGGCGATGGCAGTGAGAAGGATGACGGGGTTGTCCGGATGACAAAGACTGCCTCCTGCTGCCAGGTTATACGCTGTACTGCCTGTCGGAGTAGCAACAATGAGACCATCGGCTGCAATCGTAGTGAAGCATTCCTCGTCACCGTAGACATCTAAAGCGACCATGGTTCCACTAGGGCCACGATCCAAGACGATCTCGTTGAGGATGTGGTATGCCGATTCGGGCTTGTGGGTGTGATGGTCGTCGGCTTCGGCACCTACAAGCTCCTCATCTAGTCTTCGTTGAACGTGATCCTCATCGCTGTGGCCTTCGCGACGGATGCTGCGCATGATGGTGCCTTCGAAGCGAAGACGAAGGGAAACAGTGATGCCGTCGTTGAAGGCTCTAGGTAGAATGGCTTGGTATCTGGCAAAATCGAACTTGGTAAGGAAACCCAGAGAGCCCATAGCGAAACTGAGTACAGGAGGTACGATGCGTTGGAAGAGGAGGGAAGCGAAAAGGACGGTACCGTCACCACCGAGCTGTTGGAAGTAATCAGTATGCTGATCGGTAACGTAGTACAAGACCGTCATGATTTGACTTACCGCAAGAACAATATCGAATTTGTGAGGCATTCTTTTGCAGAGGGCCTCGTCCCAGTACTTCAATCTGCTCTGCTTTGACTCGTCGCCTTCCAAGATTGATTCAACGTCAAACGATTTGAGGTCCTGCAACTTGTCCTGGACGTATCTGCGCTTCGTCAGTGAACAGTCCACTGATGCTCAAACTGCATCTAACATACACAGTGTACTGTGCCTCTTTCTGATCCAGCAGCCATTTTGTCAGCTCTGCGGCTTTGGCACACAGAGTCGCATCGGTGAGCTTGGTAAGAACGAAGATGTTCTTGACCTTGAGCATCAGCTTGACTCGACCTAGACGTTTTGAGAGTTCGCGAATGCCAAAGGCCATGTCGGACAATTGCTTCTTGGTGAGCAATCGTGATTGCGTGTGTTCGCCATGATTAGGGGGACTGCCTGTGAGTTTGTCCGCTGGTTTTTCCATGGACACGCCCTCTTCACTAGGCTCAGTCGTCGTCTCATCATCTTTTCCCTCCAGACCGAGGTGTACAATACATGCTGTATTGTTGCGTTGCGGGCTGGGTCGCATGTTGGTCTTAACTATCGACGACTTTCGCCGTGCTTGTGGTTGGTCTTCAAAGACGACCTGTGGAGATTGGTGATCAGATGTGAGGGAACGAAAGGGGAATATCGATGGGTGTACTTCGAGAGCCTCGTGTCCGTCGTCACTGCTCATGTCTCCGAAGCTCTGAACACGCGAGTGGTCAGTGAGAAGCAGGAACAAAGCATGAAAAGGCGCAGTATATCACCTGTTTTCGATCACGGACGCGTTCGGCAAGCGCGTCCAAAGCCCAGTCACTCATGGTATCGTAGGAATGTTCAATTGTCCCTCGAGGAATGTTTGTTCGAATCCTTCGTACTTCGCCGAATCCGTGATTAATTGTGAACGAACTGGAACGTCATATGCTGATTGTGGGGATAAGCTTTATCTAATCTCCATCCAGCTGGGAAGATGAAGATCAATGCCAAAGCCGAGGTTTGGCTGTTGCCAACAATAAACTTCCCCTCGTGTGCCCCTCTCTTTCGCTTCTTTAATCCTTCGTAGTCCGTGACCTCGACACTCTACAGTAGTTTATAATATAGAAGAAACCCAACTAGATCGTCCGCCGCACTTACGCGTAAGGTAGGGCTTCGTCTTGCTCAACTGAATCTTCTCTACCTCCTGTTTCCTGTGCCCATTCCATTTCTACCATCTCCATCTCAACCCATTCCAACTGTTTCATTCCGTTTTCAGAAGATATGGCAGAAATTAACATCAGCGACTCTGACCTGCAAGGTGTAGAGAACAAAGTTGTTCTCATGACTGGTATGCAAAAGTCTACAATGATCCCTGTCTACCACTCCTGACATTGTGGAAAGGTGGTTCCTCGGGCATCGGCCTAGCAACAGCGACCCTTCTTCTGAGTCTCGGAGCCAAAGTCGTCAATGGCGACTTAAATCCTCCCGCCGAAGAGCCCAAGTCTGGATCCTACAAATTTGTCAAGACCAATGTGACCAGCTGGTCAGACCTCAAGAGTTTGTTCAAGGAGACATTGAACCTGCACGGTCAAGTCGATCATGTCTTCGCCAATGCCGGTATGAGACCAACGGTCGATTATGTCCACCTCCAAGTCGACTCCAACAACGAGCCTCTTGAACCCGGTTTCTTGACTCTGGACGTGAACCTCAGGGGTGTCATCAACACTGCCTCTTTAGCTTTGCACTACATGCAGCAGCAAAAGCCTTCTATAACACCCTACAGCATAACCCTCACAGCCTCACCATCCTCCTTCCACCGTTTCCGCGCTGCCGACTACGGAATCTCCAAGCACGGTGTCCTCGGTCTGTTGCGTGGTCTGGCACCTGTCACTTACCCAGACCTTCCCATTCGTGTCAATGCTCTTTGCCCATCTTGGACAATTACAGCACTTACCAAAGAGTCCAACTACAAGGGTGTGAATGCAACTCTGCAGCCCGCAGAAGCTGTTGCCAAAGCTGCTGTATTGTTGATGACAGATGAGAAACGACACGGCCAGATGGTTCTGAGTGTTGGCAATAAATACAGAGAAGTTGAAGAGGCGGTATTGCTGAAGGCCATGAGTCCGGAGATCAGAGGACAACAATTGACAGAAGATGAGATTTGTGCTGGCGTGGTTGCGAACATGATGCAGCAGTAGTCGCAAGATCGATGTACATATCCTGATAATTCTTTAACATGCCACTTTCGGTCGAATCTTGTCGCGTGCTGTTCAATTGTAACGTGACTTCTGATATCAGGTCAAGCAAGAAGAAGAGATGACTGTGCGCAAGCCCGTACAAATATTAGCTGGAATGAACTTGAACTTGGTCATTTACATTTTGACATATACTATTACAGCGCTCTTTCAACAACAACTACCTCACGCAGGCATCCCAAGCTCTCAAACTTGACGCTGCGAAGCTGTGGGGCTCGGGGTTTCTTGCGGAGAGAGCGGCAGCCAAGGTGCTCAATCTTTGCTCGTACTGCTGAACAATCTGGTTTGCGCGAGGAGCGTCGGGCATTTCTCCTCCAAGGATCTTGGAAGCAAGGCTAAGACCATGGTAAATGGACATCTTCGAGAGGAACTCGATCGGAGCACCGACTTCGGGGAGATCTGTCTCGGCAGGCTGGGACTTGTTAGAAAACGGGTGTGCATTAATGTTTAAGCAAAGAAAGAAACATACCTGGTTGGACTCGTTGAAGGTGGCCATGAATCTCGTGGCGTAGGCCTTGACCTTTCCATCGACGTCCTTACCACCCTGATATTGCGATGCGTAGACAGCGTGCAACTCGAGGAAAAGACCAATGACTGCAGGACGTGTTCTGGCATCGTTTGGTGACAGCTTTCTTCCTGATCCGTGGTCGGTAGACTCCAGCAGTTCGGCCAATTCGCTTGCATGCTTCAACGATCTTTCCAGACGAGTCTGCTCCCAGTTCTCCAGAGAGGCAGTCTCACGCAATGCGTTGAGAACTTGGTTTAATACGGCGTCGTTCTTGAGGGTAAGACCAGTAGCATTCGATCGTCGCAGCGAGCGCAGAATGACGGGGAACTGATCGTTAAGCTGCAACTTTCTCAAAATCCTCTCTTGCAGAACCAGATCCGGGGTAGGGCGAGCCTTGTGTAGACCTTCTAGCAGGGAGGGCAATTGACGCCATTCATCGTTCTCCTCGATCAAACGGAGGGCTTGTAGGACCAGAGGTTTGCGAGCAGGGATTTCGCTTCTGCGATCAATGTGCTTGAGAGGAATCTCCTCCTCGCCGAGAGTGGCGTATGCAGGGTTATTCTCGAGTTCTTGCTTGAACTTGTCGCCGAAGATGAGGTGGCGCTGGCGCTTGTTCAAGTAGGCAGGTATGAAGTGTTTTGTGCGGAGTTGAAGGAGAACATCGTCAAGTTCGGGAGATGAGGTTTCTGCGAAGGTCGGCAGGGCGGCTGTAGAGTTGTTGTCAGTCGGAGAAGGAGCAATCGTGTGTTGAAGGTGCATACCATTGTTCTTTTGCGCAGAGGTCGAGGCGGTAAAGGAGCGAGTCTGGGTGTTGCGACGAAGGGCAGAGACAGCTGAACGCTGAGTGCGCAATGCACACGTCCTGCAGAAGTCCGACATGATTGAGTGTGTCTTGAATTGCGAGTAGCCCTCGATTATTTGGTAGAGTCGCAAGTCGCAAGCCGCAAGCTTGCGGCGTCGTGATTGGCCGACCGAACTTTTTGCGGACAGCGGAAGCCCGAAACAGCAGCAGCGACCATTGACCAAAGGACCACCCCGTACAGTCAACCACACACACGACAATGTCAGCTCCCGCGCGGCCACTGGCTGCTCTCAAATCAGCACTGCGCCAATTGCGCGCCGACAAGCACCACTCGCGCTGCTATGCCACCGCCGCTCCTACCATCCCCGGCAGGCCCGTCAACTTCCACCCGGGTGCCATCATGACCGGTCGCAGTACGATGAATCCACCACCTGAACCTCTCTTCTCGGCTCTGACACCTCTACAGACAGCGAACACAGTATGAAGAAGATCCCTGTCTTCCCTGCCGTTCCTTCGGCTCGCACAACTTGCAAGGACCCCATCGCCGCCGTTACCGCCTCTCAAATCTCTACCCTCGACCCTACTGGTGCTCGTACCCGCCTCTTCAGCCGCGAGAACATCGACCGCGCAAACCCTGGTGATATCCTCCTTGTTCGCCTGAAGAATGGCGACCAATACGCTGGTGTATGTCTGAACATCCGTCGTCAAGGCATCGACTCTGCCATCCTCCTCCGCAACAACCTGACCCGTGTGGGTGTCGAGATGTGGTACAAGATCTACAGCCCCAACGTCGAGGGTATCGAAGTCGTGCAAAGGAAGGAGAAGAGAGCAAGAAGAGCTAGACTTTACTACATGCGCCAGCCCAGACACGACATTGGCAGTGTCGACAACATCGTCAGACAATACCAGAGACAGCGTGCCATGTTGCGCAGCTCCGAGGTCAAGAGCAGAGATGCAAATGCTCGCAAAAAGAAGAACAACAAGCGTGGCTCCAACTAGAGTTGATACTAAGAATGTTGCATTGGGCGGCGTTTTTGGTGGGCTCCGAAAGAGAGAGGAAAGAAGTCACGTCTTCTGTATTTATATTTGTACAAATTTATGTTCATCTCACAGGCTTCAGGCCGAGCAACAAAATCATTTGATCTATTGAAAGGTTGGTGAGTAGATCGCCAGGGTCACCAAACTCATCTTCTCTGCGTTCAGACTGGCTTGTCTCTTTGGCGCTGTGCATCGCAGCTTCCTTGTCAAACCCACCGCGCTTACTTATCTGATCAACTGCCTATTTTCAGCAGAAATTGACCGACTATCGCCATATTCTATGTGTAACCCAACATCGAATAGCCGCCCAATGCAGAGACACCCTGCACGGGTTGTATGCAAGTCGGCCTTATCTCGATCGTAGCGTCTACCACGGCGGCTACCTGCAGCTTGACTCTGCACCTCCAAGCCCAAGATGAAAGGCCATAAGAACACGGTGAGTTCGACGGACTGGATCGAGGCGTCACCCTCGTTCAATTGAGGCCTCGCGATACCTATCGATTTATACCTCCGGCAATATGTTGTCCATACCAAGCTCGGATTCGTTCAACAAAGCCCACGATGGCCGTCAATTGCGATCCACTGTTTCTGAACAATCAATTGAGCTCTCAATATGGAACGAAGATGACAAAAAAGCCTTGGTCTCCCCAAAATCAAACAAGTCCTGGAAGCCTTTGACTCAGAAGGCATTTTTTCTGGTCCCTACGATTCTGGCTTCTGGAGCATTGATCGCTGTCCTACAAGTATATCTGATACGAAGCGAACAGGATGCCGGCATCCTGTTCGCCTCAAAAATCAGTGCCCTACCTCTGAATCAGACTTTCTCATACCTCTATTTGCCAACCATCATATCTTTGGTCCTCAGTTTCGTCTGGACCTGGATCGATCTCGACATCAAAAGGCTTCAACCATACGTCCAACTGTCGAGAGATGGTGGTGCACTTGGAAATGACTCGATACTGATGCATTATCCTTTCGACTTTGTGGCATCCGTGCCCTTCACAGCTGTTAGAAGACGGTATGCTATTTCGATCAATTCACCAACACCAGCTAACACACTTAGGCATTGGCCTGTATTCTCAGCTTCTCTGGCTGTGGTCATCATTTTTTGGGGGCTCACACCGCTGCAGTCTAGTATTTTTGCAACAAAGATGATCGAGAAGACTCTGCAAGTTACTACTGTCACGTCGTCGTCGTATCTATCCTTACGAGACCAAAAGACCACCCTTACGGGTTCCTATGCCCAATCAGTCTACAACATTGCTTGGTTGAACGAAAGCCTGCCACCTTTCATGAGCAGACAAGGCATAATTGCTCCTTTCTCCCTATTAGACGACAACACCAGGACGGAAACCTCTGAAACTTGGACTGCACGCACACACTTTTATTCAGTTGATATAAACTGCGAAAGTCCGACCTATGACGAGTATGACATTATCAGCACGTCTGGGTGCAGATACTACATTGCCAACACGAATCTGCCGTCGAAGACTAAAGACGACCAATACAACAGTCTTTACGTGGGCTATTGGTACGAAGAGAGTATGGACTCTTACCTTCGAGGCAGTTGTCCGGATCAAGCAAATCAAACTTTCTTGTTACGATGGTCACGCGGCCGTAAGAATCTCACAGATTCGACAAATTCGCCATACCCTCTCGAAGGTACCACGCTCTGGTGCAAACCCACTTACTGTATGGAATACCTGAGACTTTATGTTGAGAAACTGCACTGACGCATGAATCAATCTAGACCAGCAAGAGGTGAATGCTACTATCGCGCCTCCGAGCATGAGCGTACTAAACATCGCAGCGATTGGTCCTAAAGAGCCTCTACCTGCCGATCTAGTCAACATTACTGACTTTGAGTGGAGCTTGAGCCAAGGCTACGAAGTGAACAACAATCGGGGGCACTATCCGACATCAACATGGCCCACTCCTTACGATCAACTTCATTCTCACTTTCCGGAACTATATTGGGACATCTATTTGCCGACTTTAGCTAGTTTTGCACTTGGCGCATATCAGCGGCCCGTCGCGGACTATCTCGATCCGGAGGTTCTCAAAGATTCATACCAGGCTGCGTACCGTCTGCTACTGGCAAGGAAGCTGGCTGATATTCTACTGTCGGATTTTGAAGATGGGAAACAATCGCCTGGAACACGGCATTACAGTACCCAAGCCCTCATCATGGTACCCACCTTCGTCTATGTGGTTGAAGGCTTACTAGCAATGACCATCGTTGCTGCTCTCACAGTCATCTCCATACCTTCGTGGAGAAAAACTAACCTGGTCTCCGAACCTGCAAGTTTAGCAGCTATGATGGCGCTATCAGGCAATGATTCCCGCCTAGTTCAGACTATGAGCGGTAAAGATTGTGCGACATCAACAGAGTTAGAAAATTCTTATCGACACACCACCTTTGCCTTGAGAAACTGTCACCAAGGGCCGACACTTTGCTGTATCGACCCGGATCTCAAAACTACCAGCGTAGTACGTGCGAAGTCTGCTAGACCTATCTTGCCAGTGGAGCTATCGTGGTATTTCGGATCTGGCTTCCTCGGCCTGCAGTTGTTGGTCATAGTCGCGCTTGTGTTTACGTATATCCGCACGCATCGAGACAATGGTACGATACATGTCCAAACACCATATAATGTCTCACTAACTCTTGTAGGCTTACCACTTCCATCCACCTCAATCTTCATTAACCAAATCCTGGTAAAATATCTACCAATGGTTGTCGGTGCCTTCTTTGAGCCAATCTTCACATGGCTTACGAGAACGCTATGCATGCTCCAGCCCTACGAGAAACTTCGCAAGGGTAACACACCGCCCTCCCGAGCACTCACCGTGGACTATGATTCACTGCCGCCTCAGGCTATATTGTTTAGGGCGTTGAAGGCTGGGAGCATTTCTCTTGCTTCAGTCTGCTGCATCATGACTTTGTTGGCAAATGTACTATCGGTGGCCTTCAGTAACGTCCTACACGAACGTCAGACTACGATTTTGACACCCCAGAATTTTACAGCCGATCATCGTCTTCCTCTCAGCGGCTCCAACATCCCCAACTCGACGTATGACCATTACTACATTGCAATGTCCAATCTCACAGCTGGAACACCGTTGCCCGCGTGGACGGACGAGAAATTCTTCTATGTACCGTTCGGGGGATTAGAGTCACGCAATACATCCACGGCATTGTACCAAGCGCGGACGCCCGCTGTGAGTGCTTCATTACAATGTTATTCTTTACGCCAGACGAGACATGGTGAGAGGTTGACCTGGGACATTCCGGCCGATAGTCCTACGTGCAACTCTAGCTCGTTATTCACTCATGGTAGCTTCCAATCACGGGTGCCAGAAGCCCTGGAGTACACGAGTCTTTGGCCATCGCGGTTTGGCGCCGATATCTCGGACTGCGAATTGACAGTCCAAGCTGGATGGGGAAGGTCGTCGCTCGTATCTACAGCAGATCCCGTGAACGCATCTTGGCTTGGGTGCAAACCCGAGTTACGCATCGAGCTACGTGAAGTTACCGTTGACAGCCGAGGGCTGGTACAATACTCCGAACCAACAGACGATATACTGGATAGTCGAGAGCAGCTCTTCGAGCCTAACGCCAAGAGCATTATTGATGCATTCCATATACTACTTGGAAGTTCGAACACTCCCGAGTATCCGTTTCACTCCGCTGCTGGCGGTGCCCACAATGATTCATACCCGAGCGACTTCCTCAACTATCTCATGGCTCAAGCATTGAACAGCTCGGCGATATTGGATCCACACTTGCCACCGCCGACCTTCGATACGACTGCACCTGTTCTGGAAGCTTTGTATACTCGCTTGTTCGCTATCGTACTTGGAACGCACGTCTCAGCCGTTCTCGAAAAGAATAACGAGACTGCTCTGGTCACTGGTTTTGTTGTGGCCCCGGAAACGCGAGTCTTCGTGTCGGAACCCATGTTCCTCGTGTCTGTGGCGATACTAGGAATATACATATTGTTCACTATCGTGCTGTACGTCTGTCGACCTTGGAAGATGCTGCCTCGCATGCCCACGACAATCGCCAGTCAAATCGCTTTCTTTGCTGCCAGCCATGCTATGCACGATCTTGCAGACACGTCGAGCATGTCAGAGAAGGAGCGCAACTCGCAAATGATTGGACCAAGACAAAGATATGGATATGGACGATTTGTGGGCACAGATGGAAAGGTACACATCGGCATTGAAAGAGAGCCTCTCGTGCAGGCTCTCAACAAGCAAGACTTGCGGACCATGCAAAAAGATGTCATATCAGACTGAGGTCGAGTCTTTTCGAGAGCCTCATCGAAGCGCCCTATCATACGAGCCTTGCACTAGAAAAACGTATACAATCACATGAGGTGACCACAAGAACATGTCTGCTATTGACAGCGGCAATGCCCTCGCGAGACGGGCGTCTCCAGAGACAATAGCACAACACATGCTTCCAATAAAAGCTCGTATAACCACTTTGCAAGGCATGCAGGCAACTTGGCTCGGCGGCTCAGAATGCACAACAATGCATGTGAAGCACGAGTCGAAAAAGGATGTGTTACAGGTCCAAAACAGGACCGTTTGTTTCATGTTAGCGACTGAAGCTCCATCGGACCCTCTGGCCCGCATGAGGCTGCCGGGAGATCTGTGGCCCGAGCTTCTAAACCACATGTCTTCTGCTTCTTTATGTTCCACCTTTCATCACTTGAGAGCAAGATTGGTTTTCCAAAGCGTGGAAAATATGTCAATAATCACGCGATCACGTTCAGCCAGCATGTGCGAACAAACGACATGTGTGACAAAGGCCGAGCAAGGGACGAGGCACAAAAATCGCTTCTTTGTCACATCCACTCCTGAAGCACAGACGCGCCGCCTTCCGAGGCTCCCTTTTCGACAGAGTCTCACTTCTGCGTCTTGATTGGACACACCCAGGAATGGTTTGCTTTCATGCATGCATGCTGGAACAATGCTCTGGGCGGGTATCAATATCAATTGTGGATGCGCCGTAACTCATGACTCCGCTGCGCTGTCTGCTGTTTGCGGACTTCAACTTGGCTCAATCTTGAAAAGAAATGACCAATAATACGTGATACTGATTGGCAGGCTGTGCAATTGACGTGAGGGACAGGAGGCAGATCAAGGTCTAAAAATGATCCGCGAAAGCCAGCGGCACCTGTTGCTGTCTCGTCCAGGTCTAGAGACTGCTGTGTGACCGGACCAAGCTTTTACCGTGCTGCAGGGGTGGCCTTGACCGCCATCTTTAACAAGCGCGATTAGCAATGCGGAGACTTGCACGGACATTTGCCCGCTTCTTCATCCATCTTTCAGGCTTCAGCAGTGGTGTTTGCCCCGCGCTTGGAACGATATGATAGCTCCTAGTTCAGTCTCACCAGTACAGCGCAATGCCTCCTGAGTAGGCGGATCTGACTTCTTACTGGATATTAACGGCCCGACGGTCTGTGAACCATGACCAATTCCCTCCAAGAGTTCGATGAGCAGATCTCCACTATGCGACTTGGCTAGGCTACGCACAGAAGCAGGTGTGTGCTTGACTGCAGTTCGCATACATGTGGCGGGAATAGGGATATCCACCTTTACGAACAAGAGCCGATATAAGAAAGGGAGGCCCTGTTGACTCTGGAATTTCCTGCTCCTTCACATCGTCTCAGTTTTTCTTTGGAATCGCCTGGTGCAATTCCTATCACACTCTTTACAGTCTGCAAGAACGTCACAAGCTGGTCACACTTTTGCTTGATTATCAGATTCACTCCACAAAGTCAACGGTCTAGACTTATCATCGTCAGGTACGGATATATTCACTCTTCTCTATTTCTTGGCGCCTTCTCATTGTCCCTGCGTTGTGCATGGTCATTGATCGTTGTGCATTGTTTCCTGCTGGTTGTCTTGATTCAAGCTTTCATTCATCCATTGTGTCATTCTTTCAAGACACAATGAAGCCCTGGCAGCTTCGATTCCCGTACATATAATCCCTCGAATCTTCCGACCACATCCTCGAGAAAGACATACAACATAATAATCCAGAAACTCAGACACCTAACGTGTCTCCTCAGTTCTACAACCATCGAATCTTAACTCGCATAGCTGGTCTAGCGATATAAAAGCATCTTCAAAGCCAAACTTCTTGCACAACGCTCTTTACAAAACGCCTTTACACCTCTCAGCATGATGTTCAAACAATCTGTTCTGGCCGTCTCAGCCTTCTTCATGGCTGCAAATGCCCATCTGTTCATCTCATCGCCCAACCCCATCCCTGGCACGGCCATAAAAAATCCACTCGCTGACGACGGATCAAACTTCCCTTGCCATGGTGTCGCTCTTCCAGGCTCCGGTGGCCAGAAGATGGCTGTCGGCTCGGAGCAAAAGCTCACCTTTGATGCCGGAGCCGGCTTGAACACTGCCGTCCATGGTGGCGGATCTTGCCAACTAAGTCTCACATACGAAACCGATCCTCAAAAGGTCAAGCAAGCCGATGCTTGGAAGGTCATCTACAGTATCGAGGGTGGCTGTCCCACGAACACTCTCGCCAACCTCGATGGAAACTACACAGGGCCAGATGGCCCGTACACGGTTGCCCTGGCTTGCGATGATCCAAGATCCAACAATTTCGACTGTATCAACACCTTCGATTTTACCATTCCTCAGGGCGTCAAGAATGGTCAAGCTACTTTGGCATGGACGTGGTTCAACAATGTCGGCAACCGCGAGATCTACATGAACTGCGTTGCTGTAGATATCACCGGTGGTTCCGACGACGCTACCATGAGCGACTTCCCCGACATCTTCCTCGCCAACATGGGTCCCGCTTATGGTGATGTAAAAACCGATGAGTACCCTGTCCAGAACGTCAAGTTCCCCAACCCCGGAAAGTATGTCACCACCAAGACGGCGATCACAACCTACATGTCGAATGGTGTGGTTCAAACGGTCTCCACTGCCAGCTCTTTCCCTCTGGCAATCCCCAGTCGTCTTGGCACGCTCGGTGGTGCTGGTTCTGGTCCTACATCGTATGCTGCAGCTCCTACTTCTTACGCTGCTGCATCAAGCTCGTATGTACCCGGCTCATCATATGCTGCCGTGCCTACCTCCTATGCCCTGGCTCCTTCTTCGTACGCTGCCATTCCTACCCTGGCCACTTCCGTCAGCGTTGTCCCTCTGCCTTCCGGAACTGGCTATGCTGGCTCTTACAACAACAGTAACAGCACTTCCGGTTCATGCTCTGGCGGCAAAGTCTCGTGTCCTTCTCCTGGCGAGCTCGTGTGCATCGATGACAAAACCTTCGGCATCTGCGATATTGACTACTGCGCTGTCCCTCGCCCCGTGTCTCTCGGCACTACATGCTCGAATGGCATTGTCGACAAGCGCGATGTGGTCAGAAGGAGAAGTTCCCGCATTCATCGTCATATTCCAGGCCCCATCCACCACAAATTCAGCTTCTAAAGCAAGCCGACGACTTCATGATAAGAACTTTGGGATCCGGTATCCTTTGCAATGAATGGGAGGGGTTCACATCTGGGTGAGACGCAAGTCTCGGAGTTTATCAAGCATTAGCACGCATTTTTCTGCATTTCACGAATCGATTCTTTTATCAACTTGTTCTTTGTACTCATCTTCCAAAAATGTGACCGGAATTGTGAAACGTGATATGAATGCCCGGCACGAATTGTTCTTCAAATCAGGGCAATTCCTGCACATAAACGCTGGACCATATTGGTGGAATATGTTTTCTCATGTCGTGCAACGATGGATGGATGGCGGTTGTGGTTTGGGGCTCAAGCGATGACGGAGTGGAATTGGCAAGACCGAAGCGGACTCTCCACAAGCTGACCGCCTTCCCTCAGAAATGTGCAGTTGCACGTAGTTTCCACCTATGAGCCTTCTCCTGAATATCCGTGATTATCTTCTGTGAATAGCCCCGTCTTGTGTAGACGAGACACGATAATTGCTCCCATCTGCTTTCAGAAGACAACAGTCAGCATCCTACGTCAGGCATCATTAGCTTGAATCAGCGTCAAGAAACACCGCCACAGTCGCAGGGTCTAGCCGTCTTTGCTGCTGCTCTCTTGCCCCTCAGCCACGCGACCGCCGGCCATTGCTGCACGCTGCCCTTTCTTACTCCACTCACTCTGACTTCGACCTCCCAGCAACAAACAGACTAATCTTCAACATGTCTGGCAACCCGATGGAGCAGGACAACAAGTACATTGACAGCGCCGTGCGCGCTGTCACCAACAAGCGACCCGTACCCGAGATCGATTTCACTCTGCACACCATGGAGGACGGCACTCAGGTCAGCACTCTGGAAAGAGTGTGCAAGGGTACGTACTGTATTCCTGGCCGTTGCTCTTTACCACCTCAGAGCTCGGCCAAGCTGTTTCACCCATAATCAGACCAAGCTGACCCATATTCCAACAGACGTGCAAGCGCCCGCCTTCCACCCTCCGACCGACGAGCAATTCTTCTCCCCGACAGACCCCAACAAGCCCAACTTACAATTCCTCAAGCAACACTTCTATCGGGAGGGTCGTCTTACCGAGGACCAGGCGCTATGGATTTTGAGCGAGTGCACAAAGGTTCTGTCTCAAGAGCCCAACCTCCTGGAGATGGACGCTCCCATTACCGTCTGTGGCGACGTTCACGGCCAATACTACGATCTGATGAAGCTGTTCGAAGTTGGTGGTGACCCTGCAGACACGCGCTACCTCTTCTTGGGTGACTATGTCGACCGTGGATACTTCAGTATTGAGGTAAGCTTCGTTGACTCGGCCGCGGATCGCACCAATCTGACATGACATGCAGTGTGTTCTCTACCTCTGGGCCCTCAAGATTTGGTACCCCAACACCCTCTGGCTCATGCGTGGTAACCACGAGTGTCGCCATTTGACCGACTACTTCACCTTCAAGCTTGAGTGCAAGCACAAATACTCCGAGGCCGTTTACGAGGCTTGCATGAAGTCCTTCTGCGCTCTTCCTCTTGCTGCTGTTATGAACAAGCAGTTCCTGTGTATTCACGGTGGTCTCAGCCCCGAGCTGCACACACTTGAGGATCTCAAGAGCGTATGTTTCGTCCCTCTCTTGCCGCTTTGGCTTGTACTGACACAATACCCAGATCGACCGCTTCCGCGAGCCCCCTACCCACGGCCTTATGTGCGACATTCTCTGGGCCGACCCTCTTGAGGACTTTGGTCAGGAAAAGACACAAGAATACTTTGTTCACAACCATGTCAGAGGTTGTTCATACTTCTTCTCATACCCCGCTGCATGTGCTTTCTTGGAGAAGAATAACCTACTTTCTATTATTCGCGCACACGAGGCTCAAGATGCTGGATACCGCATGTACCGCAAGACCAGGACCACTGGATTCCCTAGTGTCATGACCATCTTCAGTGCACCCAACTACCTCGATGTCTACAACAACAAGGCCGCCGTTCTCAAGTACGAGAACAATGTCATGAACATTCGTCAATTCAGTAAGTGCAAGATGGATCGTATGAGGGCTTTCTCTCAGAAGCTAACAAAATCACAGACTGCACACCTCATCCTTACTGGCTGCCCAATTTCATGGATGTCTTTACATGGTCGCTTCCCTTCGTCGGCGAGAAGATCACCGACATGCTCATTGCCATTCTTAACACCTGTAGCAAGGAGGAACTCGAGGAAGAGACACCTCTTTCATCCGGACCACACTCGCCCCCTCTTCCATCAAGCAGCGTTGCCAACATGGACCCGGATAGCACCGAGTACAAGCGCCGTGCCATCAAGAACAAGATTTTGGCCATCGGTCGTTTGTCAAGAGTGTTCCAGGTATTGCGCGAGGAGTCTGAGCGCGTTACCGAGTTGAAGACTGCTAGCGGAGGCAAGCTCCCTGCTGGTACATTGATGCTGGGTGCAGAGGGCATCAAGCAAGCCATCACCAACTTCGAGGACGCTCGCAAGGTGGACTTGCAAAACGAGAGACTTCCTCCTTCTGGTGAGGAGGTTAGAAGAAACAGCGACGCTGCCAGAGAGTTTGCTTTGCAGCGTGCGGCGCAGGAAGCCGAGAGCGATCAGAAGTTGGCCGGTGTTGCCAGAAGGATAAGCATGTAAGTGCTGGATGTTTGAACGCGTTTCGAGAAAGATGCTAACAAGGTGTACAGGTCTTCGGGTTCAAGCCGTAGCCCCAGAAAGTAAAGATACCCGTATGGTATGGCAGAGGAGTTTATCGAGATGGTCTTTTTTGAAGTTACGTGACGACCTGAAGCGGGCGTGTACATTACAGCTGCAAGTGACAGCACGCGATGCATTGATTGCATGGAATGAAAACATTATTGAAACGCCCACGAAATGCCGTTTGTCTGTTCAGTGATTGTGCAAGTGAAATGGTCTTGAAATCGACTTCATGCTGGGGAGCTTTGACGACGCTTGGCAGGCAGCATGGCCATGTCGAGTTGCGGAAGACGGAAGAGAGACAGACAATCGAGAAAGTCACTATGCTTCTACGAGTGCCATTGGCACGGAGGCCCCTGTCGCCAAACACTTGCGCCCGCATAGTCAGTTCTGGATATACGCCATCAACACCATGGCCTTCCGCATCGTCAATCATTCGCGCGCAACCAGCCGGTGTCGCATGCGCACGCCTTGTCCATAGCGAACGACTCGCCCACATATCCAAGAGCAGCTCATACACACCGGAGCGCGTACAAGTCAGACATGCGACCAACTTGGCTTCAAGAACAGCCATCAATCCTCCTTCAAATGTTCCTGCCGAAAACCAACAACTCTACGCTTCTCTGGACCGTCTAAAGGACATTGCTAGCGATTATGTAAACCAGAGCCGACTACAACTAGCCCTCAGAGGACTGGAGACTTCGCGACCTACTGTCAGGATCGGTCTGCTTGGGCTGGGACAAGATGGCGACGTGGCTGCTAGGAAGCTTGCCCGAGTCTTGCTTGCCGATGCGCTTGGAGATGAGGGTCAATGGGAGAAGATGCTCAAGCAACCGTCGCAAGATGGCAAGCCTTTGCTTCTGAGGTGAACATAAGATATGACTTGTTGTCGAGAGGTTGCTAACACGTCGCAGATACGGAGCCGAAGACGACATCCCACCCATGAACCCTCTCGTAAACGAATTGAACATTCCCTCACGCGTCTTGGAGAAGAACAACCTAGAGATCCTCATCACAACCTTGAACACTCCCAGCGATTCCAACATTACAGCCGATCCGTCAGGACTGGCAGAAGCCATCTTGGTACCTCCGTTGCAGACTCCGGTGGCTGCATCTGGTCGCACTGGCTTCGTGCGCTACCCTGTCCACAAAGCCATAGTTGTTGGAGAAGGTATTCAAGGATGCATGGACTTTGGTCGTCTTTCGAGTGCGCTGGAAGCCACAACTCTGGGTGTCACAGGTGCGCAGGAGGGTCTTATACAAGTCGCTCTGAGTGTGCCGCGAGACAGCCCTCGCACTCAAACCAACGACACCGGTCTCATCTCTCCCGTCGACATTGATCAAGCCGGAGTCGCTCTTGATTTATTCCGTGAGGACGTCGCTAACAGTGCCATCTTTAACACAAAATGGCAAGCGAGCAACATTCAATCTATTCTCAAGTTCATGGCCTCTGACCCCATTACTGGCAATTCGATCGGCCTGCGACCTACTTTGAAATCACACATTCGTTCAACATTAGACTCAGCAACCGACGCCATCGCTCTGTCCGAAAAGGTCGCCAGCGCAGCCGTGGTCTCAAACAGCATTCCTGAACAAAAGCGTCAAGAAATTTCACAAGCAATTTCAGCATGGGCACAACACGCACACACCGATCTCCAAGTCTCTCTCGCCAACGCCTTAGCTTCTCGCTCATGGCGACGAACGACATGGTCACGGTTGCTCTGGCGTGTGGATGATGTAGGTGTAGCAGCTGAAGAAGTGCTTCGCTCGCATTGGCTGCTTGATGCGGAGTCCACCCTCGCTTTCCTCGCCGGTAGAATCGAACAAGCAGGATTCTTCCGCAGTGGTGGAGGCATAGCGAATTTCAATCCTGATTACGCTATGCATGCTTCCGACCGCGCTATTTCCAAATCAGGCGCACCCATCTCCAAAGAACGAGCTTTCCTTGCTCCCGCACAAGCTTCTTCAACACCATCCACATCCTCAAAAGGACTTTTGGGCAAATTCTTCACCGACAAGGTCCCTCAACCTTCTCCCGCAGATTTGCTACAGACGTCTTCACAAGTCGCAAAAGTGGAACAGGAAGGCGGCATCAACATCTTCCACACCCGCCCCTGGCCCTTGGCCATCCACTTCACACGTCAAAAACTGCTCCACACCCTCGTCCCTTCCCTACAAGCTCGCGCGCAATCCCTGCTCGCTCAATCCCTCACGACCATCTCTGCAACCTCTGCTCTGGGCATCTGGCTCTACATCGCCACCGGTGGCAGCATGATTGCCGAGGCTGGAGCCATTGCTGCTTTGGGCTTGGTCTGGACTTTGAGGCGGCTGCAAAAGAAGTGGGAGGGTGAGAGAGAGTCATGGGAGGCGGAGGTTAGAGAACATGGAAGGGTTGTGTTGAGTGAAGTTGAAGAGGTGTTGAGGAGTGTGGTTAGAACGAACGAGAGGGGCACTTTGAGGAATGTTGATATGGAGGATTGGCAGAGGGCTAGAGGGGCGCTTGAGAGGGTCGAGGAGGCTTTGCAAGAGGTGAAAGCGGGAAACAAGGAGTAGAGTGGAGGTTGTGAAGTATGAGGGCTGTGTGCATATCCCAGATGTACTAGTAGTGAGTTATATGATGACAAAAAGTACATGATTGCCTTTTTCTTTCTCGTGCATCCTCCGGTCCTCAAAGTTACAAACAGCGAACAATGGGAAGTAGGTGTGACTAGACTCCCGAGCAGGAAAGAATGATTGACCAGTACCTTGTACAGGATGGATTGGAAGGAACGGTCAATATTCAAAAAGGGAAGGAACGACTTACCACTCTTCTTCCAAACTGGAAAGAGCGATTCGAGATTTACAAGAGGAAGGAACGACCAAGTATCCAATGGGGAAGGAACGACTTGACGCGAATAATATCAGGAAGGAGCGACCCATTTCCGAATCAAGAAGGAGCGTTCTCGAGATTTGCAAAGGAAGGAGGCGATCCCCTACTGTAATTATCTAAAGAGGAGAGACCGACGAGTAAATATATCTTGTACAAGAAGGTACGACTCACATCTTATGGAAGGAACCACAAGCAGCGATTTGATCTTACGACCTACCTTTTGCCGACATTACTGGACACCTTCGATCCCTGACGCTTCTGATGGCATCAACCCCCAATTGACCCTCCAGCCCTGCCATGTATTCAACCAGTGTGAAGTTGTGAACAAAGTGCAACAAAATTCCACAAATACCTCATCGAAATCCCGCCAAGCCTTCCACCAAAAAATCAAATTCCTCAACTCCCAATCACCGCCAAGCTTCCATACCACCTCCTACAACCAAAACAACACCTCTGGCATCTATACCAGCATGAGATGAGTGCAAAAAGGGCAAAAGATAGCGACGCCCGTGTGATTCGAACACACGCCCCCGAAAGGATTTGATATCTGTTGATTGAAGAAAGGTTCAATGATTCGAGTCAAACGCCTTAACCACTCGGCCAGAGCGCCAGGATATGGAATAGGAAAATTGGAATAAGATATGTCTCACAAACTCAGAGGCAGGAGAAAAAGACGGCAAGGATGGACGGTGGGAAGGTGGTGGGAGGTTGAAGGTGAGTAACGACGAAGTTGTGAAAGGTTTGTTGATGGTGGTGCGCATATAAGCTCGGCAGTTGAAGCTTTGACTCAACAACAATGCTCGGCTTCCGTTCATTCCAGGCAAGAACGATGGATCAGCGGTCAACAGCCGAACACTCGAAAGTGAGCTTTGCGGCAAAATGAGCATATTTGTAGAGACAACAAGTTTGATACACATACAAGATACTTGTAGGACAAGAGACTGAAACAATTCGAGTATTGCTATCTATAAGTTGTGGAACGGCAGACAGCATGACTTCGAAGCAGTCAACACACTATGAATCTATAGCCTGCAAAGTCTCCAATATCCCCAACTCCAAGTAATGCACTATTTAGAAACATTCTTATATCGGTTCAGCACTTCGTATCGACAGGGCTGTCTGTTGCTATCATGAACAAATCATCGCCCTCGGTATAGTCCTGATTCCAGAACTTCAATGGGCCGGCAGTCCTGTTGTTCGTCGTGGAGCAGCTCAATACCACTGTATTTGCACCCGGGGACAATCACCCTGATGGGTTTGTCGGCAACATCACGGGTGACACTCATTTGACATCTGATCTGTCGAAGTTTGTGCGAGGCATCCTGTTGCCGACGAGGATCACTCTTGTTCGAGATGAAACCAGCGCGAGCGGTCCGTTATTTTCAGGCACTTGGATCGGTCGAGCCGGTGCAGATGGTCTGATTTCCGGTTCAAAATAGGTGTCGAACTGGTAGACCACTCAAACAACAGTAGTGGAGGCAGCAGTAGCAGTAGTGCTGGTCGAAAAGCTGGTCAAAGTAGAGCTAGAAGACGCAGGAGTAGCCTGCATAGAACATGCTGAGGAGACAACTGTGGCTGGGTATTTGGCCAGATCATAGGGTAACGTTGTGGCAGTAGCCGTAGCAGTGTTGTAGCCGAGATATGTCGAACAGAAAGGTTAAAGCGACGACCACTTGATATCAGCAACAGCTTGATATACGGCACCCTTGACATCACCATCCAGAGGGTTGATGTCTGAAGAGTTGGCAGTCTTGGCGAATCCAAAGCTGTAGTTGACCACGTATTGATCTTTTCCATAATACCAAGATCCGCCATTTGTTGCGTATCTGACGGGCCAGGTCTCTGTGTAAAGCGAGCAATATTGCCCTTGCGTGACGACGGAGCCATCGGCCTTGAGTGCAGTCAGGATGTAGGTGTTGAAGAACTTGCAAACCTTGGCGGGAGTGCCGTCCTTGGGAGCCGTCTTAAGGTTATAGGTAGTTTGAGATTCACAGTACTAAGAACAGAGGCTCGTATCCCATGTGCCTTAGGTGAAAAGCTTCGATCCCATGAACTAATCATAGCGTCAGTTTTGCAATCAGTTGCTACAGTCAACAGTAACCACTTACAGTGTTGTAGCCCTAAGCGTCATAAGGAGCGTTTATAGCATTAGCTCCGTAAGTAACGCCGTCTTAATACCTAGAAGGGGTATTAAGTTAGGTAGTTACATAACCATTAGAACCGGTGATTATAACCTCGAAGCTACTACGAGGCTGCCCGACATTGACCGTGTTCTACATAGTTACTAGACTACCCTAGTACGAACATTTTATTATCGTAATAGAAGGAGGGTTTAAGTAGGACGAATCATCTAGATTAACTAGAGACTTAGGTTAGCTAAGCTCTATTACAACATTAGATAGAACGATCCTATACCGCTTAGATCTCTTTCGAAGTAGATGTTAAAGGATATATAGCCTCGCTTAGTAGTGCATCGTGTTGCGTATGTCGTAACATTATAGGTGTCGAGACTGTCGAAGCTACTTAAATAGTAAGTGTAGAGGGGGAAAGTATAAGTTACTAAAAAGTAGAAGGAACGTAGGAGCGGAGTATAGCTTAAAGCTTATAGCCTATAAGAGTGTAAAGGTATATAGCAACGTATAAAGTCCTACTAGTAATATAGTTACTAATAGTAAAGACTAATCGATGCCCTAAGTATCGGTGTCTTCGAAAGTGAAGATATACTTATATATGCTAAGCCTCGCTTAGAGGCTTAGGCTTCGTCGTAGAGGCTACCCTAGCCTCTCCGGTAATAATTATCCCTTCCTCTATACGGTTGTCCGTAACTAGGAGGCTAATAGTTAGTACACCGCATGCGACTAGCGTATAGTACGTAATACGTGCTTCGTTTATAGTTACCTCGTATGCGGCTCGTAGGGGGCTCGTATAGGGGGAGCAGCGTCTACTTTACTTACTCCTAAATCCGGCGTCGCGTCGCGTACGGCTAGAATTCGTAAAATTATCGCGTCGTATATACGTCGCGTACGGGCTCGCTTCCCTAGGCTTTACCGGAGTGCGCCCCGGCGTCGTAATAATAACGCTATTATCTTAGTAGTCTATACTATAGCATAACATACAGAATTTCGAATTACGCTAGCAATTCTTCCTCCTATTAGCTTTATAACATCTACTTAGTAGCCCTAACACTTCTAGTAAGTAACCCTTCCTAATGCCGCTTATCCTTTCTAATATATGCGCCGCTTACGCTTAGCATATGTTTAATAGTTTCGACTTTTTCCCGCTTACGGAATTGTTTTTTGTTATAACCGCATGCGCGTAGCATACGCGCGGCATACGCATCTACCTTACTTATCCCCTCCTCCGATAGGCTTACTCTATAAGTCGCCTATATACCTTATACTAACCTTCTAGTAGATAGATCTCGTAATGTTAAATTCCGATCTTACTCGCTTTAAGCGCGAATCCGTAGCTCGCCTACGCGAAGAAGAGGCTCGCTATAAGGGCGTATCCGAGATAATTACCTTCCTTATACCCTATCGCCCCCTTTATACGCGCTCCGCTAGCGGCGTATATAGTTCCGGCTCTCGCTACGAGCCCGGCACTCTACGTAACCCGTTCCCTAGTCTTAGATCCTAGTACCGCCGCCGCTACGAGGCTCCCGTATCTATCTATACTTCTCCTAACGTGCTCCTTAACGGTGCTCTCGTCGTATCTACTAAGCGTATACGCCGCGTTCGTAAGGAGTTACTTACTCCGTCGCGCCCTCGTTAACCCGACTTCGGTAGTAGCTCTACTTCGCGCCGCCGTCGCGCTAAGCGCTCCCTATCCCCCTTCTAGGACCTAGTTACCCCTACTCGTCGTAGTCGCGCCGAACCCGCTTATAGCTCTACTCGTACCTCTCGTAGTATACGTTTCGATAAGACTCCCCTTAAGGAGTAGCTTACTGCCTTACGCCGCCGCGTTAAGGAGCTCTCGGCTAACTCGCCTAGCGTACGCCGTATACCTACCTCTCGTAATAAGGAGGACCCTACCCTAATGTCTAGAGGTGCCGGCGGACTAGTTAACCCTACCTTAAACGCTAGCTCTCCCTACGTTCGCCCTAGTCCTACTAACGACGTTAATGCTCGTAGACGCGCCGACCGCGCTACGGAGGAGGACCGTCTTACTACCCTAGAGAGAAACTAGCGTAAGTATAACCTTCTACGCCGCCGCTCTCCTCGTCTCGACTCCGTTAGCTATAGTCGTAACGCCGCCCGAACCTATACGCCCGAGCATATCTTACTAGCTAACCGTAGTCGTCGCCTATACGCCGTTAGTCCTAAGGAGCGTAAGTAGCGTTGCCGTAACTTTAAGGCTGCTGCCGAGGCTAAGCGCCTTATTAATACTAAGGAGTTAATCGAGGAGGAACGTCGCGCTATAGAGCGTAGCTGCCGTCTATCCTACGGCGACCTACCTATCTTCGACCTACGCTCGCCTTCCTACTCGCGCTCGCCCTCGCTAAACTTCCCGGCTAGTTACCCTATTAGTGCT